AATTGTTCTACAACATACATATCTAGAATATTCAGATGTCTTATCCCGCTTTCAAAACAAATAGCTGAATGAATTAAACGATAAAAATATGAATTCACCTGTAAAACATAAGAAACTGAAAGCTGAAATTAATATTTAACTACCATTTTGTCAGGCCACTAACCACCTTCACTTTCATTCCACAAGAATAAAACAAATCGTTTATCTCAGTTTTGGTCTCATCTTAATTTCTCCGTCGATCGATTATCAGTTTTGCAAGAAGGCGATGCAGAGACAGGAACAAAAGGAAAAAGAAACGAGAATTGGGTTGGGCCTGTTTTGGGCTCCTATCGATGTCAGATAGGAGACGGAGTTAAAACTTAAAAGGAGAATGAGGGCGGGCCATTGAAGCATTGGTACTGGATGTATCATGTATGTCGAATGACCATAGTTAATAAAATACGGTACAGGAAAGTTACGTTTGTTGAATTGGAATGTATCATGTATGTCGATCACCCCTTACAGGATTGATGTTCGTTTGTTGAACTTGAACTCCTCTAGTCCTCTTGGAAGCATTTGGCGATATCAATTATGGCGGCAGATAATTTCATAACTCGGGAATTCTTCTTTTCGGAAATAGACATCTTGAATGCAGTGTTGGACGATCGGGCTTTCATACCAGTTGTTACATAGATATGCCTTTTGAGCTGGATTGTAGGTAATAAATCGTGGGTTAATACCCTAATATGGCCCAAAGTTTAGTGTAAGTGATAGTTATGTTCCCATTTTTCAAATAAGACATTAATGACCTACTTTTGAAATTATTAGACAAATTTGGCACGATGTTTGGGTTGACTGTTAAAACTGACGGTCAAATATTCTCACCGTTAATGACTCAACAAAAACTGCTGAAATGGCAACGACATAGCTGCCACGTCACTTTCACAAAAATTAAAAATTAAAAAAATAACATAAAAATGAAATAAAAAAAATATATTATTTTGAAGAGAAAGAAAAGGTCGTCTTCTCCACCCTCCCTGTTCGGCACAAGACCTAGATCTTCTTCCCCTGACACCGGATGCTACTCTACTTCCACGAGAAAATCCTCGGGAGTTTGACCGGCGGGCGACCCACCCCAGCCGGTGAACTCCTACCCGTTCGAATCCCTTACGACTTTGCTAAACCCACCAGTCTGCTCGCCTCTGCTTCTGACGAGAGAACCCTACCCTGTCTCTTTCCTTTATTTCTCCCCAACAATCAGCCGTCGCCCTGCTCGTCTCTGCTTTCGACAAAAAGCCGCCGCCAATCTCTGCTTCTAATCTTTCCCCAGCCAGTCGGGGAGTCCAAGACAAGAAGAACGAGACTCGCCGCTCTCTGCTTCAGATCTTTGCCAGCCAGCGGGCGAGTCCGATTCAAGAAAAATGAGACCCTCCGCCCTCTCTTGGCCAGCTGGAGACGTTTTCGAAGAAGCTTCATCCGTTCAACAAAAAAGCTAGATTTAGCGCCTGTGAAGTTTCAAATGGGTAGGAGAAGGGAAGTTAATTGGAAGAAGGTGGATTAATTGGGGAGCGGCGGGAGGATAGAGTTGGCCGGCAGCGAGTGGTGGAGGTGAATTAGGGATTTCACCCTCTGCCTTCATCGTCTCTGGTTACAGATGGAGGAGAGTGAGATGGCAAGATAGAAGAGATGGATGTAAATTAGGGATTTCGTCCCTCTGCCTTTATGGTTTTATTTTTTATTTTCATGTTTTATTTAGAAATTGTAACTAAGTTATGTGAAAATGATGTGGACGACAAATCGTTGCCAACTCAGCACTAAATGTTGAGTCACTGACATAATAAATTTGTGACCGTCAGTTTTAACGGTCAACTTAAACGTCGGGCCAAATTTGTCCAGTAATTTCAGAAGTAGGCCATAAATGTTTTATTTGAAAAATGGGGCCAGGACTGTCACTTACACTAAACTTCGGGCCAAACTAGGGTATTAACCCATAAATCTTTGATCTCTGGAATTTTAGGATGGCTTGCTCGAAAATGTCGAGCAAAGTCTCTTCTGAAGGGCGAGAAGCCGAGAACCGCCCTTAAATAACTACAAACTATAAATCAAATAACAAAATCAACAAACATAAATTGGGTTGCATATTATTAATCATAGACAAAGAACAAAAGAAATTATAGGGGAATTAGATAATCTATTTGATCATGCTTTGTTCATTAGAGGGGAATAAGATAAACCTTTTTATCATACTTAATTATTATCAAACGTTTGGGAGACTGGTAATATATTTTGAGAATTATATAAGTTGATATCCTAATTTGAAATTAATATAATGTTCTTTTTCATATATTCGACTAAATCGGGTTGAAACGGGCTAAAACGATCCTACCATTAACCTTTCATCCATTTATTCTATTTGATACACGAGTTAAACCTAGTTGACAACCTTGTTGATAACTTTTAAAAATTACAAACGTGCCTCTCCCTTTAAAATCATCATTAAATTTGATAAACCAATTCATCATGAAAGTGAGGAAAATGAATTCTACCAAAAAAAAGTGAGGAAAATGAAAACTTCCTATTCATTAAGATTACTGTTAGCACCATATCAACAAATCAGGGTGTTAGTAGCCTAACCCTAATCCTCCCATCAACCAAAGATGTGAGTTTATTCCATAAATTCGTTATAGCTAGGATAAGCTTTTCCAAACAACCAAAACTACTGCTCTTTCGCTGTTATATGAAATTGCAGATCTCATACCTCATGAAACACTTCTCCAGCGTTATTTGACCGCCAGCCCTGTGGTTACGCCGACACCCACTCACCAGGCCGTTATGCGCGTCTATGAAACACGGCTCGCATATTTCATCGATCTTCTCGTTGTCGGTGCATATCCGCTGCCCATAAACCACCGGATGATAGTGATTGGCAGGGGCGGACGCACAGGTTATCGGGACACCCCCCTAAATTTTGGAAAAACGATTATCCAACTTCTGGTGGTAAATTACGTATGGACAAAAAAATTATAATTGATAGTCGGGGACACCACTAAAATTTGAAAAAATGATTATCCTACTCTCATTTTTTAGTTTGTTTATGAGAATATAAGTTGTAGTTTGAGTAATTCAAACCTAGGACATTATTATTATTATTATCAATAAAAACAATTTTCTTTTGACTACAACTCATTTGTTGTTCGATTTTAAACACTGTGTACTAATAAAATGTCATTCCCTATCTCTAATTATTTTCAAAACCTAACAATTAAATAAATTATTTTAAACAATGTTGTACGACAAGTGTTGAAAGAGTCTTTCAGCTTTGGGTTACATCAAGAACAAGTGTAAAAATCGAATATATGATCAGTTCATGAATGTAACTAGTAGGATATACAAAGACAATTTTTTTGAGCAGTGTAGACACCAAGTGTATTTTACAGTTATTTTCGAATATGAATACTGATCGTTGATTTTACAGTTTTTTTAACTCGTACTATTCAAGTATTTTCTTATATAAGAATTACTTATTTTTTTTAATTATTTAATAATTATTTTTATTTAATTTATTTATAAAAAAAAACACCCTGTATAAAATTCGTGGGTCCGCCACTGGAATGATTGGGAGAGTATAGGTTCACGTCGATAGTGTGCAGGAACTCGGAATCCATTTCGGGCAGCTCCTCGAGAACTAAATCAATGTCGGTGGCGAAACTGTCCCCCGCCGTGTACTCTTGATCAGTGCACCATACTGTCCCCACCGGCGGCTGCCCATCATCTCCGGTTACTGCTAATACAATACCCATCAACGTCAATCCCAGTTTTGCAAAACTCGCAGACTGTATCATCAGCTCGATATGTGTGTGTGTGTTTTTTTTAACTGTACGTGCTACAATACATATACAGTTGCATGCATCGACATCAATTTTTGTAGCACTGCTACCGTCGTTGAGCATGCATGCTGGTAATGCTGATATCACTGAACGGCTAGATGACGGCAAAAAATGGTGAAACGATCTTCTTGTCCTTTACAACCCAAAACTCCATTACATTCATGATCAGTCTTTGATGAATGAGAAAGATTTTGTATTCGAATTACAACCTCACTCGTTTGTTAAGAACGTGGTATTAATATATGTGCTAACGTCAATATACGTCAAGTATTAATATGCTAGTTAAATTATTATAGAATAAATTGAGTTGATTTGCAGCTCAATATAAAAAGGATTTCCCGATGATTTTCCGGTGACTTTTCCGGCAAGCCTCTGTACTCTAAAATTCAATTTGTATTATGTAAAAAAAAATTCAATTTGTATCATAAATGAATTTGTACTATGGTACAAGTTGGGTTTGTATTGTATAAGAATTTATACATATATATAGATACAAATTGAATTCGTATGATATAATATGATATATCCATTATAATATACGAGTTCAAGTTTATCCAAATTACTCTATAACGTCTCGATCTAAATTAGTTACATAAAGTTTATGTCATCCCACCTTCGAAACAAATAACTGAATAAATTAAACGATAAAAAGATGATGAGTTCACCCGTATACAAGAAATTGAAAGCTGAAATTAATTTGATTTCTATGAACTTCCATCTTGTCGGGCCACTAACCAACTTTTTTTTGACAAAGAGGGCTTCAACCACCTTCATTCCACAAGAACAACTAGAAACAAATCGTTTATCAGTTCTGACCTCATCTTAATGCCTCTATCGGTCGATCGTTCCCATTACGCAAACCTAGCTAATTCACCCATTAGGGCAGAGTAGTTAACAATCCCTTGTTTGTTTCCCTTTGGTTGCTCTCTTTACAGTGGAGCAGTTGGAGGAAGAGCTCTTGGTTACGTACACAGTTATCCGAAATTTCACAGCAGCAGCTAATGAAGACCAATCATATATGAACAACAGGAATTTTCCGCCATTGCATCATCATTCATTGATTCACTCGTCGTCTTCCTACAAGAACCCCATCATTGTGATCGATCTCAAGCAATAGGCAGAGCAGCATAATAGCAATCAACAATGGGAAGCCCATTTCTGGTGGAATTCAAGAGACAAGCCTCCTTCTACCTTAAGGAGAAGATCAAAACTGCTCGCCTGGCGCTTACCGATGTCACCACCGCACAAATGTAACACTTTTCACCTCAGCATCTTCTTTCCGCAATATGGGTATTGCAAAAAGCTTGCAGCTTTGATTGATTTTGCTCGATTCCTAAACTGGGTATTCTTTTCCTCTGTTTTTCCTTTACTGGGTCCTCTGCTTTTCTCTTTGCTGGGAGGATGAAGATTGACAGAAGAAGCTACAAGTGAAAACGTATGGCCGCCGGACACACGCAGCATGGGAGTGATTTCGAGAGCTGCTTTCGAGGTCGACGATTACTGGAGAATAGTGGAGATCGTACACAATAGGTATATATATGTAGTTTGATCAAATTCCAGAGTTGTTCATAATCTTTTTAGCATGTTGTTTGACGGTGAATTTCTATTGGTCAGGTTGATCAACTTCAACGAGGAAAGCTGGCGAGTTTCTTACAAGACCTTGCTTCTGTTAGAACACCTTCTCACACATGGACCCTTGAGAGTTGCTGAAGAGTTTGAAAGGCAGAGGCCTGCTATCAGGAGGATTGGGTCTTCTTTCTCGTTCGTTGAGGAAAAAGGGTTAGTCAAACAATCAGAACTAGAAAGTTAAAAACCATTAATCAGGATAATCAAATAAGTGGAGATGTTAGGGTTTCATTATCTTTAAACTCTCTGATTTTTTACCCTTTCTGGTGGCATGCAGTTTCAACAGGGGTTTGAGTGTGGCGAACCTGTCCTTGAAGGTGATAAAGCTAATCGAAGACTGCGAGTTTCTCATGGGAGAAAGGACACGACAGCGAAAATTAACGCGAGGGATTCAAGGATTCGGAAGAAGCTTCAACGATGAACAACAACAGTCTACATCATCGTCATCAGATGCAGAGGATGACAGTCGGAGCAGGATGTCCCGGCGGAATTCCAGCTATGATCTATCCAAAGAAAGAGCTCATTCTCCTGCAGAACATTCATTCGACGATTTAGATTCAGACGACTGCAGCCAGAGCCAGAGTTCTGATTCCACTGGCGGCGGGATAGTACTAAAGGCAATAACCAGCTGGAATTCAAGCTGCGATCTTCTAAAACTAAGGGTCCATTCCTACACCGAACTTCCAGACGATGAGCCAGAGGCGTAATATGAAGAACACGAGGGTTCTTCCACTATTGAAGCCGATCACCTATTACTAAAATGTGATCATCCAGCCAGAGTTTCTGTTTCTTCTCTATAAGTAGTGAATGTTTTTCTTCAAACACACAAATCCGTTTTGTGTGGTATGTAAAGGCCTATGCATTAATTCATTTTGATGCTTATATTTTGAGAACATGTAAATGCAAACGAAGAGAATAAACAGAGCAAAGGGTTTTACAAGCGCAAAATGGGAGAAAATTGCATTCTAATATTCAGAAGAAACTTCTCAACATAGTAAAATAAAGCAATTTGCACCTTTTTTTTTTTTTGGCTATCTCGATTTGTGACCTCTTTCTCAAAATCATCACTCCAAACACCTGAGCGTAAACATAGAAGAAGGATAACAGAGCTAGAACAGGAGGGGAAAAGGGTTGCAATATCGTCCTCTTGCAAACATTGCAAAACAGGTGATGTACTTCCTTTGTTCTTCCATAGGCTGGTTTTCCCCTTCCTGAAACCGAACACGGCTTAGAAGCACTTCCTGTGAACAATTGATGGTCCAGACTCGTCGTACTCTGCCTTCGCAATCCACATCTGAGCACAGAAGAGGAACATGAGTGCTTTGGACAAACAGGAAGTCGGAGAAAACAATCTATTTGCATAACTAAATTCGGATTTACGTAATGATGACAGACCTGCTGGAAAGTGCTGAGGGAAGCCAGGATGGAACCACCAATCCAGACACTGTACTTCCTTTCCGGCGGTGCAACCACCTTGATCTTCATGCTGCTTGGTGCAAGTGCAGAGATCTCCTTGCTCATTCTGTCAGCAATACCAGGGAACATAGTGGACCCACCACTGAGCACAATGTTTCCGTACAAGTCCTTCCTAATATCCACATCGCACTTCATGATGGAGTTGTAGGTGGTCTCGTGGATCCCTGCAGCTTCCATTCCTATCATGGATGGTTGGAAGAGGACTTCAGGGCACCTGAAGCGCTCAGCACCAATGGTGATAACCTGTCCATCTGGCAACTCATAGCTCTTTTCAACAGATGAGCTGGTTTTGGAGGTCTCCATTTCCTGCTCAAAGTCGAGAGCTATGTATGCTAGTTTCTCCTTCATGTCCCTTACTATTTCCCGTTCTGCTGTAGTGGTGAAGGAATAGCCACGCTCGGTTAGGATCTTCATCAGGGCATCAGTGAGATCACGGCCAGCAAGGTCGAGACGAAGGATGGCGTGAGGAAGGGCATAACCCTCGTAGATTGGGACTGTGTGGCTGACACCATCACCAGAATCTAGCACAATACCTACATAGAACCACAGACAAACACACTTCTTAGAACAACTGTTCACCCACAATCTCATTCATTAATAGAACCTTAAAACCACACTGATAGACTTCATTAAGCTAAGATATACCAGCTTACCTGTTGTACGACCACTGGCATACAGGGACAGGACCGCCTGAATGGCAACATACATGGCAGGGGTGTTGAAGGTCTCGAACATGATCTGGGTCATCTTCTCACGATTGGCCTTGGGATTCAGAGGAGCCTCAGTGAGAAGAACTGGGTGCTCTTCTGGGGCAACACGGAGCTCATTGTAGAAGGTGTGATGCCAAATCTTTTCCATATCATCCCAATTGCTCACAATACCGTGCTCAATTGGGTATTTCAAAGTCAGAATACCTCTCTTTGACTGGGCTTCATCACCCACATAGGCATCTTTCTGACCCATGCCGACCATCACACCAGTGTGACGGGGACGACCAACAATACTGGGGAACACAGCACGAGGTGCATCATCTCCCGCGAATCCAGCCTAAGAAAACCAGAATCAGCTCTCACATGCCGCACAAAATAAATGAAGAATAGTAAAGCTAAGAAAGCATTGAATTAATTCATCTTTCCCGTGTAAAGCAACTGTCTTTTGTTGAAATGTACATTCCAACGAAGAACTCTCGTTCTTGACAAGGAAATCATGACAATGGGCAATTCAATAATTAACTTTGAACAGTACACCCAAAAAATGCTTCTTCACTAACAAATTATCAGTAGTTGAAAGTTGAAACTGATCTTCCAAACGAATTGAAAGCTGATAAAGAAAACAAAGCCCAACTACCAACCTTGACCATTCCGGTTCCATTATCGCAGACGAGGGGCTGGATATCCTCGGATTCTGCCATCTTCTACTGTGTGCAATTTAAGCTTTTATCAGCACATACAGCTCAAACATTGTTCCACTGGTAGTAATATAGCGCAAATAACTTCAAAAAGACGCAAACATTATCCCAGTCGTTTGGAGAAGATCAAATTGGCACATAGCATCATCAATGCAGGTCGACAAAGAACAGAATAGAAAGGAATACAGCGCCTGCAATCACTTTCACATAAATGCATGGTGGCCTCATGCCAATTGGCAGCATCTTATCTTCAATTATCAACCACCATCCATTAAAATTTGCCACAGCAAACGTCGAGAAACTACATTAACAAGGATAAGCAACCTAGAAGGACCCAAATCATAAAATCAAAAGAAGACAGACCACAAAGCGATAGTTCCTAAGGAACCAATGAATGAATGAACTCATCAAACGCAAATGAAAATGAACATCATTGACTTCGATCAACATTTTTTTCTTTGATAATTCAGATCCAACCATTGCACAATCGCAAACCCCACACCATTTGATTCGCTCCAAATAAGCAAAAGGCCCCCCGAAAAGGAAGTATTAATATTAGCAGAGACAGAGCTAGAAGATCTATCAAAACGTTCTGAAAATACGACAATGGCCACCAAACCACAGATCTTCCCCAATCCCCATCCCGAAATTCAGGTAAACAGAAACGGAGCTTCTCAAATCACTATCAATCAACAGATCCGCCATTCCGATAACTCGCAGGGATCAACATAAAACGATGCAGAGAGAGACAATCGAGAAGAATGGAGACCTTACGATGGAAGGAGAAAGAAGGGTACGGTAGAGAGAGAGAGAGAGAGAGCGCGCGAATGAGGAAACGGGGGTTGGAGATGGAAGCAGAAGAGAAGAAGCAGAGCAGGCAGTGAGGGATGATGGAGGGAGGAAAACGAAAACACCTTTTCTTTTTTTCTTCTTTTTCGAATGCTAAAACAAATTGGGGATTATAATGAAGGCCGAGATGGGATGTGGGCCGTTGGATTAAATGTGGCATTTTTTTTATTTTTAGAATTTAGAAGTGATTTTTTATTTTATTTTCTATTTTTTTCCTATTTATCATTTCTGTGGGTACGGGTTACTGAGAGGAACGGGTCGCGGGCTTGTCCTTCCGTTCCCATTTTGCTATGTTTTCTGAGGCTGTCAGGGCTCCATGGATCCACGGGTCCGCCCGGTTTTCCAGTCTCTTCTTTCCTTCTTCTATTTCTCTAGTTTACTTCGCCGCTGCGTTTATGGGATTTTTGTTTTGTCGTTTTGATATGGAAGAGACTGCGGTCAACTATGGCAACAAAACCCGAACCCATGGGTACCCACCCGACCCAACCCGGTCAACGCGGGTAAAATCCGTGTTGACGGGTTTTGGGCCGGGTTTGGGTTTAAACCCGTTCACTATTCACCGGGTTGGGTTGGGTTTGGGTTTAGGTAAACCCGGCCCGTGGGTACCCGCCCACTCATATAATTAATTTTTTCGATATATTTAATATTCTAAACAACTATTCTTATTTATGTTTGTGGAGACATGTCTAATTTTTTCTTTTTAATTGTGTAGAATGAAGTTGATGTTATGGAGTGGAGACTAAAGAAACTTAATTGAAAGAAAGAAGCTTTCAATTAAACATGTTATTTATGGATAATTTGTGATTTGCTTCAATTTTCATGAGTTTTCTAGATTGGTGTTGAACAATTTGTATAGTTAATTTGTGATTTGCTTGAATTTTCTAGAATGGTGTTTTATATATGGATAATTTATATTGAGAGATTGATATTTGACTTTAATTTTGATAAGAACTTGTAATTGTAAATTTTTTACAACAAAACCCGTGGGTACCCATGAACCCGCGGATACCCAACGGGTTGGGTTGGGTTTGAGTTTTTCAAACCCGGTGGGTTTTACCCCGGTTTTTTTTCAAAGATAAACTCATGGGTTTGGGTTTGGGTTTGGCAAAACCCGACCCAACCCGACCCATTGCCATCCCTAACTGCGGTCGAATCTGATCACTATATATTTTCCATACTGTGATTTTAAGTCGTTTGAAAAATAAAACTAGAGAACAAAATAGATGATTCTAGAACGATGGAGATTGGAGAATAAGCAAAATTGATTGGGCTGAAATAAATAGGAGTAAATGGGTAAAATATTGAATTTATTTAGGAATTTTCTTTTCTCGATTTATTATCTGTTTAATATATTTTGAAAAGAGAATATTCAGCTCGTAGCAGCCCACACACACAGCTAGAAAGCCAAGTCACTGGCCCAAATTTTGAATCTTGTCCATGGCCAACCCAATGGCTGGCCCATTTCACAGCTTTATCGCTAATCTTTTTTCAGGATCTCGTGGCAAGTTTTGCTGTCATGGTAGCTTTTTTAGGCAGTCATTTGGAGAAAAAAAAAAATCATAAGCATGTGATTTGGGAGGGAAAAAGGTTGTAAAACAGTGGCAATCATGATCTCAAGCAGTGTGGATGTGCTTTTGAGCTTCCCCTGCCTCGACCATCATTTGATTCCACCATATCCATCGTTATCATTGCCCCCTCGTTTCTACGTCCCTACCACTTGCATTAATAAGTTAAGCCAACTCTTTATCATGTTGCAGTCGTCAGAAAAATGGTATGTCTATGTAGATTAATCGCCATTTTTACTCGACATGGTTTCCTTTACTGGTAAAGTAATCATTCAGATCATGACTGTTGTAAAGTGTGTTCTTAATTTGGCCTTGCAGGAGGATGAAATGGCTATCAATACTGACTCTAGATTTCTTGTAAGTCAAGCCTACGAAATTCCGAACGTGTATCAGTGTATGAGTTGGTGATCATTGTATGAAGGGAATATATTTGCGTATAAACATAACAAATTTGCCCGTTTGTCTCAAAACGAGATTGTTTCGTTAAAATTTCTTGGCAAAATACACTTCTATATCCATAACTTTCATGTTTGTGACAAATATATCCATAACTATTGAAATACACGAAATACCCAAAAAATTGTACTATCGTGTGACAAATCTATCCATTTCCGTTACAAACTATAACGCCGTTTGTTACGGCGTCAGTAAATAGGACGGAATAGTGAGTAGGACCATAATCTTCTGCCACCTAAGATACAGGTCAGCAAAGGGAACCACGTGGACGCCATGTCAGAAAATTTCCCCCCTTATACCCTACACCGTCGAGAAAAAAATTTCCCACCCACCCCCTTTTCTCAAACTCGATTTACGATTTAGGGTTCCATCGGCTGCGCTGGAGAAGAGCTCGCCCGCCGCCGATCCAACGGTTCCCTCCGACAGCAGCCTCACCGCGCCCCTTGCCGCGTCCCTGGCGGCGCCTCCACGCTACGATCTAGGGTTTCACATTCACATTTCTAATCCCTGTTCGAATCTGCTCTGTCGCTTTCCAACCTTTAAAGCAAGCTTCGACAATTGAAAGCCACAACACAATAAACCAAATAAGAACCTTTTGCCCACAATTGAAAGCCACGACCCAAGTAATTGAAGGGTACCCAGTGCTCACCAGCTTCCAAAACCGAAGAGAAAAGAAATCGATTGATGGTTGCGATTAGGGTTTTCGGAAAAAACCCTTTCTCGGCGGTCCTAGGCTTCGACGGTGCCTTTGCCATGAACAGAACGCTTGGGTTTCGTCGGGAAACAGCCGTCGTCAGTCTATTACCTCGGAAGATGCATGCACGACAACATATAGCAAAGGCGGCGACGGCGGGGGATGGAACGAAATAGGGGGGGGGGGGGGGGATCGACCGTCGTGGTCGGAGGGAAGAAAGGGAAGAAAGGGAGATGAAGGGGCGAAGGGAAATTTGGGGATACCTCGTTGACCTTCGAAACTGGCGGGGGATGATCCTCGTCGACCGTCGTGGTCGGAGGGAAGAAAGGGAAGAAAGGGAGATGAAGGGGCGAAGGGAAATTTTGGAGAAGAAAGTGAATCAGTGGGGATTAGTGGGGGTGCAAAACGCAATATCGTTTTTCCTCGTTTTTTTTTCCACGTGGATTAGTGGGGATGCTAAAATGCCAACTCAGCCTTCCCGTCAGTACAGTCACCCAGTTACTTCACACCGTTAAATGGAAGATCGAAATTGGGTATTTCGTGTATTTCAATAGTTATGGATATATTTGTCACAAACGTGAAAGTTATGGATATAGAAGTGTATTTTGCCAAATTTCTTATCCAAACCACCCAAAAAGAAATGAGATGAACTCGGATGTGAGCCTAACATACCCTGCTTTATAACTTTAGAGAGTACAACAAGAATTCATAGCCCAGAAGAGACTCAACACCACACTCCACAGCAAAGATCATTAAGACAACAAATGTTTCAGTCTAAACTATCTCAACACAACCAGGAAAACGGGGATAAATAAAACGTTAACCAAGAGTTTGATCGTAGAAAGCTCGCCAAGGAGGATTGGATAATCCCACCCTGCTTCCAACAATCAATTTCTATAGCGGAAAGCCCCAATTTCATAAGTGAGATGATTGGGAAAACCAGGACCTTCCATCTGCAACCCCGTAGAGAATGATCCACCAAGACACGGAATAAGAGTGTTCTGAGTATCAAGGAAGCATTTCTGAAGAAACCAACAGGAGAGGGGAGTAGAGAAGCAATTCGGCTCTACAGGAATGGAGGTAGTATGATCCATCGGCGTGGGTACTTAGGTCGTCCATCCTTCCCATCAAACAGCTGCAAGAATCAAATATTCACATTCATAAGGGTGTTCATGGAGTTATTCTTGCTATGTAACTACTCAACATCACAGGCAAGAAAGCTAGCTAGTAGCTTAATGAGAGCAATTTTTGGTAATCTCTTACCTTCTTCAACCTGCGGTGCTTAGCAAGAGCCCAGTTGGTCATGATGGAAGCAGCAACCACAAGGAACAGATAGCCTGCAACGGTCTGAGTTGCAATGTTGAAACCCAACCACTGATAAATCTCCGTTGCATAATTTGCACAGGTGACGATATTGAATAGAAACCCACGTGGGATTTGGTAGCCACCGCTTCCATCAGGACTGCGCAGGTTGCTCAGCAAGATGTGGCAGTACAAGTTCGAGACTTGGCAAAGTGCACCAAAGGCGAAGCCAATCTTCATTTGAAGGTCACTAACAGGAGTGTAGAGCGGGTGATTCATGTAATAGGCAATGTAGCAGCCGAAAGTCCAATAGTACGCACAATTACGGAACACGTTGGATAGAGGCGATGTGGCGTGGCTAAACCGGTGCACAAAAAATGTCTCCATAATACGCTTGAAGTAGTGGAAGCACCAGTAGTACAGAGCATATGTCTGAACCGGGTGGATAACACGCTCGGACCCCTTGTAGCCGAGGAATTCATAGACATTGAAGTAATAGAAGACGGGGTAGAGTAGCAAAGGTCCAACGTACTCGAAGAAGAAGAGTGTACGGTAGGAGACTTGAGGACCCAAGTCCTTGAAAACAATGGTCAAGCTGTCTGAGTTCCCATCAGTGTATTCCTTAAGGCTCTTCTTTGCGCTGAGGACGGTTGGCTTCTCTTTCGAACCAGATGGCACGGGAAGAGTAAGCCGCTGTCTTGATGGATAGAATTTCTTAGCTGTATCATGAATAACAACACAGATCAGGTTATCTACCTAACTATAAGCACTCTCCGTAAATATCTTCATAGAAGATTAAGAGAAGGCCACAATTGAGCAATATGACCATAAAGTACCAAGGATGAGAGGAACAACAAAACCATTTCCGTCAACATACATCCCCACCGAGAACTGGTCTAGTGAGATCTTCAGCATGAGTGCAGTAAGTAAACTTGAAACTTAGAAAGGCTACTACAACAGCTCAAGTTCCAGCAAGGCAACAACGATTGACTAAACAATTCAGTAGATTTTGCTCCACAGCTCCACAGCCTATAGAAGACTAACCCTCTATGAGATTTGCCCAACAATATCAAGTTCAGCAGTTAGGAAAAGAGCAGCTAGGTTCTGGACACAGTAAGCATGGAGAGGTAACTAACAAGAACTCAACTAAAACAATGACATAAGGAAACAGTAGAAAGGAACCTATGACAATCACAAGTTCCACCCAAATCTAAACTAAACCGGGAGTTTCCGTCCACTTACTTCGTTTATGGATTGCCTCTTGCAGATCGGCCACCGTAGCCTGCAAAAGAGAGAGGGACCAAAGAAGAAACCCACCAAAACAATAATCATTAAGTTCATAACCCAGAAGGGGAAAATCAAAAGGAAAAAGGAAAGCCCCGCAAAGTTGGAAGTCGTCTTTTTCTATCGGTACAGTGAACCAGACCCACATAGATATACAATTGAACTCCTTTTCCGTCCACAGTCTTGTCTACCCATTTCGGAGAAAAGAACTGAGAAGCAAAGCGGGAACTGAAGTAGAAGCACAAGTTAGAAGGAAGGAAGTACCGAATCGCTGAGGTCGAGGCCTCCTTTGATGACCTCTCTGCCACTGCGAGAAACCACTGTGACCTTCATTCCGTCCTACCAAAGAGTCTCCCCAATTCCTGGACCGCGAAGAATTCTCTTCCCCCTTGAGATTGGGTTATGAAGGGAGAGTGCAAGAAGGAGGAGAAAGAGGCAACGTGGTGGAAGATGGGGGAGATGGGTAACGAGATCTCAGAGAGAGAGGCAGCGGGAGAAGTGTGGAGGAGTAATAAAAGAGTAGTCGGTTGGGGGTTTGAAGGAAGACGGGCGATACAATAAAGGCGGGGAGGGTGTGCGGTGTAATGTGGGGGATATGGTTGGTTGGAGAGGTAGGACTTAGGAGAGCTAATTACAGGGAGATAGATTTGGTATTGTTTGTTCTTGTTCATCAACGCCCTACGCCACACCAGATTGCCACCCAACTCCACATCTCTTGTTTTGAAAGTGTGTGAACCTTCGTAATCTACTTGTTTATTTGTACACCAAAATAGATCAAAGAATCCTATAAAGTAATGGGCATGCAAAACAAGTAGAATCAAGGTTGTCAACCCATGGGTTGACCCGCGGGTCGACCCAGTTTAACCCCGATCCGATGAGAAAAACGGGCGCACGTACCCGCCGGGCCGACCGCTATAAGGTACCGGGTTGGAGGTCAAATTGTGTCATTTTTTCCTTTGATTTGCGAAATGCGCCTATTTTCCGATTTTTCTTTTCGCCCAACTCAAACTTTGGAATCCTAAGTTGAACATTTGAATATTTATGTTATATAAGTGTGTGTGAATTTTCATTATATGTTGGATCTAAGTACGATATGTTATTTTGGTGTAATATTATATGTTATAACTCATATGTTAGATAAGATTTGATATAATTTATGAGGATAAGTACAATATAATGACTTTTTCCATATTTTCGGGTCAAACCGGGCTAAAACGGTTGACCCATTAACCCTTGACCCACTAGCTCGACCGGGTCCGGGTCAACTCGCGGGTTGACAACCTTGAGTAGAATTCAATATCATGAGGTGATTTTATAATTCATAGGAATCAAGACTTTCAGAAAATAATCTCACATGTCTAGACCCAACTAGGATTAAGCAAATCTCATATCTTCCCAAACTTCAGTCTTTTGCGTGCATATTCACTGACCGGCATCTCTTGTAAAGGAAAAGGTAGCTGAAATAGAGTTGAGTTGGCCACCCTACTTCCTCTTGGAGGATGATACAGAAAAAATGGTGGAAAAGTAGCCGATTACATAAACACAAGCGACCAAACCAAGTCCATTCCACAGAAAACTGAAAAAGACGGCGAACCTCCACAAGAAGGCATCACAATAAACCCTCAATTCGACAGCTGAAATCAGAATCGGCAGGTATGGATTCTCCGGCAGCCAAGACGCCGATACTAACATCTCTAAGCAGGTAGAGCAGATGCCAACAGGAGCTCTTGCCTCCAATTAGGGATGGCAATTTCGACCTGACCCGATTTACCCGACCTATTTGACCTGTTTTGGGGCGGGGCGGGCATAGGTACCTCTCATCGACCCGACCTGCCTGACCCGCCCCATTCTTGACCCGTTCTTGCCTAAATTACGTATAATATTAGTCAAATTACTTAAGATTTTCCTCTTATTACATTATATTTTAGCTATAATAAAGTTGTAAATAAGTGAAAACCTCAATTTCTTCAATAATTTAACTACATTTTATCATATTACAGTTTCTTTCTTGATTTTTCAATGAAAAGAATGAATATTTCTAATGTTTTTCACATGAATTACATACCCAATGGATCGACCTGCCCCGACCCGCGCCCCGTGATAAATTACCCGACCTGGACCCGACCTGCCATGGGGCGGGTATGGGTATCGAGATACCCGCCCCGGACCTGCCCCATTGCCATTCCTACCTCCAACTCGTTCTGTTTGATAGACAAGTCAATCAAGAAATGGACATTCAAATATAGACAGTTGATGTGTTACACTAATCAGTGATACATAATGAACGACAACAATTGGCAATTGCTTTCTCAAGCTTGGGAGTTAGATGTCCACTCCCAACCAACAGAAAGTTTGCATATGCGCCTGGACCTCACAAGTCTGCGGAGATCTCTGATTACCAGAAGCAGCTGAAATATGATATATGGAACTATTCCAGTCACCATGATGGGGCATATTCATCGACGATGTCACATATCCATCCTTGCCTAATCTCCCCCGTTTGTCCAAGATTCGCATCAGCAAAATCTCCCTCAAGTAGCAGAGCAGCATATTACAGAAAACCAAAGCCAACTCAAGATTCATCACAAATCAATTTGTAAGGTTCAGCTATGTCCTGTTTGGATTCGATAGACAGAAGGACCCCTGAAATAAAGGAGAGAAATGGCTGATCACCCAACTGCATGTATAATCTTAACCATAGAAAGCTACAGAATTAATTACACGAAAAAAGTTATATAAACGAAAGCTACAGAAGGATGCTGCAAGAAAGTATTCTACATAGAGAATTGGATGCAACAACTCAAAAGAATAACACAGGGCAACCATTCTGAACCACTTAAGAGACAACGAAATGCATGTAACGAGAGCTATCCTAATTCCTAACCTTTTAACCTATTCGCAGTGCAAAGAAAACAAACTGTGACCAAGACTAGGACAAGCTGCTTCTAAAGTTACCCTTCAATCAACTTCTGATTCATCCATCAAACAGCTTAACAGAATACAGGAAGATCAACACACACCATCATTCAATCCTAAACAGCAACAGATAAAGACGAATATATAGGTAAAGTAAGGGTTCTCACATACTCATCACGCAAGTTTGCATATATCCTCGTATTCTACAGCTTTAAGCACTCTGCCATCATAAATCCCCTTCTCTATCTGCACCTTGGCGCAAAAGTTGTCTGTATCCACTCCGAAAAGCCTCGCATTGGACCCTCTATACGCTCCATTCACTATCTTCACCAAACCTCCAACCTGTGGAATCACAGTCTCGAGTTCAACCTGATCAATCCTCAGCCGATGCTTGCTCTCAAGCATTTCAATTTCCCCAACATACTTATCAATCACCTTCCGAACAACTCCTTTCTGTTTATAATACCCTTTCTCCGCCAACGACTTACTCATAACCTTCACAATGATCCCTTCATATAGCCAGTAGTCCTTCCTGTTCTTCTTCTCTTTCACATTCTCTTCCTCTCTCATCAGTTCCTCTAACGCAGATTTCCCAACTCTACCAACATTACCGTTGCTTCCTTTACTTCTCGAGTTCTTCCCCTCTCTTTCCTCCTCTACCTCCTCAAAAACCAATCTTGAGCTTGAACTCTCACCCTTATCCTTCACACCATTGTTACCCTTCGAGCCCAATTGAAATCCAATCTTGACTCCATCAGCATCAAGCTTCAATTCCTTAGCCGGCGGCTCTACTGCACCCTCTTCAATACCATTACCCTCCCCATCGCCGGCTTTACCTGTCAGCAACAACTCCGCCTTCTCAATTTGCTTCTGAATTTCCCTCTCCTGCCTCTCTTCATCCACCATATCAGCCCTAAGTCTCTTGTTCTTCATCTTCTCCTTAAACATCGTCTCGGAATCCCGATCGATATAGGTGATGAACCAACCCTTGGGGGTCTCATCCACCTTGCACTTCCCCGTCCGTCCCAAATACTTTATGAACTCCGTCAGCGTCGCCCACTCGGTAGAATTCATGTGGACGTGGTGGCGGTCGTGGATGTACTCGTTGTAGACGACGGTGGCGGCGATGCGGGAGAAGCGGTGGCTCCGCCTCATGAGGTCGAGGAACCCGTTCTCGAACTCCTCCGAGTAGCCCTCGACGACGCGGTGAGGGTTTTGGCCGAAGATCTGCATCTGGCGCTGGTGGCTCTCGCTCATACAGTGGCACTTGAACCCGTTCTCGTCCCTGCACTGCTTCTGGCACATCTGGCAGTACCATCGGAGCTTCTGCAGGCCTTTCGCCTTGATCCGATTGGCGATCGCCTTCGGCGTGAGAAAGTCGTTCTTCGGCATCGCCTCCGGGGATAGATCGAGAGAGGGTTAGGGATTTTACACCGCCGCTGACCGGAGGAAGAGAGGGATTTGTTTTGTCGATCGGATTTCTTCTGGTATCTTCCGATTTTGGCCGTGGTTGCGGCTTTTCGAGGATGGAGAAGCTCGACAAAGGGTTATCAATTAGAAACGTCGAATGATGCCGCGTCGATGACGGTGGCTTATTTGGGCTTCTATGTTTTCTCCATTGTTTGGGCTTCTATTTATGTCGGGCTTATTTGTTGGCTAGACATGTCCTGGGCCCAGCACTATGTCGATTATTCCTGGGCTGGCAGTTTCTCAACGAATAAACTGTTTTTTTTTTTTTCTCCTTTTTCGGGTAAGGGCAGAGCGGTGGTTGATAGGGATGGCAAAAGAGACCCAACCCATGGGCATTCCCCAAACCCAAAACGTATTGGGTCAAATCAGGTCTGGGTTTTTTTAAGTTTGGAACAAACTCATACCCAACCAAATAATTTGGGTCCATATTAAACCCACACAATTGAATAAAAAATTAAAAGTAAATCACAAACAGACCCAAATTGGTCTCTTCGTTTTCCATCGGCCTCCGTAGTTCGAGTTTATCCGGTTCTCCCTCTCCGCCACCATCCGCTCTTCACCCCGCTTCTCCGGCGCCGGCTCCCAAATCGCCAGAACCCATCTCCTCTCTCTCTCATTCTCGCTCGTTTCTCTCTCTCGGTGTTCGCCGTCTCTCCGGAACCCAGTTACCTCTTTTCCCTCCGACCAGAGGCAGAATCACCATTAACAGATCCGCCGTGGAGCACACTGCAGAGCCAAGTAACTAATTAAATCATCTCCGATTTCTTTTTCTGGCTGGGAACTTACAGCACGGTGGGGGAAGCCACCCTGGCTCACAACGACGCCACCTAGCGGATCCGCGGCGACAAGGCCAAGCTCAAATTTTCGTACATCTCCGCCACCTCAAATTTCCCTCCGTCGCAGCCAGGAGCCGAGGGCGGAGAAGCAGCAGCAGCAGCATCTTCCGATTATCAACCGCCAGCCAAGAAGCGGTGCATCGTCGTCGGATCCGAACCTGCTCTTCATCATCTGCCGGCGGCGCAACCGAATCTGGGATTCGGACTCGATGACAATGAGTCGCAGCAGATGGTACCGGTTGTGGGTAGGCCGTAAGAGCTGGAGAATAAAATCTCGAGCCTGGAGTCGTTCCTGGGGCTGGAGCCGGAGGCGGCAGCGGGTATCCCGCCGATCATCGGGGGTGGCGGCGAACAAGACCTATGATGCTGGGCCTTGATGACCTATGAACCAGTAACAGTGTATGAGTTTTTCCTTCTTTCACACATTTGGGCCCAACTAAAACCCATTTGGGTAAACCCAAATTAACCTAATATAAATTCAACTCGACCCAAAAATATAATAATTTATTTAGGTCCATTTGGGTACAGACCCATTACCCATATGGGTCATGACAAATGGGTCAAAATACCCAATGGGTTAACCCATTGACATCCCTAGTGGTTGATTAATTTGTCAGAGTTTTAGAGGTTTAATTTTTGTTCATGAGGATAGAGCTGATCCTACCTTCCGTCGTTTATTTTTTTGCACCATCATTTTAGGTGGGGAGTTAATTATTGGTGTTGGATGGATGCTTGTAATACACACGAAAAGAATGGATGATGGATTAAGAATGTGATGAGATGACGAGCACAAGTTGAAAAATATTCTACGTTATAACAGAATATTCACGCCAACAACAGGTAGGAATAAGCGAATCGGATGAATCAAATTGATTTTGTCATTTTTAGTTATGAATCTTATATCATTCTCTTACATGTTCAATGAAACGAAAATCAGCTCACGAATTTGAAATTTGTGATTTACACAGATCCACCATATGATCATTTGCTTAAATCAACTAATAATATCAGATGAATGAGGTTTAAACGCACAAACTATTTAATCAAGCCGATTCTAATAACATGTCATATCACCAACTAGCTACCATAAGTCCGAGTATTAATTTAACTTGTATCGGACTAGAATCATTTCCTAACAACATTCAAAGTCAATAATTGCGCCGAGTTAGTGGAGGAATAATGCTCGTCAATTGTCAATTCCCACTCCCAAAGTCGTCCCATTCTCCTCGGACCCAAAAAGAAAACAAAGAGATCCAAATACCCCATCCTCATTGCCAATTTCTCCATAGAAAAACCACTAACTACTTGCACCAATTTAGTAATACACTAATACACACAACGCGTAACCCCCGAAATCTCATTTACATAAATCCATATACCATCCCTTGGAAACCACACAACAATTAATTATGTTACAGTATACATTAATCAACCCCATAACAACTGTTTAATCAAATAAAAAAACAAATAGATAGTTTACTCCACTCGCGTTACAGGTATGCAATTGACTAATTTCAGAAATTAATTATCTCAATATCTCTTGGGCAAGGCGTAAGAGGACATCACGGATAATATCGCGGTGCAGACGAACCCGAGGAGGAGCAGACTCGCCGAAGCGTAACCCTTGTTGAAAAACTTGTCGACGTTCCCAACTCCGGCGAACAACGGCTTCATATCCCTCGTCGCGCCGAACGCCGCCGCCGAACCCGTCGCCAGTATGTACGAAATCACCTTATCGCCGTAGAAGTCAAAGGTGAGACTTCCGTCCCTCCCGGTGGCGATAGAACACAGCGCGAAGCCGATTTGCAGCATCGTGTACGCCATCCCAACCACCGTCGCCCCCAGCATATATCTAACAACACAAATCAATGAATCAATCAGAACAAATAATACAAAAAAATTGATTTAAGAATTAATGAATTCTTGAGAGAAATTGTTTCTATGTAGATGTATACCGGTAAGTGTAGATGTCCTTGAAGTGGACGGTGATGCCGGTGAGGGTAGGTCCGGCGGCGGAGAAGTTGGTGATGACTTGCAGCGTGGCGGTGTTGGTGGTTAGGATCACCAGGGATATCAGTAGGCAGGCTAACGTCAGCAGCCGGAGGATTAGAGCCGCCTTCCGGGAGCCCCGCGATGAGGACGAGTGGGCCGCCATGGCGGTGGCTGGCGCGACGGCGGCGGAGGAATGATTGTATGATTCGTATGAAAATGCTCCTGCCATTTTGTCTCTGTTTTTTCTTCTTCTTTTCCGATCTGGAAAACAAGAGGCGAGAGGTTTATGTCTATGAAAATGAGAGTCCACTCCCTATTTAACTAACTTTTCGCCAAACTTAATAAATGCATAATTACTAATAGGTCCAATAAGTTTTAAGTTGTGCAATTCGGTCCATATACTCTAGACATTAGGATTGTTGACACTCAAGGTAGGGTGTGTAAGAGATAATATTTGGAAGTTAAGGGCTAAAACTACAATTTCTTCAAGACTGAGGATTCCTCATAATTTATTCTATTTTCTTTGTCGAAATAATTTAGTTTAATCAGTGGTTTTAAATGAGTAATTTTTAATTAAGTTAAATAAATACTACTCAAGGAACTTGCATTTTACGGGAGATTGGTGGGATGTCGATGTCGCATAATATGTCAAATCTTCTAGGCTGGTATGAGGTTGACTTTGACTTCAACAACAATTTTGGGTGGCCCAATGTTCACGGGCCGGGAAATGGGTCAGCCGCGCGTTTCTCTGGGCTAGAAAAACATGGGCCTGGCTCGGAAGAGAGAGCAGTAACTAACTCCACGTGTCACCTTGTCGTACTCGCATGAGAGAGAAAACTTCTCCCCCAAGGTCTGTGCTGCAAAAGCAAAACCCCTGCATTTGTGGCAGAGCTAAAAACCCTGCAACACTACCAGGCTACCTCCCAGTCTCATAATTGCGAAAAAACGAAGAAAAAGAGGAAACAGGAGAAGTTCGGGAAGAAAGATTGGTTCAAGATTTTGAGAAATGGCGAGCAATCTGGACATGACTCTCGACGACATTGTCCGCCAGAACAGAGGCAGAGGAAAAGGCCGCTTCGCTGGTTTCGGAAGCAGAGGAAACGGAGCAGGTAGAAGCAGAGGCGGCGGGGGAAGTGAAGGAGGACGGCCGTTTCGTTTCGGTGAAGGACCCGGTCCGGAGCGACGGTTCGGTGGCCGTGGCATTTACAGGCCTAGCCCTTACGTACTGCCGCACGTACCGGCGGCGAGGGGGAGTTTCTTCGGGAAGGTATCGTGAAGGATAAATTACAGATTAGTGATAGATTAGGTTTTGGGGTTTTGGGTTTTGATTAACTAGCTAAGTTTTGATATCGAGATTTCTGCAGGCTTCCATGGAACTGGTGGAGCCAACGCGTGTCCCAGCTGGGCCTGATGGAAGACGAGAAGGCACGAGGCTCTACTTGTCCAATCTGGATTATGGGGTTACTAATCAGGACATCAAGGTATCACACTGCGTTTCTTGGTTCCCTCTTTGCCCTTTTGGTGGATTCCACTTATGAGTTATGAGCTTCTTTTCATTACTGCCAAAGATTGGTTGTGAGGTTCTGATACACGAAGATTTTGTTAATCTTGGGGATTATTGGAGATAATTGAAGCTTCTGAGCTCCTTGTTTTACCATTCCTGTGATGCATCATTTCTGTGACTTATCGCATAATTACTGGTACCATCGTGGGGTTTGTGCTGTACGAAGACCATTCTTGCTTGACTGTTCTTGCTGTTCTGTCATGTGACTTAGTAATTTATGGGTTTGGAACCATTTTTTATGCATTGCAGGTGCTTTTCTCTGATGTTGGGGAGTTGAAACGTTACTCAATTCACTATGACAAGAGTGGAAGATCTAAGGTAACCTTCCTCCTTTCGTACCCCAGGCCTAGTCAGTGAGTGACTAAGTAACTCTACCTGCATACTATTATCTCTGTGGTGGTGGTAGGGAACTGCTGAAGTTGTGTATGAACGCCACGGGGATGCTATAGCAGCTATCATGAGGTACAACAATGTCGATCTCGATGGGAGGCCAATACGGATTGAGCTGATAGGGGCTAAAGTTCCGCCGCCAACTCCCCTTCGAGCTCCTGCAGCTGGGAGCAACATGAGAAGGCCTAATCTTTCCTTCAACTTCATGAGGTAAAAGGCCAAAGTTCCCTTGTTCCCCCCATAGCCCTCTCCATTTCCCACAATTAGGTGCCAAGTACTGAAGATGATGGCAATTGTGAATACCCACAAGATGAGAGCAATGTGTTCTGTAGATCCTTGAATGATGCTAATACAAGCTGTTTGTTTTTCTTTCTGCTGTCATTACCTCAGTGGTGGAGGAAGCTTCGGAGGGAGGAGACCCATTCGTGGCGGTGATGCATTTGGCAAAGACCAAGGTCCAGGCGGACCTCAAGTCCAAGTCCTAGGGCAAGAATTTGGATGGGGGAAGAAGATGACTGCTGAAGAACTGGATGCCGAGTTGGACGGTTATCGCTTTGGAGCCATGAAGATCAATTGAGCAAAGCAAATTCTACCACCACCCTACTGACGTTCTATCATTGGGGATATAGTTTTCGCCGGAACAATATCATAGTTACTGCACATTCTGATGACTTGTTGATAGATAGTAACAAGGAAGGTAAAAGGATGTGGAGGGGTGGCAATTTTGCATCACTGCTTGCTCCCTGCATTCTTGAACAGCAAGACTTTGTTATTGCTGCAGATGGTATAATGTTTGTTGTTTTCTTCATCATTGTCTAGTAGTTGTAGGGTAATTCTGTGGATGGGTCAGCACTCTGCAACAGGTTAAAACTCAGATAGTTTTACTAAAATTGTGTAAAGCGTTCGATGTAAAAATCAATCACTTACTACTCTCCCCTGTTTTCATCTCTATATTGGCTGTCTTTACGCGAAATAAAGCTATGCGAAATAAGGCTAGCATAGCTGGTGATCCCCAGTAGGGATGGCAATCAAACCCATGAACGCGGGTACCCGACCGCCCCCGACCTAGTCAATGCGGGTAATCCCCGCTTTGACCGGGTATGGGGCGGGTACGGGTAAAACCCGCAAAAAGTTTGATGGGTATGGGGCGGGTATGGTTTTAGCCTCCCCGCCCCATACCCATACCCATATCCGCCCCACCAAGAGAATTTCTTCACATATACAAAAACATGTGGATCAAATTGTAATCTATCAATGGTGATGAGGATAACTCAAGGAAATAAATAGTAGAAATGCAATTGAGTGGCCACTTTAATCAAAATCTAATTCATTTCCCTCAATTCTCTTTTCACTTTTTCACTTTCCCACTTGTCAACAAGATTATGTTAGTTAATTATTACTTAGTAGATGTATAAGAGTTTAAACATAATAATTTGAAAAATATTATACTCTATATTATGTATTAATGAATGTTTTAGGATCATATTCTTTGAACCATATTAAGAAAATGATCGTGTTTTGTTTAATTCGTGATATAATAGGTACGTTTAGAGTTTTAGTTAAATCTTTTCTTGTGAATTTTTGGATAATAGTGTTGGATGTACGGGTATGGGTATTACCCATGGGTACCCGAAACCCACGGTTATGGGGATGGGTTTGCTGAACATTCTCCCGCATGGGTATGTGGCGGGTATGGGTTTGGATAGTTGAAGATGGGGATGGGGATGGTTTAGATAAACCCGCCCCAAACCCGCCCCATTGCCATCCCTAATCCCCAGGTTTGATCTCGCTAGGCCAAACGCATTACAAATCAACCAACCTAGCCAACCCTAGGTTTTTCATTAAGAACATGAAGAAAAACTAACAAAATGTCACATAAAACAAAAAATGACCACCAAAATGTCAATTAACTCCAAAACTAATGAAATGACAGATGAGCGTTAATTAACCTATGTCGATAAGTCCTCACTAATCTACACATAAACATTTCGTATAATGGGGTTCCATACATCTGTCAACTTCTGCATCGCCTTCTCATAATCTTCCTTGGACGACGATGGATCCGAACCATAACCATCCAACCATTTCGAAGCTTCTCTCAGTGCCATCTCCAAGTTGGCCTTGTCAAGTTCGTTCCAATTGACATTAACATTGTGATTACTCGCCGCGGCCTTGATGCCATATATGTACCTCTCCAGTTCCTTCTTTGCTTCAACACGTTCCGTCACCTTTCTATCTTTCTCGGCCATCTGCTCGGCTTCCTTTATCTTCGCCTCGATCTCTTCTCTCGTCAAATTTCCTATGTAGTTATCAATGATCAAGAATTCATCAACGTTCTTTGTCGCGATGTTCTTACTTGTTACTTTTAGCTTTCCGCTTGCATCAATCTCAAACGTAACAGCGATCGTGGCAACACCGCTGCAAGGCAATATTTTTCCAACCATATGGGCTACGATGATTAGGGATGGCAATGGGTCGGGTCTGGGGCGGATAGTGCATATCCGTTACCCTACCCAAAGTACTTCGGGTTTTACCCATACCCATACCCATATGTGAAACGGGTAGAAAATCAAAACCATGCCCATACCCGTTCGGGTTTCGGGTATCCACGGTTATCCATGGATATTAATTTCTCTTCATAACTCCAACCAATATGTTAACATTTACACGTATTCTTATATTAAGTAAGAGAAAAAGTACAACAAGAATTCACTAGAATGAAGAAAATTAACTAAAACAACACAATTTCATGAAAATGTTATATTTAAATGCTAAATATAAAATATGTTAGAGAAAAACATTGATTATTTCTAGACAAAATACATATGCATGTGTATAATCGGGCGGGTTCGGGTCGGATAGTGAGAAATCCATGCCCACCCATTACCCGCAATATTCGGGTTCGGGTTTTACCCGTACCCACTAAATGTCCTTCGGGTTCGGGTTTTACCCTACCCGACTAGGCCGGATTCGGGCGGATATCCACGGTTACGGATATTTTTGTCATCCCTAACGATGATTAAAGATTGATCTCATACATAAGTTTCATCATATATCTCAAAATTCCAAATGACGACACAATCAAATAGTCGCAGAAACGGGGTAACCCAACGACATCGACATACGCTAAGGTCAGTATATACAATAATACTACAGTACTCACTGTGGAGCGGGTGGAATGCCTTCTACGGTGCAACTTCCAAGCTTAAGGCAATCCTTGGCTAGGGCTCTTTCACCTTGAAGCACCTGGAGAATTTAATTTTTCTTTCTTAGCAAGTTAATTATATATGATCATACATGAAGTCATTTAAAATTAGTTGATTAAGACAATAATTAAGCGACAAACCTCGAAGCTAATACTGGTTTGCCTGTCTTTTTCCGTCGCCATCATCCCCGTCATCTTCACAGGAAGAGCAGTGTTTCATATCATCAAAAGTGCTAACCCCCAAACTCAAGGGAGTGACGCCTGCACAGCAACCGAAGTAAGAAATTAGAGCGAGCAGGAGCCAGAAACACAAATCCAACGATCAGTTTTAATGTAACGATGTGGTCAGTGATATATAACGGATTTACCGAATCTAGCAGCTTCACCGTTACTGGGTTTCTTCCCGTCGAACATCTCTCCCAGCCTTACGATCGATCCCGACGATCCGTGTAAAATTGATGATATACGTCCACAGAGAACGAACTGGGATTTTAATTAAGAGTATACAATAATTAAGCTTGTGGTTTCGGGGGCGAGCTGTTTAATTAATTTATATCTCGATTGTAATTAATCAATCCGAGTCACGACTTCGATTTTGGGGAAGGGGCAGTTTCCATCAAGAATGTCCTTATTAGTGATGTAAATCTTTCTATTAATTACGAGTATATTTTCTAGTTAGGTTTGCTCAGAATTCCTATTTATTTTCGCAAATAGAGGAGCAGTTTTCGGTTTTCCTCTTCAGTCTCTCGATCACACAGATTTCTTTACTCGTGATGTAGATCTTCTATTTGTTAAAGTATATATTCTAATTAGGTTTTTTCCTTTTATACATTCTATTAGGATTTTTTTCCCTTTCTAGTTTTTATTGATGCAAGATTTAGACCCATAGCATACATACACCAAAAAGAAATAAATAAAAATTACATAAAGAAATACAAAAAACTCAAAATAACATAAAACAAATTCAAAATGAAATAAAAATATATTAGATTACTCGTCATCTCCTTACCGTCCAGATGGATTCCAAATCTCTTCAACTAAATTTGCTTGAAGTTGATGATTTTATTGTCTACCACAAATTCTCAAATGATTACAGAGATACTCTCCATCAACAATGACAAATGAGAAAAAATGTTATATCATTTGAAAATGCAGAAGTATTTTGGTAAAATTTGAATTCAAACTTGTTTGTAATAATTTGAATTATTTTCTAATCATATCTATGATTTTTATTAAGTTCTCGAATAATTGTTGTGGTGTGTATTTTGCTGAAGTTTGTTTCCTTTCTTGATGTAATTATATGAATGGTGTGTACTTTTAATGTGATTTCTTTCCAATTCTGTGAATGGATCTTTAAACATCAACTATTCATTTGTGTACAATGTGGGTAGAAAAGAAAGAAAGAAAAAAGAACTTTCTTTATGCATGCACCCAATTAATCTTGCTAGAAGTTAAGTTTGACTACTGGATACAAGGAAAATGCCTTGCCAAAGAATTTCCAAGGGTGCTTGCTGTAGCTGAATCCCCGAATGCTCGTGTTGCTGACCATATATCCTTTGTAGACGAAAGTATAGTGTGGGAAATTCCTCTGAAACTTTCACTTCGGGGTGGGGCGGAGAGGGAGAGAGAGCGTTTATTCTGTTTATTGGAAAACCTATCTGTTTCTGAATTCTCTGCAGGACCAGGAAGAGTTATCTGGAACCCCAATCCCTCACTCGGGTTCTCGGTACATTCAGCTTATGAGAAGCTGGTAGAGACTACTCATCGAGGGGAAGGTGATTTCCCTCACAAATCGGTGTGGAGACGCATGATTCCGAGCAAGATCTGTACGTTTGTCTGGCTAATTTATCATGGCAGAATCCTCACAATTGACAACCTAAAGAAGAAAGGACTGCAGCTTGTAAACAGATGTGTGTTGTGCAAAGAAAGTGAAGAAGCGATCAATCACTTGTTCATATCTTGCAGCTTCTCGAATGAAGTATGGCGCATCCTCCGAACCTTCATTCCAATTGCAAGGGAGACAGACAGAGACGGAGACATGAAAGACAGAATAAGAAGATGGGTGCACAGTAAACCAAACAACCCGACCCAATGGTGCACATATGTACTCCTACATGCGTTTTGCTGGAACATCTGGTTTGAAAGAAATTCAAGGACCTTTAAAGACAGCGAATCGACGACACGAGTTGTTGCTTACAGGACGGGTTGCGCGATATCCCAATGGCTGATCGCTGCCTATGCAGTAGATAGAAGAATAGCGGAGAGCTGGCTTTGTGAGATGAAAAACCGGTTGATTCCTCCCAGATCAGGTCAGCAAGGAAGCCACGACCATCATCAGCATCACGTTGATCAGAACATGATGCCCGGATCACTTGGATGAACAGAATGCGTCTACTTGGTTGTAGATGGTTAAGGATGCATCTTCAATTGAGCAAACTGGAAATATAACTGGACAGCGGGTACGATGATTCGCCGAGCTGTTGCGCGATGCGATTTGGTAGATTAGATAGTGCCTGTTTGGTTTGTTTTGTTTGTTTTGAGAAGTGCTCGCTTGAACTTTTGGTGCTCTGTTGGCGGGAACCTGTTTTTCCCCTGCTTTTGTTTTGATTTTCTGCTTTTTTGTCTTTATTGGCTGTAATTTCTTGGTTTCTCTTAATATATATCATCCTTATAAAAAAAAAAGTTTGAAGCCAATCAACTACGTACGGTTCGAAACGCCTTGGCATAAACAACTTTGGGTGTGACCTCCATCCAGGCCACGACGACCCAATCCTCCTTTGAGTATAGAGTTTAGGGGTGGGATTCGGTCGGTAAACGGTAAATTGTTTACCGAATTTATCGGTTTCGGTATACCGAAGTTGGTCAAATTGGTTACCGATTACCGATACCGGTTTGTAACCGGTTTACCGATTATCGAATTACCGGTAAACAGTTACAAACCGGTATTACCGAAATACCGTGAGAAGCGATTTCGGGCAGTTTTTCGGTCGGTTTACAGAATATTTATCGAACCGAATTTCTGGAAGTGGGGTGATGTTGTAATATTTTGATTTTATGAGTTTTTTTTCATCATTTTTGTAATTAATAATTTATTTTTAACTCTTATTTACAATATTTTTTAGGCCTATACTTACTTACATTCATGTATGTAATATTTTATATTTGTGAATAATGATTTATATGTTATATGTTAGTGGAGTAGGGAGGGGGGATTTCGGTATCGGTATTACCGATTTACCGTCGGTATTTATCGATACCGTGTCCGGTAAACCGACTCCCCCAACTTCCCGCTCGGCTGCCGATACCCCCGGTAAACGGTTTACCGTTAACCGCCGGTTACAGGTTCGGTAAAACGGTAAACCGTTTATCGGATTACTGTTTACCACCCTAACAGAGTTAGTATAGCAAACAAGATTTGCTTGCTTTCAGTCCTCTTTGCCTCTTTCGATTTAGTACTAGTCGATATCTGAATTTTCTATTCAAATACGGTTTAGTACTCTACTATGTTCTGGATCCGATGCTAAGTTTTGGAGACCGCAGTAGAACGTCGAGTACCCTTCTTCTTACAGAAATGTGTGCCGAGTTTTAACACTCCGTAGGCCGAGCTCGCAAGGTAACATTCGACGTAGCTGCTTCGATTAGAAACACTCGACAGATAAGCATGTCATTTCATGGATGGTTCAATTTGCAGAACAAAGAAACCTAATTAATGCTAGCTAGAACATAATACAGAACATGAGTCAGTAAATCCAAACTAGTAAAACGTCAATAGCTCCAAACCTAATAAAGCAACAGTCGAGCACTTTGATCCAAAAAAAAACCTTCTTGCTTGTCCTAACAGGCTATATTAGTCCATCTCGATCAGTCATCATCATCATCATCGATCCACACATAATCCTTGCTTATGACATGGTAAGATACATCCTTAAGCTTCTTCATCGTCTTCTCGAAATCTTCCTTAGACAGTGATGGATTCCCACCATTGTCATCAAACCATTTCGAAGCTTCTCTCAGTGCAATCTCTACTTTGGTCTTGTCGCGTCGATCCCACTTGACATTGACATTACGATCGCCCACCGCAGTCTTGACATCGTTTATGTACCTCTCCAATCGGTTCCTCGCTTCGACACGATCCTTCGTTTTCTTGTCTTCCTCGGCCATCTGTTCCGCTTCCCTTATCATCCTCTCGACCTCTCCCTCCTTCAGATTTCCTTTGTAGTTATCGATGACCAAAGATTCAGATTTCTTTGTTGCACTGTTTTTACTAGTCACCTTTAGAATTCCATCCGCATCAATCTCGAAGGTAATCTCAACGTTACCAACACCCCTGCAAGGGGAAAAAATTCCACCACCCCCATAGTGGGTATTAGCAGAAAGTTTATCTTACACATAATTAAGCAATTCAAACTTCCAAAACAATCTCAATTGCCGTAGCTACCGAAAGAACAATCCAACGATATTAACATGCTTCTTCGTAGCAAAATAACATGCATGATACAATTATATCACACTCACCTTGGACCTGGTGGAATGCCTTCTACAATGCAACTTCCAAGCTCAAGGCAATCCTTGGCTAGAGTTCTTTCACCTTGAAGTACCTAGATGATTTCATCTTTATATCCTTAGCAAATTATAACACGATCATGATTATAATATGAAGCGATCCAAAACTGTAATTAATTAAAAGAGAAATGATCAAGACAGAAACCTCGAAGTTAATACTGGTCTGCTGGTCCTCAACAGTCCACAAAGTCGATGTAACCTTGGCAGGGATAGTACTGTTCCTTGGGATCATCGTTGACATCAAATCACCAACAATGCTAACCCCCAAACTCAACGGAGTCACGTCAAACAAACTGACATCTACATGTATAACATAGTCCAAATCATACAAAACAATATAATCGAACAAAGACTTGATCTAGCAGTTAAATCGAGCGTTGGTTCTTACCGAACCTAGCAGCTTGTCCTCTCAGACTGGCCGCCAACACCGCAGCACCATAAGCCACAGCTTCGTCAGGATTCACACCTTTATTCGGCTCCTTCCCATCAAACATCTCCTTCAGCATCTCCCTCAACCTCACGATCCTCGTGCTCCCTCCCACCAGCACGATCTCATCGATCTCGCCCTTCTCGATCTTCGCATCCTCCATCGTCTCCTTCACCACCTCCAACGTCTTGTTGAACAGATCCAAATTCAACTCCTCGAATTTCGCCCTCGAAAGCGACTCCGAAAAATCCATCCCTCGAAACAACGAGTCTATCTCAATCCTAGTCTCGCTCTGGCTGCTCAGCACCCTCTTCGCCCTCTCGCACTCCCTCCTTAACTTCCCCATCGCCTTGCTGTCCCCACCAATATCCTTCTTGTGCTTTCTTTTAATCAATTTCATAAAATAATCCAAAACTCTCTGATCGAAATCTCCTCCTCCTAAATGCGTGTCCCCACCTGTCGCCAACACGCGAAACTCCCTCCCGTCCACTTCCATCACGCTGACGTCAAAAGTCCCGCCCCCCAAATCGTACACGAGAATCTTGCTCTTCGCGCTGTTCTTCTTCTTCCTTTTCCGCCCAATTTGTTGCTTGGTGTTGTTGAGGCCGTAAGCAATCGCGGCGGCGGTCGGCTCGTTGATGATCCTGAGGATGTTCAGACCGGCGATTCTGCCGGCGTCTTTTGTCGCCTGCCTCTGCGCGTCGTTGAAGTAGGCGGGGACGGTGACGACGGCGCCGGTGATTGGGTTCCCGAGGTAGGATTCGGCGGTTTCCTTCATTTTCCCCAAAATCATGGCGCTGATTTCTTCGGGGCTGAACGATTTGACCTCCGATTTGAGATCTACCTCGATGTAGGGTTTTCCGTCTCTGTTGACGACGGGGTAGGGGAGGTATTTGAGGTCGGATTGGACTTCCGCGTCGTCGAATTTTTTCCCGATGAGGCGCTTGGCGTCGAAGATGGTGCGGCGGGGGTTGAGTGCGGCCTGGTTCTTGGCGGCGTCGCCGACGAGGCGCTCGGAATTTTCGGCGGAGAAGGCGACGGAGGAAGGGGTGGTGCGGTTGCCTTGGTCGTTGGCGATGATTTCGGTCTTGCCGTTGCGGGAGAAGGCGACGCAGGAGTAGGTTGTGCCCAGGTCGATTCCGATCACGTCGTCGTTGGTCTTTGGCTGCTGCCGCGGCGGCGCCATTGTTGGGAGTTTGCGGCGGTTGGAAAAGCAGAGTGCGAATGGCGCGGTATTTAATTATTTTCCTCCAAAACTTCCCTTCTTACGGCGTCGTTTATGGAGTAGTGATCGGGAGGTGACGGTCCGCCGGCTGCCGCTAGGGCTTTTAGTTTCCTTTTTATTGTTGTGGAGGGTTTGTGAACTGTACTGTGTAGAGAAATAATTAGTTTCCTTAATTAAGGCGGCATTCATTTGCAGTTCAGATTGATTCAAATCATCTAGCTAGCTGTAACTAGGAAACTGAACTATATATATCGAAATGAATTTAAAATATTAAACCAATATAAATACACGGAGAAATGGATATGGGAAGTTGAGTGAAATTGTTATTTATGAGGTCGTTTAGAGACACGAGAAAAGGATTTGGATGATATGGATTCGTCGAATTTTATAGATTCACCAATAAAATTAATATTTTATTTTTATGATTGAATTTTAGTTTTAGTAATTTTAAATCTCTAAAATCTGAAAATATCAAATCCCTTATAATTAGAGTTTTCCACCTACTGTATTATTTTTTTTTATCTCACTAAATGCTTTTACTAATAAACTCTCAATACTCATAGCTTTTATGTGACATTGAATGTTAACAATAGTAGTTAGTAGTTACCAAATCCTGAAGATTTTAAAATCATTTGTCAACAATTCAGAGGATTAAAATTCTGTAATTATTTAGAATCTTGAGATTTAAATTTCTATTCTCCGAACAACCCCTACATGATGAACCTTGCAAATAATTGAGAAATTTAAACCTTCAAGTGTCATTAAGAATCACTTTTTTTTTTGTAGAAATTAAGAATCACTTTGGGACGATTAATAAGTAATTAGGGGTCAACTAGTGTAATAACTAATAAGTAAGCCTTGATGTCCGATTAGGCAACAAATATATCCCAGAGGTGTTCAAAAAAAAAAAAAAAAGGTGTCAATTTTGAATCTAATAAACCAAAAATTAAAATTTGACAAAAAATATCATTAAAATATTATGTTTTATTAACTGAAAATTTTACAATGATATTTTAGTATATAACCGGTTCAAAATTTAAAAATGATCCAGTGTTTGGATATCACTTTGATTCGTGAATCCACTCTATCAATCCGTTTGATCTAATTAATGAATTCCTCTATTCATTTGATTCAGTTCATGAATTCAATCCATTTGTCACCTCTAGTTATTGATGACGATGTGTTGTTCAACAATTAATTACTTACGTTTAACAAATATTAATTGTAAGGAAATGGTCAAAATTCATTAGGGGTGGGCAATGGGCGGGTTGGGTACGTGGGTTTTGGTTTTAAATTGACCCGTCCGCTTACTAGCGAGTTGAAATAATTGTGACCCGCAATCCACCCACATACCTCTGCGGGTTGGGTTGGGTGGGTGACGGATGGGTGCGGTTGGGTCGTGGATCAACCCGCAAAAGCAATTCTCCAACTAGCCATTAAGAAATTTGGCTAACATTTATAATAAGTTCATAGCAAATTAGTAAGACTGTATCAATAATCTGTGATTTTGATACAATTAATAATTTATAGTTTGCATCACAATATTTAATTGATATTAACAATAATTTGCATACCAATATCCAATATCTAATAGATATTGCACAACACAAAATCAATAATAGTAGTCAAAACTATTCTTTATTCTCCACCTTTTGAAGTATATGGTCAAATTGTAGTGCGGTTCGAAAAATATGAGGAATATTCGATGCTATAAGAAACAACATTTTTTCATGTAAAAATAGGATGCGGGTCATACGGGTGACCCACAATACACCCACTAAACCACCCACATAAGTGCGGGTGGAAGATTTATCAATTCGCAATCCACCCACATCAATCACCCATTGCGTGCGGGTCGGATTATTTGCGGATGGATCGATATCAATCCGCTGGATGAACCACCCACATGCCCACCCCAAAATTCATATATGGATTTTTCTCAACAACTCGAGTTCTTGTTACAAGTTGGTTTATGACATTGTATTAGTTCAGCTGGTTAGTCTTTAAGATCACGTGTTCAGGTACTCACAACCTCCAATGTTAATCATGGTATTAAAGAGTATGGTAATGACCAACATGTTCAAACTTTAAACTCATCGGCTGATTTAGGGTAAATACAATTTAATATCCAAACCTTTCATTTTAAACAATATAATAGCAAAACCTTTTCGAAAACAATCTAATATCCAAATCGTCAACTTTTCGTCCGTTTGACCGTTGGTTGACACTTCAAAAAAGCTTTGTTTAGGGGAAATTGTCACAATACAACTTTGTTTTCTTGTTTTGGCATTGCAGATGACTGAATATTCAGATATTCTATACCATCATGGTGGAGTCATGGACTTCTCGGGTTTGGAACCACGATATGTTGGTGGTTTTTCAGAGAAGATATCGATAGATATTGATGAAACGTTGTATTTTGAACTTTTTTGAAGTGTCAACTAACGGTCAAACGAACGAAAAGTTGACGATTTGGATATTAGATTGTTTTCGAAAAGGTTTGGCTATTATATTATTTAAAATGAAATGTTTGGATATTAAATTGTATTTACCCGCTGATGAGTTATGACAAATATTGATGATAGTATCAGTAATCAGACATTTAGTAAGCACTTGGGAGTCCGTTGTGAAATTTTGAAAGAAGAGAGTCATTCACTTCAAGGTTGTATCGATATTGATAGGCCAACAATCTATGAAAATGTGTCCATGAGAAATTCCAAAGCCATATGGACTTGATATTGATGAAACATCACGTAACAGCATCCTTCGAAAAGGCTCACAAACCACCGGCTGCTGCTCAATGAAGCGCACCGGCCGGCCGGCGACTACTTCAACACCACGTAATCACACTATATAACGAGCCACCAGTCACTAGCTAGCTACCACGCTTGAATCCATGCGGCGTCAGTCAACCGATCCACTCACAAACCTTGCATATAGCAGGGTTCCATACATCCTCCAGCTTCTGCATCGCCTTCTCGTAATCTTCCTTCGACGATGATGGATTCCTCCCGTTATCATCTGTTTGAACCCAGTAACTCCGAGCACGAACAATGATATTTGTGGTGTGGGAGGACTCGTAATTCGTTCGTCTGATCTCGTCGGGAGGGAAGAAACCTGTGAAAGAGTCGGGGTTGCCCCCCGGATTAAGCTCCGGCGGTCAAGTTAGTGTCGGTTTGTGGAGAGAGTTGAGAGAACAGATAGAGAGACCAAGTATAGAGAGATAGTGAAAAGTAGAAAATGAGGAGAGAGGAGAAGTCCCCCCTTTGGAGGGCTTCAAGCCCTTATATACCTGTAGCGGGTATCGAGCGTTGGGCATCGCCGATTATGCGCCCTACTGCTTAGTCTGTGCGCTCTGTCCCTTAGTAACACCCCCAACAATTGCCCCCCAAGCTGGTGGTGAGTTTTAATTCATCACTAGCTTATATTTTATTTTTTAAATCTTTGTCGGTAATTTTGGGTGGGGCCTATGTACCCCAATTGCCCCCCAGCTGGTGGCGCGTTTGAGTGACGCGGCGCCAGCTTCTTGCGTCTTGCCCCCCATTAGCGCCATTAACGCTTAGGATAGTAAAATATTTTAAAAATTTAATAATGATGGAGGGATAGAGTACTTAGCTTTATATTGGCAGTGGCGGCAGGAGTAGTTGAAAGGCGGGCGCTGCGCCGTTGAAACAGAACCTGAGTGGTAGCCTGCAGGTTGTTCTTTCGAACTGGGCGCGAATAGTGCTGGACTATTGCTAATTTTTTGTTCCGTGGAACTGGGCGCAGAGTGCTGGACTCATACTAATTTTTTGTTCTTTCGAACTGATTGGGCGCGAATAGTGCTGGACTATTGCTAAGTTTTGTTCCGTGGAACTGGGCGCAGAGTGCTGGACTCATACTAATTTTTTGTTCTTTCGAACTGATTGGGCGCGAATAGTGCTGGACTATTGCTAAGTTTTGTTCCGTGGAACTGGGCGCAGAGTGCTGGACTCATACTAATTTTTTGTTCTTTCGAACTGATTGGGCGCGAATGTTAAAATTCAGACGCCACACCATTGAAACACAAGGTACTTGTGGCCTGCTGGTAAGGATGCTTGCCTGTCGAAGGAGTGGCGCGGGTTCGAAGTCTGGCGACGACTACATTATTTTTAAGTAGTGCGCCTGTTGAATGCGGGCCGCAAGTACGCTTGGGCGCGAGCAAGGGTGCATTGCGCTTGTGGACGCGGGTTGAGTTGGGATGGGCCGCGAATACTGAGCCGCCGAGCGGAAGTGGGCCGCGAATAGAGAAGGCGGGCGGGCTAAGTTGAGTTGGGCCGCGAGTGCGCTTGGGCGCGAGCAAGGGTGCAGGAGGTTTTAAGTTGGCCGCGCGCCATTGAAACACAAGGTGTGCGTGTAGCCTGCTGGTAAGGATGCTTGTCTTGTTGAGGAGTCGCGCAGGTTCAAAGGCTGGCGGCGACAATATTTTTTGAAGACTTCCGTGTCTATGGAATTCGGGCCGCGAGTTGGGCCTGTGTGGGGCGGAGCATGCTTCGAAGTGGGGTTGGCTGATGTGGGCCGCGGGTCCTTGGCGAAGCGGGGCGGAAGTATGAAGGCGGGGCGGACACGGGTCCGCGGGTTTGGGGCGCGACTTCGGGCCGCGAGTTGGGCCTGTGTGGGGCGGAGCATGCTTCGAAGTGGGGCTGGCTGATGTGGGCCGCGGGTCCTTGGCGAAGCGGGCCGGACGCGATGGGGATCCGCGCGTCCGGCTGATGTGGGCCGCGGGTCCCTGGCGAAGCGGGCCGGAAGTATGAAGGCGGGGCGGACACGGGTCCGCGAGTTTGGGCTTCATCTACGCGTGGAATGTTGTTGAAATAAGAGTACCGCGTCATATGGTCACAAGGCGCGTATGTAGACTGCTGGTAATGTCGCATGTCTGGCATAGGAGTGGCGCTGGTTTGAATCCTCGCGGCGACGATAGTTTTTTGAGGCGGGACGTGCCGCGAGTTGGGCCGGATGCGGAAGGTTTTTAAGTTGACCCCGCGCCATTGAAACACAAGAGTCTCGTGTAGCCTGATGGTCAGAATGCTTGTGTAGTGCAGGAGTGGCGCGAGTTCGAATCCTCGCGGCGGCAATATTATTTTTGACGCGGAGTGGAGCAAGGATAGACGGGGCGGACTTGAATGGGCCGATTGGATCCGCGAGTGCGGGTAGGCCCGCGTGCACACTTGGAGAGATTGTGGGGCGCGTAACCTAGTGGGAGGCGGCCAGACTGAAGGCGGTCCTGGGCTAGACGGCCTGACATGGAGGCGAAGCAGGCTGTGTGATCCTGAATGGCTAGATGGGCCTGAAGCCTTGGTTGCAAGCGACCCAGCTGGTGACGTGGGGAAGCCTGCGCGTAGAATGGAAGTTGGATGGGCCGCTTGTGGACTTGGACGCACACAAATCAAGCCTAGCTAGTATAGAAGTTAAGCTTACGCGCCTCCTTCCCTAATTCTCATCTTCCATTTGTTCTTCGAGCCGCATTCCTCTTTTCTATTTGAGAGTTCCCTCTTCTTTTCTTCCTCTCCCCCCCTTTTAGAACTTCCTTTCCAGCTTTTCATCAGGCGCATCATTGGGAACTGCACCAGCTCCTTGGGAAACTCGTTCGTCAGACGAACACCAGGGGAGAGAGTGACTGAGATAAAGCAATCTGCTTTTTCTTGATGTGACTCTACTGTAGGTGAATAGTCTCCTTTTTTCATAGTAGGTCATAGGTGGCGATGGTGATGTAGGCTGCAGTACTTTACTTTTGGCCTCGTCTGAGCTCCGGCGTGGCGTTGGTGAAGATGAACACCCGGGACAACGACGAGCTCTGCTGGTGGGGATGAGTGACTGGGTGCTTGTCGGCGAAGATGAACGGGTCTCCTTAGATCTTTATTTTCTTCGCTTGTTGTCTTTGCTCCGGCGAGCCTTGGCGTGCTCGGCGGTCGGTCGAGGAAGAACAGATTTTCTTCCCTCTCTTTATAGATCAAACATCAGAATACCCATGTCACGCCCCACGGTGGGCGCCAATTGTTTGAACCCAGTAACTCCGAGCACGAACAATGATATTTGTGGTGTGGGAGGACTCGTAATTCGTTCGTCTGATCTCGTCGGGAGGGAAGAAACCTGTGAAAGAGTCGGGGTTGCCCCCCGGATTAAGCTCCGGCGGTCAAGTTAGTGTCGGTTTGTGGAGAGAGTTGAGAGAACAGATAGAGAGACCAAGTATAGAGAGATAGTGAAAAGTAGAAAATGAGGAGAGAGGAGAAGTCCCCCCTTTGGAGGGCTTCAAGCCCTTATATACCTGTAGCGGGTATCGAGCGTTGGGCATCGCCGATTATGCGCCCTACTGCTTAGTCTGTGCGCTCTGTCCCTTAGTAACACCCCCAACATCATCCAACCACTCCGAAGCTTCTCTCATTGCAATCTCCACGTTGGTCTTGTCACGTTGAGTCCAATTGGCATCGACATTACGATTAGCAGCTGCCGCCTTGACATCGCTTATGTATCTCTCCAAGTTCAACTTCGCTTCAACACGAGCCTTCGCTCTCTTGTCCTCCTCGGCCATCATCTCTGCCTCCCTAATCATCCTCTCGATCTCTTCCTCCGTCAAATTTCCTCTGTAGGTGTCAATGACCAGAGATTCGGATTTCTTGGTCACGTGGTTTTTGCCAGTTACGCTCAGTATTCCATCCGCGTCGATCTCAAAGGTAGCCTCAATACTGCCAACACCCCTGCAAGGAAAACCTTAGTCATGTTTTCAATAGCAAGTTGATCTCAATGGCACAATCAACATATATAGTAAACATTAGTCAGGAAAAAAATGTCACTACATTCGTTTCGACAATTAGGAGAGAACGATCCAATGACATTAACACGCGCCCGTCGCATACTGTTAGCTAAATAGATGCCGCATAGAATGAATTACTACACTCACCTTGGAGCCGGCGGCACACCTCCTACTAAACAACGTCCAAGCATAAGGCAATCCTTGGCTAGAGTTCTTTCACCTTGAAGTACCTAAGAATGTTCTTCTCTTTCTTAGCAATACATACTGCATATGATCATTTATTAAGCGAATCAAACGAGTTGTTTAAGCGATTCAAACCTCGAAGCCCATAGTGGTCTGCCGGTCTTCAATGCTGTATAAAGTCTGTGACATCTTCGCAGGGATGGTGGTGTTTCTTGGGATCACTGTCGCCATCAAATCACCAACAACGCTAACCCCCAAACTCAATGGAGTTACATCAAACAAAGTAATATCTGCAAGGTTCCAAACATTATAAACCATTGAAATCCAACGCATTTGTAACCACCAAAAAACAACATATAAACAAGTGTAGTAGTGTACCATATCTAGCGGCTTGACCCTTTAGCTTGGCTCCCAAGACAGCAGCACCATAAGCCACAGCTTCGTCAGGATTGACACCTTTACTCGGCTCCTTCCCGTCGAACATCTCCTACAGCATCTCCCTCAGCCTGACAATCCTCGTGCTTCCACCCACCAGCACAATCTCGTCGATCTCGCCCTTCTCGAGCTTCGCATCCTTCATCGTCTCCTTCACGACCTCCAGCGTCTTGTTGAACAGATCCAGATTCAGCTCCTCGAATTTCGCCCTCGTCAGTGATTCAGAGAAGTCCATTCCTTGAAACAGAGAGTCGATCTCGATCCTCGTCTCGCTCTGGCTGCTCAGCACCCTCTTCGCCCTCTCGCATTCCCTCCTCAGCTTCCCTAGCGCCTTGTTGTCTTCCCCGATATCTCTGCTGTGCTTTTTTTTAATCAATTTCATGAAATAATCCAACACTCTCTGATCGAAGTCTCCTCCGCCTAAATGCGTGTCTCCGCCGGTCGCCAGCACGCGAAACTCCCTCCCGTCTAGTTCCAGCACGCTGACGTCGAACGTCCCGCCTCCTAAATCGTACACCAGAATCTTACTCTTCGCATCCTTGGCGTCGTTGGCGTCGTCCTTCTTCCTTTTCCGCTTGGTTTGCTTGTTAATTAGCCCGTACGCAATCGCGGCGGCGGTCGGCTCGTTGATGATCCTGAGGACGTTCAGACCGGCGATTCTCCCCGCGTCCTTCGTGGCCTGCCTCTGCGCGTCGTTGAAGTAGGCCGGGACAGTGATGACGGCTCCGATTATTGGTTTCCCGAGGTAGGATTCGGCGGTTTCCTTCATTTTCCCCAAAATCATGGCGCTGATTTCTTCAGGGCTGAATGCTTTCGCCTCGTCTTTCCCGCCGGCGGAGGCGGTTTTGAGCTCTACCTCGATGTAGGGTTTTCCGTTTCTGTTGACGACGGGGTAAGGGAGATATTTGAGGTCGGATTGGACTTCTGCGTCTTCGAAGAGGCGCTTGGCGTCGAAGATGGTGCGGCGGGGGTTGAGAGCCGCCTGATTTTTGGCGGCATCGCCGATAAGACGCTCCGAATTTGTATCGGCGTATGTGAAGGCGACGGAGGAAGGGGTGGTGCGGTTGCCTTGATCGTTGGCTATGATCTCCGCCTTGCCGTTTCGGGAAACGGCGACGCACGAGTAGGTTGTCCCCAGGTCGATTCCGATCACTTCTCCGCTGATTTTTTTCTTCCGCGGCGGCGCCATCGTTGGAACTTGACGGCAGCCGAGACAGCGGCGGAGGTGGGGTCAACAGCGGCGTTGGTATAGTGGTGCGGAGGTGAAGTCTGCCGGCTGCGGACCTGTGGCTAGGTTTTTGCCTTTTGCTCTATGTTGTGGGTTTTGGTGAAAATTGGTTTCCTTAATTAAGGCGGGATGATTTTGAATTCAGATCGACACACAGATCATTTGCCGCTAGCTGTAACTATAATAAAACTGAACCATATATATCGAACATGAATAAAATAGAACACATGTATCCGGGGATTGTGAGTAAATATTTGGAAAAATCTGTTAATGTACAGGAAATAGTTGAGAGTTGATTAGTAAGTAATCAATCAATTGGCAATTACTGAGGAGGTTAGTAGTCTTTTACGTTTCCCGCGTATTATTAAGGCTATGTTCTAAATTTTCCAAATTATAAGGTCATTCAAGGTGCATGAATAACACAAGGTTTCGTAGTCGAATCTGACAAAAAACCTTAATGAAAACATGTTGCAAAGTGAATCTATGGCGAATTCGAGACGAAAACGTGTTCATCTTTCCATCCGTGATTGCATTCACAGAGATATGGAGTCAAATCGGATGAAAAACAAAGTGAAAAACATGTTGCGAAGTGAAATCCTTCGCGTTGTCCTTCTTCCTCTTTCCGATCACTTCTCTGCATTGGGACTTCATGTATGTTGCAAAAGACTGATTGAGACATCTCTATCTCAGGGTCAGGGTTAAGCATTGCATTTCATGTTCCTGATTTGACTGCGCACGACTTAACAAGCAGAAGCCACAGATGTTCTCCCTGAGATGAAACTCGCAGAAGCGTATCAGATGCTCTCACCGTGACAACATGCCAGTGCTAGATCTCTCATCTCTGGCATTTCAGCATGGCATCGCAAAGCTTGGCAGCATCCACATTATCTTGTACATTATGCACCCTCACGATGTTTGCGCCACCCAAGACTCCAGCAGTGACACAAGCAACAGTAGCAGGATCTCTGTCGGTTGCAGAAGGCCGGTTGCAAATTTCACCCAAGAACCTCTTTCTCGAAGGTCCAATCAACATTGGGGCATGAGAGATAGCCAAACTTTTCCTGGCTAGTTCTGCTCTAATCTTTGGCAAGCCCACAAGTAGCTCCAGATTATGCTTGGTATTCTTCGAGAATCCGAGTCCAGGGTCAGTAATGATCCTCCAAGCTGGTACACCGGACATTTCTGCATCCGCAATTCGTGAGTACAGTCCACAAGCAACCTGCTTGCAAACATCATCATACTCCAGGTTCTCACAATTCTGCATCGTTGTCGGATCACCTCTCATGTGCATCACAACATAAGGAACACCAAGGTCAGCAACAACCTTATTCATGTTGGCATCTAACTGGCCACCAGATACATCATTTACCATATGAGCTCCCTTACTGATGGCTTCTGAAGCCACCTCCGAATAGAAAGTATCTACCGATATAAGCTTCCCAGTCATCTCGGGCATCTTCACAACAGCTTCCAGGACTGGAATCAGTCTGTCGAGTTCCTCCTGAGTAGATATCCTATCAGCCATTGGCCTAGTCGATTGTGGACCAAAATCAACGATATCCGCCCCTTCAGAGATCAATGACTGTACCTGAGAAACAGCAGCATCCACAGACTGAAACTTCCCTCCGTCACTGAAACTATCAGGTGTCAAATTAACGACACCCATAACAGAAGTTCTCTCAGACCAATCCCACAAGGTTTTCCCAACAGGCAAAACCCTCTTCATCCCATCTCTCCCAACGAGGCCTTCGCCACCAAGTTTCTCCCATGACTCAAACAACCCACCAGAATGTATTGACAGAGAATGCCACCGAGCAACTGTATCACTCTCCACATCAGAACCCAACAAATCGATCAGCGGTGCAATTACGAATGGTCTCTCCCAAATTCTCTCATGAGGGACAGTAAGCACGTCAGAATTGACCCTAAACTTGCCATAGAACAAAATGTCCAAATCAATTGGCCTAGGCCCATACCTTATCCCTTTCGTTCGACCCATCTCCTTCTCAATCTTCTTCAGCACTCCCAGCAACTCGTGTGGCCCGAGCTTGGTGATGGCTCTAACAGCAGAGTTGAGGAAATGAGGCTGATCCGTGACATAAGCAGGAGCAGTCTCGTAGAGACAGCCATGTCTGGTGATGCTTATTCCAGATTTCTTCATCATTTGCAATGCTTCATTGAAATTATGAACCCTGTCACCCACATTACTTCCCAAAGCAATCACAACTTCATTTTCTGGAGAATGAACTTCGACAAACCCATCAGGGGAAGAATGGAGGAAACGAAAAGAAGACCCTGCCAATGTAGTAGCGAAAAGGGGTCCGCCAATTAGAGGGTAAACAAAAGGGAGTATACGAACTTGATTTCATAAAAAGGCCATAGAGTTTCTTGACCAGAAGCGCCATCAACAGATAAATTGTAGTAAAGGAGCTGAATCCCTCAAGAACGGAATCCGCTTGGGGGTTTACCTGTAAACCGCTTAATGAATTTATCAACGGCCAATTGGGCAGGAAGAGTCTGCCTGAAAAGCTTCATCAGCAGCACCGTGATCTCGACAGAGCCGCGACAAAATTTGTACCCTGAACGCCGGCGGCGGTTTCGGTAGCAGCAGAATGGTAAGGTTCGGAGCTTTACCAGAGTCTCCTCCTCCTAGTTTTTCTTAAGAACAAAGTACTCTTATTTTATTTCACCTAAAGCTGAGGCAACCCTCCCAGATTATCTTGCCGAGTAACAAGACGGGAAGTGATTCAGGGAACTTTCCGACAGTTCCGAACTGTAGAAGGCGGCGAGTGGTGGTGGTCGGAAGAAGGAGACGAATAGAGAGATGGAAAGTTGTTAAAGAGGGGGAAAAGGGCAATCGTTCTTCTGCTTTACCAGTTACCACATTTCTATGGTCCTCATATTTATATTCATTACAATATTGCCCTCGCTTCTCTTTTGCGTTGGATTGATCGGTAGAATTTCAATGGCTAATATTGAAGGATTTTCCTTTGAGTTCCATGGTTCTTGCTATTAATCTGCTTTGACAAAGAATGCCTGTGAAAGGTGTATTAATAGTCAAGCCTTGTTTACTTCTGCAGCCAGCAATCAAGTCGGACGAATAATCAACCAGTGACACAGTGAGCTATTTCCATCTCAAATCGGAGACAAGTTTCGAATAGAACAGAGAGGCCGAAGCACCATCGTGTTCTCAACCGTGCCAGTCACCACGAAGCATGATGGCGAAGCTCGTGGCGGAATGAGGTGGAAGAGGTTCTGGAACGATTTCAGTAGCAATGGCCGTGCTGCTGCCTGGGTGTGTAGTAGCGCCTGTATCCCAGCTTCTGGGCAAATTATGAACTTTTGCCACTCATCCAACACAAGAAACACAAAACTATTTACTCGAGAGTGTCAAATCACTCCGAAAAACAACAGATGCTCAGCCGTGAACCCAAAATAATCTCGACATTCAAAACCAGCTCTCGTTGCATCCAGAAAATTTCATTACAATACAACAAGAACAAAAAAATTTCTCAACAAGCTATCATACAACAAAAGCCGGACTAGAAAGAGGCAAAGCTGTGCCAAAATTAGGTAATAAGACACTAGAATATTTACAGTGTCCAAAAACAAATAATACACTAGGACCAAACATCAATAAAGGGGGACAAAAAGAACATACCAGGTAGGCACACTAAGGAAGATGATGTTACAGGTTACAGCCATTGTTGAATTTGGTACCCTCGGCTGGAAAAAAACCTCTCCGGGATCAAAAAAGGGATTAGAGGTGTAGGTTCTTATTATCATATGGGTAATGGATGGCTGTTTTAAAAATAAAGCCAGAACTAGTACGGTTGCCCCTCCCCCATCTGACTTTTCTGGAAATATGAAAAGCCAGCAGGAATAGGATTTCTGTACAGATCAGTTTGGCCCAGAAAGTTGGCCTCTGTCTATATATATTGCACACCGGAAACTGCAAAAAGAAACCATGAAGAACATGGCAAATATTAGTCATACAACGATCGAGTGCTTGTTACGGCAGAGAGAAACATGAAGGTAGGATAAATACGCCAGATGAATGGGCAGTACCTGGAAATGATTTTGGAATGTCCTGAGTCGCAACATCAAATGGAAAAATGTGGAGTGACCGGAGGGCACCAGGATATCTTGCAACCTGTTCTCCGTATTGAAGGCTTTCGTATGATAGTAGGGGTATCTAGTGTACAGCCATGGAGTCTTGGACCGTAGGCTTATCATCTACACCCACTATCTCCAAGTCATGGAGCAATCGAAAGGGGAGGAGTTCATCTTTGGTGGACAAGCTATGCTGCCGCTGCTGCTGCACAATAATCCACTGCAATGACCTACTTGTGTTGCATCAATGCCCATATTTTCAAGTTTGAGCAGGGGAACGAGAACAAAGTATCAGGGACCCTATTCTTGGTATCTTTGAATGACTACGAGAACACGAGATCTGACAGTCTTGTCGAAGAAGTCTGAGCTTAATCCACTTTTCTCCTCGGAAACTTCGAACAGATCTCAATGGGTCAAGCTTGTCGGATGTATCATCAACATCTGAGAGCATCCAACTACTACTGCAGAACTGCTCTCTCCGAGAATAAAATGTACAGAAGGTCCAGAAAGAACACTTTTAGATTAGCCCATAATTTGACAGCTGAAGTATGCCACGCATCTGCAAGTAGGGATTTTCCAACAGCTTCTCGTTGTTGCTCTGAAAATGGGATAAAAGGAAAGCAAATTGATAAGTTCATTTCTCCATTAGTTACGTGGAAAATTATATGCCCGAGTTTTTACCTGCTGAGCTTTAAATATGAGATTCTGAAGCATGTGCTGGTACTCATCTGGTTTTTCTGTCATCATTCTCTGACAAATCGAGAAAACAAGTTAGTTTGAATCAACGCAACATGATCCCAGCTTGTTTCATCAAAGGTTTTTATTCCTCGTACTTAAGAGGAACATACTCTTTTTTTTCTTTCGCGGAACACTTAAGAAAATTTACTGACCCGAAACCCATAAATAATGTAAATCTAAAAGCCGCCTCGGTATTAAAATTTCACTTCAAAATTCTCCCCTCTGAACTAAACGTCTATCTTAAAGTTATATACATAATGGTCATTTCCCAAAATCCTCTCGTTTCTCAATTATTAAACAAACTATATACCATCTCGTCAATTACTTATTTCTTACTAAAACAATTATATCACATCTCATCAAATTCTTATTATACTAAGCCTAAACACACTTTTTCTAAACTTTTGAAAAGTGGCTTAATTTTTAGGGAAACCTAACAAAAAAACAAGGTTAACGTTGGCCAAGGAACAGTAGTACCTTCAGGAGAAATGCAGAAGAGTAATATGCAACCCTTGAATCCGTATCATCCAAAAGTTCCCTGGCAAAAGACAGAAGCAAAAAAATTTAGGTGAATAACTCAACCAATATAACAGGTAAAATCAAGATCTAGAGTTTTAAAGTATGTCTTCACCTAAAAAATTCTTCCCCGCCAACTTCTTCAAAAGCAGAAGGATCAACTGTGCATTTACCAATTAAAAGTAATAAAAGAGTAGCCCTTATGTCAGATGCAGCGCCTGGAAGGTTTCCTCTTCCTTTGCTTCCAACTGCAACACCCAGTGCTATATCATCTGTTGCCGCACCAGCTAGTTGAATCAATGGCCAATAAAATAAAGCAGCAGGGACCCGGGCAACTAATTGCATGGGAACAATAGCCCGCCCTTGGAGAAGCATTGCAGCCATCGAAGCCGTCTCACGCACCAGAGAACTGCTAGTACTGTAACTAAATTTGCTATTCCTTTCCTCTGAAATATCTGTCGAGTGATTCTCTGGTTGAGAGATGTGGTCATTTGAATCGACTTTTTCACCTTTCTCCATGCCAACATGAACTATGTCACGGCGTACATGTTCTCCATAAGGCATGGCAGAAAGAGGGTGAACTTTGAGGCATAATTGCGAAAACAATATATCACACATCTGCATAGACAAGATAAGTAACCATCAATAACCATTATCATATAGCAACTCTCGAAGCAAAATGAACTCTAGACTTCACTGTCAGAGAAAGATGCTTGCAATCAAGCAAATTCAGTTGCAGGGAATTCTCTAAATGATGCTACTGTTACTACAGAGTGTATAGCAGAGAACAAGTTAGTATACACATCATCATTATTTATCAGAACCATGTTCAGTAAAGGATGTCATCTCGTAGACATCTGAGGCATAATAATTCTGAACAAGGTAACAGAGGAGATATGCATATAACAGCTTGATACACATCCAAAAGGTTGAAACACAAGCCAACATGAATAGACACAGGGAAATCTCACTCCTGTTGACTGTATCCATGAAATGTACCTTCAAAATATTGAAGCGATCTGTTTCATTAATCTGGGCCACCAAGGATAAGGCACTGCTCATGATATCAACAACTGCATTTGCTTTCTCAAGCCGGCTATCTGCATCTCCGCCGGTAACGTTACTAACACCAGAATGTTGCATTTCATTCTCATCCAACAAAAATTTGCAGCGCATGAGAAATCGATCAATAACAAATAGAAAGCCCCATCTAATAACGTTATGCTTGGACTTAAGAAGTCCACACATCAGCCAAATGGACAGAGGGACATCTGCAGCAGTTGCCATATCATCACAGACACCAGCATGCATGATTTTATGCTGCAATGCAATAATATTTGACAATAGTCTAGCCTCTTTTCCCTCGCTAATCTCTGAAATAAGCAAGTCACCTAACCAGATGTAGCCATTCTGACGACATGCGATTCTATCAGAATGAAGAAGCGAGTGCAGAGTGGCCCATGAGAGCTTAGCTTTCATGACAATGCCATTTCGTGGGCTCTCACTTTGAATTCCCTCTAGAAACTTGTCGCGCTTGGTTACTTGTATGAGATGGAAGAAATCCTTGTCAACACGAGTAAAAGAATTGATTACCATATCAAATGTCTCTGTTATATTCTTCAAGAGCTGCAAAGATGAAAACTCACTTTAAATGAATAGTATTGTTTGAGGTAATCTGAGAAACTCTCTATTTATTGAATTTTCACATCTAAGGTCTACTGTGGAGTCAAACCACATGCTATATATCAAAGTATAAATAAGGAGTGCATGGAAATGAAGGGGGAAGAGGACTTTTCATTGCAAATAAGGAGAGGATGATAATGCACAAGTAAAAAAGAGACAATTACATGCACACAGGATGAAATGTGTATATCACACCCTCTAGTCTATAATGAGACTGTAAAATCAAATTCAAAATTTTAATATATATATCAGTGGTCCAATATAATGATAAAAATACAAAATTTAACTTGGATCAAAGTATTTTTTTATCAATAAACACTTAATAGTCAAAATTTCTTTTTTAGCAAATCAAACTATTAAAATTAAATAGAGTACCCAAAACGTAATAAATATATGCGTATATATGCACAATGTTTCGTAGACAATAATCCACAAAACATGCTAGAAGCACGGGAACAGATCCACACATTCATATTAAGTTCACCAAGCTTACCATATTTAACCTTTCATTGTTTGAATATCTAGCGAGTGCAGCAGAAATTGATCTTCTCAAAAGCTCCGCAATCCCTTCTACTCCAAGTTTAACGGAAATATAAAAAGCTTCAGGTGCATCGACAAGAGAAAACAAGGTTGCAAGAGGTTGGATCTCATCATTGCTATATTCGGAAACTCCAGCAGTTGCACATGCTTGATTGATTTGGTGCAAAACATAATCAAAAAGAACCAAATAGAGGTTTCTCCTATCCTCCCTCAAATTAGCGAGAGAATACTGCAAAACATGAAATTAAAGAAGTTAATGATACCGCTTATGTCACCAAATTATCTTGCACTGTATTTTCATTTCACAGCATATAGGTTGCATACCTCAATGAAAATGAACTCAATCCCTCCAATTAAATCAATCTGGTCTATGAGAAACACAGGAGAGCTCAGAACAGCCTCAACAGACTCATCTGGAATTTGATAGAATATGTTTGTTAACATGCTAATAAGCTTGCTATGCACTATTTCAGCCCATGAATTTGTCCTGCTTGTCATTATGAATGCTTTAATGACCTGAACAAAGGAAAATTGTGGATCTCAGCATTGTACAATAAACAGCATAGATGCTAAAACGAGTAAGATGAATCAGACTAGCCAGATAAGGATAAGAAATAAAGGGGAAACCACAAAATAAAGAAAACTACAAATGCATCTGTAATCAGTCATTTGACAACATTTGACTTTCATTTTAGCCAACCTTTTCCATCTCAGTTATTACATGTACCTATCATCTCCTACAGAAGCAAATCATACTGTCAAAACCATTTAAACCAGTTCACATCCTAAACAAAAAGCCAGTCACATCATCTGTGAGGGAGCATACCTTTCTTTTATTTTATGGTGCTGCCCTTTAATTCTGAGACATCTACTCATTCACAAGGAGAAGTGCACGATAATTTTGTTTGAAATTATGTTCCAAGTCCTACCATCGTCGGGGATTTTTTCCATTTTGTTGGCTTAAGGTGAGCAAAGCAATTTACAATTATTGTTGGTTGTATATGGTCAACGAATTGGCTCAGAGCCTCATCCCAGAGGAGGTTAAGGCAGTCATATTGCCAGAATAGCCACCATAGGTTCTACTATGCTGTTCTTTTTATATGGTCAAGGCACTAGTGAGCTGTTAACAGCCATTATCTGTTCCATTTTTCCAGATATGCTTAGAACAACCATCTGTGACTATAAACACACAAAATAGGTTCTTGCCGGTCGATAAAGAGGAATAAAATCTTGCAGGAGGATTTTCAAAAATGGATATTATACTCTATGATAGTGAACAAAGTAGGAAGCAAAAAGGAATCACAAACCCTTATATCCAGGCCTTCTAGCCGATCTCTCAAAATTTTCCCTCTATCACAGACGAAATACAGCAAACAGCTTAGTGCCGAAGCCCAGACAGACTCTTCGTGCTCCTCTGTCTGCAGAAAAAATTTACCCAGTGAATGGTTGAGGAAATAAGGAAATCCAGGCTTCATAAGAAAAAAATGGAAAGAGCTGCAAATTGACATTAACAATGATGAATTAAACGAAATATTAGCATACAACACTATCATTCAGCGTTTCATATTTCTGGTCTCTGGACATCTTCCAGCAAAATCAATTTATTTTACAAGTGTATCTGGTCAAACACTCACTAAATCACATGAAAAAATCTTTTACCATGTTTCATAAGTGAAATCTCAGTTTCTGATAGAAAGACAACCAGGAACATCTCAATAGTAGTTGGAAAGATAAGTTTCAAGAAAGCTATACCATGGCAATAACTGCAATTGTACCTGGACAAGAAGCAAAAGTGTTTCATACAAGATGTTTAAGATCCAAGATTCAAACTTATCAATAGCTGATGAAGCGTCCATCTTGTCAACAGAATTTGTTTTCCTATTATCTGGTGTTGGAAGTTTGTCTTCAGTCTCGGGAAAGGATTCTTGTGCATACTCTTCTTCAATTGTTGTAGTATCACCAACCATCATTGGTTCCAATAAATGAGCATGAACACCGAGGTTCAAAATTAAATCAAATGCACGAACTCGGCATGCTGCTTTTGGAGATAAAAGCATCTCCTGGAATAATATCCAAAGATGAAATGTTAGAAGCCTTCACCAGGTATAACTATAAGAAGGATAAAAACGAGTTAATGTAGCACCTCAAGCATAGACAACATCAGTGGAGCAGCAGTCCCAGGATCCAATACATACCTGCAGGACAAACAGTTCAATAATTTCTCCAAGAAGCAGCAAGAACCAAGAGAAGCACATTCAATAGAGCAAGACATAATGCGAATCAGAAGAGAATAAGCACACTTAACAAGTTGAAACATGTAAGAGTCCCCCAGACTTTATTTTCTTAAAATTAAATACGTTTTTTTGCAAAATTCACAGCATAAATATTTTGTTTGCCAATTGCAATCGATCTGCTATCAGTGATCACGTTGAGAAATTCTAGATACAGCATCTGGAAGTAGCTCAACAGGACACAATAAAGTCCCTTCTTTATACAATTTTACTGTCCTACCTAGTAACTTTACTTCGAAATAAGCTATTCTCTCTCCACACTCCTGTTTTATTTTCCTTTCCTTACTAGTATGTCTTCTTACTCTTTTCCCTCTCATCTTACTCCCTTCCTTCTTCCTGCCAGGCTAGTTAAGCAATCCATCGACGTAGTGGGGAGAAATAACTATCAATAATTCCCAAGTCACAGGGGAACATATAACTGAAAGAAACTAGTAACTATGCAAAGTCATTGTTGATGGATAGCATTTAAAAGTATAGTATGTTGTGAAAAGGATCATTGACAAGAAACAAAAAACATAAATTGATAGCATGTCAACTTGTAATGATCACAAATAAGCTACAAAACTTACATATCAATGATAAGCTTAATAAGTACGCTCACAGCCACATCCATCGATGGCTTTCCAGTGTTATTACTTAATCTAGACGATAGTGCAGGAGTAGCCATTGGAGTATAAGCCTCAGACCCAACGGCAGCAATAACCTCACATACCTCCGCTGGATTTAATCGTAAGGGTTGCTGTTCACTGATATACACAAGTGAGAAGCAAATAAGAGCCGGAAAGTTACAACCATTTTGGTTATTTCAAGTGTTGATAGTAGTAGTGCCAGAATCAAAAGGATTTCATTCTCAAGATGTCAATTGGCATAAAAGACAGTAGCTTAGGAATTATTTTAAATTGTCAAATAAAACAGGGTTCCCACAAATAGATAAGTGCTTTTCTCTGTTACCTGTAATGCCGGTACTGGAAAAGTGGCCGAGCTCTTGGGCGGAAAGTGCTTAAAGGAGAATCTTCCCTACAAAACATGAATTGAACTGAACAACAGAGATGCAAGCTAAAAATCTATCACCATGAGCCAGAAACGAGACAAATAAATTTCAATCAATATGTGAAACCTCCTGTAAACAATTCTCCTTCCTTTACGTACATTTTGACTGTTACTCCAAGGTTCGTTCGTTAATCTGAATCTTAACCGTTCATTCCTTAGTAACTATGTATATGAATCATCTAATCACGGAAGTGCTATATAAAAAGGGATGAATCTGATTCACTAACGTCAATCTGTTATTTTCAGTTGTTGATCAGTCTCTTTATCTCATTGGTAACCTCTTTTGAGCAAACATCTTATGGTACCATCGTGAGGTGTCAAAATTGAAGTTCTTTAACACAAAGCAATCATACACTCAAGCTACCCAAGAACCACTCAAAGGTCTAGAATTTTGAAGTCTCAATCTAGCTGGTGAACCAGATAATAATGACCAGCTGAAGCAAACTGCAAGGTGGTCTCAACAAAATCAACAGAAAGAGGATTTCTAACAACAACAAAAAAATCATTCTGGATTATAACGAAGTCAATCAGTTGAGTTACAATCTCAAAAGTGGTCCTGACAGACAACGTCTTGCAAATAATGAGTTAATGACCCTGCTTCCATATTGCATCTGGATCAGGTAAATAGTAAAAAAATCTACCTGGATGTCGTCATCGGAGAGATATTTAATGGGCACACAAATTCATCCCAACTCGAAAGATACAAAACACAAAACCAATAAATAGAGGAAGAAGACACATACCATATCTGATGTGGTTCTGCTTTACAGCGCTTAGATGCTGTTATTGCTCGTAAGTGGGAACGAGCAGAAGCTGAAATTGTAATTGTAGAGACTGAAGAAGGCTGCAACAGCTGGTCAAGATAGGGCATATCAGCAGTGCCAAAATATTTCCAGGGTTGATCCTTCATCTTAGCTTCCATGTCTCCAACTAGCAGTGCTGCAGCACCCAACTCTAGCAAAGTATGTGTGCGCATATCCTCAAGAACAGAAGCACGATCACTGTGTTGCACACATTTTGACATGCACCAAAATTTAATTCATCAACCACGTCAGGTTAATTCATAAAGCACATCAATATAGCAACATAATAGCGTTATAAGATAAAGAAGCGTGTACAAAGATGTGTATCACCTTTCAGTGGACAATACTGAAAACCGATGATCTCCAGCCCAACGCCAGTTTAAAGCATCATATGCAATGTGATCAATGTCCTCCATTACATCAACTTTTTCCATCTTTGAAAAGTGTGAAACAGGCAAAGTAGCCGCATCTCTGATGTCTGAAGATTCAACATTATTTGCAGGGCTTAATTGGGAGTTAAAGGATTTACGCAAAAATGAAGATAATGCAGGAAGTGCCTGTCTTGATGCAGATGGGGACCCAGCAAATGCTGCCGGTTGAAATGACCTCTTTGGAACATGTTGAGCCACTAGAGAACGTATGTAATTTAACGACTTTACAAGTGCTCCGGAAGCAAAACTAGAAACAGGAAGAGAAGGCAAATTATGTGCAGAAGCAACAGATTGCTGAGCTGTCGACTGTGATAACGTTGCTGATCTTCGACTTGCACTGTTATCACACTCAGAGATTGTATTCACACAAAATCGGTCAATCTGAAGTAACGTCTCCTCGCTCGGTTTATATCTGCCAAACAAGAATAATCTATCATAAGCAAAGCCACAGGATTCAAAATGCCACATAACAATATCAGAAAAGACATAAACAGGACGACAGCAATCAGCGGTTAAATGCACAAAGTGATGTTCAGGACTTGATGCTTGTGTACTTTCATCATACAGAAGTGATCTAACTAGAGTCATTATGAATACCATTCAAGGCCAAAAGCAGTAGCCTAACACCATCACTGAAACTTTTACCGGCAGGGATTAAAGTAACTGCCGACCTACGTCTCTGGTCGCAGGATCAATCAAGCAATCAAACTTGACAGAGGCCAAGGGTTAGAAGCGGAACATATGGATAGAATCATAACCTTTTTATCCTAACATTCTCTCTTTATTGAACTCACTGGTTGAACCTATTAAGTTTAGTAACATTTATAATAACTTTGCGCAATAACATACCTTATAAGGTACCGCTTCAGAAGTCCCACACACCTCGCGACTACTGCAGGGCTGGCACATAGAAGTTCATATCAGTACTATAAGGCACAATCCACAATACAAACACCATTGTTAAATTTGCTCAAAACGAAGGTAATGCAAGAGCAATACAGATCACAAGGGAGTAAATAGAGCAGTAACAGAATCCAATAAAAGACTGCAGCAGCAGATACATGTAGATCTAACCGACACATACTTATATTACTTTCAAACAATGATGAGTTGCACTATCTAGAGTTAGATAACCTTTAGCAAAGTAGTCCCTATGAGGTGTGTGCCAATTGGCCAGTATGATTAAGCACTATAGATCCATAACCTCTCCAACTGACATTTCTTCTTATTACTGCTCATTTGGTTCAGAGCCAGCCTGTCCTATGTCAGCGGGAGTAGTTAAGAGCATAATGAAACTAACATGTTCCAGCAAGATCCATAGTTCCGCACCATTCTTCCACATTTCAGAAGACATCCACATGCATCAAACAGCACGCAAAACCAGTCCAACAACCCCATCAGTGGCCAGGCATGATGAAAAAGGACTGTGTTTGTAGAATTCTCAATTGCATGAGATAAGCAACAAGCATGGCGATTAAGCTACACAGCAGAACTTGAAGCATCCACTTAGTTGGAATGGGAAAAAGAGACTTGAACGGGACAGGGTTAGATATAAGCAACTAGACAAGTCACAAATTCTAAAGGTTAAGTACACCATCGCCCATCAGGTGTATCTCCAAAAGTGGGAACCAATAGCTAGGCTACTCAAGTTAATTGCACTTTCAAGCATCTTGCGTTCTCTATGGCTTAAAAGACCTTCATAACTATTTGAAATTATTCAACAATTACCTGCGCTCTCTCTCAGCAATCGTGTGTTCCAAAATTACACAATATGCCAGGTCAGTGGTTGCAGGGGATGCCAAGTAATCCTGCCAGTAGTGAATTGAAGAATTAGAATCAAAACTCCATCCACTTCAAGAAGAGAAAATCATCACATCGTTATTGACATAACGATGATGTGTAAAAGTACTAACTAATGGAATGACGATTTTGCTAAACATTTTCCTAGTGCCCTTTATTCCCTCCTTTACTATCACCCGATGAAAGAAGATGCTCCTCCATCAACAGGGGGAAAGGAAAAGGAGCTCCACAGATCAATTATATATATTTCAAGTATTAATAATGTGAGCGTTTATACCAAATTAAAGAGGGAAAGTGTGGAATTCAAGCATTTACACACTGTAACTGCCAAAAGTGCCATAACACTATCTATCTTATAGAATAAGATGACAGATATGCATCATTCCATGTCAAACATTTCTTCCCCATTAAACAACCCCGCCCCTTCCTCAACCCTCAGTTGATTCAACCATTACATTGACGCCCACAGACAACGAAAGAACACCGAGCAAAGTTAATGGAACCTCACGAAATGCTCAATTAAAACTACTCGATTTGGGAAAGACATAAAATCAATCACTCCCTTCATAGAGTAGCAGACACCACCGATCTCGTATTCAACACTCAAAGGTGTAACTGATATCCTAATCCTAATAGTGGGAGAAGCTACGTTCACAATTCATTCTCCTAATGGGCAGGCAAGGCAGGAAGCAACGGAACCCTCTTCACTATAAGCTCGAAAATTGCCTCTCATGTCGAGTCACACTTTTGCAACAACAAAATTAAACTGCACAAACTGCCCATCAAGGAAAGCAAGCAACTCCAACTCCCCCCAATTGAATTCAAACCTCGAAAAATTGAGATCCAAGCCTACAGCCAAAAAGCAAAGCAAACTAATTACTCACACGGAGAGTCCTGGAAGCGTCGAACAACACCACGGAGGGGCTGCCATGGTGCAAGCCGGCGACAGCGCCCCCGCCAGCAGAACCCGATGCGGAGGCGGAAGACGACAGACAGTCAGCGATGGCTCTCCGCAGAGGCTCCGGCGGCTTCCTCAGGGAAGAGGATCTCAGCCTGGAGCTCCCGATTAGAACAAAGTGCTGCTCCCTCTGTAACCTGGAGGCGACCGGACTACCCCGCGACGGACTGAACGCAGACGAAGACATTTATCTGCCTTCCCTCCTCCGAATCGCGAGAAGGCACACCACCACTGCTGCGGTCAGGAGCCAAAACTTCTGGAACCTTCCGTTTTTCCTTCTTCCCTTCTCCACTGTGGAAGCTCCTACATTTGCTGAATCACAGTTCCAAAAAAGAAGAGACCCCCTCTCTCTCCCTCTCTCGAGATCAGAAAACGAAAGCAGAGCAAAGTGGCCAAAGCCTATCGTCGTTTCTTCCTTCCTTCACAGCTCCTTCTGTGACCTTCTTCTTCCTTATACTCTGCTGCCTTCGTTCTCGTTGATGGTCCTGTTTGAATTTCTTTCGTTCGTCTCCTTTTCTTGTTCTTCCAGGGGTGGTGTGAAAAGGTGAGGGAAGAACGGGAGGAAAAAATTTTAGATTGGAAAATAATTTTAATTAAAAAATAAAACAGAATCGCCTCTTCTCTCTGAAATTTCGGGGCGTTCTTTGTTTAACTTTGTTAATGGATGAGCTGGAAGTATAAGCGTAGTTTTATGACAGAGGAGTTTCTCTCTAATTTTTCTTTTTGTCTTTTTTTGGGTTATTAGCTGGCAAGCGCTAATGTTTTGGTTTCTCCTTTTCATTTTTCAATGACCACTCCACTCGCCACTTTAATTTACTCTTTTCCCTTTGTTTTTTGATTAACCGAATTATTAAAATTAAACAGTCGTTAGCACTGTAATTGTAGAGATTAGAGAAAGAGGAGGGGAGTATTTGCCGTCTTGGGTTCTTGGCTTCGGTGAAGGAGACCATTATATTTTATTAACTATTTAATAGTATATTCCAGACATCTTTCAAAGTTACTGTTTATTTGGGTCTCCGGTCTCACTCTCACCTCTCGCTGGAGACTTCCACTCCTCAGTCCTCACTGTAATTTTAACTTTCTAGTGTAATTTTTAATTTTAGCTTTTTAGTCCAGGAAAGGAAATGATGTCATAATATGATATTTTTAGTGGGTGGATAATCGTAGTTTCCTTGAGTTTCCTTTCATGGGGATTCTTTTTTGTTGCTTTGTTAAGATTCTCTTGAATGGGTTAACCATTCAAACACTAGTTGTTTTGGACCACGAGTGAATCAATTTAAAAGTTTGATAACAAAGTAAAGTTAACAACACAATTTCATCTTATGGTGGCTAACTCAATTATATTTTGCTTATGCGTAGCGGTTAAAATATAAAATGACCGACACTGAAATGATTGACGATTGGTATCCAAAGTTGCGTTATAATGACAACTTTCGTTATTGCTTATTATTTTTATGTTTTATTTTATAATACAAATCACATCATAGTTCATGTCGATCACTAGAAAATGATTTGCAAATTCCATGCTTAGCAAATATTGGTTCATAAGTAGTTGCACTTAGTAATCATTTATTAATAACGAAGGTGATGAACTTATTATCTTCAAACATATTCTCATTAAGAATGAGTTTTCATAATAAAGAGGGATCTTATATAATAATAGAAAATATAAAGTAATAGAAAGGCACATTTGTTACCTCTTCATATATAAGGACTTCCATGGCAAATTTAAAAATTAGATCGGTCCAACCCCACATTCTTAAATTGGGCTGACCTTAAGCCCAGTAGACATCGCAGTCCTATGAATTAAAGGCAAACTGGGCCCAGCTCAAAACAGACAAGCTATTAGCCCGTTACATTTAGATGGATCACAGATGAGCCTTAATCTTATTCCCGTTCTGCCCCTCAACGGTCTCGTCGAACCCGATCTTTTCCAAAACCTCACCCATCATCACCATCCTATTACGAGCGTACACGTGTCCGTTCCACTTCCTCCTGGCCAGCTCCTCCCCCAATTCAACCGCCGCCGCCAATGTCCCCTCAGCGCTATCGTGCGCCGAGTGCACAATCCCTCGTTCCGCCGCCGCACCCGCCGTGACCTTCGCCGCCCGCAGCACCAGATCCCTCCGCGCAGCCGCGTCCCCGATCTTACACTTGAGCACCGACATGAACCACGCCGAGACCACCAGCCCGATGTCGACCTCGCTCATGTAGATGAACCCTCGGTCCCTCCGCATGAGGACGTAATCGTGGCTCAAGGCGAGGATAAACCCCGCCGCGGCCGCGTGGCCCGTGACGGCGGCGATTGTCGGCATGGGTAGCGTGATGAGGTCGGCGACCACTGAGCGAAGCTTCGCTGACATGAGCTGGAAGGGATTTTGGCCTCCGGGAGTTGCCGAGGCGGCGGCGACGGCGGAGGGGGTTTCGGCCCAGGCCAGATCGTAGCCGTTGGAGAAGAATTTGCCTTCGGCGGTGGTGATTAGAACGGAGGAAGGGTTGGCTGGTTCGGCATGAAGCCGGCGGAGGGCCGACTGGATGGAGTCGAGGAGATTGGGGTTCAGCCGGTGCTCGCCGGCGCCGGTCAACGTGAGGATGTAGACGTTACCTCGCTTCTCTAAAGTACACATTTCTCTCCGATTGTTATCTTCAGATGAGCCTAAGCCTCGGAGTGCGAGCCAGGAAATCTGCTATGAAATAGAGCTTCTCAATCCTCAAATGAAAAATGAATTCGGAGATCCCTATGCTTGGATAACAGAGTGGCGACAGTCATTTATTATTCGAACAGAGTGAGAAACGGCCATATTATGAGACAGCTATTGATAGGTACCCTTGACCGGCAATAGAACAGAGTAAGGAAGAAGAAAAACAGAGTAAAAAACAGAGAATAGAACAGAAGAACAACAATGTGCAGCTTAGAGAAGAAAGAAACATATACATCCTCACTCTAAGAGGGTCGGTGGAGCTTATGGGAATTGTGGGAATCGTGGAGATGTTTTCTGGCAAGGAATTATACGGTATGATATTGATAGTGTTTGGTTAGCACACTGTATTATAGAGAAGATGGTGACGTTCATCTGGTTATGTCCTCCGCCATAACCAAGAAAATCGAGACTACGACATACACAAATGATACATATATATATATAGATATGGCCTGAAACGGGTTATTACTGTGGCCTCAACAACAAATATGTACAATCCTCACCTGAAGAAAAGGATGAATTGCCTGCTAAGTATTACAACAAGGGCTTTGGGTTGACATATCCAGTGTGAGTTATTTCGAAGGAAGAGAGCCAGTTGATCTCGGATGGCATTCGTAGTTTTGTACTACGACCTCGATCAGCTCAGGCTTGGGATCGGTTACCGGGCCATGGAAGTTCGCGTTGTTCCTACCATCCCATTAGTGCTTTCCTGACTCTGTTCACTACCTTGCTTCTGGATTCAGGGCTTGACAGCGGGAACTCACAGCTCTCATCCAAGAGAAATCTGTAAACTTCCCACTCATGATCCTGGGTCGAGTGCCTTCCGATTTCAGCCTACAGAATTTTCCCAGTGGTGTGAGGAAACTTATCCGTGTTTTAAGCATATCGGAACAGATGAAAATCAAAATAGACAAAATGGGGAAGCAAGACAAGTGTGTGAAGAACCTACCGAGAATATGCATATTCCAGACTTTCTTAGAGCTGTTGTAACGTCATAGAAAACACGCGGTCTTCCCTTACCAGATAATTCGACCGGGTTGGCAACCAAAAGCTCGGTATCTGGACCTCGGCTAACAATGATCACCCGAAGCGGATGAACAATCGCCAGCTTTAAACGAGTGCACAAGATATCGAGATGCTTAGGATCCACAATCTTCTTCCCGTTTGTTTGCTGAATGATCAAATCTGCATTCCGAATTCCTTTATTGCTTTGAGCGAATCTACCGTAAGCTACCTAAAGTGAACGGACAATAGCAAAATTATCAGCATCCGAGAATTGCAAGCATTAACCAGCAAAATGAAAAACCTGATCGGGCGAAACATTAAGTAGGAGCAAAAAGTACCCATATATTGCATTCCTTTGAAGCCCTCAAGATGTCATAAAAGAGGCCTTTCTGATCAACACACTCTATTTGGAGCAATGTATGAGCAGGACTCAACTGATTATCAACTGTAATGGTGGCCTTCTCTCTCTTTTCACCCTTTTGTTCACCTGAATCCGTTTCAAAGAGATCAGGACCAAACAGCTCTTCTGCAACGGCCTCTGGGATGGACGAGAAAGCCCGTAGGGTTTCATACTCGGGCCCTGCCACTTGCAGCTCACAGTCGACACAGTTGTCTTTAAACACATCGACCAAATATCTGCATGTATCATCTTGCCTTTGTTTGGTGTGCAAAAGCTCCCTGGAAATGGTGAACATAGTAGTCAATATTTAGAATGCAAAATGGACATCCTTCCAGGTGCCAAGGATGTTTTTTGAATTTTGATCATTCGGCAAACTAAAGCGATTCCAGAACTTCTGAAACATATGAGATAAGAGTTTCTAGTATCTGTTCAAGTCTCACAGCACTTCAACGGACCAAAATACGAGTGCTATCACAATATAGGCACTCTTCAAGTTAGTAATAACTAATAAGTTCCATCAGTCCTTCAGGTTGAGTAATTGAAGAGATTCTGAATGCAGATGCAAGATCACTACACAGGTTCCCAATGAAGCTATAGCAAATTAAGGCAAAAATGACGCACGAAACAGGATCAGGCAAGGCAAATATAGTAATCAAAACTTTTGACAGAATCCTAAAGATCAACAGAAGAAGCACTTGTGTGCATGATGCAAATGAATATGTATGAAAAAGCTGTTGTAAAGTTTTGATTTTCGTTAAATGGGGACCCTATCTATGCCTTATGGAAAACGAAGATTGAAGATTGACACACAACACAATTGCAACCTATGTCGACCAAAAAACAAACATTCAGTTGAAATTGCAGCTGACAATGAGAATCCAGCAGCAAATTCAAGTTACACCCAAGTAAACTCATAGAAAGGTCCACCATCCCCATGAAACCAGGCAACTCACAAGGTGTCTGTGATCAGAAACAAGTCCACAACTCGATTGTCTGGAGTCGTCGTAACTTTCACTCTCTGGATCGTCAACTCGAGCTCCGTGAGAACTTTGGTCACATCTAAACACAGAAACAAAAGGAGAGGTATGTAAGTATGAAGAAACAAGTGCAGAGCACAAAAAACAAAAGTGGTCAAACTTTGTTCTTCTGTAGCATTTATACCATGGAGCAACCCTTTTCTGTCAGCACAAAAGATCTTCAAAAGGTACAAAGATGAGGGACCATTTGACTTCTTTCCAAAATAGTAAGGACCCAAGCAGGAAGGGGTTTCATAGTAGACCCGATTCTTCAAGCTATCCCAATCAACTCGATGCGAGCTCGAGTATGGCGCCACCCAGAACACCATATAACACCATCTCCCGTCCGTCGAGAAATCTTCACATTCATCAGAAACCAAAATCCACCATTCACGAAAAAGTAACCAAAACCAGAATTCAAATGGGAATTTAAATAAAACAAAGGAAGGGAATGAAAGAGAAGAGAAGAGAGTACCTGCTCGATTAATTCGAAGGCCGAAATCCAGAATTATGCGGCAGATATCACAGCCGAGACCCGCTTTATCTGGGCAATTGACGGTGACGACGGTGGGGTCGTCGGGGGTCTTCGCCGGCTGAATCAGGACGACGTCCTCGCTCGTAATGCCCATGCCAGTTACAGTATTGAAGACAAATCTTCCGCTGAACCCTCCCTCTCTTTAGGACCGTCGATTTGGCCGGGGGAAGAGAATGTCAGATTTCCGAATCCGGCGGAAGAGAGGGCTGGCGGCGGCGGGGCGATACGAGGCGGAGGCCGGGAGAAGGGTTACGGCGAATTCCTGGATTTGGAGAAGCGGTGGTGGTGGTGGTGGTGGAGAGGAAGGTGGACATAGAAAAAGAGATTTTGAGGCTGTCGTCTGCCCTGTCGGTTGAAATGGATGCGGGCCCCGCAAAGGGATGGCTTCCTAGTCAGCAACAGAGCATAGCCGGAGACACGTACTCTGTCACTGGCACGATCTAAAATCCGGGTGCCGGAGGTGGATTCTGCGTTATGCACCCACCGGCGGGGAGCAAAATATCGTCAATAATTCACTACCAAAAAAAAAACAAAAAGTATATATCCATCTCCATCGTCAATATATATTAATTAATTATTGAGTAGCTTGGTCGAAACACAAACAATTATTAAGTACCAAGTTGAAAATTTTGACGGTATGCTCGCCTGCTTCTGTGCACAATTGGATTGGACCCCCTAAATTTAGGGGAAAAAACAAAACGTTTTGGACTCACTTTGCACTCATTATTGGACGACCCATTATGATTTAACCATGACCACTACTAATTAAAATTTTGTGTCAAATGTCGCTGATAACAATTTTGTTTGTTTATTGATAATTATGGAGTTGATTACATAGGGATCATTGAACAAGGTTGATACACTTTTTCACCCCCTTCTAGGTAGAGCATAGTTAGTAAATACTCCATTTAATACACGTATATGTACCCGTACGTACTTTATCCGTTTAAAACTTCCGTATCCGTATTATTGTCAAGCCGTTTCATTTTTTCCGTTCATTGGATGACTCCCGTATTAAACATGTATAAAACCCGTATAACACGTTTAATATCCGTATTTAATGAATTAAATTGTGAACTTTATTATTATTTTATATTTATTTATTTATAAAATAATTTATTTTTATATATTTATTACTATTAACATACTATTAAACGTACCTTTAGCTTAGAGACGACGTAAAATACCCGTAAGTATTTTTTACTTAATTTTCCCGTACCGTATTTCACTAATTAGAGTCAAAGATTTCGTAGGTGTGGACTGTGGACGAATTACATTGGGAAACGTTGACCCGATAGCCATTCAGTCGGGCTTCAGATATCTCTTAAACCAATTACCGTTTAGTTTGTATGGGCCCATATGCCAGCAGCCCACTAGTTCCCGATCCATGAATCCATTACACAGAACGGTTGTTGTTCAACCCAAACCCGAGCTCCAGGAAGGAGAATCGACGAACATCAATTCCGTCCCCAGCTTCTGGTTTCCAGTCTTCTTTCTTCCTCCTCATATCCCGTCTTCAGCCTCGGAGCAGCCATTTCCCGCCGGTGCATCCTTACGAAGTTAGAAGTGAACTCAAAAGCTGACCAGCCTATGCCATAGCCGAAGTTGCCTCTAAACCCTGATAGGGTAAAATGGCTGCCAGATTGAACCACTCAATTCAGAACACTCTCTCCCTCTTAAACCCTCTCTGTTCAGTCACTACGAAAGTCACCCACTTCAGGAATCGCCTTCCTTTCCACCGGAGCTTCCTGCTTTCTTCTTCCTACTCGGAAAAAAGAAGAGCCCTTTTCTGTTCTTGCGCCACGAGCGGCGCCGCGGATACCCGAAGGGATGGAGGAGAAGCCGCAGCAGGGGAGACATTTGTTCTCACGACCCCTCTTTACTACGTCAATGCCGCTCCCCACATGGGCAGCGCTTACACAACAATCGCTGCTGATGCCATAGCCCGGTTTCAGGTCTGAATTTCGGGGGTTTTTAACTCTCTTCCTCCCGCCTATTGTTTGCCGCAGTTTGTGGGTTTATCAAGGTTTCTGGATTTCATTGAGAAATTAAAATGGCAATGGGCTATTTGCATCAAACTAATGTCTTGTTGCAGAAGAACTAAATTGTTTCTTCGTCGATCAATTGACAGAGGCTTTTAGGAAAGAAGGTTATCCTGGTCACTGGCACGGATGAGCATGGGGAGAAAATTGCTACTGCTGCTGCTGCCTGTGGGTCTAGCCCAAGTGAGCATTGCGACATTGTATCTCAAGCATACAAGAGCCTGTGGAAAGACGTGCGCGCTTTTTTCTACCTCCACTTGTTGCGTCATGATTTGCTTATTGCCAATGTATTAATGGCTATATAGACCGTTCATTTTGATTGAGTGCAGTTGGACATTTCGTACAGCAAGTTCATTCGAACTACTGATCCCAAGCATGAAGCCATCGTGAAGGAGTTCTACTCGAGGGTACTTGCCAATGGTGACATTTATCATGCCGACTACGAGGGGATGTACTGTGTCAACTGTGAGGAGTACAAGGTTCCTGTTTCATCATTCTTATCTGTCTCTGTGTCTTATAAATATGTGTTTAATTTTTATCAAAGAAAAAATCGTTTTAATTGAATGGAGAATATCGCATCATCTTTAGTTCTGTACTACGGTGTACAACGGTGTTGATTGTTAGTGTCATAATTTTGCGCCTCTGTATTTCTACAGGATGAGAAGGAGTTGCTTGAAAACAAATGCTGCCCGGTGCACTTAAAACCATGTATACAGCGCAAAGAGGAAAACTACTTCTTCGCCTTGTCTAAGTACCAACAAAAATTGGAAGAAACTTTGTCATCAAATCCGAATTTTGTGCAGCCTTCATATCGTTTGAATGAGGTAAGAGAATTGATGTTGCATTACTCACGATATAGTTTCTATTCAAATTAAATGTTCTTAGGCCAGAATAATAGTGTAGGTATGGATTCTGCTCTTGGCATGCTATGAAGTTCTCTCCATATGTTCAGAGAAGCTTGTGTTTGTCAGTGCACCTTGTGCTAAAGCCTGATTTTGTCATATTAACTATTTTAGGTGCAAAGTTGGATTAAAGGTGGCTTAAAAGACTTTTCGATTTCTCGAGCATCTGTGGAGTGGGGCATTCCAGTTCCTAATGACAAACGACAGACTATATATGTTTGGTTTGATGCTTTACTTGGGTATGGTGCTTTCCTTTCCATATATTGATAATGTAATGGTCCCTTGTGCTTTTCTTTCGATATCTTGGGTTAGTACACACTCTGAGAAAGCAACTTCCAACTGATCCTTACCTTTTAACTGGCAGTTATATATCAGCTCTTGCAGAGGAGAATGGTCAGTCTAGTTTACAGGAGGCTGTTTCCTCTGGTTGGCCTGCAGCACTGCACTTGATTGGCAAGGTACAATGGTTTCTATCTGCACATTCACAAGACTTAACAACTGTTGTTTTCCTCCTTTAATGCTTGCGTGCTTGTTTTGCAGACTATGATAATATTTCACTGTTTCTTCTTGCAGGATATTTTGCGTTTTCATGCAGTTTACTGGCCAGCAATGCTTATGTCTGCTGGACTTGACCTTCCAAAGACGGTATTTGGGCATGGCTTCTTAACTAAGGTATGTTATTCTATAGCATTGATGAGCTGAAGGTTAGGACTAGGAGTGCTAGAATTTTCTTGTCAATATCTCACCTTTTTTTTGGACCTTGATGGTAGTAATGGCCCTGGAATAGGAGTAGATTTATTGGGGGCTTTTGCATTTGCTGCCTCTATCATTCCAAGACGCTTAACTTATGTTCTCTTGATAAACCAGAAGTCTTTAGTTAAAAGAAAACTAGAAGAACAACTTCAACCTTTGGTAATCAGCAATCTCAGGGAGGTGATTTGTGACAGTATGGTGAAGTGAATCGTTTTTTAGTACATTGTGGTTTCGGGACTAAGATACTTACAACTGCGTTACTGTTATCTGATCAAGTGCTAACTGATTGAGACTGTGTTGGGGTCTCAGAAAATGCAAACGGTAATATTTTATCTTTGGTACTCAGTATACTTAAATGGATACAAATTAAATTATGAAAGCTGTCTTTGTGATGATATTGAGTGAATGATGCCTGAGCTGTTCTTTCCTTTTTCTCTTTCAGCTAATTTTATTTTATGCAGCAACTTCTTTTTATTTTGAAACTTATTATAGGACGGCATGAAGATGGGGAAGTCATTGGGAAATACACTTGAACCAAATGATTTGGTCCACAAATTTGGGTCTGATGCAGTCAGGTACTTCTTCCTTAGGGAAGTGGAATTTGGTAATGATGGTGACTATTCAGAAGATCGTTTCATTAACATTGTCAATGCACATCTTGCCAATACCATAGGTAATTGGTGTTGGTGAATATTGTCACAATTTGTACTAAATGACTACATGTGGAGGTTGGAATTTTGCAAGAAAGATGAAAAACACTCATCGTATGGGGAACTGACATTAAAACCTTTCAATTATGGCATGCAGGAAATCTCCTTAATCGCACTCTTGGACTTCTGAGAAAGAATTGTGAATCAACTTTGGTGGTAGATTCAGCTACTGCAGCTGAAGGAAGTGCCTTCAAGGACACTGTGGAAAAACTTGTAAAGCTCCATGACAGGATTATCTTTATGTCTTCAGATCCACTATTGTCTTAACATTGGCTAAGAATTCACTATTATCTGTTTTTAATAGGTTGAGAAAGCCCGCATCCAGTATCAAAATCTGTCTCTCTCAGCAGCATGCGAGGCTGTGCTCGAAATTGGTAATGCTGGAAACTTATACATGAATGAACGTGCTCCGTGGTCTCTATTTAAGCAGGGTGGAGCTGCTTCAGAAGCTGCTGCCAAGGTATAACTTAATTGATTTTCTTGCATCTTGACAATCTTTGAAGTAAATAAAGCCAGGAAAGGTTCAAGGAATAGCTGAGTACCACATGTTGGCCCCCATTTTCCCCGCCATCTAACTTATACGAATTAACCTTGAACTGAACATCTTTAGATTCCTTTAAAAAAACATATTTTGAATGGTTAAGAATGGGCAGCTTGATCATTGAGTGGTCGTGTGCAACAGGATCTTGTGATTATTCTGGAAGCAATGAGGATCATAGCCATTGCTTTATCCCCTGTATCACCAGGCTTGTGCTGGAGAATATATGAACAACTTGGTTTTTCAGAGGATCAGCTTGCAACCGTTACTTGGGTAAGCCTATTTCTCTGTTTCCATGCCAATCATTGGAACTCAAATGATATGCTGTGGTTAAAGTGCCATGCTTCCTGATTCCCCTCAATGCAGGATGAGACCAAGTGGGGTGGGTTGAAAGGTGGTCAGGTAATGGCTCAACCAAATCCTGTTTTTGCAAGGATTGAGAACCCAACAGAAGTGGCAACCGGCACCGAATCATCAGCAGCTAAGCCGGCAGTGAAAACCAAGAAGAAGAATAAGCCTCAGCCCCAAGTAGCTGCTGAGGCTTAGGCTGAAATCAAGGCGCTTTCTTCCCTTTGTAGTAATGGTTCTTTCATGTCTTGAGCCGTGATATTATTGAATCATGGAACTTTCTCTGCATAAGGTTGTTAATTACCTTTGAATTTAATCCATCGGTTTAGTTTAGTTTGTTCATCTCGATTCTCTCTCAACAAGGTAAGATTTTATAATTTCATCATTCATCAATGAAAAAGTTACACCATTCATTTAAAAAAAATGATCTATCCAACCAACAATACTTCTATCAAATAGTATTTCACTAATGTCAAATTCTGTACGGCCAAAAATCGTTCTAGTTGTACTACAATTGCCCTAACCTTAAAATGCAAATTACTTAGCCGTTTCATCAAGCAAAGAGAAACTAACAAAACAAGCATACCATTATAAATCTCCATCTTCTCCTTTTTCCCCCTCTGCCGCCTTTGTAAATTTGGCTTCACTATCATTCGGGGTATGTAAGTTAAGGTGGGGCGGGTGCGAACTTAATTCGATATACTAGTAGATTGAGAGGGGACTTAAGCTGGTTTTGCCGTTGTGGTGCTCAACACCCCACATAAGCTCATCTCACGTATTACCACCGATCAATTCAGGTACGACTTTCAGACAATTTCAGACCAAAATTCATTATTGATGAAATACATACCTCATCTTTTTAACTCATGGTTTCTGCGGAGGGAGCGGATGGTAAGCGGTGGCAGTCAGTGGCCAACAACCGACAATAGCAAGGGAGAAAGTGCTCTATTTTGTCGTTGCGTGTTGTTTGTTATTTTTTAAAAATAAAAAATATAGTACCGAAATAATCTTAACTTTTATGTTGTGATGAATTAAGTGAAAATTACTGCCATATCTAATAGTCTTCTTCCAAAAGTTTACTTCTGTAGTCAAAGAATTTTCTATCTAGTGAAATTGACTTGGCAAATTTATTAAAAATATTTGACTAATCTAAAGGGTATTTTATTTTCATCTTTTGACCGTTTCTGCGACACGTTTCCTTTTCCCAGTTCGGAATTTCTTTTCCCGTTCATCGACAGTTGAAACCACGACCATACTCGTCCAAGCGCCTTCCCCCGCCCGTCCTCCTCCCGTCGTCAGAATCACTGACTTTCCCATCCGATCCACTCGTCGTCTTACACGCTGCCTTCTCCTTCTCCCTCCCCTTCCTTCTTCCCTTCCACTGTCTAACAGATCGTCGTCGTCTCCTGCTTTCTCTCCGTAAGTCTAATTTTTCTTCCCCTAATGGAGTTTATACAAATTTTTGTTGGACGAATGTCGTTAATGGTCCTTGATTTTGTTTCTACTTCATGAAAAAATGGATCAATTCTAAATTAACTTCTTATCACCCTCTTACCGAGAAGATGAGTCAGGAAATGTGATTAGTTTTTTTGCTTCTCTGACACAAATTGAAGAGAAGTGTGGATTAAGGGTTTTGCCGTAACAGATTGGGAATATTCGTCACTATTTCTTAGAATGTGGAGCTTTCTGCCCAATGCAAACCACTTCCCTTTTACCTTCTTTCTTCAATTTCTGCCTTCCCGTTGGTAAACCCTTCGAAGTCAGATAATTCTATACATGGATAACAGCATAATTGAGCAATGTGTGCTTCTGAAAGAATGTAGTTTTGGTGAATCTATTTTTCTCAGCTCTGCTTCCTTGATTAGGTAATTGACATGATATGCTGTGCATTAGCAGAGTTGGGTATATAATTATCAGTTAAAAAATGCGGCCACATAATTTTTTCTCCAAAAATGATTTGCCTGTCTAAAGCGCGTAAGAGGAAAAAATCTACCCAAGTTAAAACTTGTTCTTAGATTCCGTCTGTTCCTCTAGTTTCCAGTCACAAAAGCCAAATTATTAATCTATTGAGAGATGCAGAAAGGGATCGATTGACGAGGAAGATAGAAGGCTGAGAGCAGATCTATTTGATACGAGATAGTTGGGGGCTTATCAGCTTCTCTTGTTAACTGGACCTCGATTCGACTGCCTCACTCACCTTCACCGAGTTCACCAAAGAGAGGAAAGAAGCTTTTTCTAGTTTCTGAACAAACAGTTTGTTGTGACATTTTTTGAAGGTACTTCTCAATGTAATTTATGGCATTCCGTTAGTTTCATCTGCGGTTTCTCTTTGTGTTCCTCTAGTTTAATTCAGCAAATGGACACAGTTACAGATAAAAAATGATGGGCGAAGATCTTGGAGTGGAAGCCAAGGAGGCTGCTGTACGTGAGGTTGCCAAGTTGTTACCACTTCCAGAGCTGTTGCTGTCGATTGCCTCTATCAAAGCTGATTATATTTCACGGCAACAGGTTCATTGTCTGCTTATGTTTTATCACTATGATTAATTGTTGCATTTTTCATTAGGGTTTCTTGCTTTATGCATTTCTTTGTGTTCTTCTTTGAAGAATTCATACCATGTATCTTACATTTCTCACATTTAAATACATTTCCAGGCTAATGATGCTCAGCTTAGTACAATGGTAGCGGAGCAGGTATTGGTGGAATACATACTATAATTGCATCATTATTATTTGTTATTTACTCATCTTTCATGTTTTGTGCCTTTAATGCCCCAGTGCTATAACATGTAGGTTGAACAAGCACAATCTGGCTTGGCCTCACTTTCCTCATCTCAGACGACGATAAACCAACTTCGTGAGAACTTTATTGGCATTGAGAGGTATGCTTAGATGACATGCAATTTTAGAATCTAATCTTCGATTTGAGTTCAAACATGATAAAACGGAACACTGTCTGTATGACTCATAATACTATTTTATTTTGCTTGTTAAGAATGCTTTAGAATGTGCTCCAGTGTGCTACATGAGTTTTTTTTTATAATAGTCCTTTAAACATGCAGCTTAGTTTCTTCTGGTTTGTTTCGTCTGATTCTGTGCCAATTTATCAGGCTTTGTCAAGAGTGTCAAACCTTAATTGACAACCACGATCAGATAAAGCTCCTTAGCAATGCGAGGAATAACCTAAACATGACCTTGAAGGTGAGACAGTTTCAAACAAAATTGGAATTTGCAGAAATGAAGGAATCAATTCCTTTTATGAGTGATGGTCTTTTGATTGACAGAATTACTTGACGTCACTGCAGTGTTGTACTTGGTTTTCTCTCAAGTATTTTGCTGTGTGTGTGGTTCCAATATACATTTTGATATGAAGTAGATGAAAGATATGGATTTTGGAAACTGAAGGGCAATATATTGTTTCCTGCTGTATGAATTGTAAATACTTTATGGTTATAGACTTGTATCTAAACTAACAGTGGTACTGGCTTTACATGATGCATTTAAAATTGAACTTAACCGGCACTTGTGTAATGTTGGGCTTTAACCTTAAGACTGTGCTTATCTGTTGAATTGCTCATAAAAATGGTTTGTTTTTTATAGCTACCTCGTGGACTTAAATCTAAACTCAAGGTCTGATGAGAATCTAGATGATTTATGCACAATGTTCATCCTAGGGATGCAATTGATGCCCCGCTCTTCGCGGAATAGGTTTAGTCAACTTACAGCTGTTATTAAGAACACCCTATTGGCAAGAAGAGCTCTCCATCTTGAAGTTAGATGCAGAATATCAGAATCGGACGTTTTCTGCAACAATCCTTTCCTGACAGGGATTTGGAGAAGATGATTCATTTTGTCCATTATTGATTTAGGATGTCTTTGAGTTGAGGGAACTTTCTCTTTATATTTCCAATCAGGAGTCAGTATTTATTTCCTGGTCGTAGAAGACTCGGTTCCTAGTAGTAGTAGTAGCAGTTCATTCTTGTTCTGTCAGCCTCTCTGTATAAGAAGGCTTTGTAGTAACAGTTCTTCTTTTTAGACATCAGAATCAATATGAAATTTTCAGAGTTTTGCAAGACACATTCCTGTGTTTTCTATAGCTTGTCAACTTTGAGTTGTGGTGCCAAACCTGTCTGACCTTTCGCCTACTGATGTGGTGGTATGTATTCCTTCCTACATATGAGAAACCCTAGTTTCTACTCTCCTTAAGCTCCAGCTTCCCTGTTTAAAGAATTTTAATGCAACCCTAGGTACATCAATGTCTCAACTCCAAATTAATTGATTTTTAGTTCTTGCATTTCCGCACAACATCTCTACTTTCTCTTGAGATTCAGACGAATAAGTTAGACTACAGTATGCTAGTTGACAATGTACTGACTGTCAATTATGTAAGTTTAAAAACTTTAGCACTTGAGGCCTGTATGGTGAAATGATGGATGAGATATTCATTCTGTAGTTTGGCAAACTGTGAGATGGTGAAGCTGTTTTTACTGACGCGCTTTCGACTGTTTGGAATATAAACCGTGTTGAATATGTTGAGCCCTCGGAAGATTATTCTTCTTATATCACTTACACTATGAATTCAGGATGTCGAGGGTATGATGTCAATATCTGTTGAAGCAACAGAGGCACGAGATTCGTTGAGTGATGATAGAGAACTTGTCAATACTTATGAGGTAAACTGATATTTCCTTGTTTCTAGCCTTGAAGTTTTACTTTCTTCCAGATAAAAAACTTTGGGGGTATTTTTGTTTGTCATAGAGGTTAACAGCTCTCGACGGGAAGCGAAGGTTTGCATTGGCGGCCGTAGAATCTCATACTGACGAGGTTGGAAAATTAAGGTTTGTCTTTTTTTTACCTTACCAAAATTTGGGGGGCTCCTTGTCCTGTCCTGTTCCAACTGGTATTTATTTCACATGATTACCTTAGCTTGAGTATTATAGTAAAGGCACACTCCTATTCGTAGATGAAGGTCTACAGGGTCATTTGTTTTTTCAGAGGGTTACTTCCCCTTTCCAAATTTACAGAATAGGTTATTGGTATGGCAGTTTGTTCACTGTAACTAAAATTTCGAAGGGAACAAACATATGTGAAGTTGTTGATAATATGGTTTGGTTTCAATTGGAATTGTCCAACCAGTTTTCATGTTTACATTTTAATGTGAACTCGAACTAGAAGCAGTCTCTGTCTCTGAATGTTGATGGTTGAGTTCTTAACATCTGAAGAACTGACAAATTCAATCCCTCTGAATTTCTGGAGCTAGTTAACTTTCTCATGATTGTTTCCCTTACTAGTCTCTCTTTTGCCTTCATTTCGATCTTCATGCTGTATGGTTACATTTGTTGGGTTGAGGTTGATTGGCTGATTCTTATGGGCAGAGGTAACACCTATTCTTGTTTCTGGGTCTAGGGAATATTTTGAAGATGTTGATCAGAGTTGGGAGAACTTTGAGAAGACATTATGGGCCCATGTAGCCAACTACTACAAGCTTGCAAAAGAAAGGTAAATCATAAGGTTTCTTTGACCTTTTCCCTTTGTTTTTCAGTGTGTTATTGTGGAATTAGCATATGAGCTGTCAATATCCCATCTTTTGCAGATATAGCATAAATTTCAAAAGCATGCACAAGAAACCTAATAATGCGTTTTTCTTTTGTTTGCATCTTTCAATGGAAGTCTCTCCATTAGGATATTTACCATTTTTTCAAGTTGGATATGAGAGCACTCTGTCTGGTTGAGGTTATTTGTCTTTAACTTTTGATATACTGTTCTCTTTTGCTAATATCAAATAGGGCTGCTTGTGAATGCGAGTTTTATGCTTTGAATTTTTTTACTGTAGATGTCGATTAATCATGTTCTTCTTTTCTTGTGCAGCCCACAAACGCTGGTTCGTGGTTTGAGGTATGTTGTGTGGCAAGATTTTTTTCATATTTAAATGCTTGAGTCATTTTGATAGAAATAGCCGTTAATTTTTTATAATTCGTATTGTGTTATTAAAAAAGGGGGAAGATTGATTTTATATGCTAGTAAGAAAGTACTGCTGGAAGCAACTTTTGATTCCCAACGATACCTTAGCTGATCTTCTTCTTGAAGCCACTATACAAGCCTATATAACTATCTTAACAGATAGCCGTCCTTGCAACTTGCATTCTAAAATCAAAGAGTTACTAGGTGGTAGAAATGCTCCTAGCCCTTCCACAAAATCTCTTGGTACCCATTGTATTATCCGTTTCTTTAGATATCTCTTCTTGATTGGAAGTGAAATGGTCTGAAATATGCAGAAGGTCAAGCTCAGGGTGGTTGAACGTATTTGCATGACATGCATCTGAAACATTCTAATGAAGGCTATTTCCTACCTTGTTATAGGGTCGTTGAAATGCAAGAAATTCTAGATCAACAAATTGCGGAGGAGGCAGCTGAAGCTGAAGGAGCTGACGCGGTGACACCAGTTGCTAATCCTCGTCGATCAGCGAAGTACCTACTTTGAAGTCATTTGATGTTCAGTTTGTGAAATTCTATCACACTGACAGTTTGAAGCTGCATTTCTCCTTTCCTCTTGAAATGGCTGTGTGACTGATTAAGGATTAATTGTGATGAAGCAGAAAAACTACTGGTGCAGCAGCTGTGAAAAATGTCACCCAACAGAAAGTAAAATCTCAGGGAAAAGGTTATAAGGATAAATGCTATGAGGCAATAGGGAAAGCGGTGGAGGAACGGTTTAACAGGCTGTTGACTGAGGTCTCTAAAATTGAGTTGTTTTTGCACGACTAGGTTCTGTAAATTCTTTGTCTAACCATTGTTTATCATGCAGCTAGTATTCCAGGATCTGAAAGCTGCTTTAGAAGAAGCTCGAACGGTATGCATAATTGAGTCCCCTACATAGTTATCTTAACATATTCTTGTAGAGTTTAGTGTGTTGATCTAGTTAGTATAGTCTGAGTTTCTTAGCCCACAATACATAATTTGTTTATGCATAATTAGCCCACTCGTCTGATGTAACCCAAGGATTCAACTGTCATGTAAGTCTACCTTAGAATAATTCTGCATAATTGTAGTTTTCTTTCAAATGTTTGTTCTATATGCTCCTCCACTAGCATTTCTCTTCTTCTGCATTCATACTCTCTCCCTGTTTAGGTTTCTGTACACAAGACTTCTATTTTTGCTTGGATGGGTTCATGCTGTCATGTTGCCTTTAGTGGGTATCATCATTGTGCTCGTTGTTTTGCATTTAGCTAGGTGATTCATAGTGAATTTTTCATGCTTTCGTTGTTATTAGATTTAACCATTGCCGAGTAATAGTGAAGTTAGCACTTTCCTTTCAGATTGGAGAAGAGCTTGGAGACATTTATGACTTTGTGGCTCCTTGTTTTCCTCCAAGGTCTATATCACTCATTCAACTGTCTGTTGCTTTCGTTTGTTACTTCTGTCCTTCCTCCGCAGTTGATATTTTTCTCTGTGTACCTTGATTTCTTATTCAAACTTATTCCAGTATTCTCTTTCCCCCCCCCCCCCCCCCCCCCCCCACACACACACACACATTGCTGGTTTAAAATTGTGGGGTTTGCAAGTAAGACAGATTATTTTCATTCTGGTACTCCTGCATATTAACATGATTCTTTGAGTAGTTGTGCAGAAATGCTAGCTTTATTATGTACCAACTTTTCTTAGTGGTAGTAAGATTGCAATATAAGACCATAGACAGCGACACATGACATTCTTTGTCAGTGGAATCACATGAAAGGTTAATGAGTTTATCAGAACATTAAAGCTCAATGCTTATTATTTGAGGTCCACATTCCGCATGATTAAGTAGTGTATTTCCCTCCACTGAGCAGATTTTTTTTATTTAGTGAGATTACTTTATTTATAGCTGGTTAGACTTCTGTCTGGACTTTGCTTTGCGGGACAAAATGTTTGCAAGTATAAAGAAAGCGACTGTTGCATCCTTTGGATTCTTAGAAGAAGAAAAAATGTATGAGACAACTATAAGAATGGGGAATTCGTTACTCATTATGTGAAACATATGATAGATACAAGCAGTGTAGTATATATAACATTTCCCCCTTATTCCTTTCTTGTTTCTTGGTTGTCAATTGGGCTAGGTTACTTTACATTCTGAACTGAGGAAAATGTGCAAGTGCAGTACACTAAGTGTAAAATTGAGCACCTACCTAGTGAAGAGGTTCTCACAAATTAAGTGTGGCAACCTGTTTCACCAGGCTGAAATTTCTTGTGTCACAGTACGGCCTGTGAATAGGAAGTCCTTCTCTCAGTTGATTTGATGTAAGTAAGATGCATTTCTACCTTAAGAAAAGATAAAAAAAAAAGAAGGTTTCTTACACTAATTTCGTTGGAATAGCTTTTTGGAGCTAATATCATCTACTTATTATTTCCTTTGCTTGTCAGTTAAGTCATATGCTCATGTATTGCATTTCTTATTGTTGCAGATATGAAATATTCCAACTCATGGTGAATCTGTATACTGAGAGATTTATTCAGATGCTCCGATTGCTCAGTGACAGAGCCAATGAACTCACAAATATAGAGATTTTGAAGGTATAAGAACTAGTACTGAGGAGCAATTAATCTTGACTGAATTGTAAATTAATTTATGCTGATTAAGAGACCTGACGAGCTTGACCTCGTGAAATGTAGATTAGCATAAGAGTTCAATTGCAGTTATTGGCTGTTCCTTTGTCTTTGCTTTTAATGTGAAGTGCTTTAAAACCAGAGTCTTGCAATAGTTATCACATTACCTAAATCTCAAAGTGGCTCCTTGCTATATGCAATTGTTGATTGTTTTGAGCACTTACGTTTGTATTGTTTCACTGGTTTTATTGGTGGAATTTATGCTGTTTGCCATAGGATTAAGAGTTTCAAGCTAGTGGTGAATGCCATTCTCAGAATGTTTCAAGAGACTGCTGATACTATATGAAAACAATTTTTGAACTAAATGTCATCATCTAACATAGATCACGCATTATTTATTGGTTGCGGTTAAATAGCTGGTTGCCATTGTTGTCTGTGATTTGCTTTAGTGTTCTGTAGTTAAGTTTTCCTCATTCATTCACAAGCATAGGGGTTGCTGTTAGATGGATGCTACTTCTTTTTCTGATCCCTGGTCTCTTAGTATTGGTATTTATATTACTTATGTATTCAATTTTATATCGATTGGAAATGCAATATTACTGAAATGCTGTCATTGCCATCCCTTGTGGGGAGCACTCATATGCGGAACAATAAAAACTCATCATTCATCTTAGGAAACTAAGAGCTACCTGCTCTAGAGTATGCAGTTTGCTGGGAAACAAGTTCTGGCCTTTTATGTATATTTTTGGTGTTTTTCTTGTTATTTGTTAAAAGAAGTTTCATTGAGGCTTGCTCTTGTCCTGTCAATTTCATAGGTAACAATTTTTATTTCCTACCACTAGGTTACAGGTTGGGTGGTCGAATACCAAGATAATCTGATTGGACTTGGTGTCGATGAAACCTTGGCACAAGTATGTTCAGAGAGTGGTGCCATGGATCCCCTTATGAATTCTTATGTTGAGAGAATGCAAGCTACAACAAAGGTAATCTGTGTCCTTACAACTAAATTTGTGAAGTGAGATAAATTTGTTTTATGGTTCTCATCAATTGCATTACTTGTGTAGAAATGGTACTTGAATATACTAGAAGCTGATAAAGTACAACCTCCAAAGAAAACAGAGGATGGAAAGTTGTACACTCCAGCTGCTGTTGACTTGTTCAGGATTCTTGGGGAGCAAGTTCAAATTGTTAGGGACAATAGCACTGATGTCATGCTTTATAGAATTTCTTTGGCTATTATTCAGGCAAGTCAATTTCAATTTTATAGAGTTAGCTAGATTACATTACGAGTTTCTATACATGTTTGGTTCATCTCTAACCACTAGAATAGTAAGTCTTACATTGATCTTCCTCGCTAATTTACAAAATTCAATTTTCAACCTTTGGAGGAGCCACTGGCGAGAGCTGAGGGGGAATATATCATTATTGGAAATAGTTGTTTCACTGCAAGTTTCGTAATTTTCTTTACAAAAAGGTCTTCTGTTGCTAATACTCATAAGGAAACTAGTCTCCATCCAGTAGAAACCAAAGTGCGACTGTTGAAATTTAGAGCCAATGCTGATTAGGGTTGCATCTTTGTGTTTCTCTTAGTTCTTGTTTTTACTATTTGTGTTCCTATATATACAATTTGAGGTCATTTATGTTGAATCCTATGGAGTCCCGTTTTTATTTGCATTATTTACTGGTGTTCCTTAGGTAATGATAGATTTTCAAGGAGCTGAAAAGAAAAGGCTCCAAGAACCAGCTTCTGACATCGGTTTGGAACCTCTGTGTGCAATGGTACACAACGACCTATGTTATTTATTGATCTTGATGATGATAAGTTCTGTGTGCGGTTGACTCACAACTACCATTCTCTGCAGATTAATAACAATCTGCGTTGCTACGACCTCGCAATGGAACTTAGTACAAGCATAATTGAAGCACTTCCACAGAATTATGCTGAGCAGGTCTCTGTCTTGATTACATCAACTTCAAAATGTGTTTGCTGTGAATATTTTTTCATTTAGATATATCCCATAAGTTCCTACTTAGCCCTATATGCAGCAAATTTCCAATGCATTATGGATAAAGAAATGTTGGCGGGTAAAGTCATGCACACTTCAACAAGTTGTCCTCTAAATTACGAAGCCTGGCCTAAGTTAGTCCATGATATATTTGAACACCAATTGCCAGCCTCTTCATTAGTCATAAGATTTATTACAGTAGTAATATATTGATTGTGTAATTTGTGTCATGAAGGGGATGCTACTTGTTTGATAGATTAATGTTGACCCCAACTCCCCAAGGTCTGAACCTAAGTTGTATTGGATGTTTTTCGTCACCCATGACCACTAGGTTAACTCTTTGAGGCTCATGAAACAAATGTGACAAGGCAATTAACAAAGGAGTAGAATAGAAACTGAACTTGCATGTGCTCTTCAGGGATTTTTTTTTTTTTTTTTTGTGGTTCTGTAACTGAGTTTCCTCACTTTGAACAGGTTAATTTTGAAGATACTTGTAAAGGCTTCTTGGAGGTCGCAAAGGTACAAAGATCAGAATTGCTTTTGTTGCACATTTTTTATTCCAAAATATTTTATTTTGCTGAAAGGAACCTGGTCCCTTGAGGTTTCATTTTACTCAGCATGTGCTCTTCAAATGATTAGCAATCCAGCAAAAGGTTCAGGAATTATGTGATGAGCATGCCAAAATTTAGCAGGTCAACCGGACATGAGAAGAGTAACGGTTAAACTTAAAAGAATATATAATAAATGGACCTTCAAGGCTTTGATGGAACCGAGAGCGGGATGTTTATTGGGTAGAGGAAATGGAGAGTTCCAAGGTTATGCCATCATATGCGAGGATGTATGTTTGTATTATTTTGAATGCCACATTAACTTGAGAAATTGAATTTTGATCTGGCATTTCTCGTGCAAATTGTGTATTTGTAGGAAGCAGTGCATCAAACAGTTAAAGTGATCTTTGAAGATCCAGGGGTTGAAGAGTTGATTGTCAAGCTTTATCAGAAAGGTAAATGATATCCTCCGTGTTCCCTCTTTGAACTGAATTGTTGGATTACGTTAACCTTGAATCGGATACATACATCTGTTAGTTATTTTCGTGCTGTCATCACTATGATGTACGCTAGTACTGCTTGACCGGTCTTGTTTCTAAAAGTCTAAAGTAACTGATTAACTCTGTAATTGTAGAAAGTGTTTTCGGCGTTGGCTTCAAACTTTGCTTTTGAACAACACAAATTAATAGGCAAGGAAAGAGGAGCTAGGTCTAATTTGACTCACCTGCCTCAAAAGCGTACTAGATTGCAATTTTACTTGGTGACTGACGATGTTTGTAAACAGTGAACATTCAGCTAGCACCTGGTAGTTGGGTGTTTAACTAATTCTTGAAGCATCTCTAACAAAAAAATGATGTGTGGGTACCAGCCATCTATGACCTTGAAATAATTGGGTTGATCGATGGCCCTTCTAACATATACAACTAACTTATGGAAGAGCTCACTCGAAAGTATTATATAAGTTCAGCGACTGTCTGAAGGATTTGATCTTTTGATTGATATAAAGCTTTCAGAAATTGCGACCATGGTCTTTTGGGCTTACAGAAAATCTCCGTGAGCAACCTTATCGTGCGGCTTGTAAATCTGCATATTTAAAAGTCAGATGCGTGCTTCAGTAGATGGTGCAAATGTTCTTTTCTTGCTAATTAAAATGTTTTTGGCTTCAAGTTTGTCAGGATTTTTATATGATTTCAAGTTTCGATCAATATATACTGAAAGTTTTCTCAAGTAAGACATGGATAAACAGTACCTCAGTAAGACAACTCTGTTCGACGCTTATTGCACCCTATGTCCTAGGGAGTGATTGATGTTGCTATAATCAGGCGATCATTATATTGTTTCTAAGAATGAGCAAGGACTTAGCTTTATGAATTGCTGTTTGTTTGGGTGTTGTTTATATCTTGCTTCTGAATCTGGGCTTTCAATGTCTCAGATTGGTCAGAAGGACAGGTCACTGAATACCTTGTTGCGACATTTGGTGATTACTTTGCAGACGTAAAAATGTAAGTTCCCTCATTGCATTTCAGTGGTGTTTCCACATCACTGTTCAATACCCTGCAGTCTTTGTGCGAAAGCATAGTTCTGACTGTTCCTTGCTTCCGAGTTGAGCTTGTAATAGTTGGGCTGTGTCTGGGTTTGGCTATTTAGCTATGAATTTTTGTTGATTCTGAGGCCACCATAATCTTCTTCGCATTTTAGTTAATTAGGCCCTGCCAAGCCACACCGGATAACTCTTTGCTTGATGTCAGTTGCAATGCTGGAACATATCACTCTGAACTCTTGAGCAAAGTTTATATAATATTAATACGAAAGAAACATGAGACATTTAAAATCTACTCATTCAAACCATTCATCAGATGGATCTGACTTCAAATATAAAGTATGTCATATTGCTTCTCCATTTTCTGAAGAAAACAAAAAAGGTCGGCAGAAGAACTTATAAGGTTCATGGGAACTTTGTGTTTTCTCAGTTGACCAGAATTAGTTATGATAAGTTAAGGGCTCATTTTCTGTCACTCTAGATGATTCATTTATTAGCAATAGGTTGATCAACTTATTATCTATACATTATGTGAAGAAGGCCAATTAGATGATTTCGTGAATATTTTTGGTGGGTAGGTATATCGAGGAAAGATCATTTAGGAGATTTGTGGAGGCTTGTGTGGAGGAGACAGTGGTGGTTTATGTTGATCATCTTATGATGCAGGTTCGGATCTATTCTCAGAGTAGTAATATTGCACAAACATATTTCTGCCGTTGATAAAGAAAGGGCGGGATTCCAAACGCTCTCTTTTATTCGTCTGTTTAAGCCAGTTTCTAATGTCATTTGTGATGATGGTTTTAGAAAAACTACATAAAAGAAGAGACCATAGAGAGGATGAGGCTTGATGAAGAGGTGATCATGGACTTCTTCCGCGAGTATGTTAGTGTCTCTGTAAGTGCTGCTGCCTTTTGATCTTTGAGCAATCAATTTCGAGATTTATCCGCTTACATTGTTTATTATTAGTTTTAATTTGTTTTTTGCACCAGAAAGTGGAGAACAGAGTGAGGATAATGAGTGACTTGAGAGAACTCGCTTCAGCGGAGAGCTTGGATACGTTTACACTTGTGTACACAAATATTCTGGAACATCAACCAGACTGCCCGGTGCATACCCCTCTTTCGCTATTCTCCATCAGTACTCTCATAGTTTGCTCAAAAAAAGTCAGGCAAAGCCCAAAAGAGAAAACTCTAATTGGCAAGGTCTAAAAATTTATTCTTTCGTTTTGTTGGGCAGCCTGATGTAGTGGAGAAGATTGTTGCCTTGCGAGAGGGTATACCTCGGAAGGATGCCAAAGAGGTATGCACATAAGATCTCATAGACTCTTCAACGAAACATCCATGCATGAGTAGTATCCTCGATTTTCCAGTGCATATTGGAGTTTCATTGCATTGCAGCTGTGGAGTTTGTTCTCATCTATGTTGTTTGAATGTGGGGTTTATGGCTGTTGCTTTGGAGTACAGGTGGTGCAAGAATGCAAAGAGATATACGAGAATTCGCTCGTGGATGGTATCCCACCGAAGACAGGGTTCGTGTTCCCCAGGGTGAAATCTTTAGCTGCTTCCAAAGGTTATATCTGGCGAAAGCTCACTTAAACTGTCGAACGTCTCCATGCCGCCTCCTCCTCAGGCTTGTTGTTCTTCACCCAGAAGAGAAAAATATGTACTATTGTATTTATTCATTGTGTCCAATATCCTTCTGTTCATACCCGTGGAAAAGGGAAAATATTCTTCTTTTCATGTCTTAGGGTTGTGGATATACATACAGGCTGTTGTTGTTTATTTGGTGTTTTGGAATCCACTTTTCCCCCTTCCTCTAGGCTCTATGTCTACTTCGACATTTTGTTTAAAGGCGACTGTTATTGCTGTAAGATTTTGATAACTTGATAATTTCTGTTGGTTTCTTGCTTAAAGGGCTAGTAAGAAGAGCATTTCAGGTACCTAAACTATGCAAGTTTATCAAATGGAACCCTCTACTGTGATTTTCTACAAATTACCCCCTCTACTTACTATGCTGTCTATCATCAAATCTAGTCCTTTAAACCGTCAAAAGTATAGGTTCAGTTTGTACGAAAAGGTATAGGTTCAAACTGAATTTTTTTTTATAACGAAAGCAGTGATACTATGAAGGATTGTAAAATTCCTCGATTAAGATCGTAGCCGGCTCATCTATGCCTTTATGTGCCTTAACCACATGATCCTATACAGAACAGAACAGAGTAGAGCAGAGATGTAAGGAACTAGAGCTCTCCAAAGGAATTTCAGATATATGCTGTTGCCTGTTAATGAGGAAAGGAAACCAATCCAAAACAAAACGGCCAGTGCGATTCCGGACTCCGAGCTGATTCGACTTTCTCCATTTTACGCACTCACTCGTCCCCGTCGATCAAACAAATGGCCGAATTGTAATATCCAGACAACAAAGCCTACGAATTTCCGCAGCAATATTTCCTACTCTGTCCTGCGCCCCCCAGTCGCAGCCTATAAATTCAATCCAGCCAGTTGCCTAATTCCTCACCCACCAACACCAAATCCACAGTGATTGTGATTATCAGTAGTCTTTCGAGGCAGATGGGTTACTCCGTGGGGAACTTGGCGGTGGCGGTGGCGGTGGCGACGGTGGTGGTGCTGGGATTCTCGATCGCGGTGGGAAGGAGCGCAAACCTGGACGTTGTGAGCGGGCCGAATTGCAACGGCACCGTAGCTACCGACGGCAAGACGGTCGGGTACATTGCCGGGGCGTTAACGGAGTTGGGTGCGGTGACGCCCGTGAAGGGCGGGGGTCATAACAAGAACTGCAAGTTCCCCGATGGCAAATCGGGATCGATCTCCGGCAGCGCCAGTTGCAGAGACGGCGCCGCGTTGTTGGAGTGCATCGCTTGCCTGGGGAAGGCGGAAGGGAAGCTGGTGGATCAATGTAAGAATCGGACCGAGGCTTCCGTCCAGCTTCAGGGCTGCCAGATTCAGTACGCCAAAATCAAGTAGACCCAAGACAGACACACTCTTTCCGTTATTGAAGCAAAGCTGCCGTGCTTTTTAGCCGCGTTCAGGCGATTTTCTAGCCCGTCGGCGTCCTGTTTCCTTTTGATATTGGCAATGGTATGAAGCATGCGATTGTTGTTTATTTATTTGACAAAGATGAAAAGAAATCTTATTGCAAGGTTGGATTGGAACTTGGAAGGACATAAATGTTTGAGATTATACATTTTGATGCCGTCGTACAAATCACGTATAAATGGTCACACAACTTCTCACTTTGTACAAAATGGTCACAAACCTTTTATTTTGCATGATTTGGTGATACAAGTTTACACTTATAACAAAATCGTCATTTCCATCCATCTTCATCCAAAACCCTAACATAATGCCTATGTGGCTGCTGACTCAATGGTGATTTAATTGTAATGGGTCGTTTCTAAGCAACTCTGAGTTGCCAATGTTGGGGGTCGTTAATCTATAGATAAATGTGAAGGGCGAGCTCATACTCTACTTTATTCTATCCCGATTGAAGCTGAAACAAAATTTGTTTTAAAAGGTCTCAAATTAGCACAAAATATTGTTCTGAATGTGTGGTTCAGTTAGACGGTTAAGTATTGGTTAAATTATTATCTCAAGGATAGAATTAATGGTTTCAATATGCAAAATGAATTCTCAAATTAAGGTCAAGGGTGTGTCAAGGAAGTTTAATGTTAGAGTTGATAGAGTCACTCGTTTTCTGTCTAAATATCTCTGCTAGATAATTGGATTGATATTCTAGATCTAATTTCTTATATTCTCTAAAAAGTGTTTAACCTTAATTTCCTTTTTCGCTGTTGAAATAAAAGTCGATCTTGCTATAAAAGTTGTGAACTTTCATGTTTTCAAACGCTTATATGTATTACACTTCGAATTTCGGTGACTCTCATCCCCCATTTTACTTTCATATATGATGGGTCGCCGACCCCAACCAACTATTTCAAGTCACTTTCTTCATATTCTATTCGAATTCTTTTTTTTATAATTGTGAAATTTTATTAAAACGAAAACGAGAACATAAAGTTCAACAATCAGTAAAACAAAAAATACAATGCCGACAAGCAACAAAAAAAAAACTACAAGAAAAAAGAACGTACTTTATTCACATTCTTTATCATACTTCTTACTTAAGGTAAGAACTAGTATTTTTGCTTATATGATTTTTGTCCAACGCTCTACTGACATTTCATTTCATTGGTGATGTGATTGTTAAAACAAAGGAGCCTTCATATGGTTCAGACTCGGAGCATGTTTTTTTTTTTCGGTCATAGACTCATAGTACTAATATAATTACTCAGGTAAAAAATAAGTCTTTTATTGTATTTTTGTATACAGTGTAATTTATGTTCTTAGTTATTTTCAGTCATGTAACGTTTTTGTATCTTCTATTTTCTGGATAATACAAATAATCTTTTGGAGTTTTGGTGTGAAAAAATTTCGCTATAAAGTAAAGACATTGAATCTGATAATCAATCGAAATGGGCCTTTTTTTGTGTCAATCAAAATCCATTTAAAGGCCTTTGCTTTCTGATTTGATCGTTATCTTTGATTATGCAGTAAGCAGAGTATGGATATGGAATCCATGAAGCCTCTTATCAAAGAGATGGCAAGGACACCAACCATTTCCTCGAGAGCACCTAAGTTTAAGAGTGCTATTGCCCTTTCGTTACTAATAACAATACAAGAACAAGCAGTAGAGACAAAGAGAACTCAATAATTTTCGATTTATGATCAACTTATGATAATACCATACAGAGATTAAACAAAAGCATCAAAAGACACTTGCAGCACGGTATGAACTACTATAGCTTTGAACAAATCATAGTAACATGTAATATTATATTGAAATGAAAAAAGAAAAGGAAAACGAAGTTCCATCCAACGCAGCAGCAGGCATAAGCCTCGTTTGGTTCTCTCAATCAGTTGTTTCTGGGGACACCAAGTCTCAACCTGAAATCTTCCTCCATTAGTGGAAGCCCGTCCTTCAGCTTGATCTTGGGCTCCCATTTCAGCAATTCCCTAGCTTTTGAGATGTCCGGCTTCCTCTGGCGAGGATCGTCAGGCGTGTTCTCCACCATTTTTATCTCCACCTTAGGATTGATGAGCTACATGACACAGGATGAATGAACTTGTGAATACAAGCCCATTTAAAGTGTTTGGAGAGCAGGACTGGTAAAAGGGCTTTTGATTGAACTAACCTCCTTGACATTCTCAGCAAGCTCAATCATGGTGAATTCACCTGGGTTTCCAATGTTGATTGGTCCAGTGTTTTCTCCCTCCATTAGCTTGATAAGACCATCAACCTTTACAACATGAAGAGTCAGATTTTGAGAATCATGAAAAGAGAAACAGTGTAATCCAAGCTTTGTTTAATCAAAATCCAGAGAACACAGCTGTACCATATCGGAGACATAACAGAAGCTTCTGGTTTGTGTTCCGGGTGCTTGAACAGTCAAGGGCTCGTTGCTGGACGAAAAAACATGACAGTAAATGTGGTGGTCAGTTGCAGTCTTGCAGGGCATATAGTTAAGGCCGAGAGGTAGTATCAAGAAAAATAAACCCACCGAAGAGCCTGGGCAATGAAGTTGCTGACAACACGACCATCATCAATGTTCATACGAGGTCCATAAGTGTTGAAGATTCTGGCAATTCTGATCTCTGGTAAACATTATTATCAAATATTACTTAACAATGGGATGGCTATAAACTCCAGACAACAAAAGGTTGAACAAAGCCAGCCACATACCAATTCCGTGCTGCCTGTGATAGTCGAACATCAAAGTTTCTGCCACTCGCTTGCCCTCATCATAGCAACTCCTGACTCCTATAATTTCAGTAAAATGACCAGGGAATTATAAATTGTAGGAATGCCTAAGGCTAAATGGATGCTTTTCATACTAATCCTATAATGAAAGACAAGAATATAGAATATTTTGAATTACCAATGGGGTTGACATTTCCCCAGTAGCTCTCTTCTTGCGGATGAATTAGGGGATCACCATAAACCTCAGAGGTTGAGGTCAACAGAATCCTATAAATAAACAACCATTTTCATTCAGTAACATAAAAATGTGACCGAGCAAGGGGCAGTTACCGAAAGGATTCCAAAAAAAAAAACAGCATTTACCTAGCTCCAACTCTCTTGGCAAGCCCCAACATGTTCAGTGTACCAATCACATTTGTCTTAATGGTCTGTCAAAGAAGAGCACACGTATCTTGAAAAACAATGTCTCATAGGAGATCAAAGACACAAGCTTTATGAAGCTGTCATATACTGTTTATACCTTTACAGGGTTGTACTTGTAGAAAATGGGAGAAGCTGGGCAGGCAAGGTGGTATATTTGATCAACTTCAACCAGTAAAGGTTCAGTCACATCTGAACAAGACAAGAACAGAAATCGAGAATCGATATCAGAACTTTTCTGTAATGCATTCCCCCGTGCCATTAAACAATCTGAAAGACAGTAAGTAGTTACCAACTAACCATGACGGATTAGCTCAAATCTCGGATGACCAATCCACTTTTTAAGGTTGTCCTTTGAGCCGGTGAAGTAATTGTCAGCAACAATCACCTGAGAGAAACAAGAATCAGAGACATTTTTCATGCCCATTAAGTTGCATTGTTCCATATGTTAGAACAGTGAACAAGAGACATAGTTCAATGCCATCAATGAAAGCCTTAATATTACCTCATTCTTTTCGTTCTCCATCAACTTGTCAACAAGGTGGGAGCCAATGAATCCGGCTCCTCCAGTAACCAAAATCCTCATGTTGGACTGCCACAAAATAATTCGCAGTTTTCTTTTAATCTAAGATCCACCTATGAAGAAACAAACATCATCTAAATCCAATGCACAAAAATTCTACCTGAAAGAACTTGGAGAATCTCAAGGGAGAAGGAGTTGGTGGTGGCTTAGCTGCAGAGCTGTGATCTCCATTGGACTGAGCCATTCTTTGCAAGTCAAAATTTTCTGATACCCTAAGAAAAGCACATTACCAAATTCAACCGTCAGCCCCCACGACATTTCTCCACTAGAATGACCCAAATCAAGCAACCATCAAATGCAGAAAACGAACCTACGAAATTCAAAACCCAGATCAGAAAACTAGCTGAAGAATCAATAAAAACTTCGGCTGTGAGATGCAATGACACAGAAAGATAGCAGCTTTATATAAGACCAAATTCAAATCTGCAATGAATTAGACTCGACTATAATAATCACCAAAAAAGCAAAAACTAATCAACCACACTAACAACTCCACCAAACTCGGTTGATGGAAAACAGAGCAGCAACAAACATCATTGGCAAACAAACCTTCAAAAACAAGGAAAGCATCCTCAACCGAAGAGAAAGCTTCAAACCAACGACAACCCACACCCGGATCTGAATCTTAAACAAAAAAAGAGAAACTCCTACACACCTTAGAAGCATTTACAAAAAAAATTGAGTGAAAGCAATTACCAGTCGGATTGTATCTCTGCCGTGACAGAGAATTTGTATTCTGTCTTGCTCGGAAAAAGGGAGAGAGATATATGTTATCTGGATCAAGAGTACGAGTTCTGAAGGTGACAGACTGTGAATTGACTGAATTTATACGAGGTGTGCGGGTGGGAAGCGACGTTCCCCCAAGTCAGCTGCACCGCCACCGTTCGGTTCGGGTCAAGAATCCGCCAGCGAGTGGAGACGTTTTTCTTTTCTTATTTTGTTTCGGTGTTTGTCTGGTCCCAGCCAATCATAACACGCCACGTCGTCGTGAGTTGTTGACATGTTGTAACATCATCTGTGGCTTAAATGTTTAGAGATTCCGTCCCCGGATTTTACTCCGTGGGAGGGGAGCGGTCCCCTGCGGTGAGATACACGGTACGCAGTATGGACTCGCCAATTGATATCGGCCACGTCACTTGGAGCTCATATGATAGATAAACGGCGTCTGATTTTACGCGGTAATTTTTGCGGTGGTGGGTCCGGGGAGTGGTAAAACGGAAACTTTGTACTAGGCAGAGAGGCACGTGATTGTGGCTGGCTTTGCTAGTTGCGTGTGGGGAAGTTTAATCCGTCAGATTGTAACCGTAAATATGATGTTATCTGCCACGGCGGATACAGCTCAGGTTTGTTTGTGGTGGGTCCCAGCGAGGCAAATCTCCATCAGTCAGTCTTTTTTTTTTTTTTTTTGACAAAAGATAATCAATAGATTAATAAAGAATAGATCAGTACATCCTGGAATTCAGCCAGGTCTGGAAATCAAACGAACGACATGCAGTCGGGAACAAGGCCAGGGCTTTTCTAGCTACCAAATGAGCAACCCTATTGTTACGTCGACCTACAAATCGTACAGAGAAACCAACATTAGAAGCAAAAGAACTAACTATCTCCTCCAAAATTGCTCCCATCTGATTATCTCGAGTATCCTGCCGGAGAATCTTATCAATTATCACCTGGGCATCCCCTTCAAACCTCACATTAGTGAATCCATTTGCCAAACACCAACTAATCGCCTCTCGGAGCGCCAGAGCTTCAGTTATACTTGGGTCACTAAGATCCGGGAAGAGAACCCCCTTGGCTAGAATGACCGCTCTCTCTGAATTCAGGATAACCATTCCCCCGGCAGCATGAGACCCCATCCGCACAGCCCCATCCCACATACAAATTGCCGTTACGGCTCCATAAGGTACCGTAACAGGGGCCAGGGGGGCAACAGACTGGTCTATCCGGTTCCGGGGTAAGCTCAGCCACTCCTGCACTTGTTGATTGAATTGCCGCATCAAGGCAGGGACCCCGAATTGTTTACCCTCAAAGACCACCCAATTCCGGGAACGCCAAATCCGCCACAGAACCGCCACTATCGACATCACCATAGCAGGACTCGGCACCACTGCCAGCAGTTTCCTCAGGAAGAGCGGGAACGTTTGGCGAGGTAAACCTTCCCCCACATCGGCAAGCCCCGAATGCTCCCACAATGCACGAGCCACCGGACACTCAAGGAACATATGCTCAAGAGTCTCCGATGCCGCCCAGCATACCGGACACCAAGGCAAAACGTCCACCTTCTTTTCACGCAACGCTTCTGTAGTAGGAAGGATTCTATGAAAGATTTGCCAAACGAACACCCTAAGCTTCGGAGGAATATCCGCCTCCCACAACCTGATCCAACTTGGCTTATCCATCCAACTAGCCAAGGATCTCCACCTCCCCTTCTGACGATCCAAATTCACCGCAACATAATAAGCAGATTTAACTGAGAAAATACCATCAGAAGTCGGGTGCCAAATCAATTTATCCTCAATATTCTGGCGCGGCAGTGGGATGGCTTTAATGGCTTTACAGGTAACTGGATCAAACCATTGAGTCAGCTTTTGATCATTCCAGCGACCTTCTCCCGAGTGGAGGACCTCTTCCACCAGCAAACCCTCCCCGTCCGGAACCACACATGGGTTATAAACAGGATGGTTAGGATGCAGCTGGGGAATCCAACTAGACGAAAGCAGAGGTGCCTTCCGCCCATTCCCAACTTGCCACCGCAGCCCAGATTCCAACAACTGACGGCCAAAGAGGATACTTTGCCACCCCCAAGAGGGACGAGATCGGGCCCGAGCCGTCATAAACGACCCATTGGAGAAATATTTGCCCTTATACACCTGGGAGAGAAGAGACTGGGGCTCCGTAAGAATACGCCAACCAATTTTAGCCAGCAAAGCTTGGTTGAACAACTCAAAACGCCGAAAGCCCATACCCCCTTCATGCTTACTTTTACATAAGTTCTTCCAAGAAATCCACCGAATTTTAGATTTACCCTCCTCGACCCCCCACCAAAAACGGGCTACATGCTTATCAAGGAGGCGACATAGAGCCAGAGGTAACTTGAAACAGGACATGACATGCAGGGGCAAAGCCATAGCCACTGACTTAATCAGTGTCTCCTTAGCCGCCCAAGACAATGTCCTCCTCTTCCACCCCTGCAATCTAGCCAACAGCTTCTCCTCCAGGTAGCGGAAAGTAGCCATTTTGGAACGGGCTATCAGAGAGGGGAGGCCCAAATATTTATCATGGACACCCACAGCCCCCACCCCCAAAATAGCCGCTAAGAACTCCTGATCCTCCGTCGCGATATTCTTACTGAAACACACCGCCGACTTTTCAAGATTCACTCTCTGACCACTCAACTCCTCGTATTCGTTAAGAACTTCAATCAAATTCTCACATTCCTCGAGGGAACCTCTAAGAAAAAGGTAAGAATCGTCCGCAAAGAATAAATGCGAAATACGAGGAGCACGGGGAGCCACTTTGACACCTTGTAATTTCCCTTCCGAGATAGCCTGGCGAAGGAGGGCCGCAAACCCTTCCGTACAGATGACAAACAGAAGAGGCGAAAGCGGATCACCCTGTCTCAGGCCTCGGGAAGGGGAAAAAAAACCCGCTGGAGTCCCATTCATGAGGACCGAAAATGACGTAGATCGGAGGCACTCCTGTATCCATCCTCGCCAGACCGAGTTAAAACCCATTTTTTCCAAAACCCCCAGCAGGAAGGGCCACTCGACTCTATCATAGGCCTTTTCCATATCAACCTTTAGAGCCATATATCCCTTCTTCCCACGGGTTTTGATTTTGAGGTAATGCATTAACTCATGCCCTATGAGAATGTTATCCACAATTTGCCTCTCCCGAATAAAGGCATTCTGACCATCAGACACAATCTGGGGCAACATAATAGCCAGCCTTCCTGCCATAATTTTCGTAATAATCTTATACACAAATTGGCAGAGACTGATAGGACGTAACTGTCTCATAGATTCGACTTGATCCACTTTCGGAATCAAAGTCAACCAAGTATGGTTAAAGCTTCGTAGCATCCTGCTGTTCTCAAAAAACGAACTCACCGCTCGAGTCACCGATTCACCTACTATGCCCCAAAAAGCTTTGAAGAACTTTCCTGTAAACCCATCCGACCCTGGCGCCTGCTTCGAACCCATGGAAAACACCGTATCCCTAATCTCTTTAGGGAGTACCTCAGCCGTCAGGGCCGCATTCATATCCGGGGTCACACAAGGCTCTATTGGGAGTGCAGCAATTCTGTCGTGCATGTTCCCAATCTGATTTTCTGAAGTGAATAGGGAATTATAAAAATTGGTAGCAATCGCTGCCTTTCCTCCCTCATCCGTAATCCATTCCCCACCCTCATTACGAAGGCCACTCACAAAATTCCGCTTCCGGCGAGCGCGCGTAACCGTATGAAAATAAGCCGAGTTTTTATCTCCCTTTTTCAACCAAGTAACACGAGACTTTTGCTGCCAGAAAACTTCCTCCGCCTCCCACTGCCTGCTTAACTCGGTTTCCAAACGACTCACCTCAAGCCAATCAATAGGGTGGACCCGTTTTAGCCGATCAATCTCGCCTTGCAACGTATGAATATTTCGAAGAGAGTTCGTGGTACCCGCTCTACTCCAGTCATACAGCAGATGCCGAAGTTTCTTAAGCTTTTCCCATAACTGGAACATAGGGGTACCCGGAACATTCTCCTGCCAAACATACTCCACCATAGCCCGTACTTCGGGGTTATCAGCCCATCGAGCATCGAAACGAAACAAAGGACGACAACTTCGTACATAAGGCTTGTCCGAAAGGAGCAGAGCCCGATGATCCGATCCCTGATCCGTGAAGTGCTTAACCAGAGTGTCTGGATAATGATCTATCCAATTCTGGGAGCAGAGAGCCCTGTCAAGCCTTGCACGAATACACGCTAGACCCATACGTTTGTTGGTCCAGGTGAAGGGATCGCCTTGGAACCCAGGATCATGCAACCCTAACAATTGAATGAAATTTCGGAGGTCTAAAGATTGGGATGCATTCCAAGGGTTACCCCCATCTTTCTCGTTTTCGCACAGAGTTGCGTTAAAATCACCCATAATCACATAGGGTTCCACAAGACCCTCACAACGTTCTCGCAACTCGGCCAATTGACTAGCACGTCTCGCCACAGTACAACTCAAATACACACCAACCACCACATAAGAAGACTCATTCTCATTAATCCGAATAAAAATACAAAAACTTGAATGGAAAAACACTGAAGCCGCAACTTCAGGGGACCAAGCTACAACGAGACCACCAGAACCATCAACGGCATCAACAAAAAAACAATGACTCAACTCAAAGCCTAAACCCCGCATACGACGGGCAACGACTCTCCGGCACGATCTTGTTTCTGAGAAGAAGACAAGGTCCGGTTTATTAGAACGAACTAACCCTAAAGAAGTCTGGAATGTGAGGGATGGTCCAATTCCTCTCACATTCCAACCTAATACCCTCATTTATCCAGATGGGGCCACTCATGGCTGGCTACCTCCACCATCACATTGACTTGCTCATCTTCCACAAAGTGTTTTTTGGGATTAGGAGTCTCTCCAATTTCCCCCTCCACCTCATCCAGAGCACGTTTTCGGTTTACATCCTCCAGATTGGACCCGTACTCGTTCAGTTTCCTGACCATTACCCCTTCACCAGCATTAACCGGGTCCTTCTCCTCATTGAGCACCAAACTGGCCTCAAAATCAGCCACCACTCTGCGGACGTGCCCAGTTGGGATGACCTCCTCTTGCAGCTCAAGAGGGGAGCGATTTTTAAGTACAAACTGCTGGGCATCCTCATCAGAGAGGGATCCCTCCGAATCAAAATGACCCCCCGCACTACCGTCCAGAATTTTCATCTCGTCATTCTTATTGGGGCGAATAATTGCCAGAGGAACGACTTCCTCCACCACCGATAAATTAATGGTTTCAGCCGAGGCTTTGGAATTATTAGCTTTCTTCTTGGGAGTATTCGCTTTTTTCTTCCCGAGAGTTCCAGCACCTTTAGGCTTGGTAGCCTTTCTACCTTTCTCACTTAACTTGGTATCCTTCCGAGCTTTGGATGAGGAGGCCACAGCCACCTTATCACTCACCTTGGTAAGGCGCCTCCCCTTTCTTTTCTCACACAGCTCCATCAGTCAGTCACTCAAACGTGTATGGGTTAATCTTAATCCAATATGTTAAGGCTTCAAAAAGCAATTACCGTCGTGACTGATTTGTGATTAACTGGTAACCCAATCCAGCTTTCCTCCGAACATGCACCATTCATAAGAGAAATGTGAACACAACCCTTTAGCGCAAAATCATATAAGATCATCAAAGAGATTATCCTCTTTAATTTCGAATTTATTGTAATGTAGTCTTCGCAGAGAAAAATGAGTTTTGGTTGAGCATGGCAATGGATTGGAATGTGTAGGTATTCAAATGTCGATTTATGTTGTAGACTAAGTGTGAATTATGCAGAATGTATTGACCTCGAGCAAATAAATCAAAGGAAATTGGAGATATATTGCCTCGAGCAAATGCATCTAACTTATTGAAAGAAAGGTTCTCGTATCTAGCCGAACCTTTATTGAGATTGAAATATAGTTTTAAGAAAAATAGAACAACTCGAGAATCGACAGGAACATGATAGACCAATACAAAATGGGGAAAAAATCCCAAGTTACACATGTTTTTAAAAAAAATTCTCAAAATACACAAGTTATGAAAATAATTCCCAATCTACGTTAGTTTGGGCCATCACCGCTGTCGACGAAGACAGTGATTGCATCACTGTGGTCGACGAAGACAGTGATTGCATCACCGCTGTCGACGAAGACAGTGATTGCATCACCGCTGTCGACGAAGACAGTGATTGCATCACCGCTGTCGACGAAGACAGTGATTGCATCACTGCAGTACACGGCCGCGGTGAAGGCCTGACTTGCGTCGAAACTTTAAACAAACGTAACTTTGTGCTCGGTTATCCGATCGTAGAGAATTTTTTTTTGATTCCGCATAATTTTTCGAGATCTTGCAAGCCGCAAATTTCCGTAGGCGGTCTGGTCCTGCCTTCGTCTCGAAAATATGTCGTTTGCTACTTCGAACGAGCCTTTTTTCGATTTCGTCAAACTTTGAACGACCATAACTTTGTGCTCCACAATCCGAAAATCATGAATTTTTTTTTTATTTCGCATAAATTTTTAAGGACTACAATATTTAGTAGGAGAGAATTTTCAAAAAATGAATTATTTATGGATATAAGGGATTTTGGGAATAACTTTACCTTCCTTTTCAGGAATCCAAGTACATTCCGAAAATATGTCTATGATAAAAATTGTAGTCCTTAAAAAGTTATGCGAAATAAAAAAAAAATTATGATTTTCGGATTGTGGAGCACAAAGTTATGGTCGTTCAAAGTTTGACGAAATCGAAAAAAGGCTCGTTCGGGGTAGCAAACGACATATTTTCGAGACGAAGGCGGGACCAAACCGCCTACGGTAATTTGCGGCTTGCAAGATCTCGAAAAATTATGCGGAATCAAAAAAAATTTCGCTTCGATCGGATAACCGAGCACAAAGTTACGTTTGTTTAAAGTTTCGACGCAGGTCAGTCCTTCACCGCGGCCGTGTACTGCAGTGATGCAATCACTGTCTTCGTCGACAGCGGTGATGCAATCACTGTCTTCGTCGACAACAGTGATGCAATCACTGTCTTCGTCGACAGCGGTGATGGCCCAAACTAACGTAGATTGGGAATTATTTTCATAACGTTTGTATTTTAAGAATTTTTTTTAAAAACATGTTTAACTTGGAATTTTTTCCTACAAAATGGTACTCATGTTCACTGGTCAATCTCATGTGGCCACCCACAATGTGCCAATGTGGGAGGTATTGAAGGATCGGGCAGGGTCGAGCAGGTCGGGTTAAGGAATCTCTGGAGGCTGGTTAGAAATTATCTAGTGGCCGGTTCAATAGGTAGCTTCACGGGCCTACTTTCTCAATGGTTGGGCCAATAATGGGCCGTTGAATCAAGCCTACACTGAGGTCCATAAAACAATAAAAACTCATTTGGTGCCACTTTCCGTTGGCCGTTGCTACTAGATTGCTAAACCCTGCGGAAGAAGAACGGATCGCGGAAAGAGTCCAGAAACTGCAGTTTCCCCTCACCGCCCGAATTCGTTATCATCTGCTACCGCTGCTTCGGCGATAACCTCTCCCGACGAACTAAGCCGGTTAAGGTATGTCTTCCGATCCTCTCTTTTTGTCATTTTGTTTTCTTCCTCGGTGAACTCGTTTAGTCTCATTTCTTACATTCGGCCGGCCGATCTCGGATCCGGCTCTGAGATCAGAGATCTGGTGGAGTAGGTTTTATTTTGTTCTCTTGTTGCTTTTCCCCTGAATGAATTCTGATTCATTCTCTGTATCGTGAACCTGCAAAATGGAAGCTGGTTAGGATGAGATAGGTGAGCGCGGTAGATCCGCATAGCGAAGTGGATATCGCCTTAGACTCCGAATCTAATGGTCGTGGGTTCAAATCCCACTGTGATCGTACTGTTGCTTTTGTCCTTTTTGATGGCCAGCTTGAATCCCTTCTTGTTCTGGATTCTTGTTCCTTGATCTGATTGTCAATTGGCAAACTGGTAAGTGGTAATGGCCTTAATTGACCAAGTTGTTCTTTAGGTCTGCTGTTACTTTTCTCAAGTATTTGCAAATGGCTGACATATGGGTTATGGCCCGGATTTGTTTGTCCAAAGTTTGTTTCTTGAGCGCTAGTTGCTTATCTTGCTGGTTCAGTGGTTCTAGTCCTGTTTTTAGGGTCTAGTCGATGAAAAATCAAACTTTGTGGAACCTGCAACGTTACTACAGTCAGTTGGAATGTCTGTTAACTAAGTGCCAAATCATGACTTTCGGCAACCAGAGATACTTAGATGCCTAAGGCCTTCGTTTGCGGAGTCTTTCTTGTCTTGCTTTCTGTTAAGTCGTTTGCATAGTTCTGGAACTCGTTTAGTATGTAAGAAAGGTTAGGATCCAATAGCATCTAGGTTTTACTGAACAAAGTAACTTAGCAGGGAATTGGTGTTCCGAGGAACCAGGTTGATAATATCCCTATGCCTAAACAGTGGCTGTATTGGAGTTACATGTACTTCTACTTGTCTAGTCTTGCCATTATCAGGGGTAGATACTGCAGCGATGTTTTAGTGGGCAGACAAATATTTGAGTATGTTGTTTGATTGGCAGTCGGCGGAGATGTGATTTAGTTCTGATCAGTGCTTCTTGCTGGATCCTGCAGATGTTCGACGACCAAGATCTTGGATTTTTCGCCAATTTTCTTGGCATCTTCATCTTTCTCCTGGTGATTGTGTACCACTATGTGGTGGCTGACCCGAAATATGAGGGTACCAACTGAGATTAGGTTGTTCTTGTAGCTGTACAATCTCAGAGAAGCTTTTAGAGATCAAGCTCATGCTGCCGAAAGTCTAGCTTCCTCGAATATGTCAAGAGGATATTGTCCCTAGGAATTGACTGCAATACCAGTCGTATACTTAACCATATGACAATTTTGTTGAGATCAGTCTATTGAAGGTGCTGAATGTATTGTTGATGTATTACTATTATTATTCTCCTGAGATGTTAATAATAGTACAACAGATGCAACATAAAAGGAAGTCGTTATAACAAAACGGCTTGATATTGCAGCATATAGGACAGATCTGGGCTTTATGGGCTACGGAAAGGAAATGGGTGGTATTGGTAGAGATATCCAGGGATATTCTCATCATGCCTCGAGGTAAAACTTGGAGAGTTGGAGTAGAGAAGTGACCTTAACTTGGAATCATGACACTATCGATTGATGAAAAACGCAAGTTTAAATAGATACTAATTCTTGACTAGGCAAAACTTGTTCGGACAACACATGAATTGACACGATTTGGATCGTCTAGAAAAGGGTTGGTATGATTTTGATATTAATCTCAGTGATTAAGAGGGATAGCAAAACATGTGGTGTAATGTGATTAGTATTCACTAGCAAACGATTGTTTACGGGGAAATCACCATAATTAATAGACTTGAGATTAGCAAGGATTAATTAAAAGAAAATTAAGAGGTAGTTTTGTGTGGCTTGTTGATGTGATCAGGTCGCATCTAACATGGTATAGGTATGCTCTAACGGCTCTATGGAACAATTTGTTAAAGACAATAGGATGTATAGCAAAAAACAAGCATTTGAACATCTTGTGGCTGTAGTTTAGTGGTAAGAATTCTACGTTGTGGCCGTAGAGACCTGGGCTCGAATCCCAGCAGCCACATAACCTTATTTTTTATTTTAATTTAAGCCAAACCCCTGAATTTTTGGTTTATTTTTGCGCCGAAGCATATTGTGTTCTATTGCGTTAATTGAGTAGCAGCGAGGGAAGGAAGGAAGAAGAAGCTCGATGAAGAACGAAACGTATAGAAGGAAGAAACGTTTTCATTATCTGCTGGAGTATTTTAGTGATGCTGTGTCGTTTTACTGTTTGAGTTATGTAATAGGAGTTAGCCGTTAAATACACTGTTAAGCTTTAAACAGACGAATGGAAAGCAGCCAAGTGGCATTGCTCTGTAATCCATTTCGTCCTTTACTTTTCTGCTGAACTATAAAATGCAGAGGATGACCTCAGGAGAAGCTGAGGATCATACCTTCCACAAAACCCTACTAGGTTTTCTCTTATGGTATCAGAGCGGCCGTTCTAAGGGACACCGCAATGCCAGGCAACAATTTTCCATCACCCAACACACCACCGAACTCCGGCAGCGGAGCACGAGTCATGGATCCAGGAAGTATGCAGCTTGGATCGTTTGGAGCTGAAGGAAACACGAGCCAAACCAACAATGCAGAGGTCATTATGTTTGGTAACCCTCTCTACCTGAACCTAAATGAAAATCTGAGCCTGCCTATCGTTTCTGAGTTGATGGATGGAAATAACTATAGCATGTGGAGTAGATCTGTGTTGAATGTCCTAAAAACGAAGCACAAAATGGGTTTTGTGGATGGGTCTTTACCCAGACCAGCAATTACAGATCCACATTTTCATTTGTGGGATGGATGCAACACAGTTGTCCTTACCTGGATTCTTAACTCACTGAACAAAGACATTAGACGTTCAGGCATGAGGCATGAGAATGCCAAGGTCCTGTGGGATGAAATCAAACGAAGGTTTGGACAGCTGAATGCAAACAGGCTTATTAATTTGGAAGACGAGATACACAAGTGCAAGCAGGGTACACAGAGCATTACCCAGTATTACACCCAAATCAAGGGCCTATGGGATGAATACACTGAATACAACCCAATTGTCACATGTAACTGTCTACCAAGAAACACCAACCCTTGCACTGCAGTTGAGGCCTTTGAGAGGAAACAAGAAATAGACTATCTAATTCGTTTCCTCAGAGGCTTGAACCCAGATTTTGAAATCATCAAGAAGCAACTGCTGATGCTGAAACCACTGCCAACAGTGACTATTGCAGTTGATGATTTGCTGCAATATGAACAAGAATTGAAGGCACATGGAGGAGCTAAGAAAGGACAGTCAGTAGCCTTAGCAGTTGGAGGAGAAGGGGCACGAGACAATGAGACAGCAGATCAGGGTGCAGGGAAGAAGTTTTGTAGGTTCTGTAAAAGGACCAATCACTATATTGAGGAATGCTGGAGGTTGAAGAAAAAGAAGGAGGCTGGAGAAAGGGATGGCAAAGTGCAGACTGTGAATCAGAGGTTTGCTGCTTCAGTATCTCAAGGGAGTTCAAGTGAAAGTGATCCAACTGAAGCAAACTACAGCAGTGATGCTAGCACTGTAAGTAGATCCACACTTGGCTTTACACCTGAGGAAATGACTAGACTGAGGTATCTGTTGCAGGCTGGTGCTAGTCAACCCCCTATGCCAAATTCTTCACCCTCACCTCCTAATTCCCCTTCCATTAGACACCAAGCTTTCTCTGTGTCTCAATATCTGCCACCCTTTCCCAACTTTTCAGGTAAATATGTCCTTTCTTCCCTGTCAAATGTAGGAAGTGACCACTTAGTTAATTACTGGATCCTAGATACACGTGCATCTGATCATATAGCCTGTTCTTTAGCCTTGTTCATTGATTATAGGCAAGTTAAGGACACATTTGTTCATTTACCAAACACCACAAAGGTTCCAGTATCACATATAGGAACTGTTAAACTCCCAACAGGACTGCATTTGTACAATGTACTCCTGGTTCCTAGTTTTTCTTTTAATTTAGTCTCAGTCAGTAGACTCACTCATGACTTACCCTTAGCCTTACATTTCCACTCTGATCTTTGCCAAATCCAGGATCTACTAAACAAGACGACGATTGGTTTAGCACGAGAATCTAGAGGATTATATCAACTCAGCCTTTCCAGCCCTTCACTCACACAACCAGTCCATTTCCCTCAAGCTTTCAGTGTCTACAACTTCCACCCTCATCAAGTTGATTTGTGGCATTGGAGACTAGGACATCCAAGTAGTGATAGGCAATCATTGTTACATAATCTAGATTCTTCTGTTTCCATTTCCAAGTCAGATCACTGTAATGTCTGTCATCTTTCTAAACACAAAATGCAACCATTTCCTATTATTACCAGTACTGCAACAGAACCCTTTCAGTTAATACACATTGACATTTGGGGTCCATTATCAGTTGTTTCCTATGATGGTTGTCTATTTTTTAACCGTGGTTGATGATTGTACACGAGCTGTATGGGTTTATCTCATGAGGCATAAGAGTGAGGTCAGGGATCTGTTTAAAGGTTTCTGCCAATTGGTTAAAAACCAGTTTGGAACCACAGTGAAAACAGTGAGAAGTGATCAGGGTAAGGAGTTTAATATGTGTGATTTTTACATGTCTGAAGGCATAGAACACCAGATGTCCTGTGTTTATACCCAAGAGCAAAATGCTAGGGTAGAAAGGAAGCATCAACACATTTTAAATGTGGCTAGATCACTCAGGTTTCAGTCTGGGATACCACTTTTGTATTGGAGTGACTGCATTGTTCATGCAGTGTATCTTATCAATAGAATCCCTACACCAATCTTGCAGAACATGTCACCATATGAGGCTCTTTACAAGAAAGCACCCTCTTTAGGCCATTTGAGAGTTTTTGGTTGTTTGGTGTATGCAAGCACTATTGCAGCAGGGAGATCTAAATTTGATGCTAGAGCTAGACAATGTGTTCTACTTGGCATACCTTCTGGTTTGAAAGGATACAAATTACTTGATCTCCAAACTAATCAGGTCTTTGTATCTAGGGATGTGGTGTTCCATGAGTCCATCCTTCCCTTCAGACATGAACCCTAACCACCTGTTTCAACCATTGAACCTTCTTCTTCCATTCCACTTCCAACTTCTCCACCCCCAACCAATTCTCCTGGTATCATACTCCCACCTCTTTCTACTCCTTCCTCTTCTATACCTGTTTCACCCTCTGCTGAAGGGGGCCAGACTATACCTCAAACAGACGATAATGAATTTGAACTATCTGAGAATACTGAATCAGTTTCACCTAGCAGCCCTCATGACTTTGAGATGGATTCAGAATTGGAACCACAGCAGGACTATGAACCTCCAATGAGACCACAAAGGACTCATAAGTTGCCTGCAAAGTTTGATAACCATGAATTGGATCCTGATCTTAGTTTTGGGGCTTTTGATTCCTGTGCAGCAGCCTCTAAACATCCTACCTACCTTGATCTTGAACACTTAAACCCAGCTGTAGAGGTGGCAATTGGATCGGATTCATGGATTCGTGGATTGGATTCGTGGATCCATGGATCAAATGGATTAGATCCAATGGATTGCTGGATTCATGGATTGGATCAAATGGATTGGTGGATTGATCCATAAATCCAAATGTCATCCAAGGCTTGGACCAAAATGTAAAAATTGAAAAGTTTTGGTACTAAAATGTCACAATGAAAAATTTTAGGTACCAAAATGTAATTTTCCATTGATATTTTTCGTATAAAAATATAAATTTTAGGTGCCAAAATGTAAAATATAAAAAATATAGGTATCAAATCGTAATTTGCCATTTGGATCCATGGATTGATCCATGAATCCACCAATCCAATTGGATTTGGATCAAATGGATTGGATTTAAATGGATTGGATTAGGTGGATAATTTGGTGGATGGATTGGATTGGATTCATGGATTTGGATCCTAATTGCCACCTCTACCCAGCTGACAGGGCCTTTGCTTTGAGTGTCATTTCTCATATAGAACCAGCCACTTATTATGAGGCAATGCAGTCAGATGTATGGAACAGGGTTGTGCAAGAAGAACTTGGAGCTTTGGAACAGAACCAGACATGGGATATAGTGAAGCTGCCAGATGGAAAGAAGGCCATTGGATACAAGTGGGTTTTCAAAATTAAGAGGAGAGCAGATGGATCCATAGAGAGATTCAAAGCTAGATTGGTTGCAAAAGGGTACACCCAGGTCTATGGAATTGATTTCCTAGACACCTTTTCACCTGTAGCTAAGATAAACTCTGTGAAGGCACTTTTGGCAATAGCATCAATCAAAAACTGGACACTGGAGCAGTTAGATGTTTCAAATGCTTTTCTCCATGGTGACCTAGAAGAAGAGGTATACATGAAAATACCTTTGGGACTAAACCTACAGGGTGTGGATCCAAAAGGAATGGCTTGCAAATTGAAGAAATCACTGTATGGGCTTAAGCAGACCTCAAGACAGTGGTTTGCAAAGCTCACTAGCTTCCTGATGAAGAATGGATTTGCTCAATCAGCTTCAGACTACTCCTTGTTCACCAAGTGGGTGCATGGCAGAATTATAGTACTCCTGGTGTATGTAGATGACATCATCATAGGGGGAGATGCACCCAAGGACATAGAGCAGATTAAGAAAGCATTGAGCAAAGAATTCAAGATAAAACTGCTAGGACCTCTACAATACTTCCTTGGAATGGAAGTAAACAGGACTGCAGATGGCATTAGTGTTTGCCAGAGAAAATATGCCTTAGAGCTATTGAAGGATACTGAATACCTAGAAGCAAAGGGTTGTATGACACCATCAGATCCCAAAATTAAGCTAGCAGCAAACCAGGGAACACCTCTGGAAGATGAGGAAGTATACAGGAGGTTGATTGGCAGGCTACATTATGTGACAATCACCAGGCCTGATCTGACATACATTGTGCAACAGTTGTGCCAGTTTCAGAAACAGCCATGTAGTGATCACTTACAGGCAGCTTATAGGGTGCTAAGATACTTGAAAACAGCCCTGGACAAGGTATACACTTTAGCAGTAAAGCAGATTTGAAGCTAGTGGGATTCACAGATTCTGATCGGGCTAGTTGCCCAGACACAAGAAGATCAACTACAGGGTATTGCACCTTTCTGGGAAGTTCTCTACTGACATGGAAGAGCAAGAAGCAAACCACAGTATCCAGGTCTTCATCAGAGGCTGAATACAGGGCTCTAGCTCTATTGGTTTGTGAAGTGGAATGGCTAAAGGGGCTTCTAGCATAACTGAGTGTGAAGGTACCTATTCCTATCTCAATCTATTGTGACAACAAGTCTGCTATTCATATAGCAGAAAACCCAGTATTCCATGAACGCACAAAGCATATAGAAATAGATATGCATGTGACTAGAGACAGAATCAAAACTGGGTTAATCAAGCTTCACCATGTAAGCACATTCAATCAGTTGGCAGACTTGTTCACGAAAGGGTTGGATAGAGCGCGTATGCAGGCTTTGTTGATCAAGTTGGGAGTCAAAGTGACTGCCACAACTTGAGGGAGGCTGACAGAGTTGTAATCCAGATTGTCTAAGGACCGAAGGAAGAAGAAGCTCGATGAAGAACGAAACGTATAGAAGGAAGAAACGTTTTCATTATCTGCTGGAGTATTTTAGTGATGCTGTGTCGTTTTACTGTTTGAGTTATGTAATAGGAGTTAGCCGTTAAATACACTGTTAAGCTTTAAACAGACGAATGGAAAGCAGCCAAGTGACATTGCTCTGTAATCCATTTCGTCCTTTACTTTTCTGCTGAACTATAAAATGCAGAGGATGACCTCAGGAGAAGCTGAGGATCATACCTTCCACAAAACCCTACTAGGTTTTCTCTTAAGCAGGTACACATTGACACCGGGGAAAGATGAACAAGAAATTTGGAGCAGGGAAACCGCCAACAGGCACTCCTTCACTGGCCTGGTCATGCGTCGTCGTCATCGCTTCTCTTCTCTCCGGCGCCTCCATCGTGCACAATATCTATAAACCTGATCTCGTAAGTCCCACACCAGCTCCTGCTCTCCTGCTTTATGAAATACATGTTGCTCACCACCTGTTCGATAAAATGCTCGACTAACTGAATTATCTTCATGTACACAGACGTTACCTCCGGTGGAGATTGCTGACACCGCTGCTGAGAAAGATGAAGTCCAGGGCCAGAAGCAATGAAACCCTTTTCACGTTGCAGCGACAATTGAATCCAACTCTCAGCCTTGGACACTTCGAGGTTCTTTTACATAAGTTGTTAGCGCGAACTCTTTGTCTCATTGTCTGGGTAGTCAAACTTTCTGAAGCTTTGTGATTGACTGCTCTGTTATCACTGTTTGGGATTCTTCCCTTTTTTTGACGAAGTTTGGGATTCTTCCTGATGCATATAAGTGAGAACAGTCTAAGTCAATGAATCTTCTTACTTCTCCCCAGTCACGTGGTTACCATGGCAATGGCATTGTATTAATTCTGCTTTAATTAAGTTCAAGTTAGGTTTATCATACTGGAGTTCTCACCCAACATTAGTCTGTTTCTATGATCCTTTCATGGAGATGGAAAAGTCGGTCTAACACATCAACTCATTCACTCTTTTCCATTGAACCTCCCTAGCCTGTTCTGTCTTGTTCTTTTGAGTTGAGCCATGTATGTGAATTTGCTATGGGTGAGAAAGAGAATGGCTGCGAGGTTCTGTGGCCTGGAACATTTTGCCCTCTCTTGATCGCTTTCAGGGCTTAACTCACAGAAACTAAAGGGCGCATCCATGCGCCTACTAGCACTACTAATCCGTTTATCTAACGGTTTACAGCAAGCTATGAGCACCATAACCGGATTGCGGATTGCCCTTAGCTATCCCGAGTTCTAAAGGGATGTGCCGAGATCTCCCAAACACAACTCTTACTTGTTATTGGGTCGGGTGTTCTTGGCCCATAAAAAGTACGAGAAGACAACTCAAGTAAATTATGGGCCGTTGACTAAAGCGTAGCGGCAGACGGGCTTTCAATTTCAACTGCTGTGTCCTCTAGCGAGTAGCGACAGTGTTTCAGGGGGGAAGCAGATCGAGTAAGAGATAAGGTGTTTTCAGATTCTAATTTCTCTTCACCGACGCCGGCGGCCATAGTTGCTCTCACCTGCCAGCTGCTGCTAGACGCTGAGCTCCCGCGTTATTAAAAGGTTTGTGTAGCTCGATCGATCCTTCCTTCTTCGCATTTGTTCAGTTCTCAATTTTCTCATTTCTGTTTTTCACGGACGGCCGATCGCGGATCGCCGTCTGGTGTTGGAATCGGTTTCTTGGTTTATTCTTCTCCTGATAGTGCCATAGCTGAAATCTGGCATCTCTTTGCTTCTTGTGAGAATCGTCGTTATGATCATGAAACTAAAGCCCGTAGAATAGAATGAGATAGGAAACCTCATATGGCGGTGAATTTCATTTGAGCTCAAAGTAATAGGAGTTCCTCATGAGACTTAACAATGGTGGGAATCAAATGTTAATGAATTCTTGAGAAAGGATCCCCCTTGCACAGGGACATACTGTTTAGTTTTTCAATTCACATTCTTGCTTGAGCTTAACCTTCTTGAAAGCTAAAGTTGACTTGAGCCCTACTTTTCTGTTTCTATTGTCAAGTTTATGCCATCGCATAGCTTTTGGGGTAAGAAGACAGGTGCCCTGTTTTTGTTTACAGCAGCTTCTTTCTGCGGGGATTTGTATTATGATTTCATGGGTTGCGAATCAAAGCTACTCTTACTGTATGAGAATCTTGAAAAGCTGCCCATTAGCAATGTGGCAAATTTAACCAAAGGGTTAAATCTATCTCTAAGAAAAGGGGTGGTCTGAACTGGGGGCTAACATGCTTTTCCACACCAGTTTGCCACTCTTCTTAGTGGGGGAAACTGGAATGTGCTACTTTGCACATTTTGTTGCTTGATGAATGGTTAACCTGAGATGTTATGGTTCTGATAAATGCAATGTTTTGCTGTTGGATTCTGCAGATGTTTGACGATCAGGATCTCGGATTCTTTGCCAATTTCCTCGGCATCTTCATCTTCCTCCTGGTGATTGCCTACCACTACGTCGTTGCTGACCCGAAATACGAAGGCAGCAACTGAGAATGGATTTGTCGGCTTTACTTGCATCCTGTTTAGATAAGAAGCTTTACTAGAGAACATTTTACAGCAGCATAAAAGCTGTTCTTTGCTGCCTAGATAACATTCTTGCCTGCCCTTTACTAGATAACATTATCCCAATCAATGCAGGACCACCAATAGTTTCAAACTTTCCATTGCATCATATGAATTCTCTTTCACGACATCACAGTTTCACCATGCACTACTCCTTTTTGGGGAGATCACATTTTAGAACAATCTCTTTGCTTCTGTACATGCATACATTCTCTGTGATGTTGATGCATCACTATTGCAGTCTCCGGAACTTCGGTTTAGAACTCTTTCCAGGTTGGTTATGGTCACTGCAGGTCTGTAATTGTCTGGGAAAGGTCTTGCCCGTGGGGAAGGGTTAGAAAGTGATCTTCCCATTAATTCTTTCTTGTCAAGTGGCTGCCTAGCCAATCTCCCTTCACCCCTAGTTTTGATGGATTGATGACAGATTATGCCATCAGTGGTAATTGGTGACAACTGACAAGTCAACAGCATAATTCAGATTAGAAAATTCTATTGCTAGTGGACCATGTGTCTGTGTTGTGTTTATGGAAGTCTCCTTTTGAAATAAGTTGGAATACTCAAACGACTCGAATTTATATAGATGTAACTTATAGAGAAGAATTTTTGAAGTCGTGTAAGTTTTTTTTTCTATTTTACCTCTTTGAAAAAAAGTTTAATAGAAAAATTTTAGTGGGAGAAGCAGAAGTTGGAGAATTGTGAATTTAAGTGGAATTATATTTTTTATCGAATTTATCACTGAATTGTTCGATTGAATGAATTACGACAATCTCTTCTCAGTCAATAATAAAACACAATCATTATCTCTTGAATCATATTGTACCAAAGGAGGCATGTCATCATAACATCAGTCACATTATGGTACTAAAAGCAAAGAGGTAAAAAAAAAAAAATCAAAATCAAGAATCCTATTCTTAAGAACCTTTTTATTGTCATTAATTATTAGAGATGGAAACGAGAGCCGTTGATTACAAAACAGACGACCCGATAACCCGAGAGCAAGGTGGTGAACCCTAGGAACAGGAACCCGAGGAAGCCCAGGGCAATGGCGATGTCGGATTGGAGGCAGAAGGCGCTGAAAGATCGACAGGTGTCCCTATCCTTGAGCGTCTTGACCAGCGCCGTCGCCGCCGAGCCCGCCGACAGCAGGAGGTAAGCGAATATCTGATCGTGGCCGAAATCGAACCACACTTGGAGCACCTCCGGGAAAATCGTCGCGCTCTTGAGAACTTCCCAGGCCGACGCCGCCACTTCCAGGAGCGAGTATATCGCCACGATCGCATTCGCCGCGAAAACGTATCTGCGAAAGAGTGACGGCAAGAGTTTCATTTCCGGCTTTAATTTATTGCTTGTTTTTTTGTTTGGTTGCGGCTCGGGGAAGCGGGAATCGCGAAATCTTTTTTTGAAATTGAAATTGAAATGTTTTCCTTCTGCTTTTCTCGGCAGCCAAACAAGACATTGGGAAGGAGAAATTAGAAGAGCGGGGGACTGACCTAAAGGCGTCGAAGTCGCGCCAGGAGGGGGAGTCGGATCCCCTGGAGTTGGTGAGCATGAAGATGGAGGAAGAGAGGGAGAAGCAGAAGGCGAGGAGGCGGAGGAGGAGGATGAGGGAGTTGAATCGGCGGAGCTTCTGTACGGAGAGAGTGGAGTGGAAGTGAGGGGCGGAGATCCGCGGGTGAGGCGACGGAGTCTCGCCGTTGCGCAGCGGCTGCGGTGAGAGCATGATGGTGATTGATTGATGAGGAAGACGGCGAGGGGATCAGTGGTCGGCGGCGGCGGCGGAGAAGAAGGGAGCCATTTGAGAAGGGAAGCGGGAAAGATATGGAAGGGGAAAAAGGAAGAGGGGGCGTTGAGGTTCACGGAGGCATTAGGGAAGGGAGAGTTCGATTTTTCATGGGGAAAATATGAGAGAGTACTGGAGAGAAGAGATGGGAACTGGGAAAGTTGGGAAAGCGGAAAGGGGGAAAAGGGTTTAGGGGGTTCAGAAAGTAAATAGTAGGGGGTGAATTGTAAGTAAGGAAAAGATGGGTGATTGCACTGGTAATTGGTGTCTCTGTTCTGTTATTTACTGTCTGGAAAATGGGGCCTGGAATGGAAATAAGAAGAAGTGGGGAAATCGGAAAGGAAAAGGAAAGGTAGAAGAAACAGAGAGGTTCTGATGTGTTTCACCTTCCAATGGAAAAGAACAAAGAAGTGAGCTGGATGGACCAGCTGGGTTTATTTTTTCTCTCTGGGAAACTGCCACTCTTGCTGCCGTGCTGCATGTTCATTATTTCCAATTTTGTTCATAGAAATTGGACAACTTTTGTATTTTTTTTTTCCCAGTTGCAATTTCATAGTCCCAAATCGTGATCGAGGGCTACAACAAGGCATCGAGCATTGTGGGCAACTCAATGAACATTAATGTTGTGATTGGTGGTTGATGAAGGCGATGTAGCCCGAATTCGGTGTTTGCATGATCTACAATCATGAATAATAGGTGAGTAGAGCACCACCACGATAAATTTGTCAGTTTGTTTTTTTACGTCAAGGGTTTGCAATTGGAGGGCTAATATTTGTCAAATGACAATCTTTTTCCGCATAAATTAAGAAATTATTTATAAGCTTATTCACGATTTACGATCATGCTTCTAACACTTGCATAATTTTGTGATCAAATATAATGTGTAAGATAGGTGGTGCCAAATTCATATTAAAAGAGTTTACATAATATGCGAATGTATAGTTGTTTAATGTGAATAACTCTTATTAGTTATTTCAAATGGTTTTTGCTTCGACTCCATTTATTCCTTTTGCTTATTTGTCATGGTCATGTCCAGACTCCAGACCAAATGCAAAAAGATGATGTAGCGCCATTTAGAAAGACAAGCCTACTTGTGGTAGCCAATGCAAGATAACCGCTCATAGTGTTATAAGATGACCGTTTAGTTTGCTTGAATGTGTGGTGGAGCGTTGGCGGAAAGGTGTAACTGTCTAACACTACTTCAAAATGTTCATTAGGCACGAAGCAAGCTACTTGATGTGCTGGTAAAAACCATTCATTGGTCATTTTAGGTTTGACATTACTCGCTCGAGCACATCCAAGGAACCTAAGCATACCATAACAGTAAGTTAGTAACGATACATTGCAAAGATAAAATATCAGCAGATCCACATCAAAACAGAACAATAGACTTGTAAGTTCAAGATAACAAGTTAACAACACTAGATCGGGGAGAGATATTGCATAAGGAATGATGAATAAGTGTTATCGCTCTCTATTTATATACCGTAAAGTTGACAATAAGAATTTGAAGTAGGAACGATGACCAATTAGTTAAGGTGTTAAAGATTAGTTCGGGAGGTAATATTCTCACTAAATTAAAGTCGATTCTATAAGGTTAAATTGATAGATGGGTTCGTCGGTTCGGGTTTGAGCTCGAACCGTTCTTGGATGACTCCACTGAGACAAAATTTTATCGTAAAATTCAAATGTAGTAAGACATAAAGATGTTCAAGCAACTATGCATGCTTCAAACTCCAACAAAATAAAGCTAAATGTCATTCGAGAGTTGGACCTATCGAAATCGACAGGAGAAAACACGACATAACATCAATTGATAGAGTATTAGTCATGGCTTTCGAGAGTTCCCTTTGTTGTATAAGAGAGGTATCATTGCTTCCTTTTGTGAAGTTGACTCAACACCGTCTCCACTACGAAGCGAAAGGTATTCAATTTTTGATAGATCGCCCCACTAACAATAGCAAGCCTAAAATAGTGATTAGTTACCTCGAGCGTAACCACACCAAGAATATTCCCCTTTCAGCATCATCCACATGGTTCATAGTCAAGCTAAAATATACAACAAACTTTTGATGATTAACTTTCTCACCACTCTGATTATCATAATTGCGTAAGAATGGGAAGGTTGAGGTGCTTTGAGACCACTTACTCAGATAGTGAGAGATGTGTTATGTGGTGCTTTAAAATGACCGAGGTTCACAATATTAACCTATACATGTATGTGCTCCAAATTGACTAGCCATGCACGGTCTCGTGACATAAGGCATCAGACCTCTGCAACCATCTTGCGATGCAGATGTGATGGCGTTGCTATCTAAATCAGGTGTATGACTATGCTCGAATTTGTCCGCATAAAACTTTCACAATTCTCAATTCCATATGAAACTAGCACAACACTAGCTAGTTTTGCACAGAAGTCGAATTCCTCCCCTTCTTGATTCTCGCCTTTTCTATATTCGCTAATAAATATCGATAAAACAATCATAATTTCTCTCCATAGCATCCGCGAAAGACATAATAGAAAAGAGGTGAACAACAAACCTATACTATTCAAATTTGTTCAACCCTATCGTGGTGGTCTCCTAGTTCACGAGTTTCCCTAACTCCAATACCTTGAGCTCTCCTTTTCAATGACCTTGCCGACATGCTTGCATAGTTGGGACTTGGGAGCTTCTTTGGGCTATTTTTATTTTATGGCATTGGCGGTAATCATTTTACCTTCTGGACATAGGATTGGATGGTATGTGTATGGGCCTAAAGCATATTGGGCCATCGACTTTAAAACCCGTTTACTGTTTTGAAAAGGAGAATTTTCTTAGACGCGTTAACAAGCTAGCTATTGACCTCTCCGAAATCGCAAACCAAACCACAACCGTCCATATCCCATCCAACGGCTCCTATTCTCTCGAACCTTCTGGAATTCCGGCACCCTCCAGCTTTGCCCTACGCTCCCCGCCCCCAAAGCTTATAAAACCTCCTTGAACTCCACTCCGTGTTCCTCCACTTAGATCTGAAAGAGAAGCTCGAAAACCCTAATCGAGCTTTTCAGATCTACATTTACTTACCGTTGTTTTTCTAAGCTTTCGTTTGCTTCGTTGTACTTGTTTCTTCCTCTCCGGCGACGATATGGCGAAAGGTGAAGGTCCCGCCATCGGTATCGATCTGGGAACTACTTACTCCTGCGTCGGAGTATGGCAGCACGACAGGGTCGAGATCATCGCCAATGATCAGGGTAACAGGACGACTCCGTCCTATGTTGCCTTCACTGATACCGAGCGTTTGATCGGCGATGCCGCAAAGAATCAGGTCGCCATGAACCCCATCAACACCGTCTTTGGTAAGTAGCTCCGCCCAGATCTTTTTTTTTGTTTCAAATTCCATCTTGTAAAGATTTGCTGGTCTAGGGTTTTGCATATCTGTAGATAACTTCGTTTCATTGTAGTCACTGTTCTCCTCTATGTAGTCAAAGTGTAGTAAACGATGGATCTATGTCAAAGTGGTAGTCTTTCCTGATTTTAGATTTGACGTTTCGATCTATACGTCTGAGTACATGTTTAGCTGTTTATAGGATTGAATATCTGTTGACATAACTGTTTATAGAACTGAGTATCCATTGCCATGGCTCGTTGGTTGTAGCTGTAGGAGAAATTGATACATATGTTTGTTTATCTCTCTCTGTATAGAAAGGTTGAATATTGTCGGATGGTGCCGACTGTGTGGCTATGTAGGTTAGTTTTCTAGTTTCCAGTGGCGCTTGCTTATTGTTTGCGATGTTTGTCCATCTTTATAGACGCAAAGAGGTTGATTGGGCGGAGATTCACCGATGAGTCTGTTAAGAGTGACATGAAGCTATGGCCTTTCAAGTTGGTCCCCGGTGCCGGAGACAAGCCCATGATTGTTGTCACCTACAAGGGCGAGGAGAAGACCTTTGCCGCTGAGGAGATTTCTTCCATGGTGCTCATCAAGATGCGTGAGATTGCAGAGGCCTATCTTGGCACCACCATTAAGAATGCTGTTGTGACAGTTCCAGCTTACTTCAACGATTCCCAGAGGCAGGCCACCAAGGATGCCGGAGTTATTGCTGGTCTCAATGTTATGAGAATCATCAATGAGCCTACCGCTGCTGCCATTGCTTATGGTCTTGACAAGAAGGCCACAAGTGTTGGGGAGAAGAATGTGTTGATCTTTGACCTTGGAGGTGGTACTTTTGATGTTTCCCTCTTGACAATTGAAGAGGGTATCTTTGAAGTGAAGGCAACAGCTGGAGACACTCACCTTGGTGGTGAAGATTTTGACAACAGATTGGTGAACCATTTCGTTCAGGAGTTCAAGAGGAAGAACAAGAAGGATATCAGTGGAAACCCCAGATCACTCAGGAGGTTGAGGACTGCTTGTGAAAGAGCGAAGAGGACCCTCTCATCCACCGCCCAGACCACCATCGAGATTGATTCACTCTATGAGGGTATTGATTTCTACTCCACCATCACCCGTGCCAGATTTGAGGAGCTCAACATGGATCTCTTCAGGAAGTGCATGGAGCCAGTGGAGAAGTGTTTAAGGGATGCTAAGATGGACAAGAGCACTGTCCATGATGTTGTCCTCGTCGGTGGATCCACCAGGATTCCCAAGGTGCAACAGCTGCTCCAGGACTTCTTCAACGGCAAGGAGCTTTGCAAGAGCATCAACCCTGATGAGGCAGTTGCTTATGGTGCTGCAGTCCAAGCTGCTATCTTGAGTGGTGAAGGCAACGAGAAGGTTCAGGATCTTCTTCTGTTGGATGTTACTCCTCTGTCCCTTGGTCTTGAGACCGCTGGGGGTGTCATGACTGTCTTGATTCAAAGGAACACCACCATTCCCACCAAGAAGGAGCAGGTCTTCTCCACCTACTCAGACAACCAGCCTGGTGTGCTTATCCAAGTGTACGAGGGTGAGAGGGCCAGGACCAAGGACAACAACTTGCTTGGCAAGTTTGAGTTGTCTGGCATCCCACCAGCACCAAGAGGAGTACCACAGATCAATGTGTGCTTCGACATTGATGCCAATGGTATCCTCAATGTCTCTGCCGAGGACAAGACCACCGGACAGAAGAACAAGATCACCATCACCAACGACAAGGGTAGGTTGTCCAAGGACGAGATTGAGAAGATGGTCCAGGAGGCTGAGAAGTACAAGTCTGAGGATGAGGAGCACAAGAAGAAGGTTGAGGCCAAGAATGCAGTGGAGAACTACGCCTACAACATGAGGAACACCATTAAGGATGAGAAGATTGCTGAGAAGCTGGATGCAGCTGACAAGAACAAGATTGAGGATGCCATCGAGAAGGCCATCCAGTGGCTGGACAACAACCAGCTCGGTGAGGCTGACGAGTTCGAGGACAAGTTGAAGGAGCTTGAAGGCATTTGCAATCCCATCATCGCCAAGATGTACTCCGCAGGTGGCGGCCCTGGCATGCCTGGTGGTGGCATGGATGAGGATGATGTTCCTCCTTCAGGTGGCAGCGGTGCTGGTCCCAAGATCGAGGAGGTGGACTAAGTTCTCTGGCTAGATTCTTTCTCATGCCTGGGGTTTTTACAATTATGAGTTGTTGAATTTGGATTTTGTTTTGCTTTTTGCATTTGGATATTGCTGGGGGAGGGTTAAGCGATTGCAAGCTGGTTAGCTTGCTTATTTTGAACTGGTACGCTTATGTTTTTTTGCATCATGAATGACATTACCTCCCTTTGCCAATTCTTTGTGCACTATATCTTTTTTTGATGCTTCTATTCCTTCTTGCCTTCTACATTCTGCAACGAGCAACTGTGATTAGTTTACCAAAATTTGGTACTATCCACCATCCAGTGTCTTCTGTGCTGTTTCATAACCCTTGTCCTCTTTTCTTATTTCTTTAGACCCTCCAGTCGTGCATCATCGCGTGGTGAGGTACCGTGATGAAGTGCCTCTTAACATGGAGAATAAATTGAGATGAAATTGAAATGGTTTGCACTTCATGGTTGAGCTAAAATTGGAGCATAAGGAACCAAATTTGTGCATTTAGGGGAAACAAAATCTGTGGGTCCCACAAATTTTAAGGTATCAAATTTGTGGATCACACTGACTTAAAGTTTCACATATTTAGGTGCGAATTGATTATGGACTTTGAAGTCCATCATTTTTACCAACCTACCCTTCATATTTGCTTTCTCTTCTTATATCATTGAGGACAACAAATGTAAATTACACTTCATATATACAAATTTAATTAACAAAATCCATCAAACAAACAATGGTGTTTATCAAATCCATAATGAACCTAAAACCCTCATATATATATCCATGATTTTTCAAAATCCAAGTTATACCAAAACCTTATTTTTTAAATTCACGACACAAACTAGTCCTTCATCTCTCGTTGGGTAAAACAAGATATGGTAAAGTCATCCTAGGCGCCGCGTGGGTCTCGGATCTGTTAAGGGCTTAAGGCCCGAGTCGATGGTTTTCATCCAAAGTTCTACGTAACGGTAATACTATGAGCTATATGCCAATGTGTCTTCTCTTCTCTCTTCCAGCAAAAGGGAGGTTAAACCTAGTAACCAAAGGGCCTGTAGCCGAAGTCTACATCACAGGATGGAAACTCGAGTTCAGATGTGGGCAATCGTTTCTAGTTCTTCACTGAAACAAGGAAGAGAAAAAATGGCTGGTTACTTCAAAATGTCAATGGAGGCCATCTACCAAACCAGCATATTCAATGGGGTAGAGGACATCATCGATCAGACTGCAGAGCACTGTGCTGATACCCTCTAGAGGAATCTAGTTAGGGACTCTATTCCTTTGATTAGCAGTTAAGTTTTGCAATATGTTCTCTTCTTGCCCTGCACATATTCTATCTATACATAAATATCTTCGCGATGATATTCTTTCTGGTGCCACAACTACATACCCTGCAAACATATTGATACAGCAGCTGTATGGGAACAGACAAATCAATGATGCAGCAGAAATCAATCACTGATCTCCAGTCATCTTTTCATTCTTCCCTTAGTGTGCAATGAATACGCCCCTCATAAATATAACAATCAAACCAGAACTAAAATTTCCCACCAAGAACCAAAACATGGAAGAGTGTCAGGTATATCATCAACCTACAGACTGGAACCCAAGAACTAGAACAAAAGTAAAACAGGAAGAAAAAAAATGGCAATACAGAAGAATATGCTAAAACAAAAGTGCACCAAGTAACCATTTGCGCGGCTTTTCCTTGACAGGTCAGTAAACAGACGTATATCCCATCCGAAACATTCTATGTCTCCTTCAAGTCGATGAATGATCGCTCGCTCAAAGGAGAAGGGCGGAGACACACACGGACTTCATGCTCCTCTGGTCCTTCCCGGTGTTTCGGCACAATAATCTCCAGAATGGTTCCAGTCTCGTCCCGATAGGCTTCCAGTTTAGCATCTTCAGGGATGCAGTTTGGCAGGGGAATCTCCCTAACAAACTCCCCTGGTGGGCAGTGCTCCGGAGTTGCATCTGTTAGTTTAAATGTCCTATCATGCCTTTTAATAAACGGCATTCGAGCAGTACTTACACAAGATATTTTCACTATTCCATGACTGTTGGTGTTCCTCCAGGTGACTTTCACCCTTTCCAGATCTGCAAATGGCAAGCTGACGATGATCAGGAATGCTTCTTCATCTTCGTATATGGTTTTCGCTGCTGTAACGGGCCCATAAACATTTTTCATCACCCCACCGAAGTCATTGAGCCATGCTGGATCAGATGGATGGATGTTCATGTCTACTATCTCAACATGAGAATTGTTATTACGGAGACAATCATCCTCGTTTGCCTGAGGAGAATACGCCTTCTTCCTTTTATTGTGGGAAAAAGGAGAATAGTCCATGACTTCACCACTACTACTACTACTATGGTCAGTAGACTGAGTAGAAAGATTCAAACCAGTACCATTAAGCAATTTCCTCGGATGAAAATTGCCATTGATCTTCAATGGCAGAGGAGGGCGTTCGAGCTCAAATTCTGTGGTTGGCAGGGTCCTCCAACAGCTAAAATCACTTGCTTCAGGAGGGATGCAGAAATTTACATCACGACCTGTGAGTTCTACCCACCTCTTCTTCTCTTCCTCTTCGAGATTCACGAGGTTTGGTGTGTGAACAACTTCAATACCATGAAGGCACTGTGGGTTAGAAAGACCCCTGTAATGCTTCCTTTGCATCCTGTGAGACCGGACAAAGCCCCTGTCAACGCTGAATGGGAATGGGCGCTCACCTTGACGCGAGTGCCCATTCATGTAACTCCTCAGTTGCATCTTACCCAACGCATTGTCAGGCTTCTCCTTGAAAACCCACATGTACATATTCTCCATATCGTGCTGCACCAAGAATGCGTCGAGGTGCAGATCCGTTTTTTCATACCCAGAGATACCATTGCTATCCTTCACTATCTTGGACTTCGACTTCTCACTCAAAACCGGCTTGAAATAGAAGGTAAAGAAGAACCAAGCACCCCAAATGCTGTCGAGCCTCTTTGCACATTTCTTTGAAGCTTTAGGCACACTGACTGTTGTCTCCACTTCGTAAACTGGAGGAGCATGACCCAAATCTAAGATGTCACATGTGTCATTCCAATTCAGAAGAGAAGGTGAGGGTGGCTCAGATGACACTGGAAGGTTGATGTCAGGTGGCCTGGAGAGTATCAATGGCCGATTCATCTCTCTCTCCAATTCATCGTGCATTAAGGAACCAGAATCCATTGACAAAAGCGTAGAAGGGTGATAATTCTCCATTGATAATGCCGTTATGAGAGCTTCCGCCATATTTTCTTTTTCTTCTCTACTTTCTACTTTCCTAATGAGAGTTCTGATTTTCACAATCACTTGCCCAGCCCACGATCAGTCAACAAAACCAAACAAGCAACTTATCAACCTCTTCATGATTTCAACTGCCCACGATCTTCCCAGTCGGTAGAACACCAAAGTTCATGATGAATTCAAGGACCAGAAGAAAACGGCATCGTCAAGTACATCAGTAACCTGGACAGGACGATGCCAAATAGAAATCGAGATCAGATAAACAATCCACAAATTCATTAACCCAAAAGCTAAAGATTGAAGCTTGGTAATAATTATGGCATGAGACCAACACCACCAATTAGCTCTACTCATACAATAAACAAATTCATTAACCCAAAAGCTAAAGATTGAACAGATCATAATTCCCAGCAGAACCCTAAACATCAAATCAAACTACTGATTTGAAACACACAAGGTCGATCGATTAACTAATAGTTTTCTGGGTAATCAATCATGGAATATTGAATACCAAAATCCAAATCATGGAGGTAAGAACTCAAAAAAGTAATCCTAAACAAGCCCTAGAATCTCCTCAGGGGAACGCGCCAATAATACAGCAAACAAAGTGGTAAGAGATTCCGAAACACATCTAATCGAAATTAAGCCAATCCCTGAAACCTGAAAAGGGTAATCGCCAGAGATTCGAGAATTACCTAAAAGAGGGAGCTTGAAATTCACCCAGAACAAACACTTCAACATTCGATCCCCAATTTTTGAGAGAGAGATAGAGGGAGAGAGCGGAGGGTGTTTAAAGAGACGGAGAGAGGTGACTGGGGACAGCCACTAGCGAGACCTGCACCAGATGGAGCCGGGCGGAGGCGGTGACAGCCTGACAGGGGCCGTTAAGTTTAACATCTAACTTGGACTCTTGTAATTTGTAACTCATATCTTTAACATATAGAATAGAAACATAGTTTATACTAAACAAATTCGGATGATAGTCACACAAAGTTATCAGGTGATTATGTATTAGCATCCTAATCCATTAACTATGATGACTCACCAAGATGTGTTTTCATGAACTTTCACTAATTTCTCGCAATTTGAAGCGGAGGACAATAGGTTTAGTGTAAGTTTTTTAACCTCTTGTTGGCTCCGCAATTATGACTATTGATAAAAATAAAAGAGAAAAGTATAGATATTTTTTTTAATTTGGCGATGTTTTTAGTAACTTAAATGATTAACCGTCTATTCACACTTTATTGAGAGATGCTAACATGTCAAGATTGACCATTCCTGCCTCGTCAAATGCTTGGTCTCTTCGTTGTGTTGGTTGCTTTGCACTTCACTTCAAGTGCCTTACACACGAAGTGGATTGGTAGTGACATATTCTCCATTATATTGGCTTCACAGGTCGAGTTTGGCGATGACTCGGAAGGTCTCATGGCACCTCGAAGATTAGGCAATGCACCCTTATCTTATGGAGGTCATCCTCGAGATCGCTGCCCCCACTTATGCCACATTCCAATCTTTGCCCTAGAAAGAAGGCTTTATGCCACCTCCTAAACTTAGCACAACACCCTTGGTTTCTATGTCGACATAACACATGGTTGACATTGATAGTGGTTTCTATGTCGATATAACAACACATGGTTGATATTGATAGCCCTCGTAGCATTCTACGAGTTTACGATGCTACAAGACCTACAACTACTTGGAAGGCCTCATGGCCCTTCCGAGACCGGGCATGACACATTGTGGAGGTCACCCTGAGAATCACTATACCACCCGCTAAGCCACCTCTCAAGCCTAAACATAAAGAAGGCTTTATGCCGTCTCTTAAGCTTAGCACCACATCCTTAATTATGTCACCTTCCAAGCTATATGTTATCTTTCACAAAATGTCCGAAGTTGGTGTGACAGTCTCTCGTGCTACCTCTGCAAAGGCTTTGGCAATACTTGTCTCTTGCCTGACAATATGTACCTCCAATACTTACCACAATTCTAGCATCGACATCGATTATAGTACTGATGTTACAGTAGGCTTGGTTTTAGCAAAACACTTCAATCCTGAGCGTAGCTCCAATTGCAAAGCACCAACCTCTACTATGGGGCGGAGCATGGGTATTGAGGTACCAGCCCCGCCCCATTGTCATCACTAGTAGCTCCAATCGCAAAGCACCAACCTCTACTATGGTGGAAGCATAATAATGAAGTTGGTTACGCCATGTTTGCTATAAAAAAATTTCATCATGCAAGGATCAACTCAAACTAACTGAACTATTTCGATTTAGATTTTCAATCAATATGATTGATGAGTACAATCGTAAGGATTATGGATTTGGTCAAAACATTAAGTGACCAAATTTATAAATTATCAGCCTTAAGTGATCTTTTAGGTGTTAATCCATGGTTCACCTAACCCATTCCAACGACAAGTTTCATTGTTCTCTCCATGAATGTGAATGCTACTTTGAAACGTTTGACAAGTTACAAATACAAACCTTTCGTTTCCCCAAACAAAGAATAAAGAAATGTGGATATATCTTGTTCCAATTATCGGACATTGACGGATAAGCTTTCAGTCTTCTTCACGGCCATGGTATTGATACGAAGGGATGGATTTTTATACCAACCCAACATAAATACGCGACGCCGCTGTCCCGCTGTTATACTTAACGGCGCCCCGTCACCGAACCCGACCGGCCTCATCTGGTGCAGGTCTCACTGCAGTTTGTCCGTCTGACCGTCTCCTTTTAAACACGTTCCGTTTTCGACTTCCCTTCCTCTCTCTCTCTCTCTTTTCTGTCTCACAAATTGGGGATCGAATGTTCAAGTCTCTGTGCGCGGTGGATTTCAAGCTCCCTCCTTTAGGTAATTCTCGAATCTCTGGCGATTACCCTTTTCAGGGCTTTTAGGGTTGTGTTGGATTTTGATTAGATGGGTTTCCGAATCTCTTTCCCATTCCTTTTCCGCCGAATTCTTGGAGCGTTTCCCTGATTGAATTCTAGGGCTGCTTTGTTTGTCCCCGTCATGATTCTTGCGTACTTGCTCTGTGATTAATTATTCAGAGAGCTATCGGTTAATCGATTCACCTTTTGTGCGCTTCCAGTCTCTCCAAAGAGGGATTCGGGAAAGTTTGTAGCTTTGAACACAATGGATTGTCGTCCCCTCTCCTGGAACAAGAATGATGTTTGGTAGCTTTATTGTAAGTTTCTTGGTATTCATAATTTGTTGTGGCCTGAGACAATTCTGATTGGCTGCTGGGTGACTTTTCCATATTGTATGAGCAGAACTGATTGGTACTTGGTAGTGTTGCTTTCACCAGAATGTGTTATGACTATATGAAGATTCAATTTTAGCTGCTCAGTCAATGATTTGTTGATTGTTTAGCTGATCTCGGCTTCTTTTTGCCTTCCTCCTGTACAGGCTCGTGATGTACTTGATGCTGCTCTCTTCTGGATTGTGAATTCCCCTATGAGCTATTGTGATCTTCCGACTGGGGAAGTTGCGGGCATTTGAAATCATGAAGAGGTTGATAAGTTGCTTGTTTGGGTTCGTTGACTGATCGAGGGCTTTCCCTGTTTTGTGGGTTGCATCAGATTTTGTAAACATGTCAGTGACCTTCTGACACGGTCCTGGGATTTTGAAAATCCAAACCCATATCAAGGAAATTGGAAACGAAGAGAAGAGAGAGATGGGGGAAGCTCTCATAACGACATTGTCAATGGAGAATTATCACCCTTCTACACTGTTGTCCATGGATTCTGGTTCCCTAACCCATGATGATTTGGAGAGGGAGCTGAATCGACCTTTGATTCTCTCGAGGCCACCTGATATCAATCTTCCGGTATCATCTGAGCCACATTCGCCTTCTCTGCTGAATTGGAACGATACATGTGACATCTTAGATTTGAGTCATGCTCCTCCAGTTTATGAGGTCGAAACTACTGTCAGCGTGCCTAAAGCTTCGAAAAAATGTACAAAGAGGCTGGACAGTATCTGGGGTGCTTGGTTCTTCTTTACCTTCTATTTCAAGCCTGTTTTGAATGAGAAGTCAAAGTCCAAGATAATAAAGGATAGCAATGGTATCTCTGGGTATGAAAAGTCAGATCTCTACCTTGATGCATTCTTGGTGCAGCACGATATGGAGAATATGTACATGTGGGTTTTCAAGGACAGGCCTGACAATGCTTTGGGTAAGATGCAGTTGCGAAGCTACATGAATGGGCACTCACGTCAAGGGGAGCGCCCATTTCCATTCAGTGTTGACAAGGGCTTTGTCCGGTCTCACAGGATGCAAAGGAAGCATTACAGGGGTCTTTCCAACCCACAGTGCCTTCATGGTATTGAAGTTGTGCGCACACCAAATCTCATGAGTCTTGAAGAGGAAGAAAGGAAGAGGTGGGTAGAGCTCACGGGCCGTGATATAAATTTCTCAATCCCTCCTGAAGCAAGTGACTTTGGATCTTGGAGGACCATGCCCAATTCAGAATTTGAGCTCGAGCGTCCCCCTCTGCCATTGAAGATTAATGGGCATTTCCATCCACGGAAATTACTTAATGGTACTGGCTTGAATCTTTCTACTCAGCCTTCCGACCATAGTGGTGAAGTGATGGACCTCTCTCCGGTTTGCAATAATAAAAGGAAGAAAGACTATTCGCCTCATGCAAATGAGGATGATTGTCTGCATAATAATGGTACCCACATCGAGAGGGTAGACATGAACATCCATCCAACTGAGCCAGCATGGCTCAATGACTTCAGCGGGGTGATGAAAAATGTCTACGGTCCTGTTACGGCTGCAAAAACCATATACGAAGATGAAGAAGCATTCTTGATCATTGTCAGCCTGCCATTTGCAGATCTGGAAAGGGTGAAAGTCACCTGGAGGAACACCAACAGTCACGGAATAGTGAAGATATCTTGTGTAAGTACTGCACCCATGCCATTTATTAAACGGCATGATAGGACTTTTAAGCTAACAGATCCAACTCCCGAGCACTGTCCACCAGGGGAGTTCGTTAGGGAGATTCCCCTCCCAAACCGCATTCCCGAAGATGCTAAACTAGAAGCCTATCGTGATGAGACGGGGACAATGCTGGAGATCATTGTGCCAAAACATCGCGTGGGGCCAGAGGAACATGAAGTCCGGGTTTGTCTTCGCCCTTCTCCTTTGAGCGAGCGATCATTCATCGACTTGAAGGAGACATCAGGTTGAAGCTAATGTTCGAATTTGTGAGTTCCTCTGTTTACTGTAAGTGGAGAATCCATCCAATGGTATTTGGGCACTTTTGTTCTTAGCATATTACGATTTCTCTTTCGCTTTTCCCTTCTCCCTTTTCTTTGGGTTCCAGTCTGTAGTTTGATTTTGATACATGAATCTTCGATACTTCTGGTGGGTAATTTAGTTCGTGTTCATTGTCGTGAACTCGTGATATACGGGGTTGGGGGCATCTTCATTTCCCAAAGGGAAGGAATGAAAAAGAAAGCTGCAAATCTGCGAGTGATTGCTCCCGCATCGTTCTTTTTCTCCTGTTGCCGTATAGTTCTATAGATCTGTTTAACTGTATTTAGCAAGTCCCTTATCTTACTCTAAGCCTTCCTATCGGGGTACAGAGTTTTCATTCTTTTGTAGTATTCTCGATGATTATGTGATGATAATGAGTCTTAGGAATTAGGAAAGGAAGATGAAGCAGGACCATCCTTAGGCATTAGAATACTGAGTTAGCGATCTTTGTTACGGTTAACCGCTTCATTTCATTTAGTTTGCAGAATCTGGAAATAGGTGTAGAGTAGTAGGGCGTATCTAGAGCTCTGCATTCGGCTGACTCGCTTTCAGCTTCGACGCATCCTCAATGGAGGGCCGGTGTTCGAAAACCAGTCCAGGCTACCTCCTGCATGAAAGCGGAAGAGTGTTCATCTAGAGCCACATCAGGGAAAGGCCAGGGAGGCGGAAAAAAGGAAGTTGCTGAACTCGAATCCACCAAATGCCCAAAAATTCAACATTCTTTTACACTATCTAAAGGACCGGGTCCAGCTCTGTTATGGCCGCTGGTTTTCGACGGTTCCGTTTCAAACTCGTGCACTTCAAGACTATGATGGTTGTCTCTATCTGCGGCTAAATCGTGGTCCAAACCATTCAACAATGGCAACAACAAAAGCAGCCAATCCCCAATACTCTCCCAGGAAGTGATTTCAACTTTTGAAGAAAAGATAACAAGAATTGACCGTAAGTTGGAACCAACTAAAAAAACTAAAAAGCTTCATAGCCAGAGGAGTTGGTGATAAGCAATGAGTCTGCCTTGACTATTTCTCAAAAAATTAGTGGTTTCAACTTTCAACTTTATAGTTGCGAAATAGTTTGCCTTGATCAAGAATAAAGTGGTCAAAGTGGTGTCTGTTTTAGCTACTTGCTCATTCTCTTCTTTAAAGTGATAAGCAATAGCGAATAAGTGATTTAAACTTAACCATAAGCTTCAATCATTCGACATTCGACGATTATTTCTCCAAAATTAGTTCGCATTACTTTTCTTTTTGGGTAAATACAATCTAATATCCAAACCTTTCATTTTAAACAATACAATAGCCAAACCTTTTCGAAAACAATTTAATATCCAAATCGTCAACTTTCTGTCTGTTTGACCGTTAGTAGACACTTCAAAAAAGTTCGAAGTACGACACTTCATCAATATCCTTCGATATCTTCTCTGAAAAACCACCAACATATCGTAGTTCCAAACCTGAGAAGTCCATGACTCCACCATGATGGTATAGAATATCTAAATATTCAGTCATCTGCAAGCCAAAACAAGAAAACAAAGTTGTATTGTGACAATTTCCCCTAAACAAAGCTTTTTTGAAGTGTCAACCAACGGTCAAACGAACGGAAAGTTGACGATTTGGATATTAGATTGTTTTCGAAAAGATTTGGCTATTATATTGTTTAAAATGAAAGGTTTGGATATTAAATTGTATTTACCCTTTCTTTTTTACTAGAAAGACAGGCATATCACTGATTTAAAAAAGTATGTGATTTATGACAACGCCCATAGTTTTGTACGAGAGCCAATAACTTAAGTTTGGACAGAAACGTCAAATGGAAGTGTATCAAAAGAATGGTTATAACATGTAATCTAACTTAATCGTAAGTTCTAATCATTCAACGACTATTTCTCCAAAAATTTGTTTGTACTACTTTTCTCTTTTACTAGAAAGACCGACATCATTAATGTAAAAAACGACATGGTTTATGAAAACATCCATAATTTTGTACGACAACCAATAGCTCAAGTTTGGACAACACCGCCAAATGAAAGTGTGTCAAAGAATGGTTGTATCTCGTAACCTAATACGTGAGATATACAAACTTTTCAATGACTTTCCAAAAGGTTACTTATCTACTTTGCTAACAGACCATGACTGGGGCCGTTATGCTTCCAGTTCTTAATGATAGCTATGGCAGTGCGTGCTGATTCATATCTAGTTGCTGCATTCCTAGTTGCCGCGACTACTGATCCATCAGAGCTTTTTCAGGCAATATCCAGGATCTCTCGAGTCCTCTTTTCCGTCACTATACTCTATATTAACTTGCACTTTTCTGGCTATGAAGCTGGAAGTATTAGGTTAACACTTCATCATTTGTTCTGGTTGAAGTGGTCTGTTTGAGCCACTGACTCATTGCTTATCAGCAACAAAGATTCACTGGTTTCTATTGCTCCGATTTCTCCATTGCTCAGCCGATAGCCAAGGTCGTGTGGATTCTCGAAACTATAGAATGGTACTGATGTAAAAGTACTGGCCACATAAAGAAAAAGGTGTCGGGAGGGAAAATGAAATGACAAATTTACTACTTAAACTGGTTCAGATACAAAATAGGCAAGCCGCCCACCCACCCACTTGCATCTGTGCATCACCCCCAAACACCAGACAATATAATAAGCTAATTAAACGGAAAAGGAAGGGGAAAAAATGTTCCAAACATCCACCAAAGACATCATCCAACCACAACTAAAAAATGGCAAACACTTAGTCAACTTCCTCAATCTTGGGGCCAGCTCCACTGCCACCGGAAGGTGGAACATCATCATCTTCGTCCATGGCACCACCAGGCATGCCAGCACCGCCACCTGCAGAGTACATCTTCGCAATGATCGGATTGCAGATGCCTTCAAGCTCCTTCATCTTGTCCTCGAACTCGTCAGCCTCAGCCAGCTGGTTGTTGTCCAGCCACTCAATGGCCTTGTCGATGGCATCCTCGATCTTGCTCTTGTCGGCAGCATCAAGCTTGGAGGCAATCTTCTCATCCTTCACGGTGTTCCTCATGTTGTAAGCATAGTTCTCCAAGGCGTTCTTGGCCTCCACCTTCTTTTTGTGCTCTTCATCTTCAGACTTGTACTTCTCCGCCTCCTGAACCATCTTCTCAATTTCGTCCTTGGACAACCTCCCCTTGTCGTTCGTGATGGTGATCTTGTTCTTCTGCCCCGTGGTCTTGTCCTCGGCGGAGACATTGAGGATACCATTGGCGTCAATGTCAAAGCAGACAGTGATCTGTGGTACTCCTCTGGGTGCAGGGGGGATACCAGACAACTCGAATTTGCCGAGCAAGTTGTTGTCTCTGGTTCTGGCTCTCTCACCCTCATAGACTTGGATCAACACACCAGGCTGGTTGTCGGAGTAAGTTGAGAAGACCTGCTCCTTCTTGGTGGGGATGGTGGTGTTCCTCGGAATCAAAACAGTCATCACTCCGCCAGCAGTCTCAAGCCCAAGAGACAGAGGGGTAACATCCAACAGCAGAAGATCCTGCACCTTCTCATTACCTTCACCGCTCAAGATGGCAGCTTGGACTGCTGCACCATAAGCAACCGCCTCATCAGGGTTGATGCTCTTGCAGAGCTCCTTCCCGTTGAAAAAGTCCTGAAGCAGCTGCTGCACCTTGGGAATCCTGGTGGATCCACCGACGAGCACAACATCATGAATGGCGCTCTTGTCCATCTTGGCATCCCTCAAACACTTCTCCACTGGCTCCATGCACTTCCTGAAGAGATCCATGTTGAGCTCCTCAAATCTGGCACGGGTGATGGTGGAGTAGAAATCAATACCCTCATAAAGAGAATCAATCTCGATGGTTGTCTGAGCAGTGGACGAAAGGGTTCTCTTTGCTCTTTCACAAGCAGTCCTCAACCTCCTGAGAGCCCTTGGGTTCCCACTGATATCCTTCTTGTTCTTCCTCTTGAACTCCTGAACAAAGTGATTGACCAATCTGTTGTCGAAATCTTCACCACCAAGGTGAGTGTCTCCAGCAGTCGCCTTGACTTCAAAGATACCCTCCTCAATGGTCAGCAAAGAAACATCAAAAGTACCACCACCAAGGTCAAAGATCAAAACATTCTTCTCCCCAACACTCGTGGCCTTCTTGTCAAGACCATAAGCAATAGCTGCAGCAGTAGGCTCATTGATGATTCGCAGAACGTTGAGGCCAGCAATGACTCCGGCATCCTTGGTAGCCTGCCTTTGCGAGTCATTGAAATATGCAGGAACTGTCACGACAGCATTCTTGATGGTGGTACCAAGATACGCCTCTGCAATCTCGCGCATCTTAATCAGAACCATGGAAGAGATCTCTTCGGCGGCAAAGGTCTTCTCCTCGCCCTTGTAATTGACGACAATCATGGGCTTCTCGGCAGCACCAGAGATGACCTTGAATGGCCATAGCTTCATGTCGCCCTGGACCGAGGAGTCACTGATCCTCCTGCCAATCAACCTCTTTGCATCTGTCGCCAAACATAACCACAAACCAGTAAGCAAACCGCGGGAGTTTTACCGCCTAAACCCTAACCATATACCCACCATCACACCAAATTGATAAGATACCTGAACAGCCACCATAATGTTTACACACAAACCCTAAACAAACACCTAACTACAAACATGCAATTCCATTGATAGCATACCACAGAATATCAAAACCCCAAACAGGTGAGTTATAATTCAGATGCAATCAACAGGCGGAGACAATAATATCGACACAGGCGATCAAATTCACTGCCCTAGAGCAAGCTACGAAGCTGAAGAGCAGAACAAAGAACCCTAAACAGGCTACTTAAACAAAATCGAACAATTGAATAGTGAACAGCAGGAGAATTCTGCACAGAAAGAAGAGCTTACCAAAGACCGTGTTGGTGGGGTTCATGGCGACTTGGTTCTTAGCGGCGTCGCCGATCAACCTCTCGCTGTCAGTGAAAGCAACATACGACGGGGTCGTCCTGTTGCCCTGATCGTTGGCGATGATCTCCACTCTGTCGTGTTGCCATACTCCGACGCAGGAGTATGTGGTACCGAGGTCGATACCGATAGCCGGACCTTCTCCTTTCGCCATATCTTCGCCGGAGGAAAAAGAATCAAACAAACCGCAGAGAGAGCGTAGGGTTTTCGACGGATTTTTTGAGCTTGCGTTAGATCTAGGGACTAACAATATGGAGAAACAGTTGCGGGAAAGAGGAACTTTATAATGGCGGAGTGTGGGGGCGAAGGCGGAATAGGGCGGGAGTTCGAGAAAGTTCTAGAGAAACAGTGGCCGTTAGATGGTAGATTGGACGGTGGGGAATGGGTTTCGGTTTCCAAGTCGGAGAAGGGGTAAAAGAGGAAGATTGATGACTGTTTGGACTTCTAGTTTCTTCGGGAGACTTCTTTTACTGACCGACGTGGTAAAGGTATTTGGTGGGCGGCTGGGCGCAACGGAAATGCATTCCGGCCGGCCAGCCATCACCACCCACGTCGCCACAATTTTCGTACTCAATAATCCGTGTTCGTGGCGCGTGAGATGATACGAACTATCGTAAAATGGGTTTATTGAAGCCCAATGGAGGGAGTACAATATTACATTACAGGCCCACGTAAATGAAATCCAGTATAAAAGAAAACACGCGAATCAAGCCCACTGAAAAGCTTATTCCATAACCTCAATCAATGCTAGGCTAGCTTTGTGGATCTTCAATGCATGGGAGTGACTAGCAAAGCAGGGGAGGAGTTACGGTGCTAATTGTACAAGAGTTAGCACCGTCCTAATCAAGAGTTAGTAGTGATTTAGCTTAGATGTTGTATTAATTTTATAATAATCCATAGTGATTTCGTTGTTTTTAGTAGCGTTTTTTGCTAGTTATCACGGTGTCTTGGTACATGACTGATGATATCCTTGGTGACAGTGTCTTGGTACATGACTTCCGTCACTCGACCAAGAGCAAGAAACATGGAGCGAACTTCTTTAGACACAAAACATGGTAGGTTGAACATTGGCTTAACCAAGATTTTATTTAAAGGGATGTAATAAAAAAATTACATATGCGGTTTGGTGTTTTATATTGTGAAATTATTCTATAACTATATGAATCGGCTAAACTATCAAGATTTCATACTTAATATATCCCACCGAATAACCATTCACAACTTTAGTTCACTAGATACATAGGTTGATCAATCATTTTATAGCATAAAATGTTATCAACTTGTGCATCGACAGATGATAGTAGCAAATCAAATTTATTTTCACAAGTAAATACATTGATAGAAACTAATTTTCATGTGGAAATTAGTAGATAAAATTAATTTATTAGCTTGTTGTGATTTGACGGTAGAAAATTTGATGACTAACATTCAAATTTAGAATTTAAATATCATAATTAACTAACTAATACTACTAATATTTTGTGCTTTCTCCAAATCTAAGAGGGTGACATGGCACCCCCTTATTACACTCTAGCTACGCCCCTGAGGTTGAGGCTCTCCTAGTTCATATCCAACCTGTCATTGTTCGCCATTTTCTTCAACGCATCAACAACTTCCTCTCTCGGCACACCCTGGTGATTCATGCAACATTCAACAGACGAAACCACGTGTCCTCTTTTCTGCTCAAACTGCATGCCACAAACACATTTCAAGGATTTCACTAGTTAGTAAGCTAACTAATTAAGGAGTAGGTGGTAATTCAATAATCACTAAGGTACCTCATGGGAAACAATGTCGTCCATTAAGCGCTTGAGATCGGATACAACGACTAGGATTTTAGGGTCCTGGAATAGCCAATCGAACACCTCCTTTGGCATTTTCACCCATCCCACACAGGGCTGCACATACAAGCGGAGGATAAATACTAAAATAGACGTCGATGCGCCTGTACTATCCTCCACGCTCGACACCTTCCCTTTACCCTGTCCTACCCCATGCTACTGCGGGCCAAATTATATTCGCCCTACAGCGGGTCGGGTAAGATAATACACGACGGAGCGGGTTTGGATTGTCATCCTTAGTGCAAACTTGAGAGGTACAAGTTGAGCTGAAAATGTTAGAATCTATAAGTGAAGGGTAAAATTGTTGTTTGAAAAGAAAAAAAGTAAGCCGATGCAAACACGGCAAAAAGTAATTGACTTATATTACTATAAAAGTAAGCCGGTGCAAACAGGGCAAAAAGTAATTGACTTATAGTACTATGAAAATAAAAATATATAAGGAGAAGGTTGGAAATTCTACACCTGTAGGTTTTCAATCCATCAAGATCAAAATCTCTATTTTCTTAACCTTCCAAAATGTTAAATTATAACTTACAAAACCGAGCAAATAAGAGATTGTGATAAAATCATCTATCATAATCTAATCCAAACGACCCCACGGTTTTCCCCCTTTCTAATGGAAGTAATTTTGTTTTCGAAACATAACCCATTTAACCTTGTCCAATCTACCCAAACGTTGTATTATATTTTTTGGTGCAAAGGAAATTTAATTACAAGTGATTAAAAATTGATAAAAAGAAACATATGCTTGGGAAAATTCAACAGCAAGCTCAAGTCGTCTACGAGTTTCCGACGTGTCCATCTCCCATTTTATCTTGACGCAAATATAATTCAACACTCGGCGGTATAGTATTAGTAACCCATTTAGCGTTGTTAATTTTCCTGAACACGCAGCTTGGGCTCTTGGATGTGGAGTTTTCTGGACCCCATTCACTTTGGGACATATCAGCGTGATCCGTCAGCTGTAATTGAACACCAACCCTTGGGCTTAGGGTGGCTGAGTCAATACCTCGTTAAATCATACCCAGGCCCAATTCAGGCCCGAGGCCGAGCCACGAGAGTGCAAACATCCAATAACATCCCGAAGCCCAGTTCCACAAACCGCGTGAAAAAGAGCAGGTGGGACGATCGTCGTCGTCCGTCCACCCAGAACTCCACCAACTTGCCAATGTCTACTTAGTGATCTCAGACAAAATTAGAAAACCTCTCTCGACAAAACTCCACCAATCTCGAATTCACCGCCGTATCTTCTCCCCCCTCCCAATTTTTAATCCTCAATCGATCTTGTAACCTAATGGATTCTTCTTCTTCCAGCCAGCTTCCGTTTCCCCCCAATCCTTTCCTTCCGGATACAACAACGCCATGTCGTCTCCCGGTGGAATGAACGGCAACAACAACAACGATGACTTCAACACCAAGATCGCGATCCTCCTCGTCGGCGTCGGATCCGCCGCCCTCGTCGTCACAATCTACCACTGCATCGCCGTGGGATGGTGCAACCGCAACAATTGGGGCCGGGTCGGCGGCGGCGGCGGGCTGGGGAACCAGCAGGGGGCGGGGGGACGGCGGCAGCAGCAGACGCGGCGGTTCATGGCGGAGGTGCTGGAAGGGCACAGCAGCATCGAGAGCTCGACGGCGGAGCTGATCCCGGCGTACAAGTTCTACAAAGGGATGGGGCTGATGAAGGAGGACGGCGGCACGTGCGCGATCTGCCTGTGCGAGTTCGAGGAAGGGGAGGAGTTGAAGACGCTGCCGGAGTGCGTGCATTCGTTCCACGTCGGGTGTATCGACATGTGGCTGTATTCGCACTCCAATTGCCCGATGTGCCGGACCGACGCCGCGCCGTCGCCTCTGGTGTCGATTCAGGGCGGCGGCGACGTGGTCGGGGACGAGGAGCGGAATTTGGGGGTTACGTTGGAGGGTATTATTGTACATTCCGCACCGAGCCAGTGAAGTTTTGAATTTTTATCTCTGTGATTCGATTTTCCAATTGAATTTGACGAATTACAGTGGTTTGGTTATTCAGTGCCATTATACCAAAATCCCTTAATCCAAGTTTAACTGTGGTCTCCAATAAGCCCCGATGCGGCCAAGTCACCTAAGTTGCTTGTTTAAGGCGGCATTCAAGTTGATTTTGATGCATTCCGACGACACTTTGATTTTCACAGCGAAGGGATTGTTTGATGTTTGCTCTTCGCAACAATTTATTTTGTTTAAGAGAGAGAGTGTGTTCACCTTGTAATTATGACTTATTAGTGAGCCGTTTAGAGGTGGACGAATATTAAGCAATAACTATCGGCTTTGTTACAATAATAAGCAATTTTTTAAAAATACAAAGAGATGTTCGGTTTCGTTAACAAGTTTAACGAAGTCATTTAAGAATATAATTAGACTAACATTTTGGCTGACTTGCCGGAACTTAATGAAAAATATTGTGAGGTGGAATTAACTAAATTCACTTTCAAAGCCATGACTATTGACTTTGTGACAATAATAGTCCATTGTTGAGAAATACACAAAATGTCTAGATAGCAGTAGAGGAAGACCTGATTGGAGACACCAGTCAAATACGGATGGGCAGAGATGAAAAGGAGTTGAGGCAGGCGATTGAAGGAATGAGAATGGGAAGGAGCTGGGGAGAATTGGAGGCGGATGACCCCTTCCGTTCTATTTTATGTTAGTTAATTTATCCGGCTAATGTTTTTATTAAATGTCGCCAAGTCAGCAAAAACATAAGTCAAATTAGCATCTAAAGTGACTCCGTTAAAGTTTAAGACGAAATTAAGCATTTTGTGTCTCTCAGAAATTGGCTATTATTGTCCCAAATCGATAGTTTATGGCTATACATGTGTATTTTATCATTAAAGTGTGGTGTGACATCCACGTGGTATAACACGTCGAGTTGCCGTTGACGTGTGCGTCCAGGTGACATACTCATCAACATATTGTTAATGTTGAAAATTGACGAAATCTCTAACGTTGTTAAAGTTTTTTTTTTAATAAAAATGACTAAATTTGTCAAACATCTTTCCAAAATATGGACTTGGTATATATTTATAATAAATTAGTTAGTATTATGATAAATTCAATAATTATGATTATGCAAGTGCATACCAACTTGATCATGATTGGCAACCACTGACACCTTACTATCCCTTTACTTGTTGTGATCCCATGTGAGCTACCTATTGCAACATTTCAACTATTTATATATGCAACCACCACCAATGTTTATTTCCCAATCTGTCTATCCCTTAAATTAACAGCCCATCCTGGTTTTCTGTGTGCATTTCAGCAAAACCCATGAAGACCAATAGCTCCTTGGCTAAAAAACTTGCTCGCCGCTGAATTATTTGGCTTTGTCCACAACCTGTTCGATAATATGCCAAACTGAAAGGCGAGAGACCACTTGTAATTGTCCTGCACCAATGTGGCCTACTAGGTAGCTCATGTGGGTTTACAGTCCCCTTGGAAAGGGCACAGAAAAAAGAAAAGATGGTTGGGTCTTTGATTTTCGGGGCAAAGAAAAGGGATCCATTTTTTGGATTGGGCTTTTAGGGATAAAAGTTTTTTGGCAAATGGCAATTGTGTTGTGCTAATGCTATATGCCATGTTCATCATGCATTGGACCGAACCAAAGGCTTATGATTGCCATCTGATCATTTTTCACTGAACATCAACACTTGAACTCTGTGGCCTTACTGTCATCAAGCCTTTTCTTTTCTTTTCTTTTCTTTACTTCTCATTCTCTTTCTTTAGTTTGTACTGTCAACTCCTTCCAAGCTGGTCCTCTTCACTTCCCAAAGCTGTTTTATGGTAAAACTTGCTGCTTGTTCTTGGGGTCCAGGTGAAAGAATCTCTTATGTAATAATTTGGGAGAAAGATGAAATCTTTGAGTAGTATAGGACTTGGGTTGAGCATAGTTTTTGGGTGCCTGTTACTAGCTCTAGTGGGTGAACTTTACTACCTGCTATGGTGGAAGAGAAGGTTCACAAACAGAAGAATGACCACTGGGAGGGATGGTTTAAGCAGCCCAGCCAAGGAATTGTTCTACATGTTCTGTCTCAAAAAGCCACCATCATCAAACCAGGAGCTGTGCTCCTCAGTGAGAATCACAGATGCTATAGTGGTGAACAATGAGGCTCATCAAGGGAAGGAGTTTGTGTTCAAGCCATTTGGCGTGGATCATGAGAGCAGTAGTGATGAATTGGTTGAAGGTGAGCTCATGATGCTGAGCAATAATAGCCTCTCAGTCCCACCAAGGCTTCTGTTCACAATTGTTGAGGAGACTAGAGAAGATTTGGAATCTGAGGAAGCCAAGTCAAGAGCTGGCGGTGGTAAAGGGTCAAGAGGGAGAAGCTTGAGTGATTTGATGTTGACTGTGGAGACACCATATCTCACCCCTCTTGCTTCTCCACCATTCTTCACCCCTCCTCTCACTCCAATGCTGGATCCCGTTTCCAATGGTAGTAACAGCAACAGTAGTAGTAACAACCAGATTGGTGGGTCATTCAGCCATGGCCAGTTGGAGACGTCAGCTGAGGCTGAGTTCAACAAGATAAGGTCTTCCCCACCTCCAAAGTTCAAGTTCTTGCAGGATGCAGAGGAAAAACTGTACAGGAGGAGAAGACTAGAAGAAGTTGATGATAAGGGGAAGTTGAAGATAATGAAAAGGGTTACTAGGAATCAGAAGATGGCCGGAAGTTCAAAGTCTGACCAAAGTGAAGAAGTAGATGGACCTTTTATCACCATCATAGTTGACAAATACAGAGAAAGAGAGGTCAGCAGTAGTTCAATCTCACAGGTACTTCCTCTGCCTTCTTCACCTTCATCCAGCAAAGGCAAAGCTCCATTTGTGTCATGATTAGATTAGAGTGTTCCTTTTGTTAGTTCCTTGTTAATCTTTATCTTTTTTGTTTTTGTTTATTAACTTGAGTGAAATTAGATGGGATTTGTTTTCTTCCCTATTCTTCCTCTTCCCATTAATGTATCAGTTTTAGCTCATCATCCTGGGATTTAAGCCTCTTAAACCTCTACTAAACATTTCTGGGATGCTTAAGAGTGGACTGTTTTTGGTAAGGCAGACAAGAACAAGTGGGAGGGACCAGTTAACATTGGTATTGTTTTACATAGTAAAAAATATATTGGCACCGTCCTCCATTTGTCACTTTGAGCTGTCTCTGATTCACAATGTGTAATCATTCTGGTGAGTGTGTGTGTGAATGAGTAGTGCAATACAACTCTCTCACTGTTGCTTCAGGTCCAAAAGGAGTAAAAAAAGAAGAAAGTAACATTGAAAAAGGAAAGTGTGGTGACAAGTACTACCAGTAACAGTAATTTATTTAGGTTTCTGTCAGCTTAGTCATATGTTTCATATGCAAAGCAATCCATCTCTTAAAAAGCACTGAATAATGGTAGCATGCTGAACAAGGAGGTTCAGCTCAGGCTAACACTATCAAGTCAGCTTTACACGATTTGAGTCGTCGAATGTATGTGTTAACACAAGACATATTCGACGATCCATATTGTTTAGTTCATGCTAACACCAGACACACCCAATGATCGTGTTGGAGAGTAACGGTGGCAGCCCATGTAGATGCCCTCGCCAAATCGAAAACCACTGGCAACTTGGCCAGTGCCACACAGGTATCTAGAAGTAGTTAAAACTTAAAAGATGATCATATTTGTATCTGTATAGGAAGTGCTGATACCAATCTGTACCCAAAAAGGAAAGGAAAAGGGAAGGAATAAGGGTATCTCTCAAAAGCACAGAAGAGCGTCACCCAATCACTTTTTAGTCACTCTCACCCTCCAATCCATGCCTATGACGACAGAAAGCATGATCATGATCAAAGAACACCACAACGTTTTATTCACTCTCACTTCACTTATTGCCCATCTATCATGTCCTAATCCTGCTGCACTGTCTGCTGCTACGCTTAGTTATTGTAGCATGGGGACTTCTCCCTGGGCCACAATCCTCCAAACCAGCTCCACTAAGCTGCTAAACCATTATTGCTTCAGCACGAGGTGATCGACATCGAATGGTATATTTGGAGCCGTGTGATCAACATCAGAGGGCCATCTTCAGTCTGAGAGTCTCAAATCAGGAGGATAATTATACAAAGTTGGAAATACACTGAGCTTTTAGTGACATTCTGAATCTGGCTTGATTTCGTTTTGGACATTTTCCTAAACAACAAAGCCCCGTGAAGGTGTGTCCCCTCCTGCCTCCGTGGTGGGTGGGGAGTTCCTGCTGAGGCCGAAAGGTTCAAAAGTGGAAGAAAAGGAAAGGGTGTCTCTGTATTCACTCTCTGAGCATTAGCAGGCTTACTTTTGCATCAATTCTGCCTTTGCACATTGATTAACCAATTGAGGGGGTCTCTGTATTGCACCATTTCTGCCTAAGCATCATTAACAGAAACCTTAATTGTTTCTCATTTTCAAGTAATGATTCATTCACGTTTGACTGTAACTGATTAATTTCCTTGTCTTAACATGGCTAAGAGAAAGATTGTAGATCGAGTGCAGATGCCTAAACTGGAATATACCATATCGTCTATGTCCGATTCTTGGTTCGCCGGTAAACTGATCTCAAGTAGTACCAGATAAATTTCTATGCTACATACATAATACACTTGGTACAATTCTACACAATGGACAATCCTTGTCCCCAAATGCAAGGTAAAACCGGATTTCGTGGAAAAAATGAATGATGGAAGGATGATCCAACTGTACTTCATGGCTGGTATTTTTTCTGGTTTATGTCTACTGTCAGTGAATCAGCAATGTCACATAACCTATCTGACCACTCTCTGGGGAGCACAAGTTGCCAGGAGTCCTCTGTTCCGTCGGTTTCCTTATGTGGCCGTTAATATGTTGGGGTCATTTGCTCAAAGCAGCAGCATCAGTTATTCCGAGCTCAACGCAGATTGAATTGAGGCCGGGTTCTTCCAGGAGGCTGAAGGCAATGAATCCATAGTAGGAATGGTAGAGATCAGGTAGCTCATCTGGGAACTTGGAGAACCCACCATACTGGAAAGGCAAAAACAAAACAACATAGGTAAGTAAAGGGAACAACTGACAGTGACCAACTTGAGAGTAAATAAAGTAGATCACAGCAATCCCAAGCACCTCAGATTGGCAGGTGAGCAAAAATCCACGTAAAGCTTTCTCGTCGATTAGTTTGCCGGCCCCCAAGATCTTCAAAACCGCCCCAATCCTGTACACAAGCAAGAATCACCGTTGTCAATTCCAGGACATGGAACTCTCGTAGAGCATACTGTGGAGAGGAACCCGCAAAAGGTACTTACCAGAATGCATAACAAGTGTCGCTCGGCTTATTTGATCTACCTTGAAATCCGCCATCTGATGCTTGCCTCTGAAGCAAACAAAAAGATAGTTACAACCTTATTAAAGCATCGATGACCTTTGTCTCAGCTGATTGTCTAATGTCCAGTATCCAAATCCTAGATGGTCTGGAAGGTTAGATACTAGAATACAGACCTGTAAGCACCATTCCAGCAATAGCGGAATGTCCAGTATGGAAGAACTTGCAGAGCTGGAGAAAAGATCAACTCCAATGGATCCCATTAGTTGAAGGGATGCAACCGCACAATAAGTACCACCACCTGTCCACTAGAACAGATATTATCTGTAATTAAGTTGCGAGGAGCAAGCTCGTGAGACCCGAGAAGTGAGAATATGTAACATGCGATGATTACAGCTTATTTTTCCTATACTGTAGATGAACAGTTGAGTATATTACTGAGGTCAACTACACACTGAAGAATAAGCAGGAAAAGAAACGGAAGGCTCATTAGAAGGTAGCTCGGGCTGAAATTCGCCAACTAGAACTTTTTACACTCACCATGGGATTCTGCACCTGGAGTCATACCAAAGCCACCATCATATGCCTGAAAGGAAAGGACACCATGTACAGAAGGGCATGAAGCAGCAAATTTTCAATCAAGCGAAAAGCATGCAGTGTATCACACAACGTTGATCAAGCTGCACCAAGTTCCAAGGGGAGGCATGCTTAGGTTTGTAAGTCCAAGGCATGGAGCAACACGAGAGCCTCAGAGAAGCCTGGTGTAGCTAACAAGTAATAAGACAGCATGTAACGAAAGTACATTTCAAGATTAACCCTAATATAGATTTGAGGTTATAACTAACTGTATTCAATTCTTGCACCCCATGCTGCAGTATTAGCATAAAACTTTGTTTGTTTGTTGCAAGTAGCAAAACCTTTAGGAATACCTTCTGTCTCGTACAAGATCATTGGATTTATGTTTATCAACTGATATACAATGGTCTGTCGTTTTCCTAGCACTATTGACCCATTTAGCTAACAGGTAAGCAATAAACAACCATATGACAAGGAAGGAAAGAAAAAACCAAGTGCAGAAAGTGAGAACTCGGGCCATTTGGACAAGTTAGAACCTTCTCCCTAAGAGCATTTCTGGCCGCCAGGGCTGGAGTGCCTTGGCCTAACGTTCCAAAAATTGGAGACTATAGAGATAAGCTTAAAAAGAGAAGATTAAGAGAGAATTGTGGCACAACCTTGCATTTTAAGATGTATTCAGTAGCTTTATCCCTGTCCATCCCACTCCAATCATCCAACATAAAGCAGATGGCCGCTGAAACATTATTCATTTGTAAGAATTACACATTTAAAGAGGTCCAAGAACTTTTATAGCATATTAGCATTTAGCTTCCTTTTTTCTTACCAGCACAGTAAATAAACCGAAGATCTGTCTCTGCCCCAATATGAATTGGAGAAAAGCTGCAGTGAAAAATGATAGATTAGGACATTCCTTTTACCTCGTGCAACCAAACAATGTGCTCAAAGACAAATTTCTCTTAATAACAGCTACATTCGTATGCAAAAACACCTAGAGGCGGGGATAGCAGTCACTGTGCATGAGGAAAAACAAACATGTTCACTAAGAAACATTAAGATACCTGCCATCGGGTTTTTGTAAGTTTCTCATCGTCATTAACAATGGCATCCAATCAATATTGGACAAATTGTAACCAACAATCTTCAATATGGCCAAAGCACAGTATGTACTTGCTAAATGACAATGATTACCGCTGACCCCCTACAAGCATATCAATTATAAGAAAAAGTTGCCAAAAACAGGAAGAAAATGGCAGCAGCTAAAAGCTTTTGTTGACACTAAGTGAAATGCCTAAAGCTAGGGCATCAGTGGAAGAACAAAGGTCAGTTTTCATCGAACCCCAGCATCGTCTGAAGGATATTGAGAAGAGCGTGAACCATTAAACCCATAGAATTCTCCTGCAGCCAGGTGAAACGTCATTATCAGCATTTGGTGTGTTCATACAGGCACCTAAACTTGGACCAGTCTTGCATGTTCAAAAAGAGAAAAGATAGAAACCAAGGGGAAGATAAACTTTAAAGTCATCCAACAACTCCTTTTAGCTTTTCCCCAAATCAATAAATACAGCTATCCCGTCAGTTTAATGACTTAATCCCATTCTCTGAAATACAAAACGATTCAAGACATACCACAGTTAATTTCAGCAATATCTTCAGGGTGAGTTCTGAAAGATAGAACCCAACTAGCAACTTCATCCCTGTCCACCTAGAAAATCCAGAAAAAGTTGAATAGTTCAGGGTACAATTGTGGGATTAAACCATAACAGCATTTTTTTGGTTTCTTCAGAGCTTATGAAAAGAATTGAATGTTTATATCAGCAATATATCCATCTTTAGCAAACATATGTTGCGATTTGCATATCCAGACTCCACGTTAAAGTTACACAGAATGTTAAGAAATATAGTTCCTTTGACCAATGCAGCATTGCTTAACACCTACTAGTTATCTTTTCATTCGATTAGCTACGTCTAACTGCTAATATTTTCATTGGATTGGCAAATTTGAAGTCTGTGATCTCAACTAGCTAACTTGATAATTCAGACACCCTGATCCAGTCAAGAAGAAAATTCACTCAAGAACAAGGGAATTCTGAACTAAACACTAGAATACTCCAATATCCATGTATGGAGAAGCTTCAACTCAACAAACAATTGAGAAGAAGCAGCAGAGCTTACTGTATCTAGTGAGCCGACTATGTCGAGGCCGGAGATGGCGAAATAGGCCAGAGTAAGGCGGTTGATCTCTTGAGACTGGTAATGATGTGGTAGCATCTGGTACATCATCTGCAAGAACATCACATGCCGCCCCCTTTCAAAAGAAGAGTCAGCTACCAATTTACCAAGCGATTCTTCTCCTTCGGTTTCCTCTTCTCCTGGTGGGGATGCCGATGGTGATGACTCGAGCTCCAGCGGTTGTTCCGAAATGGTTGCGGAGAGGTCCAGCGGCTGTTCCGCCATGGTTGCTGAAAGAGAAGAGATCCGATTTGCCAACGTTTGCAGCTCCGATTCTTTTCCGACTTCTCAAGCTGAACGGCAGTTAAACTGTTGCAAGGGGTTCCAATTCAACTGGAAAAGAAGATGAAAGGCGAAAAGTAAGAGTCCGGATGGTGACTAAGGGGGGTGCTTAGTCAAGTGGCTAAGCTCCCCTCAGCCCTTAGATTAGAATGGGTAGATCTAATGGTCCAGATGAAAGAAGGGTTAGCAATTAATCAGAGGGGTAGTTTTGGAATTTAAAAAAATAATTAAATCCTGATTTCCATTTTATTTATTTTTTCTTTTTTCCCCTCTCCAATTCTCTCCAACCGTCTTCACCCAAAAAAAAAAAAATTTCTCTCCAACCGTCTCCTTCTTTCACGTTCACAGAGAGAGAGAGAGAGAGAGAGATGCACGGCGACGGTGAGAGAAGCGCCGACGGCGACGATGGAGAGAGAAAGAAGAACAGTTCCTCACGCCGCCGCTGCCACCGCCGCGCCAACGCTCTCCATCCCTTCTTTGCGTTCACGTCCGCTCCAGATCTCCCTTCCATGTCGGTTCCTCACGGCGCGTGGTTCTTGTCTCCGTGTAGATCTTGCATCGATCTACCCTCTGATGGTCATTTCGAGCTCGTCGGCGATGGCAGTAGATTGAATCAGCGGCGGCAGCGGTGGAGAGAGAGTCGACGGCGGCGGCAGCGGTGGAGAGAGAGTCGTCTGAAGGAAGAACAGTGATTTGTATAGTTTGTATGTTTTGTAACATTAGTTTGTATTGTTAGTATTTTTGTACAAAATGTCAGTATGGTTTGTATGTTTTTCTTTGACAGTTTGTACTCTTAGTATGTTTTTCTTTGACAGTTTGTACTCTTAGTATGTTTTTCTTTGACAGTTTGTACTCTTAGTATGTTTTTCTTTGACAGTTTGTACTCTTAGTATGTTTTTCTTTGACAGTTTGTATTCTTAGTATGTTTTGCTTGTATTCTTAGTATGTTTCGCTTTGTATTGTAAGTACTAATAATTTGTATACTTTATATGTATTGATTTGTGATGCAAAAAACATTACAAACATGGTTGACAAAAATGACAAACATGTGGACAAAAATAACAAACATTACAAACAATACAAAAGAAACCAACAAACATTACAAACATTACAAAATAACAAACATTACAAACATTGCAAACAAACATTACAAACATTACAAACAAACATTACAAACAGTACAAAGCATACTACACGTACAGAATATCACTACTAACAATACAGATTGGTAAACTTGTATTACAAACAAATGAATACAAAGTATACAAATCATAACATAAAAGTATACAAACATTACAAACATTGCAAACAAACATTACAAACATTACAAACAAACAAATGAATACAAAGTATACAAATCATAACATAAAAGTATACAAACATTACAAAATAACAAACATGACAAACAAACATTACAATGTATACAAAATAGTAATATAAACATTACAAACATCACGAACTCAATACTGTTGCCGGAAAATCATCCACCACCGTCTCTGGTCGCCGGAAAACTGCTCCGCCGTCGCCGGAAAAGTTGACTCTCTCTCTCTCTCTCTCTCTCTCTCTCTCTCTCTCTCTCTCTCTCTCTCTCTCTCTCTATTGAGAAGAAAATTCCCCCTGGGACGGGAATCCTTTCCCCGCAAAACCATTACTCCATTAGGCATTAGCCTCTCTCTCTCTCCTCCCTTTCCCCGCAAAATCATTGCCCTCTCTCTCTCCTCTTTCTCTCGGCCAGGATTAAAAATCCCACCGCCGACAAATTGCACCACCACCGGCTGGAATGCTCCCGGAAACGGACCGGCCGCGGGAGAGCCGTGGCAATTTTTTATTTTGTTTAATTGATAAATAAATAAATTGTATAATTACTAGCATGCCCTTCATTAAACTAGATAAATCTGTACCATTAGATTTTAATGAGGTTCAATGGTTGAGATTGGCTTAGTCATGTGACTAAGGGACCCCCCCTTAGTCACCTGATCTTAGCCCGAAAAGTAACGGTCACAGTGGGCTGGGCCTATGGGGCTAATGACCCACAAGCATCCAACAAATGGGCCTTGAGATATAATCCAACCCGCTTCCCATTTTGTTTTCTCTCTGTCCGAGGCCCATAAACCCTCATTTCGCTACTCGCCATCTCTTGCAGCCAACCTTTTACTACGTTGCACAGGTCGCCGAAGACTCCGAGAGAGGAATTCCGTCGAGCAGCTGGTGTGCATGAGCAAGAGGCAGAGCAGTGTGGACCAGAACGAGAGATCATGATCAGGGCCAAGAAAGCCACCGTCTTGACGCTCGCTGAGAAGTGCAAGGTGCTCAATTACTTCAATTTCTTCTTTGCTTAGTAGCTGAAAAGTATTTCCTTCCTTGGGGTAAAAACCCACGGGTGAATTGTAATGGTTTATGTAGAATATACTGGCTTCTAACTGGCAAGGTCACCTCCACACAATCAAAGCAGATGCAAAGGGAAGGTAAGCATATATTCGGTCCAGCCCTTTTTTTGCTCGTTTGGTTTGGTGTACCTGATCCCAAGGTCTTAGCTTTGTTTGGTTGCCGAGGAATTAAGGAATAGGGTCTGCATTGGGTTGAGTGATTTATCAAACTAAACAGTAAACAGAAGTTATTGCCATCTTTTTTGCTAATTAATACTTATCTGCATTGATCATAGCAAGGAGGATATATACACTTCAAAGGTGAAGTACATAGTGAAGAAAGGAAGGCCATTCATATGGGTACAAGACAAAGATATGCACAACATGGTACCACTCTGAACTCGGTTCTATTAGTTCCCTTGTTTTTTTAGTGGTTCCCCTATGCGGTTGGTGAACTGATATGTTGATCACATTTCTTGCGGTGCCTATATGATTCCTTAATGTCTAATCCATGTACAACTTACACAGAATTCACATGCCACCTGAACATAAGAATTGACATGAAATATGCTGAAGCTGTTGGTTTCCACATAAATTTGTATAGTGAAGTTCAAATTTTGGTTTTCTTGTTTTGTTCTTGCAGAATACAATCATTGACGAGCGTAGCTCGTTCTCTGTTGCTAGTCCCTTCCCAGGGCCCTTAGCAAAGTTGCTGAAATTGACAGATAAGGTTGGCTGCTAAGTTACTTCTATTCTTCCCCCCTCATTCTTATTTCACGAGTTGCAGTTTTAACGTTTGCTAGATTTGCTTCCATGACACCTTAGTAATTATATATGGTGGTTTAGTGACTATTTTCTGTGTAAGAGCTTGATCCCTTTTTCTTAGATATGCTGCAAGAGATACCAAGTAAAACTATTTTATATGTTCGATGCAGTTACCAGCACGGATTGCTCTAACTGGGGACATATTACCTCTTAGAGAAGAAAAGGTTTATATCCATCTTACTAGAACTTCCATTTGCCATGCAACCATTATTGCTTCCATAGTCTGAATATGTTTAATCTATCCTTGCAGGCACAATTGACCGTGGAGAATCTTAAAGACATCATAGAGGCAGAAGAAACAGTTGTAAATGATGCAGCCTACACGGTTTCTAGCATTTTGACTTGTTCAGATGTGGTTACTGCTTCACGAAGTGACAGCCTCAAGGAGCTGTTAGATGAACATGAAAAGTACCACATCTATAAGTTCATTACGAGGTAGGAATTCTTTCAGATACACATGATCAGCTTTTTTTACGACTCCTCTGCACAAAATATGAGAAGGAATCATCATCCATCTGCCCATGGCTGAGCCCAGGGTATTGATTACACGGTTTAGGATCGGAGAAACAAATCAGTGACGAGTGATCAGGAAATTAACCTTTCAACTTGTTGTCCATCCAGTTCATGCATGTATGTTGATGGCAATGGAGGAACGCATGAAGTTGATACTGAAGATATTGAAAAGTGTAGAACCGATCCGTTGGGTAGGACCTTTTCATATGGATTATACTGTACTTACTGGGGAATCTGAATCACCAAATTTATCATATGTGTGTATATCAGTTAATGGTGTTCCACTCTTGTGCAGCATCATTCTCTTCCAGGATTATTGATGGCATAAACCAAAGCGAAGCAAGGCGTAAGGCTCTCACCCTTTTCTGCCTCGTACACTTGAATGCTAATGCCAGAGTAAGAAACTCGAAACTTACTTCCATCACCCTTTCTCCCTTTGTATGGAAACAGCAGAGCAAAGCTAAGTAGTTTCTCTTTCTCCTAACTTGTTAACCAGGATGCATACATGCTCTCTGTGGATCGTAAGGGCTTCGACATGCTTGCAAAAGTTGCAGCCGTTGGAAATGACGGCATTTGTGATTATCAGTGGAAAGAATACCGATTCAGCTTCGAGGAGGAAGCGTACGACCTCGAAACTTTCTGCCGTCAGCTAGTGGAAATGGAGGAGGAAGTCGTGAAGAAAATTGGAAATTACAGTGGGTTGACATGAACAAAGAGCATTACCTCAGTTTGGAAAATTGTGCTACTTCGATTAGAAACTATCAGTACTGCGTAATGTAACATTATCCGAAACATTCTTTTGAAGCTAGATCAAAGGAAAGTAAATCATAATTGTTCTCAACTGTAAGCTAGATAACCAAAAAGGTTATTAAAAAAAAACACCACAAAAATTGCAAAACGCACTACGCGAACTTAAAACGCCACCGTATCCTCGGTTTAATCGACCTCCTCAATCTTGGGACCGGCACCGCTGCTGGCGCCAGCCGGTGGAACGTCAGCATGACCGCCGGCACCCATGTCAGGACCGGCGCCACCCTGGTACATCTTAGCAATGATAGGGTTGCAAATTCCTTCAAGCTCCTTCATCTTATCCTCGAACTCATCCGACTCAGCGAGCTGGTTGTTATCCAGCCACTGAATCGCCTGGTCGATGGAGTCCTCAATCTTCTTCTTGTCGTCTGCGGCCAACTTGGAGCTAATCTTCTCGTCCCTCACCGTGTTCCTCATGTTGTAAGCGTAGTTCTCCAACGCATTCTTTGCCTCCACCTTCTTCTTGTGATCCTCGTCCTCGGCCTTGTACCGCTCGGCCTCCTGAACCATCTTCTCAATCTCGTCCTTCGACAGTCTGCCCTTGTCGTTGGTAATCGTGATCTTGTTCTTCTGCCCTGTCGTTTTATCCTCCGCCGAGACATTCAAGATGCCGTTGGCATCAATGTCGAAACACACAGTGATCTGAGGAACCCCCCTTGGAGCTGGTGGAATGCCAGAGAGCTCAAACTTGCCCAACAAGTTATTGTCCCTCGTCCTAGTCCTCTCGCCTTCGTAGACCTGGATCAACACTCCAGGCTGATTATCGGAGTAGGTCGAGAAAACCTGCTCCTTTTTAGTTGGGATCGTCGTGTTCCTCTGAATCAGGACAGTCATCACACCTCCAGCAGTTTCCAGCCCTAGAGACAGAGGGGTGACGTCCAAGAGAAGCAAATCCTGAACCTTCTCATTACCCTCGCCACTCAAAATTGCAGCTTGAACTGCTGCACCATAAGCCACCGCCTCATCTGGATTAATGCTCTTGCAAAGCTCCTTCCCATTGAAGAAGTCCTGGAGGAGCTGCTGAACCTTGGGAATCCTAGTGGAACCGCCCACAAGAACAACGTCGTGCACCGTGCTCTTGTCCATCTTAGCATCCCTCAAGCACTTCTCCACTGGCTCCATACACTTCCTGAAGAGGTCCATGTTCATCTCCTCGAACCTCGCACGCGTGATGGTGGAGTAGAAATCGATACCCTCGAAGAGGGAATCGATCTCGATCGTGGTCTGCGCCGTTGAGGAGAGGGTTCTCTTGGCTCTCTCGCAAGCCGTTCTAAGCCTCCTAAGAGCTCTCGGGCTCCCGCTGATATCCTTCTTGTTCTTCCTCTTAAACTCCTGAACGAAATGATTCACCATCCTGTTGTCGAAATCCTCACCACCCAAATGAGTGTCTCCAGCGGTGGCTTTCACTTCGAAGATACCCTCTTCGATTGTCAGCAGGGAGACATCGAATGTGCCACCGCCAAGATCGAAGATCAGGACGTTCTTCTCGCCGACACTGGTGGCCTTCTTGTCGAGGCCATAGGCGATGGCGGCAGCAGTGGGCTCGTTGATGATACGCATGACGTTGAGGCCTGCAATCACACCAGCGTCCTTGGTTGCCTGCCGCTGTGAGTCGTTGAAGTATGCAGGGACGGTGACGACGGCGTTCTTCACTTCTGTGCCTAGGAAAGCCTCGGCAATCTCTCGCATCTTGATTAGGACCATGGATGAGATCTCCTCGGCGGCGAATTGCTTCTCGTCGCCTTTGTAGCTGACATTGATCATCGGCTTGTCGCCTGGACCGGCGATCACCTTGAATGGCCAGAGCTTGATGTCGCTCTGCACCGATGGATCGCTGAGCCTCCTACCAATCAGCCTCTTAGCATCTAAAACAAACAAACACAGGAAATTAAGCTCCAACGATCACGGAAATGGAAAATCCTCTCAATTGGCTAAGAAATCACATCCATTGTAATCAAAATTCACATTCAAGATACCCTAATTCGTCAGATTTCTTTCAGGAATTGAATCGTCCAAGAAATACGAACGATTTCGGTGACACGAAAACGGAAACTTACCGAAGACGGTGTTGGTAGGGTTCATTGCGACCTGGTTCTTGGCGGCATCGCCGATCAGGCGCTCGCTGTCGGTGAACGCGACATAAGACGGTGTCGTTCGGTTTCCCTGATCGTTGGCGATGATCTCAACCCTATCGTGCTGCCAGACGCCGACGCAGGAGTACGTCGTGCCGAGATCAATGCCGATCGCCGGACCTTCTCCTTTCCCTGGCATGATGAAGCGATGAACAGTCGGAAGGTAGAACTGTGAAAGGTTCCTATTCGATTTCTTTCGGGGGATTCGCAGTATGTTATCGCAGACGAACTGTCGTTGTTGTGTGACTCTCTGATTCGATTCAGATGGTGGAAGGTGCAGGGGGGAGTTCCGTTTTATAGAGTTGAAAAGGTGATTCAGTTCTGGAATGTTCTGTAGGAGATGTTTGAGTCTGGGCCGTCGATTCGATGTATTGGACGGTGGATGATCGATCCTTGTTCGATACGGATTTGAATTTTCTCGCGTAGTCTTCTGGCGGAGGGAAAGGGATCCTGAATTTTAGGAGTTCCCTTTTTCTTGACCGAGTCGAAAGCCGACATGTGGCACAGCTCGTTCAGTCCAGGTTCTCAGGTGGGCCATGTCTAACATTGTTCTAAAGCCCATAAATACCAGCCCAAGCTCTCGCTCAGTCCATATTGGTTGTGGGCTGTAATGGTAGTCCAACGAGGCTACACGAAGGAGTCATCGGCCTAATTTAATTTTTTTGTGCGATTAGATAGGTGTATTTACATGTATTTAAAATGTAAGGTAAATACATATAAAAAAATGTATATTTAAATTGTATGTATTTGAAATACCAGTATTTGAAATATATGTAATTCAAATTCGTGGTTTAGATACTCATTTGTAATGTGTTTGTACTTTAAATTTTATAATTTTCAATTCTAATTTTGAATTTAATGATCACTCACTATAAATTTGGTTAAATTACAGTTTGGTATTCAAATTTATTTTTTCTTACTTTATATTACATTTTGGTACCTTTACATGTTTATAGTACCTAAACTTTTAAAATTGATCAAATCTTTTGTTAGGATGTATTTCAAATTACTAGTAGTTGAAATGTATTTGAAGCTGACAAGTAATACACTAGACATGTACTTGGAAATCACCCCGTGAATTTGGCACAAATCCAAATACCAAATGTAATTAATATCTAAACACATGATTTGACATTTAAAAATCCAATCACAAATACCAAATCCAAATCATTGTATTCAAAGTTCAAACACACCCTATGGACATCAGCCTGATTTATAAAATGTATGTTGTGCAATTATTTATAAAATTGGTAAATTGATATCTTCTCAAATGATAAACTACTAGTCCATTTGAATAAATGGATCAATATTTATAGATCGAATTTCATATTCCTTATAGTTAGTGATCTTTCTTGTATAGTCAATTGTGAAATAACATGAGAGCTCTTAGCCATGTTGTTTATGCCTGGAATGTACCGGGCAGTTTGTGAGGCTTCACAGTCTCCGTGCGGTCTTGGGAGGATGAGAGGCGACCTTCGAAGTCCTGCAACAAAGGTCCTCAGGGGAGCCCTGGGACCTCCTCCGATGCCTAAGTTAGTGAGAGAAGTGGATAAAGTGAATAAGAGAGAGAGTGGAGTAGATAGAAGTTACCTCCAAATGTGTCCCATGAGTGGGTATTTATACTAGTGGATGTCGGAGTGAGGATAATTAATGCCCTGTCGGGCGTCCAAGGTCGCATAAGGACCTGTTCTCAGGAGGCTGTCAGGATCGTACCTTTGTCAGCCTTCGTACTGAGGTGTCAGACGAACTTTGTTCCCTAGTGTCGGGCGGTTACCTAGGGACCCGATCAGACGATGTCAGGCGGTTCTTCCTGGTCAGAGGCGCGGAAGACCGCCTTTGGACCACTGTCCGATGTATTTTCGGGCCCATCTGAGTTGGGCTTGCTCGCCTTTCTGGGCCTCTTGGTGTTTATGGGCTTGGTGGCCCATGTGTCTTAATGATTGGCCCAACATTTGCCCCTTAGGCGTGAGAGGCTTTGGGCTTTCGCGGCTAAACGATCATCTTGTCATCATTAAGCGGTCATATGGACGCCATACCCATGACAACCCGCCTGCCCCTGGACGCGAGGGCACGAAGCGGGAACGTCTGAGGGGCCACTAAGGACGCCCCCGGCTTTTGATTTCGGCGAATTGCCGCCACGTGTCGAACCTCGATTGTGGCGCCTTGACATGACTAGGCGAAAACGTCACTTCGGGTGGTTGGAGACCCGAAGTTTGCTTTAAGTAGCTCTAGGGGGGAGCTTTTTCACCATTGTGGTTTCCTCTTTTATGAATAGTTCGTCTTCTTCCCTCCCTTGTCTTGGAGGAACGCCGACTTTCTTCGCCGACGTTTGTCTATATAGTCCGAGCGCGGCGCCAGGTAAGATTTTGCCCCTTTCCTTCGCTTTTGTGCGGTTGTCTCTGTTCTTACTTTTTGCTCTCTTGTTCGTTTCGCGATTGGGCTCGTTGCTTTGACCTGGTGCCGGTTGCGCGAACTCATCCGGCGCAACGGTGACGTCGGCTTCTTGCTCGCCAGCCGATGTCGAGCGAGGCGAGGGCGCCTTCCCTTGTTGTGGGAAGCGATGGGGCGGCTGTCACGGCTGATGCCGCCGATCCCGGCCGCGCTCCCACCGTTGTTTTGGAGTCGAATCCGGTGGTTGCTGCTGCGCGGTCTCAGCCGCCTATCGTCGCGAAGAGGGTTGCGGGATCCTCTGTTGGGACCGCCGCTGCTGTGCAAGGTATGACCTGCTTTTCTCCCACTAGAACCGCCTCTGAGTGCGTGTGGGATTTATCCGAGCTAGAATTGTACGTTGTGAGTGGTTCTGAAGTGCGCGATTGCTTCTTCAGTCTCTCTTTAGACTTAGATGATTCTTTTGCTAACATCCGCCCTGTACCAGCTGGGGGTATGGCTACTTCGTCCGCGGTTGGGGATAACATGGGTGGTTTTGGGCGGGTAGATTTAGGTAGCATACCTTTGGATGAGGATGAAACGGTTGATAGTGAGGGCGTGCGATCTGAGGCGCATCCGAGTACATCGTCTTCTGTGGAGACATTGGACGCGGAAGATGGGGAACCGCTCACTCGTGTTATTGCGGATCCTGTTTATACTGTCTTGCGGCATGAAGGGATGTGGGAGGATCAGGCGGTTCCTTCTGGTGTACTGGAATTGGGACCGGCGTATACGGCGGGTTTTCAGCCTGAGCAGGTCCTCCACCGTCTGAAGTCGCTGACCCTCCCATCTGATTGGGTTTATGCGACCCCTTCGGAGGGCGGTCGCTCTGGGTCTTGTCCAACCGGATGGCTTCCTATCCATGTGGAGCAGGTCAAGTTGGGGTTGCGGTTTCCGTTGGACCCCATCCTTACTCAGGTGCTGCTCCGGCTTGGGTGCTCCTTGGGACGCCTGTCCCCGACGATAATCTTTCACTCGGTGATGTACCGTTGGGCCTGTGACCGCCTCAACGAGGAACCTTCCTTTGATGCTTTTCGCTTGCTGTATAAGATTCAGGATACGCCCAATTGTTGGTCGATCAGGAGGCGGGATGGCGCTGTAGGCCTTGTTACTGGGGCGCCGAAGTTGGATTCTCCTTGGTTCAGGGAGTACTTCTTCGCGCGTCCTTCCTGGAAGTGGTATTCGGGCGATGAGGAACCGCCGACGGGTTATGCGGTCGGCTCTAAGGAAGCGTGGTGTTCCTCTAGTCAGTTTCCACAGTCGGTGAAAGACCACGTAGGCCGCTTGGTAGAGGGATTCCAGCTGCGGGTGACGCGTAGCGGTCTTGAGAGCGCTTACCAGCATGTGCGCGGCTTCTATGGTTAGTAAAATCGTGTCGTATTGTTCTTTTTCGCGTCTTCTCATGTACGTTACTTATTCTTTTTTGTTTCAGGTCTGAAAGAAGCGGGGGGCCGCTGTTGCAAAGACTGGTGCGCCCTCTTCTTCGACGGTAGCGGGGAAGACAGCTCCCGTGACCGCAGCAACGGTGGCCGCCTCTGCTGCCGCGTCCGTTGCTCCTACGATGGTGACCCGTGGTGCGGGGAAGAGGCCGCCAGGGACAGGTAGCCCCCAAGGAGCTGTGAAGCGTCCTAAAGTAACTCAGGGAAGAACTGGAGTGGCGCGGGGCAAGGCCGCTCGTCAAACTGACCAGTCTTACCCCATAAGTTTGCCCCCTCTCGCGGCGACCGACACCGAGGCGGCTGAGCTAGCGTTCCATACTGTGAGCGATCAGCTTGATATGCCATCGGAGTATACTGCGACCTCGCAGGGGTGCAACCGAAGACTCGCTGGGATTGCTTCTCAGTTCTTTTTCTCGGTGAGTTTTTGTATTTCGATTATTGGGACTTGTCATGAGACATGATTGACGTGGTCATGTTTTCCCTTTGCAGGCTCAGATTGGATTTTCGCAGATCATTATGCTGAATGACCGCCTATCCAAGACCGTTGATGAGAATGTGGTTGAGATAGCCAAGTTGAAGAAGAATCTGGCTGAAGGGCGGTCGGCGTTGATAGGAGAGCTGCGACCCGTTTTGGAACGCGGTTTCGAGGAGCGGTTGTCCAAGCAACGGGAAGAGCTGTCTGCGGAGAAAAAGGCCCGGGTGGCGGTCGAACGTGAGCGGGACAGTATGCAAAAGAAGCTTCGGCAAGCAGAAGAGATCGGGAGGACGTTATTGGAGGAACAAGAGTCGCTTCAGAAGGGGATAGACGCCCTCAAGCTGGAGAAGGCCACCCTCCAAGAGGGTCGCAAGGCGGAGTTGGCCGCCGCTCGAGCTGAGGCGGGTTCGGCCTATCTGCAGTCCGCGGAGTTCCCGGCCCTTGATGGGGAGAAGTACAAAAAGATAGTGGGAGATGTTGTGGCCGCGATCCGTCATTTGTTCCGCAGCGACCAACCGGATGCAGTTTGGGATACTGACAAGGTTTGGGACGCGATTGGGGCTTGGACGGATGCTGATGTGAACTCCGAGGCGGACGATGAAGGTGATGAAGAAGCCCGCGATGAGGAGGAGTAGGATAGGGAGCGGTCTCCAGCTGTCTGATGCTTTGTTTCATTCGGACCGCCAGGCGGTTGATGTTTTGTATTTGTGACTTGTGGATTTCCGGACCGCTCGATGTCCGTTATTTTGTGCGTGTTTTGCCCCCTACACAGTGATGGGGGTTTATGCTACTCTACGTGCGGCATCGCTATGCCTTGTGAACTTGTAGTGATTTCTTTGTAGCTTCGAGGGTTTGAACCGCTACTGCTTTGTGTATCCTTGACTTTTGCATGTTTGGCTCGCAGACTCAGTGATCGTGGCGCCTAATAGCTTGCCTTATTGTGAGTGCGGTTTCGCCAATGCTAGCGGTGAGAGTTTTGGTATGGGGCGGGTTACACCGCGGGGGTTTGCTCCCTTAAGTTTTGCTTTTATTGGAGCAAGTTCCAGCACCTCTGAGGGTCGTGCGCTGCTGGGGCGACCCTTTGGCAGCGTTGTATGTGATTTCTTCGTTAGTGGGTGCGTTCAGAGGGTAATTTGTTCCGTCGTGGTCTGTGGCCAGGTGTTAGCGAAAACATGAAAGGGAAGCGGCCACCTTCGCCTTTTCGCATAAGATGCGTTCTAAGATTGCATCCCGTCTGGACTCTTTCGCGTCTAGCCGCTCCAACAGCTTTCTGTCCGTGATCTTGGGTTTGTACGCTTGGGCGCGAAGGGCGGGGAGGTTCAGCTCTTCCGGGGCGACCGCATTAGAACCATATGTCAAGGCGAATTGAGTTTCACCCGTAGCGGTTTTATATGTCGCGCGATGCGCCCATAGGACATGCGGGATTTCGCTTGTCCCTGCCCCTTTCGTCTGCGGGTATGCCACGGAGGCCATCGCGTATGCCATGCGGTTTCTGGCGCAGAAGTTTTCGAATGGTCGACCGTCGAATTGGGTGGTGGAGAGTGTTGTTTTCTCGAACGGTCGTTTGACACATTTCGCGTTATTCTTTTAAACCTTTCGAAAGGTGTTTCTCCTTTGAGCCTGTCGGGAGGCGTGAGAGCCTGTCGGAAGACATTTTTCCGTTAGGCCTGTCAGAATGCGTTTTTCTTCAAGCTTTCCCGGAGGCGTGTGGGCTTGTCGGCACTAGAAGGTGGAATATTCCCGTGGTGGGAGTGTCGCTCGTCGACTTTGACATTTTCGTGAAGAGAGCGCTCGATGGGAGCGTCTTCAAGAGGCGGGATATCCTCATAGTCTTTTGGCTTCTAAGAAGCGTGTGAGTCATCAGCTTCTTGGGCGGATATGAGGTACTTCAGACTGTGTCTGAGTAGCACTTTCTCAGGCGCCTGTCATTCCGTGTTTGTGGAGACTGGGACGCCCTCCATGGTTGCCTTACGCTTGTCGCGGTTTTACCTTTCATGTTTGAGCACGGAGGGAGGGTAAGTTTACTTCGTCTGGGGCGACCGTTTTGGTGCCGTATGTCAGAGCGAAGGGGGTATCTCCCGTGGCCGTCTTGTAGGTCGTGTGATGCGACCATAGGACGTGTAGGAGCTCAGTCATCCTTGCCCCTTAAGCGCCTCGGAGACGCTCGTTTGAGGGTATATCACTGATGCTTTGGTGTCCATGGCGTGGTTTAGCGCGCGAGGATTAGTCTGCTATCCTTTCAAGCTTCTCGGGAGGTGCCTCCTCTTTGAGCTTGTTGGGAGGTATGTGAGCCTGTTGGAAGGCGTTTTCCTTAGATCCTGTCGGGAGGCGTTTCTCCTCCAGCTTATTAGGGGGTGTGTGAGCCTATCGACAGGTGTTTTGATGATGGCGATATGCTTGTGAAAAGCGAGATTGGGCTTTTCGCCTTAGCGGAAGATGCATTCCCGTGAGATAAGCATCTCATGGAGGCGAAATATACTCGACGAGAGTGTCGTTGTGAGGTGGAACATTCCCCGAAGGGTGCGTCGCCGGGAGGCGATTTTCGGGCCTTGCCCGGAGGTGGAAGGCACGAATCGTGCCTAGAGGGAGGATCGCTCATCGGCGAAATCATCGCTCAAAGGGAGTATCGCTCGGGGGCGGTTTTTGGGCCTCGCCCCGAAGGTGGAAGGCGTGAATCGTTCCCGGAGGGAGCATCGCTCAAAGGGAGTATCGCTCGGGGGCGGTTTTTGGGCCTTGCCCCGAAGGCGGAAGGCGTGAATCGTTCCCGGAGGGAGCATCGCTCAAAGGGAGTATCGCTCGGGGGCGGTTTTTGGGCCTTGCCCCGAAGGCGGAAGGCGTGAATCGTTCCCGGAGGGAGCATCGCTCGTAGGCGGAAACCATTCTCCGAAAGGAGCATTGCTCGGAGGCGAATTTTGGACCGTGCCCAGGGGCTTGAAGCATTGCACTTGAGACATGTTTTTGTACAAAATATTTGCCTTTGTGATTTGTCGTAGGAAAAGTAAGAGTCAAATTCCGAGCGCTACAGATCATATGTACATGACCTCACTGTAGCATACTGGCGAGCGCCGTTCATATTATCGAGTTAGGACTCGCATCCGAATCCTGGTATAGGGATGGAGGGGGTTCACGTTGTTGACTTGGAGAGGGTTATGCTGTACCCGCCCAATGAGCCTCTACGTGGGCGTCGTTGGCTAGGCGGGCCGTGATTGTATGCGAGACCACGTTCTCGTAGGAGGTTGCGATTCTGGACATAAATATTGGGTTCCACCTGGTATGAGGTGCGCCTAGTGGGACAGGTTTACTGAAGGCAAGTCTTATTTTCAGCCTATCGGGAGGCGCTTCTTTTTTCAGCCTATCGGGAGGCCTGTCTTCTTTTAGCCTATCGGGAGGCGTTTCTTCCTTTCAGCCTATGAGAATGCGCTTCTTCCTGGTCTGTCGAGAGGCATTCTGTCTTTCAGCCTTCTGGGAGGCGTTTATCTCTTGGCTTTGCTGGAAGCGCTTTGGGGTCTTTGAACAAATAGAGAGCTTAGCCTAGGAGGCATGAAATATGATTAGTATGCGGTTCCACGTTCAGAGTGGCCATGGAAGACGCGGGTGATGACGCAGATGGGTATGATACACGCGACCAGACTCATCTTGTGTCGACGCACCGCCATGTGGGAGACGGGGGTCGGGTGGTGTCTTCGGATGCGTTTGCGCGGGCTTGCGTCTTAAGGCAGGCCGGACGATTTGCACGGTTGGCGGACTTCGAGTTGAGGACTTGGAGTGCGGGCCGGACAGAGGTGGGCCCATGTGATGCGGGACTGGACCCTTGGCGTGCATAATGTACCGAGCGTGATGGACCGCATTGGAATCTTGGATGCGGTGCGTTGGTGATGCCAGGTTAGACGCACACATGAGATTTGATGCGAGGCGACCCAAGTCTTCAGTGATAACGTTGAGTGGGCTCGGAGGTGCCATAGGCCGAGTGGATGCTCGGGCGGCCCAGTTGGAGGGCTGGAGGCGTGTACGTGGTTGTAGTCTTCTAGTCGAGGGCGCTTCCTGCAAATGGCTTCAAATGTCGAATGTTGCCAATAGCAGACACAAAGCAGATTTATAGTGTAACGACATGATCGGACTTTCGTTTCAAGTGGAAACGTCTTCGCGATGATAATATCGCACGGAGGGGGAACGTAGCATGGTGGTGATGATCATCTTGTACTTGGCTGGATGAGGGTTTGAGGTTTTGCGGATGGGGTCCTCCTTAGAGGGCGGTCACCTCCGATTTGAGGTGCGTCGACTTTGAATGCAGGGGCGGTCCTTGAGCCCAAGGGTTGTGAGATGTTTGTAAAGCAACGATGATTTACCGCTGCGTTTGTAAAGCAAAAGGTATCCTCGTAGGGTGCTGGTTGTGTGAGCTCCTTTGTGGGGAGATGATGTGGGTTTGAAACCCACCTATGATGTTTTGCTCTCTGGGCGCTCCTTGAAGTGTCAAGGGTACCTCCGAAAATTTCTATCACCCCTTCCGGGAGGGAGGCATACCACGTCCGAAAATGACCGCTGAAGGTAACGGGAAACGCTCGGCACAAGACGGAGTCCGAGGCGTTGATGCACTGCACCTTTGACATGAACGCGCAAAGGTGGTCCGCGGGATCTGAGGTCCCATTGTACGCGGGTAGTCCGAGGGAAGAGGAGTTTGGCGGTGATGGGGTCTTGAACAGCTCCTCGGAGAGCGGGTTTTTGAAGAACATTGGGACTCTTGTGCTTTCCGTAAGTCGACCGTAAATGTTTTTCAAGGATGCCTAGATCTGCACCTCTTCTCGCGTCCCCTCAGGAAGGTTTTCCCTCGTTTTCGGTAGTTAGAGGATTTGCGACAGGCTGTCTTGCATGTTCGCGATTTGCAAGTCATGACCTTTGACTATCTCTTCAAACTCCGATTCGCCTTCGACTCTCGGCGATAGACCCCGGAGGGTGTTGTTCTGGGTCGTTCCCTTGAGAGGAGCTTCGAAGCCGTCTCCCATTTTTTCCGGTGACGAAGTCGTGAGGCCCCAAGGTGGGCGCCAAAATGTTTATGCCTGGAATGTACCGGGCAGTTTGTGAGGCTTCACAGTCTCCGTGCGGTCTTGGGAGGATGAGAGGCGACCTTCGAAGTCCTGCAACAAAGGTCCTCAGGGGAGCCCTGGGACCTCCTCCGATGCCTAAGTTAGTGAGAGAAGTGGATAAAGTGAATAAGAGAGAGAGTGGAGTAGATAGAAGTTACCTCCAAATGTGTCCCATGAGTGGGTATTTATACTAGTGGATGTCGGAGTGAGGATAATTAATGCCCTGTCGGGCGTCCAAGGTCGCATAAGGACCTGTTCTCAGGAGGCTGTCAGGATCGTACCTTTGTCAGCCTTCGTACTGAGGTGTCAGACGAACTTTGTTCCCTAGTGTCGGGCGGTTACCTAGGGACCCGATCAGACGATGTCAGGCGGTTCTTCCTGGTCAGAGGCGCGGAAGACCGCCTTTGGACCACTGTCCGATGTATTTTCGGGCCCATCTGAGTTGGGCTTGCTCGCCTTTCTGGGCCTCTTGGTGTTTATGGGCTTGGTGGCCCATGTGTCTTAATGATTGGCCCAACACATGTAATATTAAATAATTAGTAGTTAACTTTATATGTGGAAATCTAGCTTTGAGCCATGCATATAACTATAAGGTCAATAAAAAATCGCCTTTCCCATTTCCAAATGCTTTTACATGGGTCCGTACACATGTCTAGCGGTACCGATAGAATCACTTGAAGTTGAAGCAACCTATTCGAAGTAAATAGGTTTTGGGATTATTATAAAATTGCATGAATGTCGAACATGCATGTGAATTGGTGATTTCTTTAAACTTTGGAATATAAACTTTTTACATTTAATTATCAACTGCACCACCAACAAACTGGTCTGAAGAAAAGAAACGTTTTCTTTTTACGAGTAAAGTCCAAAGAATTTTCTGAAAAGAAATGTGGCAGAATAAACCGGAATGATGAACCCAAAAGCGTTCCATATACAATCTTCTTCCAAAGATCTTCTTAATTAATTTAATTTGCTTAATTCATCCGAATGGGCCAATAATAATTGGACGCGCATCCTGTCTCCTCTCAATTTCATACTTTTGGCAAAGACAGCCCTTGGGCTAGGCTCATTAGGACCGTGAGATGGTATCTCAATATTTAGGTATGTTTTGTGCTTAAGTGTGTAAAATTGGGATGATACTATGTGTAGACCATTTTAGGTGGATTACTCTCATTTTGATATGTGAATTAAGAAAAAGGTTCATAAAATTCAATTTCTACAAAGAAGAAAACGAAGACATTTTTTAATATGAAAGATAATTTATTTCAGAAATAGATGCACGGCCTAAATCTTAACTACATAATTTTACGAAGTAGTAAAAGATTATAAATACGTTAACATGCAGGAGATAGTAAGAGCTCATCGCCAAAACTCAAACCTGCAACCCAACAGATGGAAAGCAACTAAATGGGTCGATGTCGTTTAGAAAAGCAATGTATACAAAATATTTGCATCAACACGATTTAATTATTTTTTGTTTCCATAACAAATCATTTTTTTTTCATTTTGCAACATGTTTTCTAATTGTCTTTTATGTATTGTTACTTCTTAAAATGTAAGTTGGCACATCTTGTAATATAGTTATCAAGGCTTGTCTATTTAAACTATGAGCCAAATGAAAATGGAACCAAGGATCTAGGGTTTTCACTTTCCAAAGAAACCAATTTGATATATGTGAAGGTTGACGATATTAGAGATAAAACGAGTCAACAACTGATTGTAAGTGTTGGTAATATTTTTGAGAAGACTAACTGATTGTTACCGATAGCCATACAAAATGTACCAAAATAAATTAGATCATGCAAACTAAGTTGGAATTATCATATATAAGGATGGTGCCTTGTAGTGAGTAACTTTAAACATAGATCGCCATTGACAATATAACTAAAATTTGTTTGATTAAATTTTACACCACTCGGGTTGGGATGAAACTTTACCTTCTCATTATCTAAGGCAAGAAGAAAGAGCCAAGAATAAGAAGTGTGAATAAATATATTCATATTCTCCATGAAAAAACCCTCCTAAACAAAATGGGGAAAAAGAGAGATTAAAAAACTGTTAAAAATTACAAGGGAGACAAACCCAAGAAACAAAGGTACATTCGATAAGGACGTTTCCAACCAATACTTACCCCATCGATCCAAGGACTAACCCTTTCCCTTTCCCAGTCTGTTTAATACATTAGTTAATTATCTTATCACTTTTATTTAAAAACAGCTAGAAGAAAAGGCTTAATTATAAATTAATACACCACACTGATTGCTGATTAGGGTTCCTTCCTATTCTCTCTCCTCCTCTACATGCATGGCCAACCGCGTACTCACTTTCCTTTCCAATTTGCAGGTCAAAAGCAAAACCATTAGCACATAAATTAATCAACTAGTAGCTGATTGGCGTTGGCCCCATTGGTGCAGCCAGAAATTTGGCTAAGTATGGTGCAATATTAAATTCAAAGCAAATTTATCAGAGCAATCATTTTAAATTTTTAGAAATGAAACACAAGCCATATTAATTTTTGGCAAGATAGACAAGGTCTATATTAACTATGAAGTATGTTTAATTCAATACATTCGTTCAAATACCCATTCATTTATTCATAAAAGTACCACATTTCTTGAAAGTCGTTCGGAATGCAGGTTAATACCGAAAACCCTCAGCAATCGACGACTCGTTTTTTCTACACGTAGTCTTGTTGATGATCCTGTATGGTTCTAGTTCACGGTGTACTCATTCAACGCTGTGATTTTCAGCTTGTAAAATCGCCATCGCACTCACAAGTATTATGTGACTCATCACAATCACCCATCGATTATTTGCACAATGGGTAATGTGAGAACTTGAAACATTCATTTAAACGTCGTCGATTTCCTTGTTCAGCAGTGAGAATATCAATTATGTCACGGAACAATGAATAAAGCAAAATCACGCAACTCGACGTCATCACCAGCCTGCTGGATTCAAACTTCGAACTCATCTGCAGTACCGCTAAGAAACAAAACAGCTGATTCTTTACTTTGCAAGTAAAAAAAGAGAAAGAGAAGCTTAAGTGTTAAGTAATACATTGTTTGGGGGATACAAATCATGACATTTCAAAGACCCTAGCCAAAACAATAAACCATGACCATAAAATAACAAAAAGATGGGGGTTGAGAAAAAGTGAGGAGAGTAACATAGTGGTGGTGGAGGTGGTGGCATGGTGGGGGGGATGAAGAAGGGAGAGTAGTAGATTGTGATAGAAAAGAACACCAAAATCAATAAATATCAATAAACACCCCCACACACACACATTACATACACAATTATATTATAGAGACACACAAACTAAAGGGGGAAAAGAAAGAGGCTCTCCCTCCCTCCCTCTCTACATCCTCCTCTCCATCTTCTCCTTCCTCCCTTTATCTTTCCATTTCATCATCTCCTTCTTCTTCCTTTCCCCTTCTCTTTTCTCTCTCTTTCTCAGAAGCTCTCTCTTCATCACTTGATGTGATTCTCCCACCCCATCACCCAAAAACAGCCATAGCTCAGTGACAGGAGAAAGAAACAAACAAGAAAAGAATTGAAGAAGCAAGAAAAGAGATCCAGCTAGTGATCAAGCAAAAGGAAAGGAGGAAAAAAAAGGGCAAAGAGAGAAAAGAGGGAGAGTGAATTTAAAGATCAGATCATCACTATGGTCTTCCCTTCATCAGTTTCAGCCTATCTTGATCCCTCTAATTGGCAACAACAACAACAACAACAACAAGCTCCTCATGTGAGTCCTAATCTCAATCTCACTTTCCCTCTTCTCAATTGTAATAATTTCTTCCCTTGTGAATCAATTTTTCTTCCTTTTTTTTAGAGAAAATAAACTTAATAATTCCTTGGTTCTTGAATATACCACTACAGGAATTAAGCATATCTTGGTTCCATATCCGAATTTAGACTGTTCTTAATTTTTTTATTTATTTAACTATATATAAAATTCCTTCCTATTTCGACAGAGCTTGAGTCAAAATCGGCTTGGAGGCAACCAAGTCATATTTCAGCATCCCGACGGCGGGAACTACGGTGGCGCCGGGGGTGGGAGCTTAAACGGCTCCGCGCCAGGTGGCGGCGGGGGAACAATCGCGAAGCCGAACTCGATGGCGGAGAGGGCGCGGCAGGCGAAGATCCCGCAGCCGGAATCCGCCCTAAAATGCCCCCGCTGCGAGTCCACCAACACCAAGTTCTGCTACTTCAACAACTACAGCCTCACCCAGCCCCGCCACTTCTGCAAGACCTGCCGCCGCTACTGGACCCGCGGCGGCGCCCTCCGCTCCGTCCCCGTCGGCGGCGGATGCCGCCGCAACAAGCGCTCCAAATCCACCGCCGCCGGCCGGGGCGGCAGATCCTCCTCCTCGTCCGCCGCCGCCGCCGGCGGCAACAGATCCAAATCCCCCAACAACAAAACCACCACCGCCGACCACCACCACCACATCCTCGGCCGGGGATCGTCGTCGCTAATCTTCCCCAACACGCATCACGACCACAACATTAACCTAGGGCAGCTTCTGGCTCCACATCAGCTGCCCCTGCTGCCACCTTTGCACCATCTTGGACAGCTGGCGGACTATAATAATAATAATAATAGTGGCAGTACCTGCCACGTCGACAGTGGTAGTGTCGGGGCGCTGAACTTCAGCGCGGGGGGAATGATCTCTCCGCCTGCTGACGTGGCGGGCGGGAATAACATAGTGGAGCAGTGGAGGCTGCAGCAGCAAGTGCATCAGTTTCCCTTCTTCGCCAACCTGGAACAACAACAACCGCCGCCGCCGACGAATACGGCGGGGATGTCGTTGTACTCTTCCTCCATTGGTCATGACGAGGAGATCAACCAAGGAGGCAAAATGGAAGGGCATAATGGTAATAACTTACTCATGTCGAGGAATTTCCTGGGCAACTTTTCGTCACCGGCAGTAGCAGATCGTCACCATGACGAGGATGAGAATCACAATCAGCAGCAGCGGTATTGCAGCGGCGGCGGCGGCGGCTGGCAGGCGGGAGGCGGCGGCGGTGGTGGTAAGTACATGAACGGAAGCAGCCTGTGGAGTGGTGGCGGCGGGGATGGTCTTCCCGGGTTTACTTCATCTTCTTCTACAAGCCATCTTTTGTGATCGTAAATTGAGGAGATGGAATTTAATCGCGATTTCCAGAAGAATTGCATGGTTGCAAGGTAGCTAGCTAGGTAGCCCGTGAGTGCTTTTCTTTAACTTTGATCCTCAATTGTTGTCTTTTTTGTTTAAATTAGTTCTCACGTATATTATCGATCGTTTCCTTACTTGATATTGATGCGCGCTATGTGAGTGGTGACAGAAGTATATTGTAGAAGATTCCTTAATTACAAGCTACATAGTTTTATATTCATGGATCGAGTTGGGATATATAATTTGTGTCTATGTATGTAAATAGTTGTGACGAATTTTGGTGGTGAAGCTACGTTTAGTTAAATAGGGTTACAATTAATTACGCAATTAATTACGCAACCTCCTTACTTTTTTTGATTGAAAGTTATAATGTGTATATTTGTAACTTGAGAAAACATTACAAATGATAGCCCTCCGATCCGAAATTTATAAGTTCTACGGTAGTAAGTTGTTGCAGCTTATTATTTCAGCTTCTCCCGAGATTTTAAATCCTAACTATAGTGTGTTTATGCTAATAAGATTGGTGTGGTTTAATTCGAATATCAGTATTAATTAATTAATAATATATAGGGCAAGTGTTTTTCTTTCTTCTTGTACGTTTTAATTTTCACTTTCTATTCCATTGTTGTCATAAGTAATTATATATGTTGTTGCAATCCAAGTTACTCTCGAAGCCAACTGGGATATTTATTGATTGGTAATGAGGATAAGATCCTTCTTCTGCTGGTACAGCTAGCTTCACTTACACAGTTTACACACGTACAGAGGAGAGTATAATGGAGGTTGCTTTTGACCATCTTTTTTATATCCTAGTAAAAAGGGTGACGATGCATGGATTATGGAAGAAAGGAAACCATAGAAGTACTGAAATCCAGACTTGACCAGCTTCGCCATTTCCATGATTCATACAGATAATCATTATATAAACCCTATCTATCTATCTACATGGGAGAGAGGGTTTCCATACCCTGCAAAGTGCAAACTCCTCTCCTCTCTCTCTCTCTCTCTCTCTCTCTATGTGTATATGCCTTTTGCTTTTTTTGCACAAACCCTTTTGTCACCAGAATAATACACATGAAAATAATTAATTCATGGGCTGTGCTGTGAACAATTACTCTAGCTAGTGCCTCTTTATGTCATATTACCAGCTAGCTAGCAAGTTTGTATTGATTTTACCCTCCTTTCTTGTCACATTCTGTTATAAATATAACCGTGTTGGTGGTATATTGATTAGGTGATGGAGATGGAATGTGTCAACAGTAGGAAAATGGAAATTAGGTAGATCATAATTAATGACCACACATATATAAGATGATACTCATACTTTTGTATAAATTCTTTTATGGTACAACTTGAACTTGTACCTTTATGTGATGGTACAACTTTCAGTTGTACATTAAAGCACCAATGCTATATAGCATAGTAGAAGTGTTCAAGTTTTAGTGGTTATTATAACTCGAGTTGTTATGACAGTGATCTTATTGGGTGAATTCCGGCTTGTGATTTACAATGACTTATAATGCTAATTAGTTAGATTTCATGAAAAAAGATTAAAACAAAAATGTGGGTTTATAATTATGAAAAATTACTGCAATTTTTCTATTGAAAACTGAGAAGAGCGTTAGTTATGCATGTACACCATTGGATTCCAGTTCCATACTGCAATTGACCCTTGCACTGCAGCCATGGAATTCCAACAAAAACGGTTGAAAGCATCTGAGTCTGTGCCCCTGTTTCCGGCCTTTAACTTTTGCTTTCTTTTGTTTGGCGGTAGGGGTAGTTCCATTGGACTTTGAAGCACGCGACAAAAAGAGATGGGCATGAGAGAAAGGTACACGTACTACTACTACTACTACTGATGAAGAACCAGAGAGAGAGAGGCAGAGAAGCTAATAAGTGCAGCTGAGAAGTAACTGCATTAGAATGAGAAATGGAGGATGAGTAATTGAGTATATATATGCAGATCGAGTACTGCAGCTAGTTATTTGTTGTATGCACAATAGCAGCCAGACCAGTTTTCCATCCACTGAGAGTTTGGGGCAAGTACATGTTTGTGATGGTGGTGAGAATACTTCCACGGAGCATATGGACAAAGAGGAAAGCTGCTGAAAGCTTCAGCTAAAGTTCCCAGCAATGATATTATTTCTTACATCTTAATTAACTATATATAGATTAGTAATTAATTAGTTCGTTGCATGCATATGTACAAGGAGGATTAATTACTGAAACTGAATTTAGTTAACGTTGTGGGAGTTGCATGCAATTTGTTTATTACAGCGAGAGGGAGGGAGCTGGAATCTGGGACTTGGATCTGCTTTTGCTTTTGCAGGAAACGAACATGAGGGAAAGCAGAGCCTGCTGCTCTCGTTTTACTGTGAAACGAGCTGGACGAGAGAGAGAAGGAGGAATAAAGGGAACCCTAGTGAGAGAGAGAGAGAAGGGGTGTGTCAGAAAAGCAAATCTCTTCCTACTGCTTTCTCTTTTTCTTTTTCGCTCATCATCTCCCTCTTTTTTTTTTCTTTCTCTCTTCTTCTCTGTGGTGATGGCTGATGGATGTGGGGCGGGATGTTTGTTTCCTTTTTTTTTGTTGGCGCAGTGGTTTTTTTGGTCGGTTGGTTTGGAAGTTAGTGGGAGGGAGAGGTAGTGAAACAACCGATGAAATCCAGTTACTGTCTGGGGTAGTGGCGGAGCTAGAAAATTGGCCAAGGGGTGTGTTTATTCATATAAAAAAAATTAACTATATATAATAGAAAAGTCAACATTAAACGAAATAAAAAATCAACAGCAGAATACTCAATATTTTTACAATTACATAATAATAGTTCGACTCACACCACTTATAACGAACAACAAAGAGATTTCATATTCTAAAAACATTGTCGAACACATTCCTTGTGCAAACTAGCACGCAACTCTTGTTCAATATATGTCACCAACTCATCGTTTATCCGATTTTGAATATAATTTTTTTGTATATTCATGGGTGAAAATTATCTTCCCACACTTATAGTTGCAACATACAGATAATTGTTAACTTGAGAACTAAATAAATAGATAAATACGGTTTGTGCTTATTTGTTTTCACTTTTTTTCTAACTCGTCAACCCTTTGTAAGTTTTTAAACTTGCCATCGAATGGTAGATAAAATAATACATGAATTCAACTTATGACCGAGAAATATCATAAGATTTAGGGTAAATGGTATGAATCGTACAAGTATCGACAGGGGAAAAACAACCGTTGGGAACTTCTTATGGAAACAATAATAGTTGTAGGTTTAATTTTAGAACTAACTTCTTATTTTATATAAAGAATTGTAAGATTTATTAGAAACTCATCAAGTGAAGATTGTAAGGAAGATTGTTTAGTATTAGTCGATCAAGGGTAATTCTTCAAACTTACTTTTTCCTTTAAAAATTTTTGCTGCTCCTCCAAGCCACCCCCAATCTAATGAGTGGCTCCGCCACTGGTCTGGGGGAATAATAATGTGAAGGAAGGAAGGAAGATAGATTCCTTCTCTTCCCCTAAGCTATGAGAAGGAGGAGAAGAAGAAAAGGGAAAGCAGAGCTCAAAAATCCAAGCAAGTGGATGGACTGGCAGCTGCTAGCTAGGACATGCAATGCAATTGGAGTTTGAATTTATGGGTCCATCACTTTGCATGAAAAAGTTTTCAATTTGTCTATAGGTTTAGGAATAGAATTTTGATTATCTAGGGTTAGAGTTTGAGTTTTTTTCCTATCATCCTTCTTGAATTTGTACATTTAAGAACAAAAAATCTCAATTAATGTTTTTTTCCTTCAATTTTTTTATAAAAGTGCAGGCAAATACACGTAATGTCTTTCTTATCTTAGTCACTTTACATGTACGCCCGGAAAACAAAACAAATACGTAAAAAGATTTGTAGAATTTTGGAAAAAAAGATAATATCGGACACAAGTAATGTTATAATGGGGATGAATTAATTCTAAACATCCAGTTGGGCTTGAACATTACAGTTTTAGCGGCATTCATACTATCTCCATCGCTGCAAAATACTATGTACATCTTCTCCTTTTCATTGTCACACCTCGTAAAACAATGAAATTATTTACTTATTGAAATAAAAATTTATTTCAATTATTTAATTTTTATCGGCTCGTAAAAAATTATACGCCGTCCAAATAGACAATCTTAGCTACATACCCACCTTTATAACCTTCAAAAACAAATCCCCTCCTTTGTTATTTCACCCTTAAAACGTTATTATCTCTTTCCTTTTAACTTTAAGCATATATGCCAACCCTATGCTTGAAACTTTTCTTAATCCCATATTGTACAATTCGATGAAGATTTGGGAAATTGGTGCATGTGTCCATTAATGAAGGCCCATGATGATCTATGAAGACTGGAAGATTGATTGCCAGAATTGGTGGTGCCAAAAAGGAAAAGGAGATTGAGATGCATCATCCAAAAGGTTCAAATCATGATAAATACACACACAACAAAGATTTGCCCAATGAAACAAAGCAAGAAAAAAGTACTCTCCCATTCATATGCTATTGTCTTTACTTGTAAATTTTAGCTCACCTCAAGGCTAGCTTTCATGCAACTCATATTCAACTTCTTCTCTTCTCTTCTCTTTTCCCTCCCTTCTCCTTCTCAAATTCCTTTATTTCTTTCATCGTAATTCAACTTGAATATTATTCATTGGTGCAAATTCAACCTAAATATTGAAACACTAAAAGTCTCAAGCTTTGCCTCCCATTTCTTTCTATGCCAGAAATTCTACCATTAGAAACAAAGGCATCCGTATATGAAAGGGAAAACTCACATTAAGATTCGACTATGTAATCTTTAAATTGAAATCTAACATGCAGGCAGTATTAATGAATTATTAGATAAAAAAAGGAAGATAATTACTAATAAAAAAGGAAGATAAATCTTTATCTTGCATGTAATGTGGTCCTAAAAAAATATACTCAACTTTGACGAGACAAAAGGCTGAAAAGCACTGGAGGTTTTCATGCTGGTGGCTAGAGGAAAGTATGTGTCCTTCTTCTTCTTCCCATTTTAGATGCTTCCACTCAACTCACACACATCAAAATTTTCCGTGCGAGATAAGAAGGGAAAGGGGAAATGGTGACAATATAATGGCAGCATCCTAAGGAGAAAAATGTCGATAACCTTTGCTTTTTCCCCGGCCCATAGAGCATTATTTTGTTATTGAGCAGCTGTAGGCCCGCAAGTGAAGAATGCCTCTTCAAACGTGCAGAGCATTGCTCTTGTGTTGGCCATGTACAAGGCATTTCGGAGGTAGTAATATGTTATAGAAATAGGTTCCTAGCTCTCATCATCTCAAAAGAAGTCAAGATAGAACATAAATGTACTTGAAACCCTCTGTTTTTTGACAAGATAATCCAGATTAATTAATTAATCATATGATTTATTGAATCTAAGTGATCTTTTCCTAGGCGTTTGGCCCGATTCAATCGGGGGAGATCAAATATCGGTCTTTGTCAAGGAGGAGTGTTGATGTATCAATTCCCACACTTTGCCTTTTAAGCAGAGTAATCCTTAGGTCTATAACCATAAAAACAAAAAATAAAAACCGCTCATAGGTCTAGAATATATGAGGCCGAAGAGCGAAGCAACGAAGTTGGTCGACTGAAACGAGAGGGAAGGAATATATGAGCCCGAAAGGCGAGCGAAGGGAGAGCGGAGAAAAAATCGTCAGCCATCGGAGCGGGACTTCTTTGAGAAAATAACTTAAATAAATTCATTTTTATGAAGGAGTCGTCTTTTTTTTATGTCATCTACAATCTCGATATATTTTGGATGCTTGAAGGTTCCGCTGACTGAAAGTGATTTAGAAAGATTCCTCTTTATCAATGATGATCGATCTTGGTATTCATAGCATTGTTTATTTTTCAGCCAAATCCTGATGTCGTTTTCTTTCTCCCGGTCATCGAGCGGGACTGTCTGATCGAGAATAGGATCAAAATGCCTTGGTCCTTAAGAATGGGAAACAAGGGGTCAGACCTTTTAGCATGTTTAGCCAATTCAGATATAAAATCCGGTGCTAAATAGCAATGTTGTCAGAACCGAACCGGATCATGACCCGGTAATGCGAACAGCTCGCACTTTAGTGGTCCAACCGGTATTAGACCGTTTTAAAACCGTAAGAGAAACGGTACCTAATAAACGTTATCAGTATAAATAGTGGACATTTCTTAATCAGAGCTCATCTCTTTCCTTCAAAATTGTGAAATGGAAATAAGGATTCAGTTTGAGTGCCCGACGTTTTTGGTTTATTACAATTTTCAACAATTTTTTTAATTAAATTTAACGGCAGAATGACAAAAACCGGACGAGCGGCTCGAACGGTTAAACGTCTCGACCGCTCGTCAACCGCTACATAAAACCGGAGCGGTTTTTAGATTGTTCCGAACCGGTTGGGCCCTCACGAGCGGTTAATAGAAATAGACTGTAAATTAGGGGTCGTTTGCTTCAAGGATTTGGTACATGGATTTGGTACCAAAAAACCAACTATTAAGGATTTAGGTACAATCCGTTGTTTGCTTGCACATTTTTTGGAGACCAAATCCGTGGGACCCACGGATTTTAAGGGTCCAAATCCGTGGACCCCACGGACTTATAAATCCCACATGTTGATGTGGGATTTGGAATATGGCATAAATCCTTGATGAGATTTTACCCATATACCCTCATGCACTTTTAATATTCCAAGGTTGCCCTCAAATTTAACTATTATACATTATAATTAACAATAAATGAATAATATAAACGTTCAATTAATGTGCAAACATGAGTTAGATTTTTTATATCATTTCTTGTGTTCTAGTTTTCTTTGACCTTTTCATGGAACGTGTAATTTTTTGTTCTCTCGATTCCAATATATGTTGTTATATGTCACTTTTGAAAAGGATGACAAAGAATTGGTAATTGATTATGTTACGTTAAAAGTTAAAACGGAATTTTCTCGTTTATTATTATTGTCCATGTGGCAACATTATGCTTATTAGTATGTATTGTCCTTGTTTTGTGTACATATCATAAACATGTCAAACATATAGAAAATGATAGTAAGGTAATTTTGAAGTTTTGTCCTTGTTTTGTGTACATATCATAAACATGCCAAACATATAGAAAAGGGCAGTAATGTAATTTTTGACTTCAAGTAGTAAATCTCACACCTTTAAATCCATGATAAAAACATCCCAACAAACAAAGGATTGTTACAAATCCATGATGCCTCAAATCCTTGATAAATCCTTGGGTTTTTAAATTACAAAACCCTCATTTTTAAATCCATGAAGCAAACGACCCCTTAGTTGGCAATATTGTCTATCACTGCTTTAAATCCTGCTCGGCCCAAAAATAAAATGGGATAGACTTCCTCCAAATAGAGTGAACACGTTGTCATAGATCGCAAGGCCCAACTCAACTCAATAAGCCCAAAATCTACTTGGGCCAGAGAGTTCAGCAGCTCATTAGCAACATGTTGAGGTATGGCACGGTCCATCTCTTCGGCGGCCGTGGGAGTCGATAATCGACGCAAAGAAACTGGTCGTCGACCTCGTTGAAGCGATCTTGGAGATGGTGCCTTTGAATTACCCGCTAGCGTTTTCTGTTTGCAGGATGTTGAGAGATGGATCCTTCTGTTTGAGCTGAACCAAAGGAAATTCTCATATACGATTCTTCGTGGGGGGATCTCTCTTGTTTAACTGGTGTGAGCTCGTACAGGAGACTGTCAAGTGGTGCAATCAACAAGCAATAGTAGAACAATATCCACTACAAAATTTTGTATTTGATAAGAAGTTTTTGGTTGTAAGAAGGATAATGCATCTTATACAATCATGCAGATTTCATTTGCTGCAATCTAGTTTGGAGATTCTTTGCAGCTCCTTACTCCTGAGTAGAATCTTCGCACCTCCGTGTGTATGCTACCCGTAGTGTTATTCAAGGCACCCAATAGTCTTTGACAAAATGCGACAATAGACCGAGTAGCTAACATCAAAAGCCATCTCGTAAAATCAAACCCTACCATCTTCCTGAACCAGTGAGCATATTCCGACCACGACAAACAAGCTATTTTGACAAGGCATTCATCTTTTCTCTCAGATAGTAAAGCTTGGCTCTTCGTACTTTCTTCTTGTCCAGCACCTTAACCTCCTTTATGTTTGGCGAATATCTGCAATCCACCACAATTTTCCCCTCGTTAAACAGTAAATTAACAGGAAACTTCCTAAGGAATAATGCTCGCAGCCATAGAGATAGGTTAACATTGACTGTACTGGATGGACAACTTTACATACTAGAAGAGATGATTCACTCTGCAATCCCATCCTCTTAAACTGTTATTACTCAAAACTTGCCATTTAGAAAGAGACAAAGCTTAAGATGGCTGCTTCTGGCTTTATTTCGGTGAGAATGAAGCAAATTGATTCACTTAAGAATACTTCTAAGACACAGACCTGTTGCTATGTGGTTTGAGTGGGTCTTGGTTGTCTTAGTTTGACTAAGTAAAACCGAAAAGAGGTGAATCGTAAGGGAGTTAACTTAAGAATACTTCTAAGAGACAAACCTGTTGTCATGTGGTTCTAGTGGGTCTTGGTTGTCTTAATTTGACTAAATAAAATCGAAAAGTGATGAATTGTAAGGGAGTTAACTGCTTAGGAGCAGGAGAAGGGGCAAGAAGTGCAAGTTGATATAAAAAACACCCAAGGATACTTACAACATGAAGAGAGACTCAACTCCAACCCCTGCTACCTGCCTTCTGATCCTAAATGTGGTGTTAATGCCAGCATTGCGTCTTGCTATGACAATGCCCTTAACAGTTGAAAGACGCCTCTTATTTTCAGGTACTTCCTGTTCGACATACAAGGACCAGTATTCCAACAGTCAAACAGTTCAGTCGCATTGCGTCAAGCTGAAATGAGAAAAAGGATAGGACTCACAAAATCAGTACCACTTTGAGTTGCACAATGTAACCAGGACGTATATCAGGTACTTCTCTCTGTGTCCTCACTTCCTCTACTGCTTCCCTATTGAGAATCTGCCAGAGGAACAATAGCCATCAATGTCCTGGTCAAGATACACGGCATCAATGTGAAACTAGGAAAGGAGCTTCCACTGAAACCCAACCTCTACTAACCAGTGTATACCTGCATTATGTTCCTCGCTGTTTTATCCATTCTCTTAAATTTTATTCGGGGTGGTACAACATCAATCGGTATTGAAGAATCCGGTGAAGCGGGTGCATCAGAAGATCCCGCTGTTGAAATGTTCCTACTTGGGATAGAAGTCCCAAGAACAGGCCAAGGGGATACATTTAGCCTAGAGCTTATCCCATTGCTGCTAAACTTGGCGAAGCCCGCTCTATTGAACTCTGATGTCTGCCAGAGAGCATAGCAGAAGTCAAGAACGCAAACAACACATTCCCTAGAACATCTAATGCTAAACTGGGTGATCATTCACATTGAACCTCTAATACCATAAACCAACATAAAGCATGTAAATTTGGTATCGAGAAAAATGGAATTCTTTCGACGACATTCAGCTCGTTCTTATACAATCGTGCGAACGAATATGAATGGTGAATTTGTAAAGACGTAATCACAGTAATATGTTTCCCCCCTCATCCTCGGTAAAGAAGAGCTGAACAACGAAGGGGGCGAAGCAAGGAGGATAGTAAGAGACCATACCGATTGCCGAGGAGCGCCGGAAGGGAAATGGTGAAACGAGCGGAGAAAGTGATTCCTCGAAGCGTGAAGGCAATTCGAAGCCGAACAACAGAAAATATGATTTTCATTGCCACAGTTGGCGAAAGAAGCACCTATTCCTCCGCTTGACTGCAACCGCGAAGTTATGGAGCTGCTGCCAAGGGTTTGCCTTCGAATCAATGCGCCGAAAAGGGATCGCATTTCTTCTGCTAGGAATCGGCAATCGCAAAGGTTGGATTGGATGTAAGAGGTGGGGAATCTTCTTTTCAGGTGAAAGGCTCGGGTTCGAGCAGGGAAGGCGGATGCTAGATGTGATAGGAGGGACGACGGAGGTTGGCCGTCTGTTTGCTGGAGAAGACGACGAGGACGGCCGACGAGAAGGGGGAAAGAATCGCTGAGGAACTGATGCAGGCTCAGAGGCCGGAGACTCGGGGTATAGGGTTTCTTTTATTTAGTGGACCATAACGGCGTCGTTTCAGTCATCCGAGCAGGGCCAACTCACTTAGATCAACTCGAGCTGACCGGTTTGAGGTTCGACCGGAGCAACTTATCGCAGGGAAATTACACTAATAGAAAAATAGGAAGAAAAAAATTTAAGGGCCCAACCGGGTTCGAACCGGTGACCTCTTGATCTGCAGTCAAATGCTCTACCACTGAGCTATGGACCCTTTGATGATTAATTTTTGTTCTTTCTCCTACTTATACTTTACCAAATTTTAGCAAGAAGTGGTCAAATATACAACCTAACATTCATGCATGAAAAATTAACTATGTGTTAAGTTTTCAACTAATGAAAATGTAACTATTCTTTTGTCTCATTAAAGGTGATGATTTGAGAAAATAAATCTTAGTGGGTACCTCACCCAAATAGTTATTGGGTTGGACCTAGATTTGTCAATTCAAGTTGTATCAAGTTAGATTTCGATAACTACATATCCATGTCCAACCCTAAATCTTTTGACTCCAAGGTAAAATCCCGTAAATATTTTGATCAATCAATAATGTATTATAAAAATTCAAATACCAGCATTTGAAATAAATATCTCTTTTGTAGATTTTACATTTATCAATTAACATTGTGAAAAATAAGAACCCTAGACAAATTGAGACAAAAATTCGTTGTATATTATAAGTGAAAACCAATAACATTTTTCAAGAACCTTCGTTTACTGCTTTCCACATCATCATAGATCATGTATTTCATAATTTCATATGTTATGTGATCCCCTTAATAGCATGAAAAAGACATATTATAAATCTATTTGATACGTACGATAAGCAATTATGTTATACACGTCTTATTAATTATTAAAAAATTCATGAACCGGCTTTATTGAAATTCCACCATTGTAGTTTTGTAATTTCACCTCTACTATAGTCTATAATCAACTTTCATGCTAATTTAAGAAGATTCCTTGTACTTTTTCAATGATACATAAGAGACCCTGATGGAAGAAAAGAAGAAAAATAAATGTTTGACATGTAACAAAAGGTTCCAAATTATACATACACATAAGTAGCATGTAAATGATTCAGTAGGGGGAAATGAAAATGAAACAAAAAAAAAAAAAAAACGAAAAACAAAAGGCCTGCCTCTATGTCCCCCCTACCTAAAAGGAAAATTTAGGTAGGCTTCTTGTTTTAAGTTATTCCAATAATAATCTAGTAATTGCTCATTTGCTCTCTCCTGTCTACCTCAAATTGTCCACAAATAAAAAGACAAAATAAAAAACCCCTAATTTTAGACTTTTAGAGAGTTAGCCATGGTGAGCCATAAAAGCCCAATTTGTCCAAAACAAGGCCCAATCAGAGTTCAGCTTGATCCTCGTGGTAAGGGCTTGGATCCATAACAAGGCACTGGTCTGCAAATTTCCTTGTCATCATCGACAAAGGAACCAAGCAAAGCCCTCTATTTCTCAAGTCCGATAATTCTCCCTCACTTCCCACCTGCATTGCAAGAAAATAAAATCCCTCCAAGGAATCAGTTTCATTCCTAGGGCACATTATAGGAAATGGAATGGTTACTGAACAGGGGCTAAGGTTCAACTAGTTGTTTACAATCACCCGTACATACGATAAGTTAAGATACTTTCAGTTTAATACTCGGTTTTTTAGTTTTCGCGTCACTTACCATGGTTGTCGTCCATGCTTTGTTGTCTAAATTATCGGCAGAACTCGATGAGTAGGCTCTATTACTCAACACCTAAAACATAAATTTTGGGTAAGAAGAATATGGTTAGCAAAATAAGTTACATCCAATAATTGATATACGATCTAATTCTTAAAACTCGCTACAATTCAACACTTCTATTTAACGAGTTGGGTTGATCATAATACTTGGATCTGTTTCTGGAGGTGCTTGATGTAGAGGGACGCTTCTTGGAGAACAGAAGCTGTATCTGTCTGCAAAATGGGAATCCACAAACAGACAAATGCCTTCAATAAAAAGAACATGAAATTCAAAAGAAAGTATAGCCATAAAATGAAGCTGATCAAATGGGAAAGGTTGCAGGCTGCAGACCTTGCCGTATGGAGACACCAACTTCTGGAGGGCAGTGATTTTGTCACTTAGCTTCTGGCTCCTCCTTGCTGGAACCTGCAGCTGCTCGATCACCAAAATTAGCTGGTTAAAACCCGCTGTCAATTACTCATTACTGCTTAGATTTTCTAATAACCAGTAGCATTTTCCACTTCACTGTCCATTCATTATCCACAGGTTTTGACAGTGAAAGGTTGCAGCTTTGTAACAAGAAATGACATTTTTTGTGACAGAACATAGATGTATACCTTGAATTCTTGGATGGTTGTGATGGACTGATCATTCATTTGTTGTTGTTGTTCATGCCGCGACCCTGCAGAATTAGTAGCACTACTGGACTTCTTCCTCTTCCCAGCAGCAGTAGTGCTGCTCTTGGTTGCTCTGCTGCTAACTTCAATTGCACGTTTCCTACCATGTTTGCTATACATCCCCTGATCAAAGATTTATAGGATGTGTCAGAATTCATGGGGCTGACAACAATGACTCTACCGAATTTTCATGGATGGATCAATCAATCAAAACAATCACATTTTCCTGAGGCCTCACATTTTCCACCATTGCAGCAGCAGTAGCTGCAGCAGAAGTGACGTTGTTGCTCATCATGATTGACTCACTTGAAGAAGTGCTGTCACAGGCAGAGAACGGTGAGTATCCATACCAATCTGCTGCCTCGAATGAGGGATCGACATTGAAGGATTCTTGTTGATGAGGAGTAATGTGGAACATTGCTGGTGGCTCTAGTTGGTAATTGCTGAAAGTTGAGTCCCAGCAGAAACTAGAGATGTCCAAGCTTGGCATCACCTGAACTTCGCCAATAGTACTACTGCTGTTACCTGAAACATCACCAAAATAGGCAAAAAACACACAATGAAACATAAGCACTGGTTCATGGGTTCCACTGATCTTAAGGAATCTGTGTTGATGGGATGAAGCTGTTTTTACCAAAGCTGTAAAGCTGTGATGATGATGATGCTGAAAGTGGAACGACAGAATCCCTCATTGTTGGCAGAGGTGAGAGTGAACCCATTAAGGAACAGAGGGGGAGAATCAATACAACGTTGTTTTCTCTGAGTGAAGTTTTTAAGGTTCTTCTTCCTTTTGACAAGGTGTGGTGGAAAGGAAGGAAGGAGTAGATATAGAGTCACAATTTAAGTCGGCCTCACTGTTTAATTAAACAGACAACTTTCCTTTTGTATAATGTAAAATTGTGGTTACTGTTTCTGCTGTTTTTATCCTTCACTGGGATCAAGAAAGAGCCAACGGGCGGCTACATAAGGTCTTAAGTAGTGTCTTGGTTATGTATATTTCGGATTAGTTAATGTGATCTCTCTTTCATAACAGTTTGACTCTGGATGTTCATTGGTCGAAAGCTCCTGCTACTGACGTTTCACTCTTAACTCGGTTTTACAATTCCTTTCCTTAATGATTAAGCGGCACTTTGGGGTTGGTAGGGTAAACCATAGTCATTCATCGTAGTACTATAGATCTTCCAAAGACCAAATCAACCGGCCCAACTCTAGTAGGTTGTCGGTTAATCGCGTTAGTTCGAATTATATGGATTGGATGGTTTGTAATTGAGGGTTTACTCAACTTCAATGGTGTCAGGACGGGTAGGTTGATCACGATGAGACTAATTCTTACCACCTGGATGAGTGAAACTTTCAAATTGGGAAAGATCGACTATTAAAAATTACTACTTTATCTTATGTATTCTTGATTGTCATTAAATTGTTGAAAGAAGTCACATATATAAAACTTGCTAAAATTTTGGACGACAATGATGGATTGCTCGATCCATCTCTGTTTTCATTTTAAATCTTCAAATCAATATACTCTTTTTTTTTTCTTCCATGCTAGTAGAGATTTCAAGCACATCCACATCTCCAAATCAAATTTGATTTTTAAACACTAAGAAACATTAAATACCATCAAAGATAGGAAGCTCTTGGCTTCCATATCAACTTCAAATAATACATTCCTGAATAACAATTAATCCATTAAAAACAAGAGGGACCTAATATATAAATTACACGATGATGATGAAATTCATTTGTCTTCCACTCCATCGTTTGTTTGCTCCTTGTCCCTGCATGCCGCACACATAAATTAATCCTAGTCCAGCTCCGACTAATACTTAATTAATTTCCCACAGTTTCTGTTTTGCGCCATCATTCATTTGTTAATTACCTTATGGTTTGATAAACATCGTTAATAATTAATTAATTAACTACGTGTTAATAATTGACCTCTTCTTTTGCTCGTCATCATCTTTACCCATTACACACACTATATGATCAAGTAAGACAACATCTTACTTTTTAAATGATCAAAATTATTTTTATAAATAGAAGAATAAGAAAGAACATTCACCTATGGTTAATTTGTTCGAATTAACCTCACACAATTTATCAGTGTTTACGTAGCAATGAGAACATGCATCATACATCCTGAGTCGAACCCTGAAATATAGATTATTCCGATCACTTTTATTCATAATGGCAATTGGATGAACCGATGAAGGTGCATTATCAAAGATAACATAATTGTTGGAATGTAAACAAGACCGAAATTTAAAAATCTAAATTGTTGCTTATCACTATGTGATCTATGTTGCCTAAGATTCAGACGACCATTTTAACTGTTCGGACAATTACAATAGTAAATAATATAAAAAATATATGATACATGTTCATATATGTGGTAAGAAATTTAAAAAATATTTTAATAACAAACATATCATAGCATATATATAAAATCAACCATTAACACTTTGGAACCACCAAGATCCCAAAATATAACATGTCAATCGATTATCAAGGACCAATAATATCATGTCTAAAACTAATTCAGTTCAACATATCAACTCATTCATGACACGGTTGACCTAATGGTAATGTGGCAAATATAGAACATCCACCACATCAATTGTTTTCGAATCTTGAGACCAACAACTAATAATAATAATAAAATTATTCATAAGAAATATATACGAAATTAATTTTATACAATTTCCATAACATTTTTAGTTCTTTTCTATATCACCGTAGTTAGATACTTCTCTTTCCTCATATCCATTTATAATTTTATACGTATTATTACGCTTATAGTTTCATTAGTTAGCGTTACAAACAACACTCCCACCACCAACCTTTTGAAAGTGAAATCGCAGAGGGTTCTGTTTGTCTCGACTCTTTGTTTATACTACCTAATTAACATACTAAATTCGAAAAGTGTATTAGGATTAAGCTATGTGGACAGAAATAGAAATTTAAGTTGTTAATTCAATTTGATTAATTAGGTAGTGTCTTGTTTCGAGCTAGCTCGAAGGCCAGAAAAGGATGACAAATGGACTCTACACAATTAATCTAGAATCTCAATTTCTATTTCTATTTCAAGTAATGGTGATTCGGGTTGGATGTATTAAGGTTAATTTCTCGAGAGTGACATATGTTAGTAATTAGTGGTTGGCTACGATGAATTATTTTTTTAATGATAAATATAATGAAAACATATTTGTCGCTAACGTTTTTATTATTTGTCGTCAACTTCTTTAAGAATTGCTTCATTTTTATTTTAAAATTGCTCCGACAACTTATTTTTTCGCAACATCAAACACATCTCAAACTCCACAATTACAATAAACCTAAAAAACCCTCGCCGGAAAACTCGCCGGAGAGCGTGATTGGAGCTCCACAAATATTTGAGGAGATAACATTAATTTTGTGAAAGGCCCTAAAAAAATGTCGATTATAACAGAGCGCTGTATTTCCCCTATAGTATTAACTATTTCCAGGCGTCTGTAGGTAATTAGCGATGGAGGACAAAGGAAGCTAGCAAAAGCGGCAATATATGCCTTTGTTGTTGGTTAAGTGTTAGGGATCGACGAAGTTCATATGCCTAATTTGGATGCACATGTTAAGCAAACAGAATCAAACCTAATAAACTATCATAACAATATATGAGCTGTACAGTAATAAACAATTAAGGTTGTAATGAAAGATTTGTTTGGAATCTTGGAGTCCAGATTATACCCCAAAAAAAAAAAATCCTTTTCAAAATGACGGGATTTCATATTTGATTTATGTGCAGGCAGTTTTTATGTAGCCATATCTGTCCGCATGCAGATCGAGTTTACGTTATCGCCCGGTCAAAGCCTAATCTCTTCCCTAATCAGTAATCTAGACATGTTATGATTATAATTATGATTTAATTAACTTATATAGTAGTCAGTCAGTGAGTCAATTATTTGCATTGCAGTTGCAGTTGCAGGCCCCATTTTCATAAAATATTGACTGCTGCCACTGTTTCTATCTGCTTGTTCTTTCTTTCCTTCATTCTGGATAGGTACGTAGAACAAGTAAAACAAACAGAGGCAAAATATATATTCAAATGACGATGATCAAAATTCGGATGAATTATGATTTACATCCCATCAATGGTCCGGCACTAGGAAGGGAAAGTCAACGCTCCAGGACAGAACCAACCTTTTCTTCACCTTATTTGTCATGCTAAGCTAGGTTCGTTGGTTTTGCTAGTTTTGTGTTAGGTATTTCGTCTTAATTTGGTGTTTTTTTATTCAAAATTTCCATGTCTCCAGGCTCGACATAGTTCGTCAAAGAGATCGAATGAGATTATTTGCATAAAAAGTTTAGAAAGGAGGAAAAACGAAAGACTCAATACTACTTGAGCTAGGCATAACCTAGCCGTGTTCACCAACTTTTTCAAATTTCGACCAGGTAGTTATTCCAAAATTGAGTAAAAAGCAGAACACGATTTAGAACACCGTCTAAGATCACATGTTTAAGAACAACGGCTCGACATCGAGCCTGTCTTGCACCGGACTGAGAACATAGCCAGCAGCAGGACCGTCGTTAGTGGTGCCCATGTTTAGTATTCGAATTGTTTTGGAAAGATCGGATTCCACAAAGCCACAGAGTGAAGGGAACTTCTTCTCCCATCAATTAATTTTTAGTTTAATGTTTCAATCGTTCTGTTTGATAACCAATAAACTGAGTGGATTAATAGGTAAAGAGTAAAGACGCACAAATAGTTAACGCTTGCCTTTATTTCGCATTAATTTATTGAGTAATCTTTGATTTGCTCTCTTTGATAGGCTACATACATAACTATTAGTTAGCTTAGTTACAGGGCTCGTAAGATACAAACTTGGCACTGTATTGCGTAGAGCAAAAGGTACACTTGCCTGCAGTTTTTTTGCACATTCAGCAGCGGGCAAGGCATTCATCCAACTGAACAGAACAGCAAATTATTCAAATCCAAGAGAGAGTGCAGAATAAGAAGAGAGCCGATTGTGTTCAGCGGATGCGGCCTAGTCTTTAATCTGCAGTACAATTCAGTTGGCATTGCCTTCTGTTAGTGCTAGGCCGCTAGCAGTTCATCAATAGTTATGCTGTGCACGTAAACTCGGTGACATACGCATGCACCAACGACTGAATCCCACCATGGCTGTGCAGTAAAGGCTAGCAAATTGTAGCTTGTTCGGTCCATCAGTAATACCACCATAAGGGGGTTTCGGTTCTGTATACGCCATGAAGAAAACCCCGAGTCCGGTGTCAGCTTCACAATAGCAAATTCTTGAAATTGAACATCACCTCTGCCATTAAGTGGGAAGAAAGGAATATCAGAAATACGGAAGGAACCACCTCACCATGAAACCAAATACTAATAAGAGCAGAATCAACTTATTTAACCTTTTTCGTATGAACGAGTAGTTCAGAATGAATTCATTAAAGAAGAGAAGATGCTCAGAAGGGTACAGAGTAAAAGTTGTTTTCAATGGCACCAAATGCCATTTCAGATTTCACAACACTGTTGGTAAATCAGCAACTGATCAAGTTTACGTTGCACACGAGTAAAACGAGTAACATCAACATTATGACATAGGAATGAAGAAGGAGAGAGAACATGATACAATCAAGGCACATAATTTGCACAAAACAGCCACAGGTTCCACAAAGAACTCCCTAGAAAACAAACATGGATGATGCGTCATCATATAACATGCATCAAATTACCTGCTGAAAGACTGAGCAGCCAGCTAGCTCCAAGGAATTATTTAATACCCAATTTCACTTGGATCGCCAATATACTCTGCTATTTGCTCAAGTTTAACTTTGAGGAACTCATGGGTATCTGAATCTTGCACAACCCCGGATTCCTCTTCTAAATCCCTTTTCACCAACTTCCCATACACTCCCTTATGTTTTCCATACAGAACAAGGACAGGACCCCCACTCCTTGGCAATGCAGTCTCAAGAAGATCCTGATCAACTCCCTGTACCAGCTCTCTGCTTCCATCCATGGTGATGTCGCAGATATATGGTCCTACCACATCCACCACTTCCCCTTTCTTTAAGTACAATCTACCGCCTTTCATGTCCTTACTTATGATCCTCACCCTAATGTGATTGTTTAGCCATGGGGTCCCCCTTTCTTTGTCAGGTTTTATTCTATCATAGTCTCTTGTCCTTTCACTTGCTCCGCTCCTGCGGTTTCCACTCTTCCCGCTGTTTGATGACTGCTTTTCACTTCTAATTCTTAACTCTTTCAGTTTCTTCAAGCACTTCTCTTCTTCCACTGATCCTAAGGCTGCAACATCTGAAGCATGTACCCTTAGTTCCTCCCTGGTTTTTGCAAGCTTCAGAACTAGCCACTCAGTACTTAGTTTCTCAACAACAGTACCCTTGGAACCTACAGCATCCCCCCTTGAACCAGCAACCACCCTCACAACTTTACCTACAGCAAACCCATCAGCCTTGCCATCTCTGTCCTTTTCATTATCTATTTCTCTACCTTTCTCCTTCTGCTTGTTCTTGTCACTACTCATTTCAGATTCATGGGACATAAACCCTAGTCCTTGCTTATCTGTTCTCTTGAAATATTGCTTGACTTCAACATCTCCCTTGGCATTCTTCCCAATACCCCTTCCTTCTGTCCATCCATAACCAGCCAGTAAGGCTGCACCAAAACCCTCTACCGGAACATCCTCAAACTCCTTGAACCCTTCGTCATCAGGAAGATGTTGTAAATCATACTTCAACTTCTCCAAAAGCATATTCTCGGTGCTGGAATTTTCAGATGAGAAACCACCAATACCATCTTTAGTAGAAGAGTCTCCATTTTCATTCTGTCGAACATTAAGCCCATAGGATACATTGCCACCACTGCCATCATCCACGCCATCAACAGCAACCTCAAAGCGGACGTCATTAGCTGAGGTATCAGATTGAAGAGAAGCAAGGCTGTGGATGTTCTTCATTCTCTTGTGAGGCCGCCATTCATTCTCCTTTGGAGGAATAATGAATTTAGGTTTATTTAGTGTAGCATTAGACTTCGAGGGATCGAACTCTGTCACATACTCTTTCTGTCTCTGTTCACTTTCTTCGTCTTTTGAAGCAAGTATCGGTTTAGTTGTAGGTTTGGAAGAAGATTTTGCAGAGATTGAGAATGAAAGCTTCATGACTCTCGGAAGTGCTTTCTCCTGAAATTACCTGTGACGGCAACAACAAGAAAACAATATTTAGTGTCTCTGGTTTCCAAAAACGAAGCAAACACCTCAACTGGCTCTTCATTTAACTATATCAACCCAACATATATGAGCAAAAGACTAGTTGGGGAAATTGGATAGGATTCTAATTCTCTACTGGCATAAATTATGCAACTGCTGGGTAACAATTACATGAAAGTCAATCATCATAGGATTCCGACTTCAAACACGAGAGCAGAAACCCACAACGCATAAGTGCTCCACAGTTTTGTTGCTTAAGCAAGGGAATAAGAGAGGTACATCAAACTCAACCACGTAGCCTCCATAACCCATTGACTTTACCAAGAATCACTTAAATCTTGATCACGGGCAGAAAACCTAAAAAAAAACCTAAAGTTCAATATGCAATACCATGAAAGAATGCCAATCACAACCTCACAAGGAAGACACGGAGTTATTCTGGCGAAAGATCAATCCTGGTACCTAGAAGGAGCAATTTTCGCTCAACCCACTTCTATTTAGCGCAAAAAAGATACAAAACGAAGAACCTACCCAACACAAGCCGTAATTTCATATAAACCCTAATCTCATAATCCTCTGTCATAAAATTTCAATCAATACAGCCCTAGTCGAACGATCTCCATGGTTTTTCATTAATAAACAAGTCAACATCACAAAATATTACCTTTCAAACTCCCTAAGCACCGGCAATTCGATAGAAAATCTGAGGATTCCGCGCTCAGCTCAGGCGCGTCTCCCCGAACGGAAAAAGAATTGGTTCGCGTCGGGGCTCCGCCTTGCCTCCAACCTGGCCGCTCCTCGATGCCGCCTTACCGGTGTCTTCGTCGGGAGAAGAAGGCGCTGGAGCCTTTTGCAGGTCGCCGGCTTTGGAAAGGAAGCAGAGGCAGAGCCTTCCTCGAAGCAGAAAGGAGGCCAGTCGCGACTTGCGTTGCGTCGGCAGAGTTTGACTGGTTTTTCTTTACATTTTCGAGCCTCTTTCTTCCAAAGCCCAATAGATTTATCTGGGCCCAAAGCCCAATGAGTGACCCAAGTGGAAACTATGGTCAAATCCGTTATTATGCTTTAGCTTATGCGATTCAATGAACATCTACTTCAAAACACATCTAGTTTTTGCCTTCTTGGGGAGAAAAGAAACAGCAACACAAATGGCAGACCCGCCTCAAGATTTCATCACGAATTCGTAAAGACTAAAGACAGAAGGATAGAAATGAGGGACAGCTACTCCAGGACTACACTAAACAGCAGCTAGCATCTAGCTGCTATTGTATAAACTTCCTTGCATTGTAAACAACAGACCAAAATTCATACGCTATCTATCCTGATGCGGATCATCTTTTCTTGAAACCATATTTCTTACGTTCATAGAACAAATCGGTTTTCGCACTGCCCAGATTCACGATCTTGGGACAGCCATCGCGGTCTTTCTCCTGCTGCGTGCACTCTTTGCAGTAGTAGGCATCAGATATGCCCACTCCTCCACAGATAACACAACGGCCCTGGAACGACCCATAGTTGCACTCGTCGCAAACTCGCACCAGCGTGCAAGGGCGGACATAGGAGTCGCAGATCACACATTTCCCATCGCATTTCTCACAGAGCCGTCCAATGGCAATGCCGGGTTGCTTCCTGCACATGATCAAATCTGGATGATGCTTGGCCATGGCTCTAACTGCTTCTACTCAGGTTTACTTGTGCTACTACACCCAGTTAATCTGCAGACATCCACAAAACCAATTTATAAATAAGCAAACATTGCTTTCACGAAACTGCTTATCTGAAAAGAGGCAGACAATGGCAACCCTAAATCCCTAATCCATAATCTTCTGTCATGAAAGTTTCAACCAGTACAACCTAGTTTGACTTATCTCCTAGATTTCTCATCAATAAACCAGTAAATACTATAAATCTGACCTGTCCAACTCCCTAAGCGCTTGCAATCCAGGAGACAATTCGGGGATTCCGCCGCTCAGCCGCGTCTCGCCAAACGGGGCCCTCCGGCTAGTCGCCAACCTGGCGGCTCCTAATCCCGCCTTCCCGATGCTCTTCGTCAGCTGGAGAGGATGCTGTAGAGCGTAGCCTTTTGCAGGGTTGCCGGAATTGCGGAGGAAGCAGAGAGACAGAGCGTCCGTCTGACGATTTGGCTGTTCTGTGTTCAGTTTCCAAACTCTTTCTTCCGAAAGCCCAATACATTTTTTTTTCGTTGAATAAAGCCCAATATATTTGTCTCGGCCCAAATGAAAATTAAAATCAACAATTTCCCTTTTTAACCTTTGTATATGTAATTCGAGGTTTTCCCTCGCAGCAGTCAGCACAGTCTCGCAAAACCCTAGGAACTCCCCGTTGCTTGCTGAGTCGCTGCCTGGTGCCGCCGGATCTCTGTGTTTTCTATTGCGGTACGTGTAAACGGAAACCAAGATTCTCTTCTTTGTCTGCGAGCTCCGATTTATTCGGCTCCATCCTTTGTGATTTCGCTGCTTGTTTTTGTGTAGATTGCTCCTGTTTGCCTTGCCTTTCAGTTGGAACTTCCTTTTCTAGCAAATTTGTTCTAGTTTTACACTCCGTAAGGTTCGATTCATTTTATTGCTAAGCTAGCTAGCCCCCTTTGTTTTCTGGTAATGGAAATGATGAGAGCCACAAGTCGGTTTTAGTGAAATGATTGGTTTTTGCTTCTTCTTGATGTGAGTAGCTGGTTGTACTTAGATTAGAGCAAGGGTCACCTGAGATCTTTTTACGTTACTGACTGATGCCTGCTTGATTCCTTGATTAGAAAAATTCCTAGCTTTGTGGTTTTCCAATGAGTTTCTGTGCTGATGTAATGGGACTAAGGGATGCTGATTGAGGTGTAACTGATTGATTTTTTTCATCTTAAACTGATGCTCCACTGCCTGCAATCTAGTTAGTTTTAGTATTACTGGTGACTTTTGTATTTGTTGACCTAACCCTTTACCCTCCTCGAAATTGTCTGTGGCAGCAACCATGGTGAGAGTTAGCGTGTTGAATGATGCTCTGAAGAGCATGTACAATGCGGAGAAGCGGGGCAAGCGTCAGGTCATGATCAGGCCATCCTCGAAAGTGATCATCAAGTTTCTTATTGTCATGCAAAAGCATGGTATGAAATGAACTGTGTTGTCTACCTTTTCCCTTTAAAATTGGATGTTTGTGATACCAGTATAGTTGCTGAATGAATGAATATCTTTCTTTGTTTTGATGCATCCTTGCAGGATATATTGGCGAATTTGAATACGTTGATGATCACAGGGCGGGTAAAATTGTTGTCGAGTTGAACGGAAGGCTGAACAAATGTGGTGTCATCAGTCCAAGATTTGATGTTGGAGTAAAGGAGATTGAAGGCTGGACTGCTAGGTTGCTTCCTTCTAGACAGGTTGGTCCAATACAGTTTCTTTTTGAGTTTATGTTATGATCAATCCGGTGTGCATGATTTTCTTGCTGGTTGGGTATGAGATAGCAAGTGTGAGTTCCAATTCATATTAGATTTGTCTCGTATTGTTCTTTTAGGATAGAATTCATGTGCCTTCTGGTTTTGGTTTTGGCAGTTTGGATTCATTGTGCTGACAACTTCTGCTGGCATTATGGACCATGAAGAGGCAAGAAGGAAGAACGTTGGTGGCAAAGTTCTTGGTTTCTTCTACTAAGCTTGGCTTGCGTGCTTCAGATTTATACATGTGATGAGTTGAGTTGACTTGTTCTGGTTTCGAGGAGTTTTGGCCTGTAATTTTTGAAGCTGAATATGATTGTAGGATCCTTATCATTCTGTTTTAGGATTTTTTCCAAGTTCTTGGTTTGTGGTTGGAGTGGGAGGGAACCATCTCCATGCTCCTCCATTAAGTTGGAAGGATAAAGAATGTTTGTGCTTCACACTTGATGTTTATGCTCTGTTACTACTCAATGTATATGAGTTGAAGTTTCAGTTTTGTGCTGGATTTGTATTTTATGCTATCAGTATGACAACCCCTTACCTCCTGATGATCTTCATTGAGATATGCCTTCGATCAAAATTCAAAAGGGAAGGGCTTTACGATTAGTGCATTACTGCATTTGTATATGAGGATTGCCACCCATAAGCTGAAAACCCTCTTGGTCTCTTCAATTAAAACCAAAAAAATGCTGCTCATTTTAGTTTCTTTTTTATACTGATTCGCAATATTATAGCTCAAAATAAGAGGAATACTCTGTCCGCCCAATTCACCTCTATCCTAGTAATAGTAAGGGGTTGAACCAGGCAAACCGCAAGGTCCTGCTCTACCCCTTTGGTTTGGAAGCATAGAAACCCGATTCATAAGCTGTGACATTGATTCACTAATCACTACACACATTCAGATTAAAACTGAGATGAACAATAGCAACAGATACAAACTTAGAAACCTCCAAAAACCCACTATCAAGACTTGTCCTGATGACCTATCCAGGCCAGCGACTGAACCAAAACCAGCAACACACAACAGTTGATACAACTTAACATATTACTTTTTGCCAAAGGAACATAGTTGCCCTAACTTATGGTGTGTCTCCACACCACAAATCAGCTTCTCTTCCGCCATGGATACCCTCCATTCCTCCTTTCATTCTCCTGCACAGTCTCAGCTGAAGCTCTGCAACTCACATTCTTCAGTACATGAAAGAGGGATGGGATAGGGAATGGAATAAGGTAACTGGGTTTGACTCGTCATGACAAGATCATGAGAAAAAGGAGCAAAACCCAGAACCTGGAATCATGGAAGAGAGACCCTCCAGGGCCTTGAAGGGTGAGGGAGGAAGGGAAGATGAGAGGTTGGGTTTGTGGCCTTTTTGTAAGCTCCAAAAGGAAAATGGCTTGTGGGGGGTAAACTAAGATTAAGGAGGTTGATGGAAAGAGGATCTTCTCAGCATATGCTCTTCTTTTGTGCATGTCACCTTTTTCTTCTGTTGGGGTCTCTGTTTGCTTTTGATGCTTTTTTTTTTTTTTTTGTGTTTCCTTGCTGGCTATGGAATTTGTGGAATATACTTTCACATATTCCTTGTGAGTAGGTGACGATGGTGTGTGCCACTGTGCCTACTAATTCCCGCTCAGTCTATTCATAGTTGTTTGCATGGTTTTTCTTGATCGTGAATCGTGATTTTAATGCGGATTTTGTTGTCAGTTATCGAAAAATGTCGATTTTGGACAATAATACTTCTTATAGAACCGACAGTTGATGAAATGTGAGGTGGAGTGTTAATTATATAGATATATTTGAATAATGATATAAAATTCATTTTTCATGATGTTGGTGGTAAAATTTAGAGATACCTAGAAACCATTTGTATTGGTTGATTTCCTGGGGAATGGCCATGCTATTCTTCACAAGCCTCCAAAATCTGGGCCACCTTAGAGGGAGCTGGAGAATAGGCAATTATCCATTGTTATCAAAGTATCTGGCAATTTGTTTCCTTCCCGCTTGGAATGATTGAGAAAACATTGTCAGAAGAGGGAAGTTTCTTTCATCACTATACGTATGTAGTGATACTCCATTTTGATGTTTCTTATGTGATTATTTGGGAAAAACTATGTTGTTGACTGCATTAATGAAGTGATTACCATTTTGTTTTTAATGTGGTTTATACATTTTAGTTTATTGTCATGTCTCTTCAATTACTTTAGTTTCTTGATCGACTTCCACCCATCGCAAATCACTCTGGGAACATTGTTGGCATTGCGATTCGACATCAAATTCCACAATTTTATTGCTCTGCTTTCACAAAACAGAGATCAATATGTGGGAAGGTGGGGGGAAGGAGTAGTTAGGAGGGATGGGTTGGACCAGTTTGGTCAGTGGGTTGGTTGAAGAGGTCAAACAAAGGAGCCGGTTAGGTCATCAGATGTTTCTTGTTAGTTTTTTGGTTGAGTCGAGCAAGCAAACTTAGTCATTTGCACTATTTCATAATAATACTTGTCTAGTTCGGTACATTTTAAAAATTTATGGCTATTACCTTTATAAGCCAAACTTAGGTGACCATTTTGGTAAATTTTCAGAGAACTATTAAGCTGCAGCGGCAAGGTCACGCCAGCGGAGCACTAACTTCCAACTGGTGTCCGTACGATGGCCACAATAGAAAAGATCCGCGTACACAACACGGCGTAACACTGGCAAAATATTTCCCAAAGCTCCATAGGCCATCGCATTGCCATCAGTCAGTCTCTCTTTCCCTCGCTCGCTCGCCCGCCTGGAAAAAGGTTGCCTCTCTGGTTCTCGCTGTCTATGTATCTCTCTATATTCCCTTTTTCACCGCCATCTCAACTTCGATTCTGTGCTGACTTTGAGAAAGGATTTCTGACTCCTCCCTCTTTTGCCCGCGCTTTGTGTCTGATTCTTGGGGGCGAATTTGTAGGTGTGAGCAGAAAGAGCGATGGCGGCGCCACCAGCAAGGGCTCGTGCTGATTATGATTACTTAATTAAGCTCCTCTTGATTGGGGATAGCGGTTGGTTCTAGCCTCTCCCTCTTTCCTTTAACTCGAAGTCTCTTGCTTTTGATTGATGATTAATTTATCCTTTTCGTTCATTTGGTTTTCAATATGAGGGTTTGGATCATTTTTGGGTTTTAATGAACTCTAGTGCTACATTTTGGGAAATGGAGATATATATACTACTCCCCTACTTTAGTGACCGCTTGCTTAGCTAGAGTGTTTAGAGCTTGTTGCCCAAGGTTTTCATTTGGGGAATCTAGCTAGAGTTTCCATTGATGTTCATGGCATTCAACATTAAGCAGGGCAGAATTTGGTTTCAGCAGTATCTTGAGCTTGCGTTTGCCTCATTAAATTGAAATGGTTGTGTTTATGATGGGTTATTTTGGCTGGAGTGTGCTTTAGGATGGTGCTACTATGTCTTTGAGTTGAAAGTGTGATTTTTGCGCTGTGAAGTTCAAGTCGTTTGCCAGGTCTGTGCGAGAAGCTGGTTCTAGAGGTTCGAGGGAAATTTCAGTTGGATTAGCCTTTTGGCCTGATGGTATATGGAGTTTCCAATTTTAGCAATAATGTTGGAAGAAAGGGGAGGGCCTTAATTATGATCTGTTTGAATTTGAACGCGGTACAATTGAGGAAGGATAGGGTGCAGTAGCATTCGGAGTTCAAAAGGAAAATAAGTGTATAATGAATGTGTTCTTTTTTTCAAAATCAATAACGGTGACAGGTTTCAAGACTAGTTAGTGGATAGGAAAAGCACATAAGCTACTCAATTTTCTTGAGAATTGGTGTACGTTGTGCCATTTGTGTTGCTTACTTTAGTAATTTGCCATTGAATCTTAAATATGGGGTCAAAGGCATTTTATAGTCACAAGGGATTTTTTGAGTTGACCATGCAGTTGCTTTTGGGAGGGTTATTAGTGACCTGATATTGTGTTAAACTGGTAATATGGAGTTCCACGGTGATTTAACCTACATCTCTGTGTTAGTCTTGTAAAGTATTCTTCACCATTCTACGATTATCATTGATTCTCAAGTGCTTTAAAAGTAGGTACAAAAATGTTTGTAGGACTAGAGGGTATATGCGCTTACAAATGGCATTATACATTAACGACGACGTCATGTTAGTATTTGATTTTAAAGTGCTTGCTGATGCATGAATTTCTGATGTTGGTCATATCCTTGCAGGTGTGGGGAAGAGTTGTCTGCTTTTGCGTTTTTCAGATGGTTCCTTCACAACAAGTTTTATTACCACTATCGGGTTTGTAATCTTGAGTTCTCTGCTAGCTTCAAGTTCTAAATGCATCTCTTTTTGGGAAATAAATAGGTAGCAAATTTATTTTGTGGATGGTAAAAATAAAAAAAGGTGGAAGCATCATTTTATTCTATTCCTACTCAACAGAATTGACTTCAAGATAAGAACCATTGAACTTGATGGCAAAAGAATAAAGTTGCAGATTTGGGATACAGCAGGTCAAGAGCGGTTTCGAACCATCACAACAGGTTTGTGTTTAAGCCCTATAAGGCTATAACAGTTTAATTTTATCTTCTACTTGATGGAGGCAACTATGTTCCTTATCTTTACATATATCAGATGTGAACTTCGGAATCTACAGTAACTTGAGCTAGTCAAATGGGTGGGGGTTGAGGGGTCATTTTGTATCTAGCATTTTTGTTGTTTCCATGTCTTGCTAGCATGCTTATGCACTTATTGATGTGTTGTAGCTTATTACCGTGGAGCCATGGGAATTTTACTGGTGTATGATGTCACTGATGAATCATCTTTTAACAGTAAGTTCCTTCCCTCTTAGGCCTTCTGGCCATTTTAGTGTTGTTCCATAATTTGTATGTCAAATGGTGTTAACAGCTTCTGGAATTGGCAGGGTGATAAATGATGTCCAAATCTTTGCTTGATTCATTGAGTTGGATGGATATATCATTAGTCTTCATGTTCTTGATTTATCTTATTACTTAAGCTCTCACAACCACTCTTTATTTTGATGTTCAGATATTAGGAACTGGATCCGCAATATCGAACAGCATGCTTCTGACAATGTCAACAAAATACTGGTGGGAAACAAGGCAGATATGGATGAAAGCAAACGGGTGGGTGCTTGATACTGACCCTCCTGTGTATTGACTTGGTCTTTGTGTGTATTTGCTTGTCTTGTGGATACTTATGTAGGATGATTTTCTTTGATATTATAGGCTGTTCCTACTTCCAAAGGCCAGGCTCTTGCTGACGAGTATGGCATCAAGTTCTTTGAAACGGTAAGTGACTGTTCTATGACATCCGTGTCCCAAAGTGAAAGGGGGTGAGTAAATTGGCGCTCCATTCATGAACTGGATGTTTGCAGAGTGCAAAGACAAACATGAATGTGGAGGAAGTTTTCTTTTCCATTGGAAGGGATATCAAGCAAAGGCTTGCAGAATCTGATACCAAGTCTGAGGTACTTCCTATTTGCATTGGTTCTTCACTATTTAACTTCCTCTTCCTGGGAATATTAGTTTAATGCCTTTTCAAGAGAATCTAATGCTCGTTTTGCCTGATCCATTCATCCTGGCAGCCTCAAACAATCAAGATCAACCAACCCGACAATTCAGCTGGTGGTGCGCAGGCTGGGCAAAAGTCAGCTTGCTGTGGCTCGTAGTCTATCTGTTTAGGCCTAGAATGTGCTAGGCGGTTTGCATGGAACGAGCAAGGCGTCTGATCAGGATGATGGGGGACTCCAAGCTCCTGCAAAACAAGGGTCCGTGGGCGGTCGCCCAGGACACTCTCCGATGCTTAAGTTAGAGAGAGAAGGGAGAGCTTATGTTTGTTTAGAGAGAGAGAGTAGTAGTTGGTTACCATTAATGCCAATCCCGGTGTATTTATAGTCCCTCCTCTCGAGCATGGGCATTAAATGCTATTGTCAGGCGGCCTATGTGCACCTTACCTTTTCTAGACCGCCTACGGCGGGCATTTAATGCTTGTTTCTGCTGTGTCCGAGGTAGGTATCCCTAGGAAGATCTCCTTTCTGACACCAACGGCCACTTGTGTCAGGCGGCCTAGTCCCCGTCTTGTCGTAGGGCGGCCGCCTGCTGTTACCTTTCTCCCATACTCCTCCTCAGGTTCCCCGCCGAGGCCCTCGACTCCTCCTTGGGCCCTGCTTGACTATTCCTTTATGGGCCTCGAGCCCACTACTGCTCAACTATGGGCCCAACACTATCCAACCAACACATGGCATGTTGAGGGGGTTCAAGATTAATTATAGTTAACAGCCTTCCTGCTTGGTGCAGGTAACTGTGCCTTTATCTTATTTTTACAAAATTTCAACCAGGTCTAGTAATTTGACGGTAGTTCCCTGTTATTTCCCTAATCTGTGGAACCTGAGAAACAAATGGATCCTTTTTCTTCATATTTCACTTTGGTTTTGGTGCTTGAACGAACTCGGTTGACTCAATGTCTTTCTATGTAGATAGATAATCTGGAAGTTGTAGTTAACCTCGCCAATGACAATCCCATTTTGGGGAGTTAACATCATAGAATTTGTGCTTCGTCTGCAAAAAGCAGCATATGATGGCCATTGAATTTGATTTGATTTGACTTGAGAACGTGAATGTGATTGTTGTCAATGTTGATGCCAAGTTGTCAGGCAAGGGAAGGTTTCTATTGAAGGCAGATCTATCCGGTTGTTATTCCATTTTTAATGGTCAATTCAATACAGCTTTATCTTTCTTGTTTATGTTGATTGACCAACTCAATTGATTATAATCTGGAAAAGGGAACTTTGGCATGGAGAAAGAAGCTTCTGTGGACTGAATGAAACTTGCTTTGTTCAACGGTCCTGGTGTACACAAGGCATGGATGGAGCATATCGGTTGGTATTTGTGCGTTGCAAAAGGTTGTCGGTCCGACCATTGAAATTCACGTTCTTAACACTCTGAGAATCATGGGTCTCGGTCGGATTAGGTTAAGCCAAAAGGATAAAAGTTCCTATTCGATTTAATGATATTTGGGTTGGTTTTGATGGATTGATTTAGGTTGAAACAACCACAATATAAATCAAATAGTGATGAACTCCATTTTTCCGTCGAAGAATAACATAGAAACAACCACCACAACATAACGATTAATGACAAGTCGTCATCATCAATGTAGTTGCGAATTGCGATCCGTGAGGGAATAGGAGCTGAGCTCGTCAGGTCTTGTTCTCCTCTGGCTAGGTGCAGCCACATACCCGGACCGCTGAGGTGCAATGCAACTTAAACTCTTCAACTTCGGTTCGACCAGCCAGATCTAGCCGGGTTGGAAACTCCGCATCCAATCTACACGGGTTGGGCCGGAGCCCGACAAGTCTCGAACGGGGATTTTCCTTCCTACAAAAAAGTCAAATAAATAAATGCGAACGAATAAAATAATAGAAAATGAGGAAAGCCGACCGCTGAATAAAATTTAATAAGCAAAAAAGAGCAAAATTTCTCTTTCGAGTTGCAGCTTCCAGAGAAAGTGGGGGGAAGTGGAGGCTTAAGACAGAGTCGCCGCTCGGAATAATTAGGTTTCATTCTTCTCCTTTCTCACTTTGTTTGTCTCCGTCGTCGTCTCTCATTTTTAGCTCGGCGGTAAGCAATTTCCCCCTCAGCCCTCAATTTCCCAAACTGCTGCTCTCTCTTTATTTCCGTCCTTTGGCGTTTCCATTTGTTCATTCTTTTAAGTTTTAAACCTTTCTACGGTGGTTGCTTCAAATCTACGCCAAATTCCATTCAGCTTACATGTTGAATCCTTTCATGGGACTGAAAGCCAATCTTCGTCTTGGTCGGTGTGTGGATCAAGTCGAGGATTTCTGAATCTTGTTGGGCGCTTGTTTGTGGTTTGATTCGGTCGAGTCACACTGCATTTTCTTCCATGTCTGATTTCCGTGTTTCGGTGTCTCTGCTTCGTATAACTGATCTCCAAATATATCATCTTGGGTGCGTGGATGTGAGCGTTTGATATTTGTTTACAAAGTCCAGAGAATACTGGAAAACTCTGGCTGTCTATTTGTTCTGTTGTGTTTCCCTTTGGCTTGGTTCAATTTATTTCTTCTCAATGTGGAATGGATTGGTGGTGGGTTTCGCCTGGAATAGGTGTAATAACGGGAACGGGGGTGAATTCATCAGTTTGTCTTATTTATAGTTTCAAACAAGGGACCTCTGTACATAAATAATTGGGTCCACTTGAGTTAGTTGCCATCCCTGCATTCTGCATTCGTCTAGGATCCATGTAGCTAGTAAATTTTCTTCTTCTAATCTTCGCTTTTGATAGTTCAGGTTTTCACTTTGTGCCTGTTTTGCAGCTTGAGTAGCATATTAATGTCTATGATTTGGAAGAGCTGTTCTTTGTAGTAGTTCGTAGGTGATCCATTGCTTTCTTTGATGTGTATTTCTCATTTGACTTATTTGTTTCTCTTTAATAGGGCTTGCAACGAGAACAATAAGAAACTTTAGATTCAGGTTTGGGCCTAGGCGGTGCAGTCTTTCATGAACTAGTGGCATTAGGTGGATAGCCATGGCGTGGTTTAGAGCTGGTTCTAGCATAGCAAAGCTTGCTATTAGGAGGAGTCTATCTCAGGGTGGTTCGTACACTGCCAGAACGCGGCTGATTCCTGCTCAAAGTCGGTATTTCCATGGCACGGTCTTTAGGCCAAAGGCACAGTCTGCACCTGTCCCCCGCCCTGTCCCTCTCTCTAAGCTCACTGATAGTTTCTTAGATGGAACCAGCAGTGTGTACTTAGAGGAGCTTCAACGCGCATGGGAAGCTGATCCTAGTAGCGTGGATGAGACATGGGACAACTTTTTTAGGAACTTTGTTGGTCAGGCTGCTACATCTCCAGGCATTTCAGGTCAAACTATTCAGGAGAGTATGCGGCTATTGCTTCTGGTTAGGGCATATCAGGTTAATGGCCACATGAAAGCCAAGCTGGACCCATTGGCCCTCGAAGAAAGAGAGGTCCCTGATGAGCTAAACCCGGCTCTTTATGGCTTCTCAGAAGCAGATCTTGATAGAGAGTTCTTCTTAGGAGTTTGGAAGATGGCTGGGTTTTTGTCCGAGAACCGGCCTGTGCAGACCCTTAGGTCCATATTGACGAGGCTTGAGCAAGCTTATTGTGGGAGTATTGGATTTGAATACATGCACATTTCTGATCGTGAGAAATGTAATTGGTTAAGGGATAAGGTTGAAACGCCTACACCGATGCAGTATAACCGTCAACGTCGCGAGGTCATTCTTGACAGGCTGATATGGAGTACACAGTTCGAGAACTTCTTGGCCACTAAATGGACTACAGCCAAGAGGTTTGGACTGGAAGGTGGAGAGACATTGATCCCTGGCATGAAGGAGATGTTTGATAGGTCTGCAGATCTCGGTGTGGAGAGTATCGTTATTGGAATGCCGCATAGAGGAAGATTAAATGTACTTGGAAATGTGGTAAGAAAGCCTCTACGCCAGATATTCAGCGAGTTTAGTGGTGGCACGAAACCTGTTGATGAGGTTGGGCTCTACACGGGTACAGGTGATGTCAAATATCACTTGGGAACTTCTTATGATCGTCCAACTAGAGGTGGAAAGAGAATTCATTTGTCTCTGGTTGCAAATCCTAGTCATTTGGAAGCTGTGGATCCTGTTGTTATTGGAAAGACTAGAGCTAAGCAGTATTACTCGAATGATCTGGACAGGACAAAGAACATGGGAATTTTGATTCATGGTGATGGTAGCTTTGCTGGACAAGGTGTAGTATATGAGACTCTGCATCTTAGTGCACTGCCAAATTACAGCACTGGTGGGACTATACATATTGTGGTGAACAACCAAGTAGCTTTTACAACAGATCCACAGGCAGGCAGATCTTCGCAGTATTGTACTGATGTTGCAAAGGCCTTGAATGCCCCAATCTTCCATGTAAATGGAGATGATGTGGAGGCGGTTGTTCATGCTTGTGAACTTGCAGCTGAATGGCGTCAAACATTCCACTCTGATGTTGTTGTGGATTTAGTTTGTTATCGCCGTTTTGGCCATAATGAGATTGATGAGCCATCTTTCACACAGCCCAAAATGTACAAGGTCAGTGTTCTTGTTCTTGCTCCTGTTGTTGTCTTCCAATGCTTGCAGATCCTGGGCTTAGCCGTGCAATATGAAATTCAAGCGCTCTTATGGGAAGTTACATAACTTGTGGTGTGTATCTGTTGACAGGTCATCCGGAATCATCCCTCAGCTCTTCAGATTTATCAAAACAAGATCTTAGAATCTGGGCAGGTTAGTCAAGAAGATATTAGCAAGATAAATGAGAAGGTCAACGCAATCCTGAATGAAGAGTTTCTGGCCAGCAAAGATTATGTTCCTAAAAGAAGAGACTGGCTTGCCTCTCATTGGACTGGATTCAAATCACCTGAGCAGGTTTCACGCATCCGAAATACGGGGTATGCGGTCTGATATATTTGCTTCTTTCATTCTGCTGTATGAATCATGCTCTGAGAATCTGTGCTTTTTGTCCAGGGTCAAACCTGAGATCTTGAAGACTGTTGGAAAAGCAATTACTTCTCTTCCAGAAACTTTTAAACCGCACAGAGCTGTGAAGAAGGTTTATGAGCAACGTGCCCAGATGATAGAAACAGGGGAAGGCGTTGATTGGGCTGTTGGAGAAGCCCTTGCTTTTGCCACATTGCTTGTAGAAGGTAACCATGTTCGATTGAGTGGTCAGGATGTCGAAAGAGGAACATTTAGTCATCGCCATTCTGTGGTTCATGATCAAGAAACTGGGGAGAAGTACTGCCCTCTGGACCATGTTGTAATGAACCAAAATGAGGAGATGTTTACCGTCAGTAACAGGTACGCAACAAAATTTTTGATTTTGTGCTGCCTTAGTTTTTCTCTTGGAAGTAAACCTGTTTTCTATCTCATCCACAGTTTTCAATTGTACCTAAACTTTTTTAGCTGTAATTATCTCTCGTTTCTATGCTCGATTGCCTCATAAAGTTCTATATCCTTTGGCCGACAGAAATTTTGTGTTATAATGTGCAGCTCTCTGTCAGAATTTGGTGTGCTTGGATTTGAATTGGGTTATTCAATGGAAAGCCCAAACTCACTGGTTATCTGGGAAGCTCAATTTGGTGACTTTGCTAATGGTGCTCAAGTGATATTTGATCAGTTCTTGAGTAGTGGTGAGTCAAAATGGTTGCGTCAAACTGGTCTTGTTGTGCTTCTTCCTCATGGATATGATGGCCAGGGTCCTGAACATTCAAGTGCACGATTAGAGCGCTTCCTACAGGTTCCGTCACTAACCAACTCAAATGCATCATTGCTATTAATAGACAATGCTTTTGTCAAATAAGTAGTTTTGCTGTATAGCACGTTTTAATTGAAGACCGGTAAATGTATACTTGTTGTAGATGAGTGATGACAATCCCTATGTCATTCCTGAGATGGACTCTACCTTGCGGAAACAAATCCAGGAATGCAATTGGCAGGTTGTGAATGTTACAACTCCTGCAAATTACTTCCATGTTTTGAGGAGACAGGTATGTTTTGTGCTTATTAGTTATTAGTCACAATGGAATTAGTCCATCCACCCATCCTTGAGTTCCTTCAGAGCTTCTTACTTTATGGTGTACATTCCAGATACACAGAGAGTTCCGCAAACCTCTTATCGTGATGGCTCCCAAAAATCTGCTTCGTCACAAGGACTGCAAATCAAATCTTTCAGAGTTTGATGATGTCAAAGGCCACCCTGGTTTTGACAAGCAAGGCACAAGATTTAAGCGTCTAATAAAGGATCAGAATGCACATTCTGATCTTGAGGAGGGCATCAGACGCCTGGTTCTCTGCTCTGGAAAGGTGTGTCAGCACTCATTGGCTGTGTTTGTTGTAGCTTTGTCTTAAAAGTTATTACTTTCAGTTGAAGTACAAGTGAACTGGGCTTAGGTTTCCGTTTTCAAAAAAGGTTGAGTTGATGGAATATGAAATCTGTTTCCGTAATAAGAAAATGAATAGTTTTGTGAAATGACAGTTGTGGGTAAACTTTAAAGAGTAGATTCAGGGTTGAATAATTTTTGTAAAAAGTGCGTCTGTAATATTGGAAGTCAACCTTGTCGAAGTTACTTGAATCTCTGAGCCAAAAAGAACGCATTGGTTAAGTACTGATTTACTGTTTTATCTTCAGCACATGCATGCATTAATTTGTTGACCAAAAACTCATGTAGGTCTATTATGAGCTTGATGAGGAACGCAAGAAGGCTGCTGCAAAGGATGTTGCTATTTGTAGGGTGGAACAACTGTGTCCTTTCCCATACGATCTCATCCAACGTGAACTGAAACGATACCCAAGTATGTTTCCTTCTTGCTTGCTGTCTATGAATTCTTAGACTAAGTTTATCTTGCATATGGTGTCGTCAGGCCTGTCTTGACTCTGCTTCTGAACTTGCAATCATGCTTCTCCCACCATACCATTTGGGGAAATAGTGATTGATGGTATCTGGTTGCTTTTCAGTCCTTAGAGCTGACTCCATGAGGCTTTAACTTATCTCGATATGGTCAGACATTTTGATTTGATATATACATGTGTATAACTTAGTGAAGTAAATCTAAAAGTTTCACAAAGCTTAGTGTTGTGGGGTTCTTTCAGAATATTTTATTCTGTTGGCCTTCTCTTCGCATGAAAACAGAAAACTTAAGGTCCCAGAGGTGCCCCAAAATGAGTGCTTGTTGCCCTTTTTATATGACGAGGCTTGTACTCGGTTTTGTTTCAGATTATTATTAACATTTCTAGTACTGGTTGCCAGTATTTGTTAGTGAATTCTATCATAATGTGCTACAATGGTTTGGTTCATCCTCACGAATTTGCTTCTGGCTAATCTGCATAAATAGCAGTTTGAGTATCATTGGCGTGCTCACTTCCTGCCTCTTTTTTTTCGTTTTGTTTCAGATGCCGAGGTTGTTTGGTGCCAGGAGGAGCCAATGAACATGGGCGGATACAACTACGTAGCACCTCGCCTGTGCACAGCCATGAAGGCACTCAACAGAGGTACCATCGATGACATCAAGTACGTGGGCCGTGCTCCCTCTGCCGCCACTGCCACTGGTTTCTACCAAGTCCACACGAAGGAACAGTCAGAGTTGGTGCAGAAGGCTATCCAACAAGAAGCACTCCATTCTCCCGCTCAAACCGTGTAATAGTTTTCAGAAAGTTACATATATTTATACACATCCATCTCTCTTGAAACACAATGTGGGACGGCACTAGTTTCCTTTCTCTGCTCTTATTTCCACATGACTTGGTAGCTGTGGAGAGCTAGAGACATCCTGAGTTTTGTTTGTCTTTTCGGTTCTGGAGAAGAATCAGCCAAGCTTATACATGCGAGAGATACAATTGTTAGAAGAAGAGGAATGAATGAGTTTGAGTTATTGAATAAGGAGATTATGATATCCTTTGTTGATTCTCAAGTTGTTGCTTTTACGCTTCAAGTGGCAATATTACCATTTTTTGTGTTTTTTTTTGTTATTTTCCAACAAGCTTCTGCCCTCTGCTATTAACATTATGCCTGAATGTTTTGGTCTCGATAGGTAGTTCTATTACCTGTCGTCAAACGAGGAACAGCGAACGATGGAGCTCTGAAGAGCTCGAATGATCCGCCATGGTTAGTCAAGTTTATGGCAAAACATAGAAAACCCTTACCTTATAACCTTGAACTGAATTCTGGTTATCATTCAACTGAATTCCACAAAGGGTACTTTCATTCTGGTAATTGAAAGGCTTTTGTTTATCACTCTCGTAGAAGCCGGTTTATGAATCCCGTTTGCAAGAATTTTTTTTATTTCCAAAAATGCATTGTTATGTTTTCCATCTTGGCAGGTTCACGTGGCAAGTAATTGAAGAAGGTGACATGGTCTCCACCATTGTGCCGTGAAAAGAGTAGAAATTGGCCAAGTTACTGATAACTTTTTTGTTGTTGCTAAGGGTGATATAATAACTTCATTAGAGTGAGAAGAAGTATTGTACTGATAAATTTTTACCTGTCTATTGCTTACAGACAAAGAATTTTCACTCTCCCATGGAAAACTGATCTGGTCAGTAATAATAACCTCATTAGGTGGTATTTTCACGCTTCAACAAGGTAAATTTCTATTGCATGCCAATGCAATGCAATTGCAGTTTACGTACAATACTTCTTCCCATCTGAATACGTTGTAACTTCTGTTTCACTGTGATTTGATATTGTTGAATCCGACTCAATTGATCTCTGTTGTTTATGGCGATTCTGTATATTATGACTGTGTCCCCATGAAACATCACTTTTGCAGAGCATTCCCGGTTGCCATTAATTGATGGATCCTTTATTTACGGCTTTCTTACCGTCGGAACTCCAAATATGAAATGTATTGCATGAATGTAATGACGTTTACATCTTTCGACCCTTCCAATCCTTTCTTGTTGAAACCATATTTGCATCTTTCTCGTATCTAATGTTACTCTATGGTATTTATTGTGATTGTAGGAGTCAGCCATGTTACTGCGTTAACCTTCATTGCAGAATAAATTGCTATTAATTTGGAATTTCGGTGGGTTGCCCTTACAAAAGAATGGGGTGGTTTAGAGCAGGATGTATGATATCAACAAAGCTCTCCGCCAAGAGAAATCTCTGTGGATTGCACATTTTCAGAATAGTGCAACCTTTCCCCTTTTCACCCATCAGACGGATTTTCCACAGCACAATCACCAAACAAGAACAAGTGAATGCCAACAGAAAAACAGACAATTTCCTCGATTCAGCAAACAGCGTCTACATCGAGGAGCTCCAAAGATCATGGGAAGCCAATCCAAGCAGTGTGGATGAGTCATGGGACAACTTTTTCAGGAACCTGGTAGGCCAGAATCATGTCAAGGGAATGGCTGCAGCAGGCGTTGGGGTTTCTGGTCAGCAGTCGATACAAGAGAGCATGAGTTTGTTGTTACTGGTAAAAGCATATCAAGTAAACGGCCATACCAAAGCCAACTTAGACCCACTCAACCTGGACTCAAACAAGGATGCTATTCCAGAGGACCTCGACCCAGCATTCCACGGCTTCACAGAATCCGACCTCGACAGGGAATTCTACCTGGGAGTGTGGGACGATTCGTCTGGGTTCTTGTCAGGGAACCGGCCTGTAATGACCTTGAGATCCATCATGAATCGGTTAGAACAAACCTACTGCGGCAACATTGGGTACGAGTACATGCACATCGACGACAGCAGCAAGTGCAACTGGCTGAGGAACAAGATCGAGACACAGGAACACATAACCTATGATGTCGAACGACGTAAAGTTCTTCTCGACAGGCTGATATGGAGCACACGGTTCGAGAATTTCTTGGCTGTCAAGAAAAAGGCAGAGAAGAGGTTCGGGCTTGAAGGTGGTGAGACTCTCATCCCGGGGATGAAGGAAATGTTCGACAAAGCTGCCGATTTAGGTGTGGAGAACATCGTCGTTGGAATGCCACATCGTGGGAGGCTTAATGTGCTAGGTAACGTGTTCAGGAAGCCACTGGCACAGATCTTCAGCGAGTTCGACAAGAAGGCTAAACATGGTTTGAGCGACGATGGCGAAGTGGGGGATTACATGGGGACTGGTGATGTGAAGTACCATTTGGGGACATCGTATGACAGACCGACGAGAGGAGGGAACAGGATCCATCTGTCTCTGATGGCAAACCCTAGCCACTTGGAAGCTGTGGACACTGTCGTCTTGGGGAAGACGAGGGCGAAGCAGTACTACTTCAAGGATTGTGACAGGACGAAGAACTTGGGTGTTTTGATCCATGGAGATGGTAGCTTTGCCGGGCAAGGTGTGGTTTATGAGACGTTGCATTTGAGTGCCCTGCCTAATTACTGCACTGGTGGGACTATACATGTTGTGGTGAATAATCAGGTGGCTTTCACTACTGATCCCAGGTCGGGAAGGTCTTCGCAGTATTGCACTGATGTAGCCAAGGCGTTTAATGTTCCGATTTTCCATGTGAATGGCGATGATGTGGAGGCAGTTGCTCGTGTCTGTGAGCTTGCAGCAGAGTGGAGGCAGATGTTTCATGCTGATGTTGTGGTTGATATTATATGTTACAGGAGGTTTGGGCATAATGAGGTTGACGAACCATCTTTCACACAACCTAAGATGTACAAGGTAAATGTCTTGTTCCTGTTTTTAACATAACTTGCTAACATATAAGATGAATTGTCAGAAACTGTGTATTCTTAGAATCACCAAGAACAATGTTGATGCCCAAATGCAGGTGATTGAGAAGCATCCTTCATCGCTTGAGATATATCAAAAGAAACTGCTGGAGTCAGGGGAGGTGACACAGGAGGAAATCGACAGGAAACATAACAAGGTGGAATCAATACTAAATGAAGAATATGCAAACAGTAAAGACTACGTCTTGAAAAGAACAGATTGGCTTTCTTCTCATTGGGCTGGCTTCAAGTCCCCTCAGCAGCTTTCTCGCATTAGAAACACTGGGTAAGTAATCGCTATAGATGCATTTTCATTCACTCAAAATTGTAAGCTGACTATGAACTACTTGTTACAACAGTGTGAACCCAGAAGTGTTGATGAACGTTGGTAGAGCAATCACTAAAATCCCAGATGATATTAAGGCTCACAAGCAAGTGAAAAGAATCTATGAAGAGCGTGCTCGGATGGTCGAGAGTGGGGAAGGCATCGACTGGGCACTTGCAGAAGCCCTTGCATTTGGTACATTGTTGGTTGAGGGCAATCACGTTAGACTGAGTGGCCAAGATGTTGAAAGAGGCACATTCAGCCATAGACATGCCGTGCTTCATGATCAAGAGACTTGGAAAAAGTACTGTCCACTAGGCCATACTATGCCTGGCCAAGATGAGGAGATGTTTACTGTAAGCAACAGGTGAATGGCTACATAATGTTTGATATTTGGCCAACATTCTCAGAGTATAAGTTTGTTGTTAACAATGGATGTTTCATGTTCAATGGCGATCATTCAACGTGTGCAGTTCGCTCTCGGAGTTCGGTGTGCTTGGATTCGAGATGGGGTACTCCATGGAGAACCCTAATGCATTGGTGATGTGGGAAGCTCAATTTGGCGACTTCTCGAATGGAGCTCAAGTTATGTTCGATCAGTTCCTTAGTGCAGGGGAATCGAAATGGCTGCGGCAGACTGGACTGGTTGTTCTGCTCCCTCATGGCTATGATGGACAAGGACCAGAACATTCTAGTGCTAGATTAGAGCGCTTCCTAATGGTATCTATGGTCACATTAGTTAACAAATCTTCTGTCTTGAAACACCAATTATTGGTTTTTTTTGCTTAAACAATTTCCATTTGTCTGTGACAGATGAGCGACAGTTACCCTTACGTAATGCCTGAAATGGAACCAACACTCAGAAAGCAAATCCAAGAATGCAATTGGCAAGTCGTGAATGCTACCACTCCTGCCAATTACTTCCATTTACTCCGCCGTCAGGTGAGGGTATAGTCAGTAAAACACGGTACGTGTAAGTTGCGTATTAAGATAATACGTAACTTACTGTTGTTGGTTTTGGCCATGATATGTGTAGATACACAGGGAGTTCAGAAAGCCTCTGATAGTGATGTCCCCCAAGAACTTACTACGACACAAGCTCTGCAAGTCCCATCTCTCCGAATTCGACGACGTGCAATGCCACCCTGGATTCGACAAACAAGGAACCAGGTTCAAGCGGCTCATAAAGGACCAGAATGGACACTCTGATGTGGAGGAAAGCATTAGAAGGCTCATTCTGTGCTCTGGAAAGGTTAATGAATGAATGCCGACTTTTCGGGTTCTTTTCTCGTCCATCCTTTTTCCCATATACTTGCTTGTTTGTTTGCTTTGGAACTCTGTTATAAACGTGTTTGTGCAGGTGTACTACGAGCTGGATGAAGAGCGTGGAAAGGGCGATAACGCAAAGGACGACATTGCCATTTGTAGGGTGGAACAATTGTGTCCATTCCCATATGACCTTGTCCAAAGAGAGCTGAGGCGTTATCCAAGTACGTTACGCATCTGTTCTCTTGGTTTTGCTCCACTACCGTGCATGTTACTTTTGACATCATATTGTTTGTTTGGCATTATTCTTTAGGTAGTGTTGGCTTGTTATTGATCTAGATTAATTAGTTAATCACGGAATGGCGTGTTCGAGGCGTGATAGGTTATCGTATTGTTCCATATCTGTGTATATAAAAGGTTTATTAGGTTTGGGTGATTGTTCATGCATTGTAAGTGCATGCATTAAATAGGTCATGCTTTTTTAGGGCAAGTAGTGGAGAATTGAATTTTGGACTTATTTGATAGTGTTTGATTAGGGTTGGGAAATACATATGGTTTATGGTTCGGATCAAGGAGTTGTAGTATAGATTAGAGATCAGATCAAATACTATACGGTTCAAATCGAGCCATGTTTATAGGGTCTGGTTCGGTATGGTTGGATTAGACATACCATCTTGAGCAAAAAAAAGAACAATCTTTTCTCACCGTACGAAAAATCCAACCAATAACAGAGGGGGGAAAATGAGTTTTTCTCGTTAGATTCCAAATTCCAACATGCATGCATAATTTTGATACATTAAACCAAGTGAATGACAAAGAGTCAAAGTTGGGATGCTAATAATACGAATTCGAAAGTGGACTGGATCCAAGTTCTGGTCCGATAAACCACATCATCAATCAGACTAGACTAATAAGAGATCAAAACATATCTCATAATACAAACCATAGATAAGACCAAATCATTCTTAAGATGTACTATCCGAACCAAAGGTTATGTTTGAGTCCAACATTCCATTTCTAGTCGTAGTCCCTACAACACCTTTTTACTCTGCTCGATAAACCACGGTTAATAGATTTTGATGATATCTTATGATCTTACTGTTATCTTTTTGGTTTGGTTTTGCAGATGCGGAGGTAGTATGGTGCCAAGAAGAGCCGATGAACATGGGAGCTTATAGCTACATTTTGCCACGGCTGGCGACGGCCATGAAAGACACGGGGAGAGGTTCCTACGACGAGATCAAGTACGTTGGGAGAGGAGCATCGGCTGCCACAGCGACGGGCTTCTATCAGGTTCACAAACAAGAGCAGTCTGAGTTCCTTCAACGTGCCATGCAAACGAACCCCATCCAATTCCCTTGACGATGATGATGAACATACCACAGTGAGATTCGGACACCTAAAACATCAACCACTGTTGAAGGTCAATTCAGGGCTAGCTGGCTGATCAATTTCCGACTTGGTAAGTCCTAAGGAGATGAATTTGAGGAATAAAGATTGGACTTGGAAAATAATATTGTCGTTTGGTTGATAGAATTTACTATTTAGTGTAGAATTCTCCACCCTCAGAACGAACTCAAAATATGTCCCGAGTCATATAAACATTAATAAAGACTTATATAGACTCATCTTGAGTAAAATCCTGAATATGCTACTGCAAAAGACTTTAAACAGAATTGAGTGTACACATGTTTTTCTATATTTCACGTACGGGCGTTAAAAACACATCAAAATCAGCAGCCGGTGGATTATGATAAAGTTTCATAAAATTACACATATTGATACCACTAACACCTTGCCGATGTTTTTACTAAACAAAGAAAAAGGATGCCTCTCCACATAAGTCATTATGTTACATAAATGGTGGATTAAGATATAGGTTTCATAAAATTACATATATATCGATACCACTAATCAACAATGTCGATGTTTTTACTATGCAAGAAAGGGATGTTTCTCCACCAAAGTCATCACCTTTGCATTAGTTCATGCCACCCCTCATCTAAACACCATATATCCACCTGGGCCACTGACTGTTAATCCAATTATAACTTGTCCTAATGTTAGGAGGGAATCATTAAGTGTACAATGTAGACAGGCGTCAGCGGCTTAATTAGGTCACTATAAAGAAATCTAATTAATGAGCACAATATGGAAATGATATTGCTATATGACTTTGAGGTTTCCATAATCGACTGCACAATTTTATTTCCCACCTAAGTTTCAATAATTTCAATCGCAGAGAAGGACACGTACGTGGAGGCTAAACATGATAAAATCACAATGGCTATCTAAATTTAAATTGCATCTCCGAAAAATAAGGTTAATAGCTTCTCATCTTGGCAGGTCCGATACTTTTTTCGTGTTTATTTAACATTGAAATGCATATATTATAAACTCATACTAACTAAATATTGGTATCGAGAATTGTAGGGCCTTTTAGATTATACCTAGTTCTGCCACCGAACCAAATGAGAATTACCAAAAAAATAAAAAAAGGATAAAAGAGTTTCATTAGGAGTATGAGAGGGATAGCATTTTCAATTTGGTATAAAACTATAATGGGATGTGAGCTAATATAATATTACATGATCTGGGTGTGATTCCACCATACTGAATTTGGTGAGTGCTGTTTACATGTGTGGCTATTTATGCTCCCCAAGTGGCCTCAGCATATTCGGATTAATATGTGGATCTTAAGCTTAGGGACATGACACTACGTACTTATGTTTAAGGAATGGTTTTTCTTTTCTATTCTTGTGGGACAGGTGTTAAACTTAGTATCTACTACTAATTATTAATTAATATATGGCCTGTATGGTAAGTCTATGTAAATTCGGAGTATATGAATTTGTCATGGTTTGAGAGGGTGTATGAAAAAATGAGATAAGACTCATACTTGGATTTCTGTAATAATTATAATTATTCTGATCAATTGGTTATTGACATTTGTATGTTGCTTTGATACAGGGACGGAGCTAGGTGGAGCCTTAGGCCCTCTCAGAATTTAGAAACTACGTACACAATCTCTTCGGATTGTGAAAAATTACGTATAAAATAGATGTTATTGTAATATTAATTTTGTGCGCAATAATATGACAATAAACGAAGTGGCGGACGAGTGGTTGAAGATTTGATCTTATAAAATGGGTGCACAGGATCGAATCTTGCCTATAGCGAATTAGCTCTTGTTTTTGCCATTCTCAAGTTGTAAGCCACGTTCCTAAACTACAGCAAATTAACTGTTATCTCACCTAAACTACAGCAAATTAAGTGTCATTTTGCCCTTTCCATATTGAAATTGGCCAATAAATTGTTTGAAAATGATAAAAATGAGCTACATATTGAAATGCATGATTAATTTTTTTCGTAATTTAGTCATTTGTTTTGAGTATATCACATAGCAAATAATTATCTTAATTCTTGTTTCGTTATGATAATAAAAATTCTATAAACTTTTTTTGTCATGGTAAACTAAACAATTTCGGCCCCCGAGATTCAAATCCTGGCTCCGCCCCTGCTTTGATATCCAATTTATATACTAGGTTCATACCAACAATCATCTAAATTTTTATTTTTCGGTCAACTTACAAACAAGATAGTACAACATACTTGAAAAATGATGATCAATTAACCATAAAAAAAAGTCTCAAATAGTAAGATATTGGATTGAACGAAGTATTTCCTAGTTGAATTCCCGCAACCAATCATTATATATAAGTAATTTCTCTCAATGGCCATCAGAAGCATAACCCGTATTCATGAATTTTCCAAATAATCATAATTATCAAAATAGTCTCATACGTATCCATTGAGCCCACAGGCATCTGAACAAAGAAGATAATGGGTTCTTGAAAAAAAAAAAGGAGAAGATAATGGGTTTCCACCAAAAACAATCCCCACACAAACGGAAAGTGAAGAAGAAGATAACGGGTCAAGTGTCCACGACCGGTCTTATAAAAGTCCAAAGAAGTTGAGAGAAAAAAAGGCTTTAATTTCTTGACCCATTTAGCAGTGAGCCCATTCTGCAACCTAACCTTCTAGTTGGGCGCGCCAAATTTAAGTTGATTATTGGTTGTTTAACGCACTAAATAATGTTAATTGATAAACTAAAAGCTAAACAATTTACTTTTAGTGGCTAGGAGGAAGTTTGATTGTTTGTTAAATAAGATTATCGTACATATAACATCTCGAATTTTTTTCCGATTAAGATATTGTCTGCTTTGAGTTTCGACCCTCACGGTCATTGTTTTGGGGGTGCAATACTAAGGTGACTTTTCATAAGATCACTGATCCTTGTTATACAACACACTAACCAGTGAGCACGTTTAACTTCAGAGTTCTCACAAGAACTCATGCATTTCACCCCAAAACACATATTTTCATTGAAGATTGATTTCATACCTATGAACCATAAATCTCTCCCGTGTTTTGTCGATATGGGATTTACCTAAGTTTTTAACCGTACATTTACATCAATTTATTAAAAAAAAAAAAAAACTTAAAGAGCCCACCCGAGATTTTGTTAAACAAGCAGTATCTATTATTTGTCACTCTATCGTCCAATTATTCAATGCTTTTTCCCCTTTCTCCGAATTTTTTCTTTTTTGCTTTCTGTTGTAACCGAAACAAAATAAACTTTTGCTGAAACCTTTTGCTTTTGTTAAATCACAACCTTTACTTCCATTCACCTTTGTAACTGAAGACGTTGAACCAAAACATAACACACTACAATATCAGGCCGTTTACTAGCAATGCACTTATTAAGTACGTGTCTAGAATTGTACGTAGCCCGATGTTTGGGAAAAAAGAAATTATCATATTTTTACTTCGTCTAATCCATCCATATCCGCTATATATACTAAGAGAAATGATAGACCATGGAGTAACAAAACTCAGAACTTGCAAAAACATATAAAAATCCGTCTCTTATTACTCCCAACACGAATCATACTACTTTGATACCATCATATCAAGGAGTACAACTCACTTGCTCAACAACGTGAGGTGAGAAGCTCTCGATGTCTGCAGATCGATATCATCTTGGCCTGCAACACTGGCTGATGTGCGACATATCTTACTTCAGATTTCATGATAGTACAATTAGCACTAATAAGTGAAGTGTTGAATAGACACAGTTAATCCCATAATTATCAACTCGTTGAAAATGTTCCACCATGATGATTTAAGGCCCGATTAATGCAGAGTGTCCCCTGTTTCCACCGAGAATTAGAATGAAACAGGCATAAATGAGACGTGTTATTCTTGTGTATACGAAATATAAACAAACCAGTAAAAGGAAATTAAATACAAAACTGAATTGCGTGAGATGATGGGATGCCAACCTCCAAAAACAGAGAGAGAGAGAGAGGCAGAGGAAGACAGAGCAAACACTATATATATATAAGCTTCCCCTGCACTCACCTTCTCATTGCTCACGCTTTTGTTGCATTGCATTGTTTTGCATTACAGCAAAAGGAGCCACAGTGGCACGTGAATGTGCCTGCTTGTAGCCTAACTTAAGTGATCAAAACCCTCCCTCAAAGTGAAACAAGAAAACAAAAGAATCCATCAATCAGTCATCTCCATTTGATTGGATTGAATGAAAATGGCGGGTTGGTGGTCATCCGATTCTTTCGACAAAGCGAAGCCGTATCTGGGTGTGATCTTCATGCAGTTGTGCTCAGCTGGGAGCTCCATCATCTCAAAGTTTGCTCTCAACCAAGGCATGAGCCAGCATGTCTTTGTTGTCTACCGATACGCCATTGCCACTGCTGTGATTGCTCCCTTCGCGTTTTTCGTCGACAGGTTTTCTCTCCTTTCCCTTCCTTTTTCTTCTCTGCTGTAACCGTTAGTTCAAAGTTGCCAACTTTCTGTTCTTTTGGGATTGTCAGGAAGGTGAGGCCAAAGATGACTCTAGGGATCTTCTTCAAGATAGCACTCCTTGCTTTCCTAGAGTAAGGCTCATTGCTCCATTCAAAATTGTTAACTTAAAATCTATTTTCCGTTGCGCGAACGTAATTGTTGACATCAAAATTCGAACCTGACAGGCCGGTCGTCGATCAGAACCTGTACTACACTGCAATGAAGTACACCACAGCAACATTTGCAGCTTCAATGAACAGTATCATGCCTGCCTTTGCATTCCTCATGGCTTGGGCCTTGGGGTAAAAACAACTTTTCCCATAATTAACATCACCATTAATATGTATCAGCAATCAAGAAATTTATAATGAATGGTTTTGTCCCCCTTTTTTCAGGCTGGAGAGGGTTAGATTGAGGAAGTTTCACAGCCAGGCAAAGATCATAGGCACCATAGTGACAGTTGGAGGAGCCATGGTGATGGCTTCCATGAAAGGAGCTAGGCTTGATCTACCATGGACCAAAGGAATTCCAGACCATTCTTCATCTTCTTCAGCTGCTCCAGAGCATCCTATCAGGGGTGCTCTCATGATCGCCATCGGCTGCGTTTGCTGGGCTGGTTTTGTCAATCTCCAAGTAGTTATCTTCCCTCAAAATCAACTCCCTACATAGTTCCATAGTTTAACCTTTCATTAGTTGCTCAATTTTTTTTGTCAATTTCTAAATTGATTGTGTAGGCAATCACATTGAAATCATACCCTGGGAAGCTGTCCCTCACAGCTCTAATATGCATGATGGGAGCAATGGAGGGATCAGTAGTGGCAGTCGGTCTGGAGTGGAAGAACCCTTCAGCATGGACGATTGGTTTCGACACCAAGTTACTCGCTGCTTTCTATAGTGTAAGGCCATCAAAGCTTGAAAATTCATTCTACTTGTACAACCATTATTGCGTTTCTGTAAATAACTTGGTGAATGAAATTGCAGGGGATTATGTCGTCAGGAGTACTGTACTCGATTCAAGGACTAGTGATGCAGAGAAAGGGACCGGTTTTCGTGACGGCATTCGGCCCTTTGGTCATGGTGATCGTGGCCATCTTGGGTTCCCTTTTCTTGTATGAGATTCTTTACTTGGGGAGGTAACTAAGCCAATAAAAACTTTTTCTGCGATTTTGCAGTAATGGGTTCCGATATTTTTCTGCAACAGAGTCTATGAAGCTGATAAAGTTTCAATCTTTCTTTTTTGTGTTTGGTTGGTTGGGTGTGACGCAGGGTAGTGGGAGCGGTGGTGATAGTGACAGGATTGTACATGGTGCTGTGGGGGAAGACTGGAGATGACGAGAAAGGCAGCAATGGCATTACTACAATTAACGACAAATTAGTGGCTGCTGATCATCTCCCCATTGCTAATGCTGATTCATCAGTGGAAGCCACGAACGTCGAGAAGATAGAAAGCAAGCATGAACAGATCAATGGTGGGGAAGGGTTTGTTTCCATTGAGCTGCCCAAGATCTGATTTTATGAAAGGAGTAAGAAAGAAGAGACAGGGGGTGAAATACCAAATTCTCTGCCATTTTCTCGATTTAGGGGGAACACAGAAAGCTTCACTCCATGTAACCTTTGTCCTCCTTTCCTGCCATAGAATAGAAGGAAAGGAGAAAACTTCCAAGTGTTTAGGTTCAGCAGTGACATTTTGGTCGGGTTGATCCCTCTAACCACAACCATCCTCTGTTTTTGTTTTTTCACTCTGTAGTTCTTGGCCAATTTGTTTATTCCTTTAATTTTCCGTTTTGATAAGAAAACGGGAGAGGATAGGAATGGAATTGCAAATATGTTCTCAACTATGAATATATATTGTATTTGTGTTCGTATGGCGTTTACGTCGTGTTTGGTCGATTGTCGGTTGCTATTTTCATGTTATGTTACAAACGTAAAAATGTGTTTGTGATGAATGTAAATGTATACAGGTTAGTGGAAGATGGACATGCATTGCATTCTTTTTAATGTTTTTTTTTCCTTCTAGTGTTTTTTATCTAACTTTTCTGTGTGAGGATGATTCATCACACACACAACCATGGTCTTATCAAAGACAAATTGTCTAGCATGTAGTGCATATTTAAGTCTTGGAATAGTCCAAACGTCCACCAATAATGGAAACATGTAAAGGTTTGGGTTAGGAGCAGAAACCCATCTAGTAGATTATCAATGGAAAGGGTGACAATCAATACCCAATAGGGTAACATAGATGGTGATATAATTGATTAAGATGTCCACCACAAATTTCAAAACTAAACAAAAACTATTTCATCTCTTTAACCTGTAACATGTAAAGTTAGTTCCAAAAGCAACAAATGAAATTTAGAAGAAATTCAAATTTGGGGTTTCAATTGCAATCCGATTGGAAATTGTGCGAATGTTTGATATGATACATTCATTACTTGACTTGGAGTTCGTAAATGTCGTCATACCGTGAGCTTTTAATCAATATAAAAATTTAAAAAAAAATGAACAAAAAATCTCACAACCAAACCAATTTTAATATCGTGCCATAAGCCACCTAATTTTCAAAAGCTCAAATTATTAGAAGAAACCAATTTTATATCACTTTTTCGCAACTACAAAATACAGAATTCATTGTGATCACAAATTCACAAGGAATTACAGAATCCGTACCAACAAAATCCTATCAACAATTACTCAAGTAGTGGCAAATTAGCAAACGTACGGCAAAGACTTGAATCATAGTGTATAACCCATTCTTCCATTATCGCAGCCCATTTCAGGCCCATTTCATTGGGCTGAATAGGGACGGCGTCGGCCTAGGAATTTACTAGCCGACCTGGGCGGTTATTTTCGGGCCCACTCTACACTAGAAAATTGATCTTGAGCCGTACCCAAGTAAAAGCTCAGTGGCTGGTCTGGTCGACCAACTCACACTTGGTAGTTGTTACTGGAGAAGGGAGATCAAAGTTTCCACAGCCGAATTCAATTAATCAACAAATGTTCCATTCTCAACTTTTAGCAAGAATGGTAAAAACCCTCGTTTGTTTCAAATTTACCGGATCAAGCAGACCCATTTTGACATTTAGCGAAATAGGAACCAAACTGTATATATTGTTTATTACACTAATTAAATCCCTCTTATTCCGAATAATCTAAAGATCGAGCATCAAAATGGAGGCATACACACAGTTGAGTACTGCAACAGATTTCTACCCTTAACCCGGAAAGAAGACGGCCGGGATCGATGGAAACGTGTAACCAAATCATATGCACGTCGTTACCAATATCACAGAAGAAATATCCATCTAGCTAGCTAGCTAGCTAGCTTGAGTTTGTACTTTGTACGATACAAAAAATATCCGTGTTTTTATTATGCATCTTTACGTAAACCAACAACGCCAGCTACCTAGCCTATATATATCATACCTTCTCCAGCAGCTCTCGATCAATCTATCCCTAGAGCTAGGAAAATAGGCAGAAATGATGCTGAAAAAGATAGAAGAGAATGCCGTCAAAACTAATTCCCCAGTTTCATCGTCAAATGACAAGGAGCACGTGGTGGTGATGAAGAAGATCAGTTGGTACTCGACGGCTTGGAGCCATGCACGGCCGTATCTGGCGATGGTTCTGCTGCAGTTTGGGTACGCGGCAATGTCAATAATCACCAAGCTGGCGCTGAACAAGGGCATGAGCCAGCATGTCTTGGTGGTCTACAGGCATGCCGTCGCCACTGCTCTCATTGCTCCCTTCGCCTTGATCTTCGACAGGTTAGTACGCGCGCGCGTAATCGATTTAGCATTGGGGGAACTATATATCGGATCGATCATCAAGAACTATTCGTTCATTTTTTTTACGTTTGTCGTCGTTCGAGGACGACTGAAAAAAAATGTAGCACAGTGATCATCGAGATTGGAGAGGGGTACAAAGTGTTAAATTTTTTTTTTCCTGTTTAAATTTGTCCTCTTGAGTAGGAGCTGAAAGTACTAATTAGAGTTGATTAATTAACATTTTGTCATTTTCCTTGGCAGCTGCATTAACCTAACAAAAAAACAATTGTGCAGGACTGAACCACCTAATAAATACACACAATAGTGACAAGGACATGTGTAACAATTAATACGTGTGGTTTTTGCTAATTCCAAACCCGTAACCCTAGCTTAATCAGCTAGCTAGTTTCGTCCTGGGCAAGTAATACTCTTACCCTAATTTGGTTTCCACTCTAACTAAGTCTTCCGGACTACTAAGATAGCAAACTAAAAGAGTGTTACACTCCCAGGCGTCACATATTTAATGGAATTAGACGGAAAATCAATGTTTTTTTGTGTAGTTTTTCTCGATTTCAGTGATTGTTGTGTTATACTTTTCAACTTAAAAAACCCTGGTAATTTTGAAAGGCTTCTAAAATGTAATTAATGCTAATTTGTTTACGGGAATGAAGGTGATGATTTCAACTAGGGCAGTTGTTAATTTTTCTTATTTGGAAACTGCAGGAATTCTCGGCCAAAGATGACGCGGGGAACTTTACTCAAGATAGCTCTGCTTGGATTACTAGAGTATGTCGATCAAGGGGGTGCTTAATTATAATCAAATTATTAATTCATCCTTGGTGGCACACTAATTAGTATCTTAAACTGGCTTCTAATCGTCTTGTTTTGATTTTTCATTACGTCATAGACCGACGATCGACCAGAATTTGTATTACACGGGGATGAAGTTGACCACGGCAACTTTCGCCACATCCATGAAGAACATTCTGCCAGCCTTCACTTTCATCCTGGCTTTGGCTTTCAGGTAATTTTAATTAACTAACTTACGAGATTACTAATGAAGTGGCTAATAATGAAATCTTACGTACCCGGCCCTTAATTTTGTAAATTTTGCAGGCTAGAGAAGATCAAACTAAAGAAAGCACAGAGCCAGGCTAAGATTTGGGGCACAATTGTGACCCTCGCTGGAGCTATGGTCATGACTTGGTTCGAAGGAGCTAGGCTTAACCTGCCATGGCCACAAGGTTATTATTATCAAGCATCAACAAGTTCAATAGCTACTGATCATGCTGCTCATCAAGATGATCCTGTGAAAGGCGGCCTTATGATTGCTGCTGGCTGCCTCTCTTGGGCTGCTTTCATCATCCTTCAGGTACCCTTTTTCGGAGAAGACCGTCGCAATGTTTTGTTTTAATTGACGACGAGAACAACTTAGGATTGAGTTAATGATTGGTTTTGGTGAACATGTTGTTGTTGTTGTTTTGCATGTGTAGGCAATCACGTTGAAGTCGTACCCAGCTGAGTTATCCTTGACGGCAATGATCTGCATGATGGGAACGTTGGAGGGCTCGATTTTGGCGGTTGGGCTTGAATGGGGAAACCCATCTGCATGGGCCATACACATGGACATCAAGTTGCTAGCTTATGTTTATACTGTAAAATCAAGCCCAAATCCATCAACCGCGTACATTTAATTAATTAGTTAATAAACTAATTGATTAATTAAATAATAAATAATTAATTCGCTTTTTGGGATGGAAACAGGGAGTGGTATGCTCGGGGATTGGATACTACGTACAAGGAATGGTGATGAAGAGCCGTGGTCCAGTTTTCGTGACGGCGTTCAACCCTTTGGGCATGGTCATCGTCACAATTGCCGGCTCCATCTTCTTGTCGGAGCTCCTCTTCGTGGGAAGGTAATTAAACACTAGCTACAAGTTTTTATTATTTATTTATTTATTGCAACCACTTTCTTGCTTTTAGCGACCGCTTTTTGGTCACGAAATTGATTAATTTTTTTATGGTGGGTGAATCGTGAATGGGTGCAGGGTGATTGGTGCCGGGATGATACTTGTCGGACTCTATATGGTGCTGTGGGGGAAAAGTAGAGACCAGCAGGCCACCGGCAACGGCGGCGGCGCCGATCACGATCAGCAGTTTATAATCGCCGTCGAACTTTCCACGTTATGAATTTATAAGAAGAGAGAAATTCAGAGACAGACAGAAATGGGAACCAAATTAAGAGACAAACCAATTAATTAAGTATACTCCTTGTCACTAATTTTTTTCTGTTGCGGAACCCTCTAAACATATATGGTTACATTTGATAAAGGGTCATGATCAGTTGCAGTATTCACTACTAGCTAGTACTCTGGATATTGGATTGGTGTATTAATTACAGAATGTTCTGTTCTTGTTGGGAATGAATAGCTTTGACAGCTATATTGAATTAATTATCCCGTATTCTTTCTAGATACGAAAATAAGAAGGATAATTAATAAAAAGAATATTATGGAGATAATTATGATTAATTATCTTATTATAATATAATATAATATATTTTAATTATGAGAGTAATTATCTCCCTAATTAAATGTGACTTATTCCCAAAGAAAGAGGGAATATTCTGGGTTTTCTGCTCCTATATATAGGAGACGCTCCAGACCCTCTAAACACACCTAAGAGAGCAGAAACACGAGAGAGAGTGAGATTCAAAAAGCTCCGGTTTTCCGCACAAAACTGCTGAGCAAATCAAAAGAGTGGTTGTTTTATCCTGGAGGCGACCGGCTGATAGTCTGCTGTGCGAATAACGAGGCAGTGCCGCGAACGTCTTAAAGAGAGCGACCTAGTCCGCGACTCAGCCAGATCGGTAACCCTAATTTTTATGTTCGATTTCTAACAATTTTAAGACGTTGTGTTACTGTCAAATCGATCGAACAGATTATCGTATCTGGCTCTGCAAATCTCAATCTCGAAACCGGTGATCGTTATCGAGAAGCACGTAGCGGGGACTAGTCAGTGGCGATTGGAAGAGAAAGGAAGGGAGTAATTTCGTGCCCTTCTCAATTCCGCTCCGTAATTAGGGAATATCTTCTCA